AGGTCCCCGTAATGCACGCCTGCGGCCATGATACCCACGTCGTCAGCCTGATGGCGAGTGCTTCGCTCCTACAATCGGCCAGAACGCATTGGACAGGCACTTTGATCTGCCTATTTCAACCGGCAGAGGAGCTCCTATCAGGATCTAGAGCGATGATAGATGACGGTCTCTATGACAAAATACCCGCCCCGGATGTGGTACTGGCAGCGCATGTGATGCCACTCAAAGCCGGCACCGTCGGGATCCGCTCGGGTCGGCTGCTAACCGCTGCAGATTCATTTAATGTACGCATCTTTGGAAAAGGTGGACATGGTTCAGCGCCCGAGGCTTGCATTGACCCCGTTGTTACTGGAGCAGCCATCATCCTGAAGCTGCAGACCATAGTAGGACGGGAGGTGCCTCCGGGACAGCTGGCCGTGGTCACTTGTGGCTACATTCAAGCTGGTATAGCAGCGAATGTCATCCCGGATACCCTGGACTTCAAGCTTGATGTGCGGACATGCGACGACTCCATCCGTGAGCGTGTAATACGTGCGATCAAGCGCATCATCCGCGCCGAATGCGAGGCGGCCGGCTGTGAGAGGGAACCGCAAATCGACCATATCATGTCAACCCCGGCCACGATCAACGATCATGCTACCGTGCGAGCGTTATGCAATACATTCGGCTCTTACTTCGGAAATCGGCTCGTCGAGTCTGACCCGGCAGGTGCCAGCGAGGATTTCTCCTTACTAGCCAGAGCTGTGAACGCGCCGTACGTGATGTGGACTTATGGCGGGATCGATCCAGAGACATGGGATAATGCAGTCAAGAATGACACGGTGAAAGACCTCCCGAGTAATCATTCTCCGTTCTTCGCCCCAGTGATCCAGCCCACCCTTCAAACGGCCGTGGATGCCATGTCCCTCGGCGCGCTGACATTCCTGAAGCGAGATTGAACCTGTCACATAATACCCCTAATAGAGTAACACAATTCATGAGATTAATCCCAAACCACCCTCTCACGACCTCTCCACCACATGAACCACAACCTTCCCCCTCGCCCTCCCTCCACGCAGCTTCTCAAACGCCTTCGGCGCATCCCCAAACCCAAAAACACTATCCAACACGACATTCACCTTGCCCTCCGCAATCAACTCCCCCACCTTGGTCAAATCCTTCTTATTACTCTTCCAGAAGATCGGCACATACTTCATCCTACCCCCACCCAAAAACCCCGGCCGAATAAACCTCACTGCAAACGTAGGCATCCAATTTGCCCCAACCTGCGTAAACACACCTCCCCGCACCATAAACTTCTCACTCTCGCGATACAACTCCCACGGCTCGCCCACATGATCCACCACCAACTTATACACCTTCCCCTTCGCCTTCATCACCTCCACCACATCTTCCACTGTATAATCAATCACCTCATCCGCCCCCAACCCCTTCACAAATTCCACATTCTTCCCCGAACACACAGCCGTCACCTCACACCCCAGCGCCTTCGCTATCTGTACACCGTAGATCCCACACCCGCCCGACGCTCCCACGATCAATACCTTGTCCCCTGCATCAGGCGTCACGTACGGCGCGATGGCCTGCCACGCCGTCTGCCCCGCTACACCCACCGTCGCGGCGTGGTCGACCTCAACCCCTTCGGGGATTATCTGTACATGCTCGACCTCGGCGACAACGTATTCGGCCAGTGGACCGAACTGGGTCGGGAGCGGGAGGGTGCCGTAGACGAGTTTGCCCGGGGTGAGAGTCGAGGGGACGTTCGGGCCAGTGGAGACGATTTCGCCTGCGAAGTCGAGGCAGGGGCTGGCAGGTTTGCGGATCAGGAGGGTTGAGATCACAGGCATGGTGGGGACTTTGTAGTCGGCTGGGTTTAGGGCGCAGGTGTGAACGCGGATGAGGAGTTGGGTGTTTTTTGGGGGTGGGGGAGTTGGGGCGCTGGGTGTGAGGGTGAGGTTTTGTTCGAGGGTCGGGTGGGTGGTGCTGTAGAGCCAGGCTTGCATTGTTTGGGGGTGGGAGGTTGGTGATGACATTTTGGGTTGTTGTTGTTGATGATCTTGATGTTGTGTTTGGTGGTTGTTGTGGTGTTGTAGTGATGATGGAGATGAGATGAAGCTGAAGCTGTCATGTTACACTGGCCGGATTGGGATTAGTGCGGTCGGATCGCTGGGTTGTGGGCGATAAGATAAGAGTCACTGTAGAAGACGTCATTGTCTAGCTACAAGCTGGAGCAGTGTTATCCATGAATAATCAATGGAATAGGCGTTGATGTACTAGTTAAGACGTACTAGTTGGATTTCTATCAGATGAAATTACGCTGTATAGGCCGAAATCAAGCTAAATCAACATACTACTAAAACACGTCGTAAGTGGTACTGCTCCTGACCATCCACTACAGTAAGCCCACGGTCCATGCACCAACATCTAAACTTGTAATGACTCTACCTTCTTCTGATTGTCTGCCATCCAAGTCCTAGCTAGATACTCAACTGTATGACCAAAGAATGAAATTGCAACAACAACCCTCACCGACCACCACAAGTCTCCCAAAATTCCGGCCAAGCCTAACAGCTCCTTTTGCATCAACAATCCTTAACCTCGTCTAGAGACGCGCATCCTCTCACCATCTCACCTCACCCTCTAGTAAATACGAGCACAGCCCATAAATGCAGGTACCAAACGTAATGATATTCAGGGGCCAATGGCCCCTCACACGGCTGATAAACCACTACCCGTCAATCATCTCGACGAGTCCCGTCATTTGGCCCCAGATGTCGGATCCTTCATTGTATTGGACATTCTGGACCCCATTTCTCGCGTGGGCATGCATGGAAACTTTCTTTTTAACCTTGTTTGGGCTGATGGGCATGGTTGGCTCTGTGCGATGATTGATAGGATGGGAATGGGGATAGTTTGGCCCCCGTGACAGAAGGGATCCCTGTGGGATGGGGTGGGTGGAGGGTGGTGTGATTTTCGTGAGGGTTGTGGTTTGGTTTGTTTCTTTGGAGAATTACTGGGGTAAGACAGTTTATTGGGGCTCTTTGCTGGGTATGTATGCTACTGATTCTCTTGTTGTGTGCATTGTTGTGTGCAGTGATTGAATTCGGTGTGTGTTCTGGAAAATATGTGTAACTACTGCTCCACTATGATGTGCGACATGTATTCGATTCTAGTATATTGCGAGTAATATATTGAACGCTAGACAGATGCACTCTTTAGAAATACTGTGAGCATTCCATGAAAATTTAACAAGGGTCAGGTCAAGCATGCATGTTTCGCCAATTTACGCCGCATTCAGGGCAGTCGAAAAGCTCGTAGCCGTCGTTGTTGCTGTTAGGGACCAGCTCGAACTGCAATTGCACTTTAACCTCTTCAAATGCCTGACCAATCGACATTTCATTTCCTCCGATCGAACGGTCCAGTATCTCTTGCCCACACGGTTTTGCTATTTGGAACGTGACCTTTTCCAGGCTCGGCAAACTTCCCCGCGAAATCCAGTTGTAGAGTATAATTAGAGTACGCCAATCTGGCGGGTTCTTCGGGCAGTATAGGAACAGCACTAGATGCTTGAGGCTTGGAGGAAGCTGACATTTTAGCTCGGGGCTTTTCCAGAGGCATAGTTTGCTGTTGTTCTTGGGGTCGTATTCTCCAGTTCCTCTCAATGCATCTGATTCGACGGTAAGTTGTTCCAGGCACTGGAGGGCGGTGAAGTCTACCGGGGGATTGTCAACAACCCCTGGATAGAAGTCAATGTCAAGACTCAGAAGCGAATCCGCTTGTGCCTTTATCTTGTCGACGTATATTTGCCGGTTCGGCATAAGATTTGTGGGCCTGTAACACCATGGAGCCCCTTTATACGTCAAATGTTTCAAGGCACGTGGCAGCGACAACATCTCGCCCATCGCAGAGGGGGACACATCGCAGCCGAACAGGCTTAGCCTCTCGAGGGGCGTTGATCGTGGTGAAGGCACATGATTCTTCAGGCTCTCAATTTCGCCCCCGACGATGGTCAGGTCTTGGAGGCACGGATGGATTAGCACGGCGCCCCTCAGACTAAAGTCCCACGCTGGTTGATTGGGCGCGATGTCGTCCATGATCATCATACCTGAGAAATATTAGCATATGAGGTAAGAGAACAATGAAGATTATTGGCAGACATTTTGTAAGAGATGGAAGGATCTGCGAGCCCGGCACAGCAGATTGCGCAAAAAGTGTGTCCCATTTCTCGGCTTCTGCGATGACTCTCTCATACCCCCCAATAATTTCATCGTCCTCTTCTCGGTCCGCGTCGAACTCGAGCCCCTTGATGACAAGTGTTCGCAGATTTACGAGACGCCCGATCGTCGGGGAGAGGGTTTCTGCATACAAGGGATAATACTCCTCTTCATCTTCAACATCGACATAATGGTAGTGAACTATCAGCTCTCTAACATACTCGGTGCGAGCTGGCACACAGTCCAGTGCGTAGGTGAACTTTTCTCCGTCGTGATTTCGCAAGTACACCGACTGGTACAGGATCCGCTCGGCGAGCGGTCGGAGGCGTTGGCAAACCCGCGCGAGGCTGGCGAGAGAGCCACGCGAGGCTTGTGCCAAGATAGCTTCCAGAAGCTCTTGAGGTAAGTCAAAGAAGTGCATGTGGAGCAAGCAATGAGTCGGGTTGTTTTCGGGCCTTGGGAAGATGAAGTTCCGGTGGGAAGCCGACAAGGAAGGGGCGATTATAAAGAAGCGGGTTAGGCCGGGGGCGGTGGCTGATCCTACACCATTCGAGCCCTAACTAGTATTCCCGTTCGTATCCCTGCTGAGCCTCGCCGTTTGGCCCCAATATTGAAACATCATGGCCCCCAAACGTTCGGCATTGAAAGGGTCTAGAGGCATATACCGACAGGTGCAGTGGAACATAATGTCTTCAGAGAAGAATAAATACCTGGTGGTCGCTCCTCGCATTTTGTTTCCCCATCACACAACCAACTCTTATACAATCATTTAACTTATTTCTCACCATGGCTGGTTCAAAAGCTGTCGCTCTTTTATTCCTTTTGGTTAACCTAACCACGGCCTCTGTTATTCCACGCGGACAGGCATCGTCGTCGGCGGTAGCTGCCAGTGCGAGTGCGAGCGCTGAGGCTTCCTGTTGGCGTTACACCCTCCCTACCACTCTCACTGAAGATGATATTGAACAAAACGAGGATGACACTACCTCATCGACCAGACGGCGGGGTCTGAACTACTTTGATCGCCGCGATCATACCAAAACCGAGAAGTTGGGTAAATGCGATCTGGGGCAGACAATCTACAAACCCAAATACTTTCGTTCAAAGAATATCCAAAGTGGGCAAACCAAGGCCAGCGGTTATAGCTTCCTTGGTTATTTTATTCCCAAATTGGATTCCTGTGAAGCTGCAGTCACTTTTACGACAATCGCCAATGCAGCTGACGTCCCGAAAACGACGGCTGGGTACTGGGACGATGTTGAGACGGACTCTCTGCAAAACTACCTCGACTTGGGCGCACAAATCAACAAGAATAACCAGGAGATGCCTCACATTAACGTGGATCATGTTTGTGAGTGGGACCCATGATTGTAGAGTCCATGCATTTGCTGATTATCTCCAGACGAGCTCCAAATCCTAGACGCCTTCCTGGCGGATATTATCGAAGAGTACAATTTCTGCGACAGTTTCAAAGAATGGTTCCTCACAATCGATACAACCTTCAAGAACAAACAAGGAGTGAATAAACCCCGGCTCCAGAAGCTCTACAGTTACGTGAGTATCCATCTAAAGATCAGTTCCCTCAATAAATTGAGGCTAATGATGCTAATCTGTATTGACAGTTGCCTGGGGAAACATACCCGGAGCTGGTGGCCATGGACAGTCGTCTCAACTCTTACAAGGCGCCGGTAAGCTTAATATGCACCTTTGCTATTCCTCTCTTGCCCCACCAGACCAGTGATTGCTGACTCAATGGGACAGATGTTTGGGACTACAGCATTGAGCGGCATGGCTGCGGTAGAAGGCACTGGGGATGCCCGCCAGAGCAGTGCACTGAGCATCATGAACACACTGGCAGTCGTTGTTTCAATGCTCCGCGACAACAGCGTTGCTACCTACTTCAAGGACACCAACACCCGGATGTTCAAAGCTTTCCTTGGCATTGACACTCTCATGAACCAAGATACCTGCAACTCAAACCTCCCAAAGCCTAAGGACGGATGGGCAACCGCGTATAAGAGTTGGATGAATAAATTCATGACTGAGCAAGCAAACGCAGTCTCGTCCCGTATCTCCTCGGTTTCGGCACAAGTCACTAGCACGGCGGATGCTGCCGGGGTCAAGAACAGCTATGGCAAAGCGCTGGATGCGTTTAATGCGAAGTACCCGACTGCGTCATGGAAATGGGACGAAAACCAGTTGCTGGACTGGAGTGCAACTGATGGTACTGCCTTTGCCAAGCGCGGTGCCTCGTCGGCGGCTGTCTGCACACCCACTGCCACCCCATCCTCTTCGGCAGTGAAGTCCCATTCTGCTTCCAGCAAGGCCACGCCGAGCCAAACTGCGGGCGCAACCACAGCCTCTGAGACGGGTGAGTTCCTCCGATATCAGAAGATGATTTTATAGCTCAATGCTGACATGTTTTAGCTTCGCACACGGTCAAGTCTACAGTGACATCGTCTTCGCAGAAGGCGACGATCACGCCCGCAACGAGCACTTCCACCAAAGCCGAGACTACAACCAAGAGCAAGCACAGCTCTGGATCTGCCGAGGCAGCGCAGACCACCAAGTCCACTAGCGGCAAGCCGAAGGACACCGCTAGCGCAACGACGAAGTCCAGCTCGTCGTCCGCCAAGGATACCGCGACCATCACCAGTACCAAGACCACATCGACGGCTACCCCTGATTCGCACGATACGAGCACCAAGGACACCTCGACCAAGGATACCACGACCACCACTTCGACTTCCACTAAGACCAAGGAAACCACCACCTCTACTAAGACTTCTACCACGACCAAGAGCACAAAGACGGCTACTAAAACTACTACCAAGTCTTCGGAGGAGACCAAGGATTCCTCCTCCTCCTCTTCGTCTTGCAAGAAGAAGAAGTGTAAGAAGGGGTAAGTAGATGCTATCCATACAGAGGGAGAGGATTCCAGCTAACTTGCGGTATAGTAAATGCACCTGCGTGTCCTAGATAGGGGGAAGTACCACCTGGGGATAGGTGATGTGGGATGGTGTGGAATGCTGTTAGGGAGACGTTCATGTATTTCAATCTTCAGAAGCTGGGGAATTGTACTTATTAGCACGGCCTTCTCTGTTAGATGTATAAACCTTGATTTATCGACAAATCTATCCACCGGTAGATTACAAATATAGGATAGTTTCTGAACTACAAATGGTCGACATTATAAAGGGAGGCGCTACCGCCACACCGGCCAAGCTGCCTTCACACCAGCCTTTACTCATGCCACACCATTTTAGGTCACAGTTTCTCGGTTGGTTAGTCTGATGTTCGTCCACGAACATGGTTGTTACTTTCTAGTGGCGTGCGCGCTGTCTGCAGTATATCACATTGAAGCAAGCTAGTTCCGGTCACAAGGCGTCAGGTCACCGTGTCGTTTGCGGTCTCAGAATTCTTACAACACAGGGTAGAACTTGGTGGAAGGTAAACGGAATCAAACGGCTCAAACTTGTGGTTTGATAGGTTTAGTAAATTTTATAAGGAACATGTTCTCATTCCAAAAGCCTCGCTTTCAAAGGTATGAATCTCTCATCAGCCTTACCTCACGATTTGTACCCCAAGTTTGCGGATTGCCAATCCAAAAAGCCAGAACGGAGAGCTCAAGGCTAGGAGAATAAGAATAAAAAGTGCATCCGTGCTAACATTGGCTCCAAATTGTTCGCCAAGGATTTTCCTGAGTTGAACCTTTCGATCTCTCTCTTCATCTTCCATCATACGCAGAATGCGATTGATTTGGTTCGTTCTCACCTGCCGCCTTTGATGGCACTTCTGCTCCAATTTTTGAAGCTTTCGAGCTTTAGCCTCCATTATCCGTGTTTGTTCTTCCTGCATTCTACTAGTCTTACGTCTCAAGGACGCCTCGAAAGCTATCCAATGGGCCGCCCGGCTTTCTTCTGTCGCCTTTTGCTTTCGCTTCTTCTTTTTCGAACTGTTTGACGGCACTGTTGCAATTCCAAGGATTTTTTCGCGCTGGTACAGGAGTGGCTCACTGCCCAAAGAGATGGTTTCAGTGTGACGATCTGCTGTCCCGCTGAACTCAGTGTCGTCGGGATACCAATTGACCTGACATTGGTCAGACAGGGATGATTGTGATTAAATGTGTTCATTGGAATTGATAGTAAGTATGTTTTCTGATCATATATACCTGTTGAATGTTATATCTTGATGCGGCTTGACTTATAACAGACTGGAATTGCTGTTCAAGCTCCTGCGTTGTTTTTTGCAGGGCCATCATTTTCTCATTACTCAATCCAAGATGGTGAGCCATCACATTGCGTATTTGCTTCGACCTTAGAAGTAGGTTTCGGAAGTGTTTAGAGGCTTGCTGGTCTAATACACCCCGGAGCCTACTGCCAGGCTGGAAGCAAGCATCTTCAAGAGTATCGACAATTGCCGGAAGGTCAGCGGCCTGGTGACAATGAAATCCTTTTTCTTCGAGGCCATGCGGGCCAACTATTTCTAGGAGGATATAGCCCAAAAACTCCAACTCTTTGGTCCACTTAAGGACCTGTTTATGAGATTCAAGGTATACATCGGCTTCCTGTTGCATGTTCAAAACATGGTGAGATTTAGGACGTTAATTCAGGGAGATATTTCAACGTCTTGAATTCAGGAAGCCAGAGCAGTCAATGCAAATGCGCTTGATGTCATGTCGTCATGTTGAGATCATGGATAAGGTTCAACCCGACAGATGCGGGGATATAGGGTGGACCAAGGAAATACGAGGATATCGTCAACCTAGATCCGTGCGGAGGAAAAGGTGTTGTCGTAAGCTCACAATGGCTATACTTTCATGAGAAAATCGGTCAGAAGGTACAGACAGCCCTTAGCGTTAATTTCCGGGAGCTCTGCACCCACGGTCACTGCCAAATAGGCCAGGTAACCAAACATTTAACCACCTTTTGATGCAGCAGGCTTTGGTCAAGGCATGGCTGCTACATATTGACCTCCGGAGTCACCATTACTCCCTGAACATTTAGGCTAGGCCCTTATCGGCAACCTTGTCGGATTTCATACGAGCTTGGTCTACAGCTATACAACCACTAAATTTCCTTCGCTTGACGCAGCGGAGTGTACATTCTTATGTCCCCGAGTATATAACGATAACCTAAAATCCAGTCAAGTTTCATTTCAAGTAGTGTAATTGAACGGTTTCAGACCGTCCGCTGAGCGATGTGGTGTATTAAGTGGATGCGATCCCAGATGTCACCTTCCTTCTCGCCTTTCTATACTTTCCGGAAATTCCTCGATTCCAGTTGTCCCACTCCATCAATTCTTTCCTAGCACCATTGAGCTGACTTTCTTGATCATGAAGACGGAGACTCAACTCATTTATCTGTAAGTGAAGATCATCAATTTGTTCCACCAGAGTCTCGGCACCTATCCCACTCATGTTGAGCCGCCTGGCCAACTTGTGCGATAAATCAACCATGAATTCACCGCCCTCTGCCATGATTTGATCGAAGCTCTCGCTTTCCAACCTAGTGTAATTCAACGCAACATACTGAGATAACAATTTCCGAGCAGGATTATCTTGCAAACTCGCCCCCGGGGTCGAATCGTAGACAACACGGATAGCATCTGCGAGATACGGAAACACTGCCTCTGTTTCTGCATCGATGATAATAAGAACCTTTGTGAGTCGCTGCAGTGCGAAGTCTTCAAGTTCACGGATACAATAACGATGTGCGAAGCAATATACTTTCGCATGGACCAAGATTTCAGCGCCATGGTGGTCATTACGATTCTGAGATGCTCGGTAGGTGCAAGCGCCTGCAGCAGTATGGTTATTATCTGCCGGTAGGCCAGCCTTGAGACACCGACTCAAGGGAGTTAGTGGCCTGTTAGGTGTTTCTTGATCATCTGGTACAGACTCGGGGGTAGATGGCTCGATCCCAGTAGTAGCTATGAACAACGTCAATAAATCGCCGACTGTAACTTCAGCCGAAAACGCCCTACCTTGGCAGTCATCTTCGTTTTTGCAACTATCATCAGGAACAGGTTCCAACTGAGGGACGTAGTAATCTTGCGTATAAAGGTAGCTCAAGACGCATTCGACGGTCTGCTCATCAAAGTCGGACCAGTCAATTGGACTATCAGCTCCGTTCTGCTTCCATGGCCCGTCGATTCGCGCACTTAGTGCTGACTTATCGCACCATGATAATGCTCCAGGGTGGACAAAATAAGTGCTCTTGGCACTCCCTACAATCACCTGGATTGGTGGTTCTCTGAAAGTCCTTCATCTTCATTAGTAAAGTCTATCATGACGATGAGAGGCGTTTACCTTGCGTATAGAGAGGTATTGGGTCGTGACTCCATTGTCAACTGAAGACCAAAACGTGGGTTCTGTTGACAGAATCCAGAGGGTTTATATGACTTTAAATCAAGGATTAGCTTGCCCTCATATCAGCGATCGGATCTCCGGCCATGACGTGGCTTTATATCACAGGCGTCACCCCACTTCGGAAGAGGGCAAGGCTGCGAATTTTATGCTCCAAGTGCTTTTTGCTTTGCGCCGACAGGGGTGAGGAGGGGTAGAACGGTTGGACAAGCCTTCCCCAACACTAACCTCCCCCTGGGCGCACATCTCTTCGCAGCCCCATCTTACTGCCCAATCCTCTCGATATTTTTATCCGGCCTGGTCAATAAGGCTCTCCTGTAGATAAGGCTGCAAGGCTGATATTTGACTCGGCTTATGTACATCTCAAAATGACCTAGATTCGTAACAAAACATATCAATGTGGCGTAGTCAATCGTCTCTCACCATTACAGCCTTGGAGCCCGAGCCGCAAGGCTTTTGTTTGCTCCAGTAGATGTGGGCTGATTGTTGTTTTATATATTGCCCTTATCTTCTCGCAATAAATGATTTTCTACCAGGTTTTCAATGACATTCCAATTCACTGCCACTGCACCTTTCGCAGTCGAAATGCAAGATATCAGCCAGCCTACTCGAGCATTAACTCGACCAAGATATAATGATGATGATTTTCCCAGAAATCCAGCAGATTATCTCGCCGCGAACCGAGATTTGACTCAGCGGTACCTCCAATTTACTAATATATCGTGGATCTATGCACACCTTCCGAGGATCACACAAGAACAAATACTTCCGCATACCGATCCTAGACGCACTCAACATTCCCCTCCTATAGCAAGAATTGCGGCGCCTAATTCTTCCCGGACTCCGGGGCGCAGGGTTCGACGTCCTCGAGGGTATGTTCGATACTCGAGAAACAGAATTAGGTAGTGACTGAGAGATCTCAAGGCAAGACACCCGCCCACCTGGCGCCCATGAAATTCGGAAAAGCAAATTGGCGAATTTGTTCAAGCCGATGCTTGAGCAAGATTTTCCCGTAATACTTATCTGTTGGGGCAAAAAAGAGCGTTGCCAGATTGTTCCGGTGGTAATCACCGACTTTACTGATGAGGTTACTGCATGGCAAACAATTTCCCGGGAATATTACGCACACAGAGGCTCTTGGACGAAATATTTGCCGTGGTGTTGTGTGAATAAGGTTGAAATCGTTGATGTAAGTGGTTTAAAATCATCAAAATTGAGGTGATCATTCTGACGAATACCAAAGATTTCTATTGCAGGAAAAAAGCTGGCCATGGGTAATCAATCAACAGGTAATGAATATGTTGGAATTTATCACAGTGAAGACCTGGTTGCCAAAAGGAAACATCTGGAGCAAGTCATTGCGGATTACAAGCCCCGGGAGTGGTTTTGTCCGTATGACATTTCTACTGGAACCGTGGACTGTGTTATTGAGTGTGTAGGAAGCTGCATGGATAATGCAGAATGCCCAGAGAGGATTAAATCCAAGGCGAAACGTGAGCTTTCGTTACTGAGTCTTCGACCTATACTTACTCAGTGCTTTTTCCGAGCTGATATTGCTGCACACAATTCCCTCCTTAACAGTGAGGGATTGATACATGGACACAAGTAAGAGTCTTCTCCGTCCGTCAATCCAAATCGACGATTGAATAAGGTACTGATCTCAAATCAATAGAGATATTCTGGGGAAATTAGATGATTGGCATTGCCCGGAGTCGGGTGAGATCCGATTTCGCGGCTTGATGTTCCGCAACTATTGGGAATGCAATCTGCAGCGCATGCTGCTGGTTATGATAGTGATACTGGTTTTGCTGAGCATACCCTTTGCAAAATTAATTTTCAATGACTGGGCTATTGCATGGACCGTTGGCAACTTCTTTGTTTCTTTTGGCAGCCTTGTTGTAAAGGTGGAATAGTCGCTTTGTGAGCTGATGCTGCTGAGATACTTCTAATTCAAGTTACAGTTACTTAGTTGGTAGCTACAGAACTTAGGTGACTTGAAATTTCCCCAAGACAGAGTATCAATACTTGAAACAGTCAGCTGTTGACCACCCGGGAAACAGAAAAGCTAAATTGGAAGACACTCAGCTTTGCACATATTAATCAATATTAGTGCCGTCCCACTCATACACCACAAAACTATAAAGAGTAGATAAGATTAGACTGGTGCCATCTGGAAAGTGGCTTTCTTTCTTCCGCGTCTGGCACGACTGCAGAGTGGATCCTCTTAAATTAGGACATTGAGTTAACTGGTGTATATATATTGTTAAGATGATGGTATGCTTAATTTTGCTTGTTTCTAGATGTGTATCACAGACTGTTCTCATATTTGAATTCAAATGATATAATACTACTCAAGACTCTATTAAAGCTTCATTGGGGGGCATCTCATTAATATAAAGTATATTTCTCCTCAGCGCCACTGTAGGCGGGCTATACAGTGGAGGTGATGACTAGACTGAGGCTGAGAGCGAGTGCAGACTTGGCTTGCTGCTGCAACGCGTGGCTCTTCGCAGCAGCTAACGATGCACATCCGTTGGCAAAAGATTGGCAAAAGAAACAAGTCATCGACAGGAAAGTGAGTGGCGGTGATGAACGAGACTTGATTGATTGGAACTGCCAGGGACGGGGTCCCATGACATCACCGCCGACCGGTCGGGATCGCTTGGGACTTGTGGGAGAGTTTGGATAGCCTCCACTTCTCTCCGTTTACTATCAATACAATGACGATGCAGTGCCCAATGACAAGTGGCAATCGCATCGTGTTCCTGTCCCTTTCCTCTCCTTTATCTCCCTCTTAATCTCGCTCTCTCCCTCTCGCGCTGCATGCACGCTCGTTCCACTTCTCCCCCCCTTTCTCCCCCTTCATTCCTTGTGACCCGCTCGCGTCCTCCACTCTAAATCTTCATCTTCGATCCTTTATTTTTTGACTATCTTTGTTCCCTTCCTTTCCTTCATTTCTTAATTCTCACCTGGCTTGTCCAGCCATGTGTCCTGGTCATCTTTACCTCCTCTAGACTAGCACAATGCCACTCAACACCTTTGCCTTGAGTGTGGCCCTCACTCCGGCCGTCCTCCAGACCCTGATCTCGCATGTGGGTCGCCCTGCCGCTGTCACTTCATCTTCTATCCCCCATCCCGTTTGATCTCGGGTCATAGTTCATGAAACCTTGACTCTGACATTGACCCTGATCCTCTGTCTCCAGTACGTCCATCGCAAGTCGCTTCGTGAGAAGCCCAACGTCCACATCACCTACGATGAAGCCATCCGCATCCTGCGTGAATTCCTCGTCTATGCGTCCAAGCATCCCGTGGAGGATCTACAGGCCTTTACCTGCCAGAGAGTGCCTGCACCCCATTGGGTGAAGCTGCAAACCGTGACGGTGTCGGAGGCATACCTCTCGTCAGCGGCGAAGGCTATCAACCAGCAGTTGGGCCCCAAGGGCATCGCGCGGGTTGGAGGGAGTGAGTGGTGGCAATGGCGTGGACCAGCCGAGGACCTCAAGGGGGAGTGGATTGAGATGAAGGATGATTACAACGAGCGGAAGCAGACGAGTCGCGATCATCCGAGCCAGAAGCGGATCATGCTGTATATCCACGGTGGGGCGTACTTCTTTGCTAGTCTGGATACCCATCGCTATCAGATGCAGCGACACGCCAGGAAACTCAAAGGTCGGGTTTTTGCACGGTAAGACGCCTCAACCATCTTCGTATCTGTACGGGGTGCTAACGTGGTGTAGTGAGTTCTGGATTATTAGGAGCGACCCATGAACCGTAAAAGCTAATTCCTGACCAGCTAAATATCGCCTGGCGCCGCAGTTTCCGTTCCCGTGCAGTCTACAAGACTCGCTGGCTGCATACCTGTACCTGTTGGAGGATCATGATCCGAAAGAGATTATTTTCGCCGGTGACTCGGCCGGTGGAGGAATGGTCTTCTCGTAAGTCAAGCGCTTGAGTGGGAAGAGGAACGGCTGACACTAGTAGAATGCTTGTCATTTGTCGCGATCAAGGACTGCCTTTGCCTGCGGGTGCTATTTTAATTTCTCCCTGGGTGGACCTCACGCATTCATTCCCCAGCATTGTCGCGGACAACCCGGGCGATTATATTCCTCCCTATGGCTTCAGGCATAAACCCTCCGCTGCATGGCCGCCGCCAAATGCGGACGAGCTGCGTGAGCTCAAGAAAGGCCTCAAAAAACACCCACCCAGCCAGAGTGAGGCTCTTAAGGCCATCCCGAATGACAGCGAGGCCGAAGATACAGCAGCGAAGGGGTATTCGAGCCGTAGGAACAGCGCGGCTGATGCAGAACGTGCCTGCGACATCGAGCACGAGACTGTCAAGGTGGTACTTGATGGGGAAACAGTGGAGGTCAAGGACCAGATTCACATGTACACGACCAACGAACTCTTGTCCCATCCTCTTGTTTCTCCTGTCTTCCAGCCATCATTGGGGGGCCTACCTCCCCTGCTGATCCAAAGCGGAGGCGGCGAAATGCTACGAGACGAGCAGTTCTACATTGCACATAAGGCCGCCAACCCGACGGCATACCCGCCCAGTGACAAGTTTCTCGATGAGCATGATCCATCACGGGAGATCCTCCGCAAATACCCCGGTACCCATGTGCAGCTTCAAGTCTGGGACGACCTCTGCCACGTTGCTCCCACTCTCAGCTTCACCCGTCCAGCGAAGTATATGTACCGGGCGATTGCTCAATTCGGGGCCTGGGCTCTGGCATGTGCGCAGAAAGAGGAGGTGGACATCGAAGATCAGCGGTCCGGGTCATCCAGCGACTCTGATAACCCAGGAGACGCTACTAATGGCACAGCCAACGGCACTGCAGTCGCATCGGTTGGAAAGGCAGGCGATCCATTACCGGCCTTCAAAGATCGCATGATCCGTCAACGGGTCGACAAACGCGGCAATATCTACCCGCTTGATCCTCCGTCTGAATGCCCTGTTCTCCAGATTCCCAGCTCCGAAGTCGGTACTTTCAATCCCAAGCTTGTTCGGGGATGGCTGGCAGCCAAGGAGGAGTGGGACGAGAAATTCGCGAAGGAAAGGCTCCGGGTTCAGCGACAGCGGATCAAGGAACTGGCCTACGGGCTCCAAGCGTTCAAGGACGAGCTGCCTCCCCCCAGTTCACTCGCTGCGAGACGACATGCTCCTGGCGTCTTGCCCTCAAAGACCGGCCGCAAGAGTTACCCCATGACCATGTGGAGCAGACTGGCCAGCAAGCAGGATGAAAGATCTATCGCGAAAGAACAGCTGAAAGGAGGCGAGGTCAAACGAAAGAGTGTCGATGCCGGGCGCGCCGGAGCGTCAATGGACGAGGCCAACAGATCGAAAGCCGAGAGTTTACGCCCGTCCTCCCAACCGGCCACCCTTGCCTCGCATCCTACAAATATAGTCATTGTTCCAACACAGTCAGAGAAAGGGAGCGTAGCCTCTCACAAGACGTCAGCCGACGCAGTTGATCAGCTGGGAACCTCTCCCCCGCAGGGTACAGCTCTCAGTAAGTCCAGCAGCCGACTCATGTTACTACCCGAATACGAGGGGAAAACGCTCCTCGACGAGAACGCCAGCACAAGGACGCTTTTCCGTGAAGCCGGCGCCATCCCCACATCAGATGGCGCTTGGTCACGACTGCGCCAACGTCCATTGTCCCATGCCGGTTCCGGCACTATTCGCAGCGAATTTACCTCCGAGCTCCCTGAAGATAGCAGCACGATCGGCGATGAGAAGTCCCTTGCAGTCACCAACACAGGAGTCGACGAAGCCAGTACCCGTGCTGTGCTGCGCGCCGGTGGCGTGGTGGGACTGATGAGCGATGATGGCGACTCAGCGTATCGCTCGTTTGATGCGCAGTCGGCAACAGATGCGGGGGATGCTGAATCTGCACCTGGAGGTGTCCAGGGTGATTCTGGAGGGGTGAATGGCAGTGCTGAAGTTGACAAGCACGCGCGTCCGACCATGCCGGATCGCGAGTTCTTCAAGACAGCCGAGGAGTATGTGCCTTATTGAGTTGGCAGTCAGTGGTTGTCGGAGATCATATACCTCTTGAACTCCTGTCATTTCCTGCATTGCGTCATGGCAAGTATATGTCACTGTTCTACCTAGCCTTGATCTATCGTTTCGTTATTTTGAAATACCCCTTCGTTTGCATATTACAAAGACATACACCAACTTGAATACCTGCATGACTGTACATACCGCAATCACATAAACCTGAATTTAACCATAACACATTTTGGGTATAATCATACTACATATATACTATACAAAATCCCTCCCAACTCAAATCCACTTACCACTCAATCCCCACCTTCTTCGCAACCTGCTCCGCAACATCCAAAAACGCCTTCCTCCTCACCCCCTCCTTGCCCTCCTTCCCCTCCTCAGCAACCACACTCGGCACCCCGCGGTCCGCATCCTCACAAACCCTCGCATCCAGCGGCACATCACCCAAAAACCCAACGCCCAGCCTCCTACACTCGGCCTCAACCCCCCAATCCGCCCCCTCATGCACATGCCTCCCCTGCGAAAAGATCTTCGTCTGCGTTCCACACTCCGGGCACGCAAAGAACGCCATATTCCTCACCATCCCCAGCACCGGCACATCCATGCGCTGGAACATGCCAATTCCGCGCACCGCATCCCGTAGCGCGATATCCTGCGGCGTGGTCACGATCACTGCCCCATCGAGGATAATTTCCTGGTTGATGGTGAGTTGCACGTCGCCGGTGCCCGGGGGCAAGTCGAGGAAGAGCACGTCGAGTGGACCCCAGGATACGGAGTGGAGGAGTTGGTGCATCGCTTTGGTGACCATTAGACCGCGCCAGGAAATGGGGGTCGGGTCCATTGGGAGGCGTTCGGTCGGATCGGTGTTCGGGGGCGGTTGGGTGCTGGGGAGGAGGTAGCCCATGGACATGGATTTGAGGCCGTAGTTGGTTAGGGGGAGGAGGCAGTTTTCTGTTGGTCAGTGGCGTTAGTTATGTGTTGCGTAGGGGAGATAGGAGCACGCACTATCATCTAATCTAGGCTCGCCGGATAGATTCAGCAGGGTGGGAATGGATGGACCGAAGATGTCGGTGTCGAGGATGCCGGTGCGGATGCCGCGGCGGGCGAAGGCGAGAGCGAGGTTGACTGTTATTAATAGGAACATAAGTATCTCGTTTGATTGATGAAGGTATATATTGATATAGGGGCATACCCGCTATCGTCGACTTCCCAACACCACCCTTCGCCGAAGACACAGCAATAACCTTCTTCACATCGCGGATCTTGCGCTTCTCGGGGAGACCGCGACGACTTCGGAGAGACGGCGGCGTTCCGGAGCGAGGGAGGCCCTGTATTCACCAGATTAATACCAAACATGCCATTGAAATAGGAAAGAGAGAACGTACCAGAGGATTCTCATGCTGCAAGCTCCGAAACGTGGAGAACAATCTCTTTCCCAACATGATGAACAAATGTGATCAATTAATAGCAAGTATGTAGTGAAGTAACTACTATAATTAATGATGGAAGCTAATACTGCCAGAATAAACCTTCACCGCCGGCAAAACCATCCCCATCCAGCCCAGCCCTTCCCCAAAGAGAAACTAATCCCGACACCGCATCCCGAAATCTCGGGCAGAAAAAAAAAGTTGCAGGAAACTAGTCAGCGGGCTTCGAATTTCTGCGCTTTAGTTATTTGCATTACTCTGCTTTGTTTTTTTCCCTCGGACAAAAACAATCACAGCCATGGCTCCGAAATCTCTGGCGGAACAGATGGCTGAGTTGGAGGATTTGACTCCTCGTGGTAATTATCCCAATTCTCAGGTGATACTAGTGTTCGGTGGACCTGGTTCTGATTGTGTTGTTTTCTAGACTACGACCCTGAGGATCTTGATCGCGGTAACCAGGATAGTGATGAGGAGGGTGCCGGTGCTAAGGATGAGAATGCGGGGAGGGAGCATTATCAGGCTGTTGGGTAAGTTTTTCTTCATTTCTTGATTTGTTTATTGGGTGGTGTGTGGTGTTTATGGAGGGCGTTGTCTAATCATTGTGTCATTATAGGAAAGCGAAGCTTCGCAAGCAGGACCCGATCTCTCTCGGAAAGCAATATGCTGGGTCGAAAGTGAGCCGCGCGGCGTTGGAGGCTGATAGTGATGATGATCCGTTTGCGGCGCGATCGGGCGATGAGGATGAGGATGAGGATGATGACGAGGAGGACGAGGAAGAAGATGAAGATGAAGATCTGGAGCTGGGTAGCGACGAAGATGATGAGGATATTTCGGAGAGTGAAGAGGAGGAGGAGGAGCGCCCATCCAAGTCCGCAAAGAAGGGAAAGAAGCAGGTCGAGCTGGACGACATGGACACCGACGAGTCTGACGACCTTGAAGGCAGCGAGGGATCATTCGACGAGGACGAGATGCCATCTGACGAAGATGAGGACGAAGACGACGAGTCGGATGACGAGGACGATGACGAAGAATCAGAATCCGACTCCGACTCCAAAGCGCGCAAACCCAGCAACGACCGCGACGAACTCCGCCGCCTCATGGCGACCGACCAAAAGACCATCGCCGCGAGCATCTCCCAAGCGGCCAAAGCCGACGCCGCGAAAGGTAAAGCCGTGAAGCAACAGCGCGCGACCTTCGACGCCCTCCTCAACACCCGAATCAAGCTCCAAAAGGGCCTCACAGCCATCAACCAGCTCTCCCTCGCCGCCACCTCCCCCGACGCTGACTCCGAAGAAGCCATCACCTCCGCCGAATCCGCCGCTCTCGCCCTCTGGTCCACACTGGAAGACCTGCGCGTTGCGCTCGCCGACGCCCACAACACCAACGCAGAGGAACCAAAGAAGCGCAAGCGCGTAGACACCGACACGCCCACCGCAACTCTCTGGACGCGCATGACCGATCTTGAATCCGCCGCCATTACCCACCGCCGCACTATCCTCGACAAATGGTCCGCGAAGGTCCGCGGCTCGACCGCCACGACGGCCGCAAACTCGCGCGGCAAGCTCCTCAACCCGTCCGGCTCGGGCGCGCAATCCATCACCGCCGTCCTGGACGCCCAGATCGCGACTGAAACGGGCGACCATTCCCGCGCTGCTAAGCGCGCCCGTCAAGACACTACCACTACCACTACTGAGGGCGGAGCTACTACTCCCATCTACGACGACACCGTCTTCTACCAATCCCTACTGCGCGATCTCGTCGAGCAGCGCATGGCTTCCTCCGACGCGATCACGAACGGCCTCGATACTCTGCACATACAACTGCCGACGCGCGGCGGGGCGGCGATTCACCCTGTTACGGGGATGCGGAAGGATAAGGTCAAGCGGGATGTGGATACGCGGGCGTCGAAGGGCCGGAAGATGCGGTTCGATGTGCATGAGAAGTTGCAGAATTTTATGGCGCCGGAGGATCGCGGAAGCTGGACGAAGCATGCGCGCGAGGAGTTCTTTGCGTCGTTGTTGGGCAAGACGGCGAGTGGGTTGTTGAGGGAGGAGAGTGGTGATGAGGAGAGTGGCGCGGAGAGTGAGGAGGATAGGGAGGAGGGTGGATTGAGGCTTTTTAGGAGCTAGAGTGTAGTTCCTTTGGTGGAGCTGTATAGTATTGATTGCTATTTGTTCTAAGAGTTGGCATTTGGGGGAAAAGGTGTGGGTGTATATAGCTTGGATTGATTACTATGTATGGTATGTGGATTGGTACACAACAACACAACACAACAAAAGTCACAGTTTGGTTCGACTTCCCCGACATCTGTCTCGCTTCTCTCTCCCGGTTGTCGTATCGGTCATAATTCATAAATCGTAAATGCTTCGCTAGAGCGCGATCGGGTAAGGTTATGGAGTATCCATACCCTCCCGGATATATCCTCATCCACGGGAAATCCCCGGGACCCTATCGAGCACAAAGCGCAAAGCGCAAAGCAGCAGGTAGGCATGTATGTATGTAAGTCGATCCATCAACAGACGACCATCGACAAACATACACCCCCTGAACTAAATAATAAAACAATATCGAGGTAGGCATCACCGCTGCGCCCCCTTATTCGAAGGTGTATACCTCGGTAACCACCCCGCCGCCGACCCACCAGACAGAGGCCTCTCCCATTCGAAGCTAGTCTGTCTCGGCAAGCCCAGCATCTTCTCCTGGACAGCGCGCTGAAGTTTCATTTTCCTTTCTTCTTCTTCCTGGGGGGAGAGGAAGTGCGGGAAGCCGTCGTAGTCGACGATGACGGCGCCGCTGACGTCGTTGTAACCTGGGAGGGAGGAGACGGGGCTTGATCTGGTGGTGGTGTCGATCATGGTGGAATCCTGTTCTTTGTCTTGTGGTGGTTGTTGTTTTTGTTGGGAGTATGTGTAAGTTGGGGGTGGTGACGGTGGTGTTGTCTTGTCGGTTAGGTAGTACTCGGCTGGGGGGGTGATGTCTTCCCAGATGAAAGAGGCGGTGTCTTTTTCTGAGGGTGTTTCCGGTTCTGGATGTGAATTTGGTAGTGGTGGTTTGGATATTTCAAAGGCGAATATGTCTGGTTGTTGTGATGGTGGTTGTGGTGGTGAGCCTGGTTGGTGGGTAATAGTAGTATTGTTGGTGGTGTTGGGTAGTAGATGCTCGGAGAGACCAGTCGGAGTAGTAAAAGGCTTGTCCTGTTTGCCGGCAGAGGTGAAAAGGGACCGGAGAGACGAGAAGGGGTGGCGGCCTTTTACTGGCCGGGAGGAGGTAGTGTTGTTGTCAGGCATTGATTCGATCAATGGCTAAGTAGATAGATAGAGCTATGTTATTGTTGGCAGCGGCAGCAGCAGCAGCAGCAGCAGGAGAGAGGGTATGGCATTAGTACTCTGCAAGATGCGGGGAAAGTGACAGGCCATTGGACCGGGTGCGGGACTAGAGTTTCTTTAGTAGTTTTAGCAGTGGCCAAAAAGATGGGGAAAGGGAGAGGGGGGGGGGGGGGGGAAATGAGATGTGCAAATGACCTTCAGGGGTATGAGGGAACTAGTTGCATCAACAAAGTGAATATGCGGAGCCGTGACTCGGAACCGAGGCGGGCAAATGGATGATCAGGACTTCACGTGCCTCCCCTGGATCCTCTCCCTTCTGACTATTGATTTCGCCCCAGCCGATCAGGCGGAACTGGAAGGAGCTAGTGTTGTTGAAGGCGTTCCTCCATGATGAAAACGGAGGCGGATGCGATGCTCTCATTTCCGGCTTCCATGGTTGCATTTCCGCCTGGCTCCACGTAGTATACGCGTTGTTATCCACCCGAATTAGGGCTCTGCTTGGCTTGTTGCTGTGGAATGGATGTTTTCGGGCTCCCGACAATCCTCCTCCTAACAACTACGATAGTTTCCTTCTGGAATGATTGGAATGTGCCTCGAGGTTCCGGTCTAGGCTTCATGTTGCCTCTACTTGGACCCTATGGGAGCCGGCAGTCTCCGTGGTGCGATAGTCTCTGCAGCATGCATGGGAATGGCGCAGCGTGATAGGCGAGGCCATATGCAGGGCGTCCGACGTGCACGAGATGCCATTTAAGTTCGCGATTTCAAGATCCATTGCCACTTTTGTCCTGTCTACACCGCTACAATGAGGCCCGATGGTGAGGTGCCCGATCGGATTCAGGTGAATTCTCAAGGTTGGGACTCGGTTCCACTGGTCCGCGAAACTGCATCGATCGGTTGTCGCATGAGTTGGTGCAGCGAAGTCATGCCCAATGTGACGTCTACAGCCCAGCAGTCCTGAGCGCCAGTTATATCTACGGCCATTATCTGCCAATCGGCATGTGTCGCAATATCCCGGCGGTCATATCGTTCTTTTAAGCTTTCAGCCACTTGATCAGATGGTGCTAATCCACCGGTGCATATGCCCGGACGAATTAAAACTGATAGAGAGAACGAGAGTCCAGCACAGAGACGCACTCCCAACGTTTCTGCATCGATTTACCTGGCAGGTCTCATAGCGTGGCCGGACTCATCACAGGGGCAATGCGGACGACGGCTGCCTGGCCGAGATCCACACTTGACTGGACTCAGCACAAGGGCAAAGCTGGTGACGCGCTGGGACTGTTGGAGTCGACCTATCCTGAGATAGGTGGCACAGCGCATAGCGCTCCGTTTTGCCGAATGATACCCTGTCACTATTGAGTAACAGCACTCGGGTTTCGGTATATGTTCGGGTCAGTTCAGCTGTCGGTCTCTTCGTCGGCCCATTGCTCTCGTAAAGACTGGATCGATGCAGCCACATCCCACCCCGTTCTCGTCCACATTTCTTTCAGGAGAATCTCTGCAGCCTGCTGGTCCGCTTTTTGCCGAATGACCCAGCCCCCTAGTACCGATGTTAGTCTCAAGCAGAGGAAAAGTTTGATGCGAGCGTTAGTCCATGCCACATGACTCGACTGCCATGTCACTTACACGCTACCAGGCTATGCCGTGCGGTGAAAAGCGTATTCTCCGCTTTGGGGTTTGACTTGGCCAGTCCAAGCACCATGAAAAGGTGATATCGTATTGTTTTCTTGAGATAGTTAGGAGGAACTATCTTTCTAAATTCAAGTCAACGTACCTCGATGTTTCGCGAATTTCTGAAACTCTCGTAAGCCAGCGGAGGACTTGGGCAACAAGAAAAGGCAAGAACTATCTTGGCAATATGGTAGTACTGAGTTCCGACCACTAAGTTGTGAACCATTAATAAGTCTCGCTCGGGCAATTGTCGGGTTACTCACCGTGCACCGGTAGTAACATCCAGACCTCTGGAAATCGACACGAAGCATCCTTTCCACGAGGGAGCTCGCGCAGAGGCTGGAATGAGGACGGCTTCCTGGCATACCAGTCCTCTACTTCCTGAGCAATACTCTGCAGCGCAGTATAATTTGGCGAAGACACCTGATTGAACGCACATTTCAATACTTTGGCTAATAGAAAGACCATTCGAGCTGCCCATGCGAAGTCATCGTCTCTCAGGAATATATCGGAATGATGGAAGCTTTCCAGATTTGTTCGTAAGGGCTTTTGCGAGATCAGCGATACGTGAATGTCCTCACGGAGACAGAGCCAGGCTGCCGCTTCACCCAACCCGCCCGAGGATCCAAAAGATGAGACAGAGTTTATTATACGCGTGGCTCCTGTCAGATGGAACTGGTTATCATCATCTATACTGAGTGAGCCTTGGAATTCTTCCGGCGCATCAGTTAGGGTCGCATACACTCCATTTCCTCGTGTTGGCGTAGGATCGCAACAGTAGCGAGAACAACATCAGTCAAGTCACCTCCTGTTCCAGATAATGTAGGAATCAGCAGCTGCAGGCAGTGGTTATGATATTGCAGCGCTTCTGCTTCATTTCCCTTCCTCTGCCGCTCCACGTGACGAGAAGAGAAAGCGAAGATAGCGTATCGCAGAACCGGATCCTGCATTGCTCTCACGGGCACCTCTATTTCAAAGTGTCGATGAGGGTCGGTTATGTCTGCCTTTGAGGGGTCAGCGGCAAGAACAAGAAATTCAAACTACCAATCATCCGCTCCTACCCACAAAGCCATATTCTCAACATAATTACGCATCAACGTCGCTTCTCTCTCGTTAAACGAGAACCTTGGTTCCTGCACCAAACTACCAGTCTGCAACTCCCTCCCAGGGTCTCTGTCAGAATGCTGAAAAGCATTTTCCATCAACAATTCCAACCCAGACGAGCGACCATCATGGTACAGAGTCTGTAGCGGAGGATTATCACCCGTCAATGGCGGCGTATACTGCTCGAGGGCTTGATACTGCCCAGTCCCGGTCGGAGTTACAGAGGCATCATTGACCCCACGAGACTCCTCGGTCGAGCCATCGTGCTCTGACTCTACAACCTCATACAGCCGCTTAATGATGACCGTTTCATCAACGAACCTCACTTGAGCAGTTTCGAAGATTAGCATGACACCGCCGACCGTCAAAGAGAAAAAGGGATTACCAACGCGGACCCATCAAGTATGGCCACAAATGCTTTTCCGGAAATAGTGTATCATCATTACCAAGAATGTCTAGACCGTTTCGGAAGCGCACGTTTATCCCTCTCTCGCAGTCTACGCCTGCCCGGCGACAATGGCTGCAAGCTGGGGAATTGGTGTCGCCTGTATATGAGACGCGTCAGTCGAAGGCCAGGAGAAGAACTGTAGGGAGTACGAACACTTCAGATGACGGACTAAATGTGCGACAAATTAGTCCTCATATACTAGCATCTTCGATTATATTCGGTCGAAGTGAGAGGGCGGCCTAGAAACTTACTCCGACATCTTTGACTGAAGAAAATGGTTAGCGTGACAATCTGGGAATAATGATAGGTCGTTGTGCAATTACCAGCCAGCGATCAGACGATGTCGTGGTTTGCGTGATGGGGTCATGGAGGTTCTGGGGCCATTGAGTGAGAGAGAAAGTGGATGAGGAAAGCCGGAAAGAGTTGCCTTGTAGAGGTGAGGGCGGACTAGTCTGGTTTGGGTCGGGGGCCATCCCCGCATCTCATATTAATTCCCCGCATTGGCTATATGAAGGAATCACGGGACGGTCGGGGCTATCCGTCACTTGTTGGATAGCAACTCTTGGCAATTAATATAAACATAACATGTTCAGTAGGTAAATTAACTCGGTTAGAAATCATATCCATATCTTCTAGAGAATCAAATCCTATATGCAGAAACAAACGCTTATAATGACCATAATACATGACCTCCGACGCCAAAATCCCAACATGACATTGTAGATGAGGTCTCAAGAAGACTCAATAATACTCCGGCAGATTGCCAAAACTAGGAATGGTATCCCCGCACTTAAATGACGGGCTATAGGCCTTCTTCGGCATGTAGCCGTTCTTCCACGCCGTCCTATAGCTCCACTGCGCTGCAGACTCCGTTGCCCAAGTCCAGTAGAACCACCCCATAGCGGACTCAAACGCCGACATCTGTGCTTCGGCGTAGGTCTGGAGAAAGGTCTTGTATCCCTCCGAGTAGACGCCAGGGACAGCATTCGCTTGCGTGCAGCTGCAGGTCCCCTCGCTCGCTGTGGGACAGTACTGAGTCGAGTCGGTAAGAGAAAAAGTGCCTTCCCAACGAGTACCGCGACCGACGTTGTTCACGTATTGAGCGCAGTCGGTGTCTGCTTGCGACCATTCGCCGCAAATGGTCGGGCCCCATCTAGATAAGGTCAGTAAATTGTATGCATGGGAAAAGGAAGATACGAACCCCGTGCTGGTAATGTTGATCTGCTGGATCATAGAGTACCAGCTTTCACAGATGAGCTCTACTCTTCTGGTGTGATTGAGGACAATCTCGCCCGTATTGAAGACGGTATATTGGTGGGTATCAAGCATCATATTACTCGGTCGGGTTTTGAGCATCTTGTCCCATTTGTCTAGGTTGAGGAAGCCATCGTGGACGGTGACCCATGCTTTAATGCCGTTCTTCTGGACTAGATTGGTGGCTTCTGTTGTCCAATTGAGGACTTTTTCGACAGGGAGGGAAAGCATGAGTGGTTCGTTTACGAGGCCGTAAATCGTTACAACGTTCTTGTATCGGTCCTGTGCGAAGAATTGCGAGAGCTGGTCGTGCATTTCGAGAGATCGTTGTCGGTTAAGTTCCCCGTCGGTTCCATTTAGCCAGCCGATTGTGCCCTGTCGGCCACTGTGGTTCCAGCCGTTCTGGCTCCCTGGAATACCGTGGGGATCGAGGTTGACTCGGAGACCGTATTTGCGGCAGTATTCGATGGCTCTGAGGAGGTACCGCCATGCGATTTTTGGGACATACGGATCGCCATCGTATGTCTTGATGGCCCAGTATGAGAACTGGATCCGGACGTGATCGAGACCGGCATCTCTGATGTCAGCAAAGTCTTGCTCGGTGATGAAGGTGGCATAGTGCTTTTCGATGACTGAGGCGGCTGAGTCGCCCAGTTTCTTAGATAGTGTCCACTCGTCGATGATCCCTTCGCTTGAAGTGTAGGTGTCGAAAAGCGAAGGGACGATGAAGGGCTCGATCGACAACCAGCCTCCAAGGTTGACACCACGGATAGGTTGCGACCCGTACGGAAACTTCTCATTCAAGGGTGGCACGTTCTCATTTGCTTGGGCTGAGTCGTTCCATGTCGAGTTCAGTCCCATGATAGACAGTCCACCCACTGTGGCATTTGTGAACGTCACATTAAAATCCGTGGTGTCGTACCATGTAAAAGGATCCAGGTACGTCCCTCTAGCGTAAGCCTGATATCGTCAGTATCACCAAGAGGCAAGTAAAGGACAAACCTACCGGAATGCTATCGCGACTAATCCCTTTCAGATTAGAATTCGAAGAATTATCGCCTCCACTCGTCCCATGAAGCCTTCTTGCCTCGATGATCCCCACAGGAATCGCAATAGCTGCCAGCACTATTAAGATCGCAAAGAAGATGAACGTTTTATGATATCGCTTCCAGAACGACGGCCGTGCAGAAGTAGAAGAACCTTTCGTGCTTCCGTCCCAATCACCCTCTTTCTGAAGCAACCCCTCTGCAGGCGGCCCACCGCCACCACGATGTCGCATCTCCATACCGGGGCCTCCCTCTTCCAACTGCGCCCCAGAGACCACCCGTCCCTGTGTCTGTCCGGTCGGCGCTACCGCTGGAAACGGCCGAAGCATCATCGGCTCCTCACTCAGCACTGGGAGCTTCCTTTGCCTTCCCCCTTCTAAATTCTTCTGCGACATCGAGTCCGCACGCTCAGTACCCAAATGACTCAAACAATCCTCATCTCCATCCTGTGACCCAAGCAGCTTTGCTAGAGCATCCCCGCTGACCAATTCTGCCGACGCACTACCATTCTTATGCTTGAAGAATGCCGCAAGCCTCTCTTTCCTCCTCTGCCGTCGCGTCTCCCGATCCAATCGCTTCTTTCCCTTTCCCCTACCCAACGCATCAGACGGCAGCGGAGGAGGTCCATCACCACCAAGCGCCCCGCTCATCTGGTACTGATACTCCTTTGCTTGAGTGACATCCTCTTCCTTAGGTATGGCAGTCTCGAACCCCTCTCTCCACTGATCACCCTCGACCTGAGCGCGCAACGGAACCCAAGGCTCCTCAAACTTATCATCGTATTCATGGTCGTGGTCATGGTCATGGACATCGTCATCGTCATCATCATCATCGTGATATTCATCATGGGTTTCGTAACTATAGACATTTCGTGGTGTACGGGTGTAATCATCGTCACCGGAGTCAAACAACGAATCATTGTTATAATAATGCTCTCTCTGGTACACCGAAGGAGAGTAAACGGGATCGGCATCGTCCAGCTCACTGCTGGGACTCAACCGGTCCCGACTGCGGGAGTGGCCCGGCATGCAGTGCAGCCGGGAACTTTATCGGAACGAATGAAATAAGAGGAGTAAAGGAATAATAAAGAATGTGGGTGTCAGATAAAGTAACTTAATCAAATCCAATCGGCAGATCCGGGTGTCCCGGGGCGAGAACACACTCTGGAATGTTGGGTTGCCCCGCCGGTCACAGTCTAGAACTGCCACCGTCCCACGCTGACGGCGTGCCTGAACGAGAAAAGTGGACGGAATGTACGGGAAATCGGGTCAGATGGGATACGATGTCCGGGGTATGGTCAAATAATTAGCTGAGCAAAGCTCGGGGGTACCAAGACGGGATCGCCAGGAACCGGGAGCAATTGAATGAATGAAGAGAGAAAAAGGACATGTCAGCTCGAGGCGGCGGCGCGTCTGGCGATAAACAGAAATTCGCCCGATTCGAAACCCATTTTGTATTGGATTTGCTGTTTTGGGTCTAGTGCGGAGACGGGCTGCTTTGGGGTGTGGCTGGATTGGGACTAGTGCGGGCTATTCAGGGACTGGACCCTGGGGGCTATCACCTGACTGTCTCAGTTTATACCTGCTTTACTTCGGAAGTGGTCTAGACAGGATATTATTCCGTTGATATATAAGTGATATATATATTGTTGCACATTTTACTGTTGTTACAATCTCTCATCCCCGCTCAAGCACTCTAGTACTTGGTGTAACGGAGGTACGGCTTCAGCTCGCGCACCTCGCCAAACTTCTTCTTGGCATCCTCGGTCGACACCGACGGGGGCACAATCACATCCTCGCCGACCTGCCAGTCAATGGGAGTGGCAATGCCCTTGCGGTCAGCAGTCTGCAGGGAGTCGATGACACGCAGGACCTCCGCCGAGTTGCGGCCAGTCGAGGCAGGGTACGACATGGTGAGACGGATCTTCTTCTCGGGGTCGATGATGAAGACGGAGCGGATGGTGAACGGAATGCCCTTCTCAGCAATGTTGTCCAAGTCGCGCTGGTCAACCATGTCGTAAAGAAAGGCGACCTTGCGGTCGGCATCGGCGATGATGGGGAACTGAACGTTGGTGTTGGCAACCTCGTTGATGTCATCGATCCACTGGTCGTGGGAGCTGAGATCGTTGGCGCTCTAGAGGTTCATTGACTGTTAGCGGCCGACCCGAAATTGTGTTCCTAGACCACTCACCAGACCGATCATCTTGACACCCCTCTTCTCAAACTCATTCTTCATCTTAGCGAAAGCACCCAGCTCGGTGGTGCAGACGGGGGTGAAGTCAGCCGGGTGGGAGAAGAGAATGGCCCAGCTGTTGCCGATGAACTCGTGGAAGTCGATCTCGCCATGGGTGGTAAGGGCCTTGAAGTTGGGAGCTACGCCGGTTAGTGTGTGTACAATTGGCGCAGTAAAATTGGAAAGGTTGGCCTACCGGTCGATCCAAGACGCAGACGAGGCTGCTCCTGAGGAATGGTTGCGAGGAACCGGCGAGTGAGGGGCTGCACGCGGGGCTGCACGCGAGGGAGCTGCGTGAGAGACACCCGGGGAAGAGGGGTGGCTCTGGGCAGAGCGGTCAAGGCGCGGAAGCCAACACGGGGAAGAATTGAGGCCATTGTGTTTTATCTGGAGCAAATGAGATGGGATGAAGAGAGAAGAAGCGTTCCGAGAGCTTCCACTGCTCCAACAAGCTGTTTGCGTGATTGCATCAGTGGGGGAACACTAACCGGATTCGGCTGCCAGCACGTGCTGATTCCTGAGGCAGTCAGGCAATATCGGCAGATTTCCTGTCTTGGAATGCCTAACGCGTAAATGTTTAGCCCCCTGCCTGGTGTTCTCACAGATCCACTCATCCTCTAGCAGCTCTTTAGCAGAGCTACGCTTGTTTGGATCCCATTGTAGCATCTTTCGTACGAAGATTAAAAAACGGGTTTTATCCAGCCCTTCGAAGGATGTTTCCCTATCCTCAAGTGGGATCCGATCTCCTAACAGGGATTGAGCTAGAATGTCACCTATGACATATAGTGAGCGAATCTAATAGTACACAGCTAAACCGAATACTAGCTTACCATCATCTGAAAAGAATTTATGACGAAGCCTCCCTTTAGCGAGGAGCTCAGGGGGAGGAGGCCCGAGCAGTCTTATGATCTCAGCGAGATGTGCTCGACTTCGATACGCCTGAAATTCCGGGTCGTAGCCAGTGAACAAGGATCCGCCCTCAAAGACATCCCAGATCTATGAGACAAGGACTTAGCAAGTTGTGGCACTGCCATCTAGCTTTTGTCTCACCATGCACCCAACATTCCAGATATCCACTTTATAGCCCCATGGAGCCTCCAAGATCACCTCTGGGGCGCGATAGATATCAGGTTGGATATCTTCCGAATGCTCAATATCACCAGGCACGGCGGATCCAAAGTCACATAGGATCGGAGCTCCCAACTGTCAGGGCATTCCGAGCTCCCGAGACACGTAAATATTCCTTCCATCTAGCTCCTTCCTCGGACAAGGGTTTCTGAGCTCATTCTGTAAAGTCAAGGAAGAATGAATCATCCTCGATGCCGAACATGCTAATGTTGTCGGCTTTGATATCTGGTATATACCATGTTTAAGCACGTAACCGAAGGGAGGCCATTCCCGGAGTACATACCGGTATGAATAACCTGGCATTCTGTGTGCAGATAATCCAGCGCCAGGAACACACGCTTCAGCACAAATGCAAGCACCGGCACAGGTAGCCTTCGCACCGGATTTCGGTGCAGAAATGTCCGCACACTTTCCCACAGTGGAGGATGTACCAGGCATCGATGTTTACCCTCGGGCCCATCAATATCAAAAGAGTCGAGTAATCTCCTGACAGCATTGCGACCGGCGTGGAATCTCGAACACCTCTCGATACGTTTATACATCTGAATCTCGTCATCCAAGTGCTTTCCCATAGATGCAGATTTGATGAATATCTTGAGGGTAACGTAACCACGGTGTTTCATGTCGCGTGCAAGCCATACAGTGGAGCTTGCCCCGTATCCTAATTTTCCAACAATCTGATAGTGATTTTGGTAGATATCACCTATTCGAACGGGATAATACCGCGAAGCGATATAGTCCGGTAGGGTTTCTTCTTCAATTTTTTGGCATGCTGGTATCCGGGCAATGTTTGGATTAGAGAAGGAAAGGGGCTTCCATGGCCGTCCCAGCCGGGGTAAGGAGCGTAGTAGCGACGACAGCAGTAAGACAGGCGGTCGCTCCAGAGCCTCTGATAGTAGAAATTCGATTGTCTCTTATTGATGACATATGTAGGTGATGATAATGCAGATGGTGAGAATGGACAATAGTTGCTGCTCCCAAGGGGGCGTGGATGTTTTGGTCACGTGGTCCGACAGGTAGAGCGTAAGATACGGAGTCTATTTTGATGTGCCTATAGTGTTAGTATAGGAGATTTCTCTTACTAGATTAATACTTAGACGGTATTATAATGTAGGCTGTCAGCAGAATTCTGAGTAAGAGGCCTCCACGTGAATGGTGGTAAGGAAAATAGTATTGTAGCCGCTGACTGTAAGTAAACCAAAGATATAACACAACATTCTACTTGTCATGTCATTTGTTTATCATTGATATGCCTGGATTATCGCGCGTTATTGGTATGAACATTCTATTCTAGAAGCACTCGACAGGCCCATATCAGAAAGCATCTCATCTGCGCAGTGATCATTTGCTGAACGCTCAGTAGACTACATGTCAGTCGGGGAGTTTTTCCAACATGCCAGCTCGTGCTTATCTCAATGCCGCGGAGAGAGATTAACTCGGCTTTGGCAAAACGACAAGATATGAGGGCTAGATAAGGGTCTTTGATCTTTTTCCGAACCGCATTGACTCCGAAGCCGAGAGCCGAGCCTCAAGTGTATATCACTGATAGTAGTCTAATTCTCCAGATACCATAGTGAGCGGTATCAATCTCCTCCTTACTTTGGACTTGAGAGCCACCATTCAGCGAATACCATGGAGAAGCCCGAGCCACCAAAAAAGGCTAACTCGAATACCATTGAGCAGAGTACAGCTTATACTACACCGCCAAATGGTGGTCTCAAGGCCTGGCTGCAGGTGGCAGGCTCCTTCTTCCTCTTCTTCAACTCATGGTACTATTGTCGTATCATCCCAGTGAGATTCTACTAACATGGCACCTTTTCGAATCACAGGGGAACGGTCAACACATATGGTGCCTTCCAAACCTACTATGAAATCGGCCTGCTTAAGGCCCAGTCCAGCTCAGACATCTCCTGGATCGGCGCAATCCAAGCATTTCTCCTCCTCCTAATTGGAGTTATCACTGGTCCCCTATATGATTCAGGATACTTTTACTTGCTCATCATCACTGGCTCCGCCCTCATCGTCGTCGGATTCATGACTCTCAGCGTCTGCACCTCATACTGGCAAGTCCTCCTCGCGCAAGCATTCTGTATCGGACTCGGCAATGGATGTCTCTATATCCCCTCTGTAGCCATAATCCCACAATATTTCTCCTCGCGGCGTCCCATCGCTATCGCTATCGCCGCGTCTGGAAGCAGCCTCGGAGGCGTCCTGTATCCCATCATCTTCCGCCAACTCCAGCCTCGCATCGGCTTCGGATGGGCCACACGGATCCTCGGGCTTATAGTCCTGGTAACGACTGTCTTTTCCCTGTGTGTTATGCGCGTACGTGAAACTCCCAAGCACAAAAGCGTCTTAGCCGAATTCTCCGCCTTCAAAGAGATACCTTACACCTTATTCTGCGTGGCCATGTTCTTCGGCTACATTGGCTTCTTCAACCCCATCTTCTACATAGAAGCCTATGCCATCCAAAAGCATGCCGTAGGCGAACCCCTCGCCTTCTATCTTGTCTCAATACTCAATGCTGCGTCTGTTCCGGGGAGAATCATCCCAGGACTTCTAGCCCCGCGCTTCGGGCCGTTGAACATTCTCCTGGCGAGTGCTATCATCAGTGGGATTTTAGCGCTATGCTGGATCGCTATCACAGACTCCGGGGGTTTGATTGCATTTGCTGTCCTGTATGGATTTTTCTCTGGGGCTTTTGTTGCACTTCCCGCTGTGGCTTTGACCGCCCTTGCTCCGAACCTTGAAACCTTGGGAACGAGGCTGGGTATGTGTTCGGTGTTGTGTGGGTTGGGGTCACTGTGTGGTTCACCTGTTGCGGGTGCCATTTTGGATAATACGGGGTCGTATCTCGGCGTGCAGCTGTATTCCGGGCTTAGTATTGGGGCTACGGGTGTGTTATTACTCTTTGCGAGGATGTCGAAGAAGGATTGAAGGACTTGGTGATAGGAGTTGACAGTAATAGAAGTATTTTGCACTAGTGATGCTGGATTCTAAACCCTCTTCCAAAGGGAACATGTTTTTCTTGTCAAGTTCCTTTTTTGGAGAGAAGGATAGATAGTAGCAATGTCTTGGTGCGACTTGATATATATAGTTTGCTAAACATGATTCTAAAAGCAGATACATTCGCCGTCAACGAACCAATATATGAGGGAAGACACAATACCATCGCATCGATCTCCTCCTCGGTTTAAACACTTGATGTTGCGTATGCATTTACCCGAGATGATATGCGTGCAATCCATAGTGCTGACATTCAAATTGCGATAAATAGTTCCTATCTGTTGCTCATCGTGACGACCAAGGGCACAATGGTCGAAATCCGACGTGGAAAGATCGATTCCCTTCCGACTTGATAGTATACTCGGATCTCAAGCTCGTAGCAGCGGCCCACCACACAAGAATGGAAAGTGGGTACGAAAGGTATGTCAGAAGGAAGAGTAAAGGACACCGGAACGAGGGCCTCATAAGTCATATCATTTTCTGGTACCGTTTCTATGGGGCATGGCACAGCCTCCCATGTCACAGTAGAAAGGTCTTGAGTGGCGATTTGTAGAGTCTTCTTGTAAACGCTAGATTGGTGACTTGTGGTTCGATAAGAGATATCTGGACTTGGAGACTGACCGAAGAATGTCAAGGCACGCATTGATATTGTCATACGATGCAAGCGAGGACAGATCCCGGAGGCTGAATAGTACCGAAGTCGAAGGGGGATGGTAGACTCCGTAGGTAGTTGCCGTTGAAGGTGCACGGTAAGCGGGTCCGACTGTAGAATCTCAATGACGAGGTGGCCTTCTCTTTTCCGGAAGATGTTACGTACAACCTGGGCCTCTGTTGGCGATTCATGCTTTTCCTGGGCTAGTGGAGTGGCTTTGTCCGAGTAACTGATAGTAGGAGTAAAGGCCGGGGGTGGCCTCTCTGACGAAGGGGTAGGAAGGATATAGATTTCCCTTCTGGTGCTGAGCACCGATTCCTTGTCTTGCTGACAATGTTGAAGCGTTGCCTTGATGCAGTAGCGAATACGTACCCCATTTGGGGTTAGTATGTCAGACTTGTTGCTTCCTGTGGCACAGGCAGCTTTGCTTCCCAGAGAAGGAGGCAACGATGTGTGCGCATATCGCACCAGTGTGTCGGACACGGCGTGGCTGCATGATTCAATGGGCAGAGCTGATGGGATAACAAAGGCAAATGGGACATTCCCAGGAGAATCGACTTGCATCTGTTGAGAGAGACGTAGAAAAGTTTGAGTGCTCTGGATTTTTATTCCCATTTCATGCTGCATGGAGACTGTGGTCACGCCTGGATGAATCAATGTCTCAGTATTTGTCTGGATAAACGAAGGAAGGACTTCACACCTTCGAGCATGATCACCAGATCGGAGTAGTGGATATTGTTCTCCAGATGAATACTAATTTCGCCTGAGATCATGTCCCCATTGGAGAACACGGATGTTGCATCATTTGAATGGTCATGTAGATGCACTTGAAGCTTCGATCGTGCCATTTTTCTGAATGAATCGGTGGGGTTTATGGAACGGCATCTCAGTGTCGGCTCGCATAGAGAGATATATATTGTCTGGCCACACCACACGGATATCGGCATCGGCATTCGGCTGTACGAAACAACTTCGAGGAATCTGAAGGCGAGCAAAGCACCACCAATAGCCCCTGTAAATACTAGGATGTCGAGGCATTACTGAGCGGCTTATCGGGATAGAGCCAATCGGGAACGATTACGGCTACTCCGAACGCCGAGTGGCTTTCCGGCACTAAACTAACCACTAGCATTATCAACCACCAACGCCGTGGAAGTTCTTTGACTTGTGTCTATGCCAGCTGGCAACCTTCAGTCCTATGCCTTCTCTGCGGCGGCGCAACGGTCGCAGGGCTGCCTGTGAGGCCTGTCGCAGACGGAAACTAGCTTGTGACCACAATCAGCCGACATGTCATCGATGCCAGAAGCATTCACTCGAATGCATCTACCTGTCACAGTCGAACAGAACAAAATGCGGGATCTCGGAGGGAGCTCCACGATCACTTGCAGGATCAGGTGCCCCCTTTTCTGAGGTGCATGCAACATCCGCAGAGAACCACCGGGTTGCGGACCGGAGCACGCCCCTAATCGACAGCCCGAACGAGTACCTGGGACCAACGAGCTTTACCTCGGTCTTTGTGGAGCATGGTGATTGTTTTGAGTTGGTGGATACGAACAGAACTTCAGAAATAAGACGAGACTCGGCTCCAGACCCCCAAGTTGACACACCACTTGTGCAGCTCGGCGCCCGTATTCTGAGCCAGATACCGGAGGAGCACGACTGCTCCACACTCTTCTCGAGCCACATCAACCCCAATGATGGCTGGGTCCGACTGGCAGGGCGTCACTCATTGGACAGAATGTGGGACGCTTTCCGTCCGGCGCTACGACGACGGTCGGAAGAAGACATGCTGGAAACTGCTACAATTCTCACGCGGAATAGCAAAACCCCGCTACAAAGGAAACAGGATCCGCAGGCCTGGCTGACCTCCTTTACAGGGACACAGATGCGATGGGAAACTATTGGCATCCTGTATACCTATTGGGCTTGCGGAGCAATCTCCTCGTCGTCGGAGAGTCAAGCTGTCGCCCGGTATTGTCAGGGACATTCATCTGTCACGAACACCAAACAATTGATGGCTCGTTTTAAACACTGTGCGTTGTTATGCATCGATCTATGCAAACAGCTTGGCTCCGTCAATCTTCTCTTCGTGTATCTGTTGTACAAGCATAATATCCTGGAGGGAATCTTGAGCGGGGACAAGAGTAGGTCATATTACTGACCAAATATGCCTCTGGTCTAACCGAACGAAGGTTTCTCCCACTGGACACAGCACGGCGAGCTAGTTGCCGTAACCACTTCACTCGGACTTCATCGCGAACATTCAACAGAGACAGAAACTATTAGTCTCCAACACGAACTCAAGAGGAGGCTGTATGCCGCTGTTTTCAACATTGACAAGGTCATTTCGACCTTCACTGGGCGACCGCCTCTTTTGAGTCAAGCATATTCATCTACCAAACTGCCACTAGATCTGAGTGATGATACCTTGCTATCTGACAATTTCCCATCTGCCGCTGCGCAGCTAGACCCCAACGGATGGAACACAGACAACCAGATCTACTCTACTACAATTCTCCGATCCCGCACAAGCTTCGCCCGGATCCGCCATGAAATCTTGGAGCTTTTGGAAGGTTCGATGGATAATCTGGCTGATGGATCGGTCGATAAAGCCATGTGTGTTACTCCAACCCACGCACATACTTTCTAACAATAGTACCAGGAAACTAAAGCAACGAACCCATAATACATACACGCAACTTCCATCGATAATTCAATTCGAGAAGTCCGAGCTCGGCAAGACCAACGTTCCCGGATATGTCCTCTACGCACAGATACTCACGCGTCTCGAATTTCTTCTGAATTTATTCTTGTTGGAACGGCTGTTGAAGCGACACCACATCGTCACCGAGCAAGACCTCGTCGAAGTGAGTCATGAAATGCTGGACTTGACGTTGATCTTCTGGAAGAAGAAAGACCGGTTTGTTGGTCTATACGCTGACTTCGAGTGGCTGGTACGTATTGCGGATCCCCTGTGTCTGTGTGCGAATGTTGATTATCTCTCTAATACAACTATAAGACCATGTCATACGCTGTTCCAGCCAGCGGCATCCTCTGTCTGCAGCTGCTGCGACAAGCCACCAATCCGCATAGCTATCAGACACGCCTTCCACGATCGGCAATCATTCAGAATCTTAGTCTGCTGGTACTGTGTCTGGACTGGATTGAGACGGAGGCTTCTTGCAGGAGCATGGTATCTTTCATCCGAGGGATCCTGGGTCGATCTATGGACCGGATATTGGATCCTGAACCACCAGGGGCTGAGCAGCTACAATCTGTCGGGTCGTTTCCAAATGATGGGCTTCTGCAATACCCGCATTTAGAGCTTCTGAACACGTTTGACTGGGTTGACTGGGATGGAGGTGTTGGCGGTTGAAGCTTCAGGGGAAATAATCAAGATAAACTATACCCAAGCGGATTACCTGCCCTAATGAGAAGAGCTGTAGAACGAGTCAGCTTGTCAGGCCAACAATCTAACAAGCGCCAGTTTATAGTCAATGTCCCGACTAAAAACAGGAACACAGATCGACAGAATATTATTGGGCCAGGTTTCTAGGCCTAGGCAGAGGCTTCACGAAGGGAGACGACAATGAAGTGAGAAGCTTCACCTTCTTATTATCACGCGATTGTGATAATGTACTAAGGAGTCGGTGTAAGTCGTTTTAAGGCCCATGCCTCCTTCACCCCACCATTCATTCTTCATAGTTTTGCAGATTCAAACACTACTACTGGGCCCGATATATCTGCCGTCAGTAGCATTCATTATCTAAAAGGGTTCCGTGAAGTTTTCTAGCTAGGCTATTCCTACAGTTTCTATCATTTCGAGCAGGAGTCCATTCCATTCCTAGGGTCTCTGCAAGTCTGCCTGCGGTTCGACTGACTTCAATCATCTATCCACTTCGAATCTATTCTACGCAAGCTCTTTCAAGCCCTGAATGCTCTTACAATAGTGACATTATTGATAGATATACTGAGACTCCGTATTTATGGAAACCACTCCTACGTTTCATTTCTTTCTCTCTTTGATTCCTATTTTATCTCGTTGTGCTAATTTCATCACCGCGAATACTCTGACCACCATAGCAATGTGTCTAGCATGCTGAATTTCGGCTCCTACTGTGCTCTGAGACAATCGCTAGCTCGCCAGGTGAATCTGAAGACACGGCTTACTACCACCTGCGTCTGTCTACAAAAGACTTTGATCATCAATCAACCTGTATCGTACATTCAGCCGCACCAGCTCATTTGAATCACTCTCAAGCAGTTGAGATTTTGAGCACTGGCCATCAGACTCAGAAACCTCACTTTATGCTCAAATTCTACAGCTGAAGGTCAGACATAGCATCTCGATCAGTGTTCTTGCATATAAGCCAGTACTGAGGAGAAACAAGACTCAAGGCTCAGGAATACTCGAAGTTGTCGAATAGATGAAGTTTACATAACCAGGCTGAAGTCACCTGTCCCATCATTCAAAGCGCAAGTATCCCTCACACTAATTTTACACTTAGTCAGAGGTGATATAGACGTGAGGGATATATAATTTGACTTTCATCGTCGAACTTTTTCTCTTCTTACTTACCTACATTTATATCTACCTCGTGGTCCAAAGCTTCCTTCTTCCTACACCTGAAGCATTCTGTTCCCTCTCCTTCTTTTCTGCTACACCTTCTCAGCAACTACTACTATCCACCATACAATACTTCCTACCAACGAACAAGCAACTACTTGACATCCAATCACACACAATAATATACGACCAGCTCTCCCATTAACCAAACCTCAAGACAGCCGAAATCATCCCTAAAACAAACCTATTCTTCACACTCAAAGAACCATCAAAATGTGCGTCATCTTAGATATAGCTTTCTCCTGCGGCTGCAAGAAAGAAATGGACTTCGTCCAGTGCAAACAACGCCAGGGAACGAATGTCAGATGCTGCCCAGCCAAGAAAGGTCTTGGAAAAACTTCACCTAATTACTGCCGGCGCCATCTGGTACCTCCCGGCGCTCCCAAAACCTGTGTTAAGAGCAAGGAACCGCGAATCATCGATGAAATTATGGCTACAGACTGATGGGAGATAATGTATGTTTATAGCTTTTTATATGACTACTAAGATATAGGCTGACTTCTAGTGTGCTTCAGGCATAATTATCTACTGGAATTTGGTTGAACCGTTGGAATGAAGTTGGGAATGTTTTTTGGGCTCTCAGGCTATGGAAATCGCAATGCCCTTGGTTTATTTTGGGCTCCGGAAGTGCTTATATGGACTTTGATTTGCTGGTTGTGATTTCATACCAACCAAGCATCGCGCATGATGAACTACAAGGAAAGTATAAAGAAGGGCAGCAGTTACTTTACCATCACCTGCATAATAAGTCAGACATCGGTTAAGTGGTGGGAATTCAATGCACTTTAGATACGCGTCTAGTTGAATTGGACCACATGCACTACAACCATCTTCTCTCTACGCTTCTTTCATCCTCAGCTTCCTCCTTCCCTTTCCCACTGAGGATGAAGTACCCAGTAGATGAAACAGCCCAGCTCACTTATCAGGAAAAGTAGTTACCACAATTTGTATTACTATTATCACGAATGAAACGACATAACCACATCCCTTTCCTTAAAATACCCCCTCCGTCGAACAAACTCCGAAATTCTAGCGACACTTGTCCCATTCTTCCGCAATTTCCACACTTCTTGCGCCTTCGGACACTCTCTGAAATGCCCTATGAAACCCTCATGCGAATACACCCGATCACGTATACCAAGACCATCAGGCCCCAAACGCGATTCCTCCGTAAGAGCCTCCTCCAGAGAAACCTGACACCCACTGCAGGATACTCCGTCCTCGACGCGCCCACTGACCCGATCAAGATACGGTAAAGCAGTTGTGACCATGAAAGGCAGATTGGCATACGATCTGGCAGCAGTCCAAACCGCCTCTTCATCACTACTAGGCTTGGACCCAACTATGCGGATAAGGTCGTCCATAGTCACTAGTTGTTTCCTTCCCTTTATGGATACCTCTTGCATTGAGTAGATCCCCGGGATGGTTCGGAGAACTGGGAGTAAACTAGCTAGGCCAGATGACTTTGCCTTAGACTTTGATGAAATGTACCACTTCGCGTCAGTGTAAGGTACGAGCCGGGGCAGGCGTCCCTTTGGGAGACATGAAAAGCAGCAGCGGAGGAGAGTCGGGAGGAAGAGGAAGCCTCCAAATGAGCTGCTGCAGAGTGTACAGTCGCGGGTACAGAGCGCGGTGAAAAGCTCGGCGAGGGTGAATCGGTTGGCTACTTTGGTTCTAAGAAGAACACACAGCGCGTCGAGGGCATGTGTTGTCGTCTCTCGGTAGAAGCGACTGGTGCTGACGTATTGTTGAGCATGGCGGCTGACTTGGCGGAATCGGAATAGCGATTCGATGTCGAGATAGAGGCAGACTTCATGTATGAGTTCCAGGTGTAGGAGCTCAAGCTTGCCTAGGCCGGTGGATGTGGAGAGTGACTCGAGGGGTTGGCTTATAGAGCTTCGGACGTGTTCGTGGTCGTGGGGGTTTATGCGAATGACTGCTAGGTCGAAGTCGCGTCGGTGATAGGAAGCGAGCTCAATGATCTCATTTTCTGGAATGTCTTCAAAATGAGAAGGGCGGGTTTGCTCTTTTTCGAGTTTCATATTGATCCTCTCCGTTCGGGAGATGTAGCAGATGCTGGATCTAGGAGAGGGGAGGGGAGGAAGAAGGTGAGGAGAATATAAGAGCAGAGAAGATAGCCGTACTGCACGTGGTCCAGCTCAGTTAGATGCCTTGAGAAAGTGCATTGAATTATCAATCAATCGATGTTTGACTTGTCCTGAAGATGATGTAGTAGTGAATGAGCTGAGCTGTATGCTTTGACTCAACCGGATACGGGTGCTCCTGCCGCAGGTGAGCACATACAATTCTGTCCAATACATATCCATATTGTCATACCTGGTCGATCCCGCTAACTCTGCTGCTATCTACGCCTTGATTCACCGTTTAAAGCAAGAATATGTCCCTGAACACCGCCAAGTCTCTCAGACCTCGCAGTAAACACATGAATGAACATGAGCTGTGGCGTAGGAAAGTCATTGCCGTAGCTAAACACAGCAAAACACAACGAAAGCGCAGCTATGCAAACAAAATGTAGAAATATAAATGTGTGTCGCAGCTAGACATCCAGCTGCCTGCGAGTCCATCCTATCTCCGTCCCTCGTCCTATAATCGCTTTGCAGTGTTCCTTTTGATAACTATGCGTAACATTCCCCACTCACCCAAACGGGGCGTATTCTGGTCCTCTACCCAGCGCGTCCAGTGTCTATCCTCATGGTCCTACTAAGATTTACAAAAATAGAAGAAAAAAACAAAAACATACAACAGAAGGGATTCGCTGGTGGTCACCCACCCAACTACTGACCTCCCGGCGTGTGGCTTTAAAATGGCTAATACCCTGGTGGGCGCTGCTTGGGTGAGCTCAAGGTATGAGCTGCTTTACTGTCGCGCGACCGGGGTGAGCTTAGGGAAAGTATAATAAGAGTAAGGATGAGCATGCTCACTCAACTCATATCGACAAATATAATTAATAAAACTTAATATTCACAGTAGAGTGACTAACAGCCAGGTCAGGTCAGGTTAATAGTCAGGTTAAGAGTAGAGTGATTATATCTGACTGTTATATCTCAACTGTACCCTAACTGTAACCTAGCAGTCAGAATCAATAATTTGAATAACGATATATGTCTTTCTGATTAGCAGCTAAATCTAAGTATGATTATATATGTACTTTTAGTATCATTTATAGGAATTTAATAAAAATCTATTATACTGCCTAGACTCTCCAGTTAGAGAATATAGAAAATTCTAATGACTAATCTATTATGTATCATCTAGTTCTCATCTAGCTAATCAGCCACGGCAACAACAGACACAGAACCCCTTAGATAGGCACGAAGTTGAGAAGCCGGTGATGTGGAATTAGTTATCCATGCAGTGCCTATGGAACGCCGAGAGAACATCCCCTCAAACGCCTTCCGAACGGCCTCCTCATGACCAGAAACTTTCGGAAATATTCAGAGGTATAGTAACAACTATACCGAACTCATCTACTCCCATACACTTCACATACTCGATCTCTTCTAGTATCCTCGCGCATAAGTTTATATAGTGCCTCGGGTGTTGCATGGGAAAACTTTTGGATGGGGTTAGGAATATGCTCACGATGTCTCGATAAAGCAAACCCCTTGCGCAGCAGACGAACAGCCGTTTCAGCTGCCTGCATCTTTATTACCTCATCATTCATTTGGCCTTCTACTGAGGCAATTTCCGAGGAGTCAGCCAGAGCAGAACACCGCAGTGTCCCGGGATGCTCCTTGTCAACACAGATCTGATAAGAAACTTTGCGTCCTGGAAGGATGGCCTGTAGTGTGTCTTTTGGATGGTCTGTAGTGATTTGATGGGAGATGAAATGCTCCAAAAGCGGCACGATTCCGAGTTTCTCTGCCAGGGCATCGCAGGATGCTAGGGTTGCTTGAGAATCGATAAAGACAGCACCAAAAATGCTCTGAATGATATCAGACAACACTCGCATGTCCCCAAGTGCGCTCAGCCGCACCCACGGGTAAAATCGCTGCTCCCATAGTTCATGCTTGATGGCATCCACCTTCTCAGATGACTTCTGAACAAAGTCTGATAATTCGGCGGATAACGCATCGCTATGCAAGCGAAGAAAATCCCAGAGTCTAATTGAGCATGTCGTCACGTTTCTATGAACCTTGTGTTCATCATCAACCTCTATATGATTTTGCTTCCTTACTTGGTTGAATGTTATCGCTATAAAGGTCAGAAATGTGTTGTTGGTGAACGCGGACTTCAAGGACTGCATCCTTTTTGGATTCATCACTTGTGCATGTCGATGTAGATAGCTTACGACGATCCATTCTAGCACGCTGGCTCCGAGAAATGAGAGACGCCGATAAGATGTTGTTTGAACAAGACCAGTGCAAGATGGATGTGTCATGCTTTCCACAGCCAGGGATTTGTCGGTGAAAGTGTATCCAAGGAGTTCTTCCATATCGACTATTGCTGTTGAAGCAACTGCATTTTCCGGTCTAGTCTTGGAATAAGTACCATCATGCAGAGACGATGCATTCCAGGACTTGAGTTTGGGAAACATAACTGATGCGCATGCAGCAGCTTGATTCAGTCCACCATCTATGAAGGCAGCCCCGACAACTGCTTTCGTCATATCTGCCAGCGTAGCCGCACCGATGGATCGCTGCCTAGCTTCATTACTGGCGGGTTCTATCCCCGACACAAGCGGTGGCACCCATCGTTTCCCATTGAGATGTTTGCTTATGAGAAATTTTCCAAGGCCAGATTGTTGTATAGCATGTGCAAGACCCGCATCAGACAGATTCTTCTGCTTCAACGAGGACAGGAGACCTTCATGCCACAAATGATGGTGCAAAAACAGTTGCATTGCGAAGAGGTACTTCATGAATGCATCACCAATGAAGGCTAATGAGCGGAAGGTGGCTCGATGCTCAATACTTGTAGGCCTGATAGCAATAGCCAATAGATCAATTCGTTTCCAAGGCGTCACTGATCGTAGAGATAATTCCTGTCGCAAAATTTGCGCTATCATATGTACCTCCACCTCGTGGGATATGCTTGGTGTAAAGAGGGCGACCTGGGCAAACATGAAAGGTAGCTTATCAACAAAAAAAATCTCGCACAGACATGCTTTTCACATTAGCTTCAAGACCTATCCTGGGCTCAGAATTTGTTGATTTCCCAGCAGCTAGATTTCCATGAGAGAGAAAGTTCCGGCGATTGGTCATGTATTTGACTTTGGCATCGAATGACGAAATGGACAACTCATCAGATAAGAAGCACTCTCCTGCTACCCAGGGCTCTACCAAAAGTGGTCGACTGGGTCTCGTATGACTGCGAAGCAATCCAAGCGCACTCGGCGTAGCTTCCTGATTCAGAAGCTCAGTCAGGCTGACTGATCCAGAATACCTCTCGAGGAACTCTATCAACTTCGTTTCTTCCAATCCTGGGACAAGAAGAAACGCATAGTCTAGATTTTTGCGAGAACAATGGTCTCGGTAAACCGACTGGAAGATCAGGTTTGTCACTTGCTGGCAAAGTGAAACGTCTGTAGTGATTGGATGCCCCGGCGTGAGAATGACAGTATAGGTTGTGCAATAATCAATGAAAAGAGGAATGTGAATTGTTGTGTCAAGCTGAGTTGGAAGAATCATATGTAGATGGATTTCGTCCTCTTCTGGTCTTATGATTCGTAGGTTGTGAGCATACAGCTGACTGTCAAGTTTCCATGAAAGAGCAATATCCTGCCAAGGATCCAGCTGGTTCTGAATGCTGTAGTGGGACCGGAATATGATATCCCCTTCCAAATGGTCTGAGACCTGAGTGGGAACTAAGTAATCGTTGACAAGGCCAGCCTGGTAAAGCGCTTTATATGCTTGTAATGCTGCGTCCTCCCTTGCATACTTGAGTCTGGACCAACTTCTTGAGCTAGAAAATGACTGAAGGGAAGGGTCGAGGTTGCTTGGCAACTTAACTACCGCCCTGAATCGGCCGTAGTTATTGCGCTCATAAGTGAATAGGGGCTTGTTGCTGACATACGGCTGGGCAGGTAGCTTTGAACAAAAGTTATACAAATAGCCGACCGCTTCCCGCATTATCAGCCGAGCTCTAACAAAGTTAGCATTTCTAAAAAAGGAGAGACAATGCAGCCGCACTTACCCGGTCCTGTCAATGTCAAGGGAGAACGAAATCCTCTCGTACTTATCGAAGTCCAGCTCATTAGCTGGTATTTGCCTTCGCTCAGCATTTTGCAACTTTTGAACTAGCTCTATTTCCTCCATCTCGAGTCGTTTCAAGTACCTTGGGCCGCTCTCATCTTCCATAATGATAATAAACTGGGAATTCTCCCTTCGTGCACGTCCCCGTCGCTGAATGAAGGATTTCAAGGATAGCTGGCAGTTGAAGTTCAGCACTGTATTGCATGCTGGTACATCAATGCCTTCTTCCAGAGCATCGGTTGTTATGATTAGGTTTAGAGAGCCTTGCCGGAACTTTTCTAGCGTTTCTGTCTGATTTCGGATGTCATGGAGATTTCCGAGCTCTGTTTTGCTGTACTGTGTCGTTGACATACCAATGAATGTTCCACAAGTAAATAGGCGGCTCGTAAGTGGATGGTTCTCTATCAGCCATTTCAATGCAAGTACAGTTGCTCGCTGCCTGACGAACACCAGACCGCAGAACCCTTCTCTGTATGCCTTTGAAAGCTCATCCAATAGACACTGACACATTGGTGAGATTTCTTCTGGTTGCATTGCCGCGCTACAGTCCTGCAATTTACCCAATCTAGTAAGAATTTCCATTGCGAAGTCTTTCCCATGATTGGAGATATTTGTCTTTTCAGCGCTCATTCGCATGCTTTCTTTGAAATGCATGATCGATTTTCGCATGTACTCTGTCGCGGCCCAAATACCAAGCTCCTGATTAATGCTTTCCGAAGATTGTATGAAGCGTCTAATATGTTTTAGCTGCTTGCTCCTCATCTTCGATGAACTTGGTACTTCATCTTCAGAGGACAAAATACCACATAACTTTTCTAGTATTGGTGCCTTGACAGAGCAGTCCGGAATCGTATAAGAAGGTAGGCGCGGCAGAATAAGTGGCCGGTTTGTGAATTGGAGGAGTTGCGCGTAGTATTGGCGAGGAGTCTTGCATATACTGCCCAGGTTGCTTTCCACGTTCCTTGGTGGTTATAAATTAGAATTCGGATATGATAAGCATGATAATGGCGGCCAATAACATACTCCAAAGATGACAAGTCGGATAAGATAGGAGAAGCAGTAAGACCAAGTATCTTCGGTAGGTTCTGCACACCACTTTGGGGCTGATTATGGTAGTGGACCTGCATTATCTTGTTTGCAACGTGATCCTTTTTACAGTGGTGGGCTAAATACGATGTCAGTCATTGTTTGATACGTGAAATCTCTCTCAGTCTGACCTTCATCAAATATGAGTAAAGACATTTGGCTCAATTTAACAAAACCATGGGTTAGTGCGTCATATAGAACCTGATATGTTGAAACTGCAATCTTTATTCCCGACAAGGCATTATCCCATATTGCCTTGTCTTTCCAGTGTTCCACCTGATCTCTACTGGTGAACCCTCTGCACCACATGGAAGGAACACGGTTGCGTATTGTATGTGTATGCTGCTCAGATAAAGCAACGGTGGGACAAAGTAGCCATACGAACTAATACTTGTTAGCTACAGTCCCTCCACGGCAGGTGACAGTACATACCTTATCCGAGTCCCCTTTGTCTATATCCGCCAGAATTCGTAATATGGCTCTGTTGCTCCTATTAGCCATATGGTCAAAGACATAGTAAGATTCATCATACACTTGTGTTTTCCCAGTACCTGTTGGCATCTTTCTATATGTTAATATGTAATGCTTCTCTCTGGGGCCAGTGATCATACCACAACGATAACATTACGTTTCAAACTCTCGTTCAACATCTCCAATTGATACTCTCTGATTCTAAGTTCCATGTTACTTGTTGTCCCCGGTGTACTGTCTGCGTGGTAATCGGTAGATGAGGCCATTTTGGGGTGTGAGAGAAGATAACTATGCGTTAATTGTGAGTCGGCTAATAGAGATACCATGAGAGTATGTAGTAGCTCGCACCTATCCTTAAAGATAACTAATAGGTATCAATTATATCGATAGCTGCCGACGCTTATATATGAGGCTGATTGGCCCCTCAGGAAAGGTCACGCATCACTGCCCAACATACTATCATTATGAGGACGTGGACCAATTATGCCCAAACACAATGCTAACTGTGCTTTGATCGCGTAGTCCGGCAGAAGGCCGTATGGTAACTAATCTATCCCTCCGTAGGGGCTCAGAGAAGATACACGAATACGCCCACCTACAACGCTAATATGGCTAGTCTGTTTTCCAGTGCTGCACATCCATAGCTTCGGTTATGAAGACAACGGGACCCATTCCGCAAACATCAAGTCTGTGCGAGCCTAGTGATCAAATAGAGGTCTAAAGGCAACTGTCCTGAATGCTGACGTCCAAGAATGGAACGTGGAAGGGGAACCTAAACAGACTTCCTGGAAATGTTTGTATATCATTCCGGGGCGAATGGGCTTACAATAAGGAGGCAGGTCGGGGGCTTCGACCTTGGCAATAAATCGACTTATGGCTGCGCGTGATCACTCTCTACAATGTCGACGTATTCAAGTCTATGGTAATCAATTAATATTTGATTCGTTGGGTCCAGTATCATAATACGGAGGAAAGCTCCTCCGTGTTTACTTCTGTTCGTTATGGCAAATAAGTGTTTTTGACTTCTGGGACAAGCAGGGCGTTTCAATCCAAAATTGTCCTGCGCGGCCAGTATTCCGTAGAATAATAGCTGCTACCCGGGCAAAAACCCGCCCGAGCAGAAATTCTAGTCTGGGCAGTTCACCTCTCCGACATTTTGTCTCACTTATCTCTCTATTCCTAGAAGAGTCTATTTAGGTTGCTGATGACATGTAATCGATACAATAATAGACAAACTCATTTAAATAATTAGGCTGCGAAGGCAGCGACATCAGTCAAGCAAGCTCTGCCATCCTGAAAAATATTAAATGGTGCCTGAGTCACGTATTAAAGAGAGAATTTGTTTGTACTCAACAGGTGGGGTCCAAGTGGGGGCTCTAGAAAGCTATAGCCAATGGAAATGCTTCATTGCAGCGCAACTGATAACCCCGGCCATCCATTCCATACCATTCCCCTGACCACGATACTCCGCCGCCAACGCATCTCATCCCTCACAGCATTTACTCCCTACTTAGAGGCTGCACAGATTATTATGGTATAGCGTATGTGTTCGAGCACCTTACTATTTCTAAAGGATCAACATGCCTTGCGTCTTGTCTAAACCCAGTGATTGCTATGTTTTTTATGTTATAATGGCACCGTACAAGGTTCCGAGAGTTAGGTCTGATCAGAACTAGTTTGTCTATAATCTGCGAATATCTTTCGATGCTTACATGGAGAGGATATATTGAATGTGAGAAACTATCCTAGGTACTTCTCATAGCCCCATAGATCCGACGACCTCACTATCAACATGGCTGGAGCCCAAGCTGGTGGCAAACACCTTTAGCTGCGATGTGTTTCGCAAGCTTCTTAGTTTTACCCTCACCCGAAGCTTGCATACCCCTGTAAGAAATGGTGATCCGAAACTTGGGCGGATAACTGCTGAGGCAACTTTCTTCGACATTGGGCGTCACTCCGTGATTCGACCCATCCTCCCATAAACGAGACGTATACTTCCAGATTCCAGGCTCATCACTCGCGTTAGAGGAGCACTGAGTAGGCGTGGGACTGACATAACGCCCTGCCGTTTCCTCCAACACTGACTCTTTATAGGCAGTTGTCGATATTCCAGTGTCAGCTGAGCAAGTTGGGATTTGCACGTGGAGTTTTGTCAGCAGAGGAACAAAGTCTTCCCTGCTATCGGACAGTCTGACGAAACCGAGAATTTTGTATATGTAATCTTCACAACTCTCATCGTCAAATTTGTTCGTGCGGGGTAAATCTAGATTCAAGCTCTTTATGGCTACTAGCGCTGCTTCGAAATCATAAGCTTTCGAATCAATAAATCGGTCTGCCTCGACCTGGAACGTCCTCAGCTATCCATAATTTGGACTAATGATGCGAAGAGCAGAGTCTGCAAACATACCAATGAATCATCTGTTCTGCCATTAGGCGAGGTGTGAACTATCATTAAAGCCATATAAACATTGAACAGCCGCTTTCCAATTTCATAATCTGAAATACAAATCAGTAGCTATCACTTCACAGACTTTGGGCTATATCTACCAGTGTTGGTGTAGCAGTCCGGTTGCACAAGCCTGGGAGACATCGTGACAATAATGAAGCAGAAATATGAATCTGATATGGCGGATGTTACTTTGGGATAGGCAGGTTATGTTTTATTTTGAAATAGCTTTTGCTCTCATAGTTACACGATAGCTCTCTGGGTATTTATATACGTATACACTGTTCAAATCCTACTCTATACTTAAGTTGCCAAACACCCACGCGGCAATTTCTTGTTGATGAATGCATGTGATGTGCACTACCCTAGCAACATCGTAGGTTAGGTATACTTTTCATTCTCTTCGACTGTCATGGACACGTCACAGCTTTGGCCATGGCCCGAAGAGCCTGGGGTATTGCAAGGGAGCTTAACAGTCATGATTGGGCTGGATACATTGCTTTAAAACTTCTAGCCTTCGGTGGGGAAAATCTATCTCAAAATTACCAGGCATATGAGACGAAATACGAAGCATCGAGGCGTACAGCAGTGGTTAAGCAGAGGTAGCTCGGTTACTTGGCACAATGTCCGTGCCGTGATACGGAGTAGTCGTCCACAGCATGCATATCCTCGATAGAGCTGGCTAGTGGTTAGCCAACCTGCGGCAAGGCTATCTTGGCCGCAGTTTTAGCCAATAGAAAGGGATATCAAGATTATATATGGCTTCCGCTCGCTTCGCAACGCTCAGGCCTCCTGGTATTCCAGATGGGTAGAATTGGGCAGAAAGGTAGTGAGCCTTTCTCCCTTCGACAGATCTGTTAGGAAACGAGTGAACCTGCCGGTTAGGCTTAGCCGCCATGCTCCGGATTCTTCTCCCGGCTGGGTGCTGATGCCAACGCCATGCCGAGTGCTCACGGTCCATGCGGTAGCCAAGGTGTCGATTCATGCGGTATGAAATGTCGTGTTTCTAGTAGTTTGCGGTCGCAGTGCTCAGCCACGTCAAATCGTGCGCTCCATTGATGACCTGGATCCATCGTACATCAGTGCTGACTTTCTTTTGGTTTATTTTGTGGCGGCTGAGTTCACCGAGCTCAGCCTTCTGAGCGTAGTAGTGGGTGGTGGTAGATGCCAGCAATCTCATCTGCCTCGAGCATCCTCTAGCAGAATGCCACCTGGAGTGATGCGATTGCCAGCCGGTCTGACTGGATGTGGTAAGTACGAACGAATGATGTTTTTAGTTGAACCAGTGAGTGGCCTGTGGGTAACCAGCGTTTACTCGCAGCTGAGCAATTAGACTCATGCGGGTATTATCGCGCCGCCATCCTTCTTGACTAACGCTTTGCCTCATACGCCAGCCTCGCGCTCTCCTGTCCGTCAGCACAGCATTTTATGCATTGATATAGACTAATGCAAGACAATAGCACGGACCTTGTCGGTGCTGGAGCGACTGACGGTGGGCGAAATGAGCTATTAAGCTCTTTCGTCCGACGGGCTGTGTTCAAAACCCAATCGATAAGCTGTGAGTGATGCGAGTCAGTCTCAGAATACATAAGAACTTGATTACACTTCTAATACGTGCACCTCCGGCATTGTAACTTTGATTTTCATTGGTAGTTTCGGCACGCAGTCTTATGTCACAATACAGAATCCTATCACTTATCCTGAACCGTGCACTGGCAATCTATTCGACATGACTCATGCTAGGCTTGGTACAGGATTTCTCCATGCTGATCGTCCCGCGATAATGAAAGGGTTAGATACAGTGAGGTGACTCATGTATTCTTGCTGTATGTTACCCCGGTAAGGTTCAACCTCAGATCAGGTCGAAAAGCAAGGGTCCGCATAGTGTTACTCGTACGGGAAGGATTGACGTGGACAGGATTTTCTTTCTACCCTGTGAAGTGTCTGATTTTATAGCTTCCTCCACTGCGCAATAAACAAGTAGTCCAGAGTATTCCAAAGGATTGCCTCCGTTAAGGGTTTGCCACCGCTAAAGATAGCGAGAACCAGTCCTAGCAGCAAAACGAACCTTTTACGGCTGACAGGACAGTAATGCGGGCCGACGACATGTTGACAAGAAAATGGTGAAATATTGTAGTGAAACATCGTAGTCGCTCAACCCCGCTTTCAATTTCGATGTACAGGTGGAAACCCCTATAGGAATGCTTTCGAAAGCCTATGACTGTCAAGGAACTTTCCTTGGCAATGCGGCATCAAGTAAGGTGCAAGGCTGCCCAAGAAACAACATCACAGCAGACACCCAGACCAAGCTAAACATACTAAACACTGGACTATGCAAGTAGAAGTTGGTAATTATGAACTGTCTAGAAGCAATCCAACTCATATGTGCCAGGTGGTCTCTCTGCTCGTTGTCCCGCCTCCAAGGAAACAATCCAATGCAAGGCTGAACTATTAGGCAGAGCCTCAAACACTTTTCCATGAAATATATTTATATCTATCTTCTTTCACCCCCTCTCCGGCGTATCTCATCTATGTCATCTATCACCTCCTTTATTTTGATCAGCACAGATCTTTTTATTTATTTAGAAAGAAAAGAAAGGCCGCTTATCTATTTCAGTTGGGGAAATGGATCACGGTCCTCCAGGCGACCCTTTCATATCCCCGCCGATACCCCGGCTTCGGCTTCTATACGAGCCTCTTTCCCTACTTCAGACCCTGGGAACTGTTCGCGGTCGGCGTATCAGAGCCGGTGACATACCGCAGGATAATCCTGGTTTCAACGCCATAAAGAGTCATAGGTCTTTTGTGGATGCACTTGCCTACGCTTGCGCATACAAGAAGGATACTGCCTATGTGACCGCGGTCGCGTTGGAAAAGAGACCAGAAGAAATAGTGGTTTGGCTAGCAGCGAACAAGAATGTGGAGGAAACCGTTGTCAGCTTTGCTCAAGATGTCTTGAGAATTGTACAATGGCTGGCAAGAAACCCATCGGCTCAACTGAGCACCGAAGATGGCCAAGCAGCCCTGAGATTTTTGACGGACATAGTCTTGCGCTTTAATTCACCCAAAATCCACACTTATTATGAGCAAATTGTGAGGAAAGCTGCGCCTCCAGTAATAGCAAAGCTTTCTAATGGGCAACATGAAGGTATGTCAGGCTTGTGGTATATGTCGAGTATACGTGTCTGACATGAAATTAATGCCTAGGTAACCCTGATGTTGCCAATCTCAAACAGTGGCTGTCCCAGCACCTGCAAAGGGACGGTGTACAACTCCAAGAAGTGGATATGGCGAACTTGGCCGTCATAAGTCACAACTCGCGAGACACCTTCGAAGTCCTCCGGAACCTAGCCATGGAATCACATGAGCCTCACACATTCGAGCGGCTCTTTAAGTTGCTCGGCAAACTCGGGAAGCATGTGATTATGAGCAAACGAATAGTCGAAGGCGCAATATTTTTACGTTCAGATTTTGCAAGAGGGATGAGACTCGAGACGATTCCTGCGTCTCGAGAGCGTCCCCTTCCCTTTTCGCCCCGCAAGTACAATATCGATGGCATTAGCAACCGGATGTTCTCTAGTAATTCAGGAGAGAAGCAGAGGTTTCTTGCCCGTCTGCGGACAATTTGGGATACAAATGAATGGGACAAGAACTTGGCTAAGGAGCACCTCGCGGGTAAAAGCATTGTGCATGCTGAGATATTGGTACTCGATCATTTTGAGAAGACCGGTGGGGATTTTCTGAATAATTCGGACAAGTATATCGGGTGCAGCAAGCCTGCCTGTTATCTTTGCTATCAGTATATCTGCAATCATCCAGGCCGTTATATTCGCCCTTCATCTCACCAGAAACTTTATATGAAGTGGCGCCTTCCCGACATCAGCGAGACAGAACCGAACGCTCTCACCCGTCTCAAGAACCAAGAGCAGATTCTCAATAATCTGATAGGTCTAGTACGACGGGAATTGAAGAATGACATCGAAACTGGCGTGGGCAAGATGAAGGGATGCCCTGACTCAACGGCAGGAGGAACTTCGACCATGTTTGAACTCGAGACAGGGCTAGAGGCCGACATGGGTTCTCTATCTTTCCAAGAGCTCCGACACCAAATTGACCCCGACTTCCAATACGTCGTTATTCCCGACCCAGTCAGCAGTTCTAGTAGTGCCTCTAGCATTCACTCGCGTTCTAGCGCGGATACTGCTGTGTCTGAAGGGGATGAAGTTGAATACGATAGCGACGGGGGAGTGGTTGTCTAGAGATAATCACCTCAATCACGTCTGGGCACTTGGATTCGCTTACGTTGGGATTTCATATAGCGCGTGTGTGGTTTGGTAGCGGGTGGAGTCCCACTTGCGCTAGATATCGTTCATGGAAAATTCGGGGTGGAGTGAATAGGGTAAATATGGGAAACAAGGTAAGTGAAGGTGCATGGATAAATAACAACGGCGAAGAAAGAATAACTACGAGAGGAAGGATCTGCCGGCGGTCACCCAATCCGAACTACTAATCTGTTGGTGTGACTTGAAGCGCGGCTAATTTCTAGATAGATGCTGATTCTGTGAGCTGATGATGAGTACTGCTTCACCATAATGTAACTAGAGTGGCCTAGGATAATTATATGATTTTCAATAAGTAAACTTTGACTGCAATAAGACTAAAATTAATATAGTAGATATGCCTCGGCACTCAGAAAAGTAAAGTCATAGTAGACTACTATTCTTCTAGCTTTTTAGCCATATTACGGTAGTACGGTTTCCTTGATCTGACTATTAACTTGATAGAAGGTTTAAACTAATTGCTGCTAACCTGGCTGTTAGTCCCCTACTGCTTACCCATGCGCCAACCACTAAGTTATCTACTACTTATTCATCTCTCTTATCTGTATGTTTGAATTCTATCACCTAAAGCCCCTGTACTCAATCTACAATTCGAAATTGTTCAATTATAAAGTAACAATCTGTGAAAGACTTATGTTCTAGTCTATAATGGAGAAAGCATATGCAGGAAGATGACCCGAATCGACAAACTCGGCACAGAAGGTTGACAGATGATACGTATTCGTTGTCTGGTTCAGGTTCTTCAAGGTCAGGATCGAGTTCGAGCTGATTGAATTGTCTGAGCAGGCCGGTTTGAAGTATAATCACAGACGTAGCCCGCGCATAGATTGCAGGGGGTAGTGGTTCAAGGGAGATCGACCATACGATGCCTGGAATATCTCGTACGGCTTCCAGACTGGAGTTCCACCGGAGGTAGGTTGCATTCAACATAGGAAGGGTCACGTCGTGCGTTGCAACTACACTTAGCTGTCTGTTTGATTGTCGTCAGCACTAAAATGTTGGGTGAAGGAAGTTACTCTTACCGTTTCCCGCTCTGTGAAAACGACCCTTGCTCAATGGCCACCTCATGCATGGGTGCCGCGCGCATGGTGCTGAACAACTGTGGAATGTCGAAAAGCGCTTTGTACACGGCTGGGGGCGGTGTTATTCCATCGTCCCCTGGTTCCTCCAGCTCCCCCGTATACACGACACTGTTCACGACGGCGGCCCCCTGGCCTCCGGCGAACCCAAAACTGGTGATCAACGAAGCATAGTCATCGTAGCTGCTCTCCTTTGGATCAGCCAGCTCGGCGAAGGCACGTAACTGGGCGTCAACAGTCTCAGTGCTGTGGTAGATGGACCCTCCATATATAGGACCCTGCGGGAAAATTCGCAGATTGAAGCCTGTGACAACGCCAAAGTTGGCGCCGCCCCCGCGTAGCGCTGCCAGCCAATCTGAGTGTTGGTCCTCATCCAAATATACGATTGTCCCGTTGGCTAAGACCACCTCTGCACCGACCAAGTTGTCACACGTCCACCCGTAGCGCGGTGAGAAGTAGGAGATGCCGCCTCCGAGCGTCAGTCCGCCAACCCCGACCTGTGCAGCGCGACCTCCTGCTACCGAGAGACCCAACGGATCGAGCAGGGCATAGACCTCTCCCCAGGTAACGCCTGCTCCAACAAAGACTGTGTGTTGCGCCTCTTTGTTCTGCGCACTCTCATCCTTATCATTCTCGATTGGGGCTTCCTGCACCTGGATGGTGTTGAGAGCGCGCAGATCGATGGTGACGCCATTGTGGATATTGGATGCGCCTCCAAAGGAATTGTGGCCGCCGGATCGGATGGCAAACTGGCAGCCGGCTTTCTCGTAATCAGGTACTCCTGACGAGATTGCTAATATACTGGTGATGACGTTGGACACTTCATCGGCTGAGTCCGGGAACACCACGCATGAGGGCTGAAGCGCGCTGTTCTGTTGTGCAAAGTACGACCCCTGAGACGCTTCATAAGCAGGTGTGTCGGGGAACGAAACTTTGTCCTGCCCTAGGATTGTGGCCAGGGCGAGGCACTGCACATATAATAGAGTCAGTTTATCTTGCTCTGCAGAAGACTGGGAAACGCACGTACACAGGCTCCCGGGAAATCGCAAGCCGTAGTAGCATTGCTGCCAACGAGCGGAATCTGCTCCATAATAGGGCTCTAATACGGGAGGACAGCTCTGTGTATCAAACGGCGGTCGAAAAGAAAAGACGGGGAGGGGACAGACTATGGAAGGTGGCGCCGCAGGACTTAAATAGCCGGGTTGAGTGTCGTGCGCGGTGGTAATAAGCCTAGAAACTTAGCGGCACTCACCCCTGCCAGTGACAAGGATTATATCTCTCAATGGTGACTGGAGATTTCCGGCCTTTCAGCCTTGCCTCGTTATTTTCCTCATTTTTCCCGGATCATGTTCTATCCAAATCGCGTCATAAATGCTGTGGTATTTATTACCACCGGGATTTCCTAATTGTTTCTTTCCTATATCTGACAGAGCTGAGTTGTATTATCAAGACAGCAAAGGGGCTACTTCATATCCCATAGCAACTCATCGATCGCTTCAAGTTTTCTTTGAGTGGACCATCGGCTCTCTACTGTACCTGCCAGGGCAGCGATGATTGTTCAAAACCCAGTTGCCCCATATCACCCCTTTATCAGATTCAACAGTGACATGCTTGGTAATCAAAACTTGCAAATTGCACAGAAGACAACAGATACTCATGGTAGATTCGAAGAGACTCCTGGTATATTTTACGAGGATTCCCAAGGATACTGAAAAAGTTGGGAGGCCATCAACTTGGCAGTCGATTGGTCCTTCTGGCACGCGGCTTAAGACGACAATGCATGAGACGACATATATTTTGATTCCATAGCAAGCGAGTCATTGTCAAGCCGATTATCATAGGAAATGGGGAATGAGTTGTTATTGCAGTGGGTCTGCCCCGCTGGTAGCGCCCCCTTTGATTGGTTGTGAAAAGCTTGTCTTTAGTTGGTGCCTGATCTTCCGCCTTGTGTAGCCTGGCTGCCTGGATGCTGCTTTTGCTCTCGCAGTCAGCTGCGATGTGCCTTAGAATCATGCAATGCTTCAAGAATTGATAAGCAAAGCATGCTAGAAAGGTATGAATAATTACTCAGTAGCATGAATCACCTGCTTCACCTCTAAATCTCGAAGCTGATGTACATCTGCGGTATTTCCAGCATGATAATGGCTAGTTGTACCGTATGTTCAACCATGTGCCACAGAGCTCAGAGCCCTACTATGTGCACACCATGCTTTAGGCGGGATATGTGTAATCCTTCCCCAGCAAACCTCAGACACTACCTATTTGCATCTCGTTGTCACGTTGCAGTAATACCAACTGCCATAAGGCGGTAGTAAACTGCCCGTCCTAAGCAAGGCGGACAAGACACAGCCGCACCGCCCAACGCGGCAAGAGGGGGCGTCAGCCAACTGAGCGACTGCCATAATGGCCCCATGGAAGGATTGAATCTGCTGCTTCATATTGTATTCTGAAACGAACGAAACATAAAGCCCCCAAGCATCAACAGTCTTGACAGCGGCTATATGCCAAGCAGATGCATACCAAGAGTCTCCCATGTGAACTCCTGGCCCCAAACGGCAAACTTATCCACGAATTAATCTCCCTCGCCGCAAGCGGCCCCCACCAGGCCATCTATCCCAGGGAAATGAAACCCTCGTATTTATTAGCCCCCACCAGGAATCTCCCGAACCAGACATTGGCCTTCTTCAGTAACTTGTGCCCTGCGCAGTGGACACTGTTGCCCGCTGATCACTGGTTACAGTGGTTCTTAGCTACCGCGGTGATGGAGACATCATTTGTCTGGGCCAATCACGTCAGATCCATGTCAGACTGTCTTAGACTTTGGCTAGATCTACAGGGTCTGGGCTTTGCCTTGTGATGTGTGAAGAAGACAGTGTTGCTTAGGGGTGAAAGGACTTGTCACTGTGCTGAGAGTAATCCCGTCAATATTCACAGAACTTGCCATCAATACTTCGTAACAAATGCATCGATAGACTACTGCAAGGAAGACTTCAGTAGTACTTAACTGTGTAGGTTCGGTCACCATCAGGCAACCCAACCCAATCCACATTTAGCTAAAAATAGATTCTGCACCCGATCCGGTCAGCACTCTCAAGACAAGACTCCGCACCAGACTAGCCTGACCTGAATGAATGTGTTCACGGCCCCCATTTCTCATAACTGACTGGCTGCTTGGATTGACAGATCTGCAGCTTATCATACTCACTGATTTGATGTTGGTTGGATGTCCGGTCGATGCTACAACAGGATACAGCCGCAACGTGATTGCTGCTGTGTTACATGCGGATGTCACCGGCTGCCTGTGCTACTTACTTATCATTCGTTTTTTCTTAAGAAAAGGACTGGAGAATACTCTGATTCATTCATCACAAACATTCCAATTCCGTAGATATCTAGCAAATATCTTCACAACTAGTGAATACCAAGACTTCCATCCGGATAGTCATCAGCAGAAAAAGTAAAACCACACTATCCCCACTAGTCCAAACCTGCTTTCCAGCCCCCAAGCACAATCAGCCTGCACATCCAAACCGCCCATCATTCTTTAACTTGAAAAAGAGTACAACTGGCTTCTAGGGCAAACGCGGTGAACTCAGCAATCAACCTTGGACCCTAAATCAGAGCGGGAAGCCAATCGGCTGCCATCGCCCCATTTCTGGCGGAGAGAGTCTAGAGGGTCCATCTGTGGCGTCTGTAGGTCCATCTGACTGGCCTGCTACTTGTCCTTTCTTAGATTGCAGCTGGACGCCTTTTAAGACGGGCGTGGACCCTGCAGATTTCAGGTGTAACTCACCTAGTCACTCATTTATTCATTCGTTCTACCCTACTACACCAAACATTTGATATCGTTTTTCACGCTAATTTCCTACTCTCTGTTTCCACTATCTATATTCATTCATTCAACGACTACCTACTCAGCTATCCCGCGATGTATCATTAGATATTTACCACAATCACGACCACACCACAACCACAATCAAACTACAACATAATGTCCACCATGCTAACCCGACCCACCGCCATCCTCATCTTCTCCCTCGTCTTCCTTAACCTCTACCTCTTCCACCGACTCATCCGCCAACCCGTCGTGCCACTCTCACCCACCATCGTCCCAACCCCAAGCCCAGCGGCAGCAGAGATACAAGAAATACACCTACCAGCCCAAATAACCACCACTACCGAAGACCCAACAACCCTATTCCCAACCACCACTCTCGCAACAATCACCACCCACACCACCACCACAACAACAACAACAACAACCACCCACCCACACGACACCCACACCCATACCACCCACCTCCACCCCCAACCAACAACCCACTCCATCCCACACAAACTCTGGCAAAAAACCGGCTCCAAAGGCCTCTCCCCGCAAGCCGAATCCTGGATCTCCACCTGGACAACCCTAAACCCACACCTCCGCCACGAAGTCCTCACCGATTCATCCGGCCTCGCCTACGTGGAAACGAACTTCCGCCCCATCTGGCCCGAAATCGCCGACCTGTACACATCCCTCAGCGTGCCCATCCTCCGCGCCGACCTCCTTCGACTCCTCATCCTCTACATCGACGGCGGCATCTGGTCCGACCTCGATGTATCATGTGAAGTGCCCATCTCGCAATGGCCTATTCCCCCAGCAGCCAACGTGGTCGTGGGGATAGAGTTCGACGGATGGCAGTTCGCGTCGTGGACGGTGCTGTCCACACCGGGCAATAACCATATCTATCATGCGATTGAGTATGTGGCTGGAAGACTGGAAGCTTTGGCGCAGGCGAACAATGTCACCGTTGGGGAGGTGACTATGGAGATGATTCCGGATGTGGTGGATGTGACGGGGCCGCAGGCTATTACTATGGCGTTTTTGGAGACGATTAGTGAGAGTGTTGGGAGACGGGTGGGTAAGGATGAGGTCGAGGGGTTGGGAGAGGGGGGAGTGTTGCTTGGGGATGTGTTGGTTTTGCCGCAGGCGAGCTTTGCGGCGTTGCAGGGCGGGATGCCCACGGGGCAGGGGGAGTATTTGGTGAGTCATCATTATGCGGGGAGTTGGAAGAATGAGGTGGGTGGGGAGGAGGGGGTAAAAGAGGGGGAAGAGGAGGATGGGGATGGGGATGAGGAGGTTGTAATTGTTGTGGAGGGAGAGGATGGGGATGGAGATGGGGATGCGGGGAAGGGTGAGGGGAGTGAGTGATAGGGTTATTACTAGGAGTTGGGGATGATGTATATATTGTATGTATGTTTCACTTTTTGTATATAGTTAGGGTACGCTATGCTATGCTGTGCATGATAACTTTCACGGTGTGTTGGACTGGTAGATGACTTCTCGTTGTATGCTCCTTACTATTCTGCATAACTAGGGCAAATGCTCGCCGTCACACGTGGCACTCCTTACTGTCAACTGCTTCTGCAGTGTCAGCTGTTTGTCAAACAATCATGCAGTATGTTCATAGCAATATAGCAGAACCTAATGTAAACATCATAAGCTGTACAATAGGTATAACAGCCAGCTCAACTCGACAGCTTACTGGACCGCTATTGCTAGTCGCACCCGGAGGTATCGTCGATGATGCGTCAGTCTCCGTGATGACCTTGTCTCTAATGAGAGGGAATTCATCCTGATACAAGAGCAAGGATGAAGATATGGTAGTCCCTATCGTGACATAATTCGTAACTAGGGCTATGATGTCGCCTGCAGATACGGAAGCGGCGCAGGCGTGTGTCCAGTAGTTGCAGAGAGTGTGGCCTTTACTCTCGAATCAGGACTATACCGAGCAGGTGATTACTTGCAATTTCACTCACCTTGGATAGTACCCCATTACGACTTCCCATCTAAAGTCTCCCCGCCCAGCCATCCGCCAACGTTCAGCTTATGCCAAATGCTTGGACAATAATACCCCGCGCTATCTACACATCACCATATATCAGCAAATGCTCTCTTGATCAGCCCCAATAGATTGGTATACATACAATAATACGAAACCCAAAACCGATTCCACGTATAACACATCTACGGAATCCTCCCGTAGGATAACAATCCATCTCCCCTGACCACCAATGTCCGAAGTAAACAGCTCCCGCCGCCGCGTCCGCCCCATCACCGGCGGTATTCATAATCGCAGACTGGCGACATATCCCTGATAGTGGTGATCTCCCCGTAGAAGGACCTCTGTTGTACGCACCCGAGTACCCGGGTATAGCTGTCAACGATTTCGGGGGCTGACATTGCGTGTTTCCACGTGATTGAGGATAGAGGAAAATTTTCTGGTGGAGGATCCAGGGCAGTTGTTGCGAACGGGATTTTGTATAAAGGGGATTGTCGGTTTAGTGTGATCCTTTGGTCTTGGCTGATGATTGGTGTGCTTGTGTATAGATTATATTTGATGTGTGCTGAGGGAACATTCCAACACATGTTAAGCCAATAGATCTATATGAATGGGATACTACGGCTATGGTAGGATATCTTTCGGTGATGATCGTGCTTGCTGTAGTTCCGGGACGAGCTGTATGTAGTAATGTCAGTGTCAAAACTGTCAATGTGCTGACCAAGAACAGTGCAGGAAGACAAGTCTATGACTGTCCGTCAACATCAGGATCGCGGACAGTGTGCGAGGCAGAAATGGGAATTGGGAAGGGACTTTGGAGCCCTTTCTGTGCAATATTCATGAAATGTCATAGATGGTAGAAAGGTTGCCTGAAAAGTGATTGCTGCCTGAGGTGTTAACGTCCCAATGGGGCAAGTCAATGGGATATGAGGACAATTCCATAAAGGCATGATCATTCAGACACAACAGATACACAAAATGGTAGGTTTGTATGGATAGACATCACTATCTAAAGCCTTGAACCGGCATATAACAGCACTAAATCAATAGTGGTTCTAAATGATATTATCACCATTGTAAGTCTGCCAAATTAGCTATGACACATACTATAAACATGTCCAGGTGTTTGTCACCCCGTAATAGTGCTGCAGTGGTTCGAGCATGACGGGTCCAATCAATAACGTCTGCAGGTGCTCGGAGACTTGCACCCAATATCCGGACGATATAGAACCTAAAGCTCTCAGGTCAGATCATATGTTCCGATGAAGATGCCAAGTATATTCCGTAGGCAGCCGAGGCAATGGACGTACTAACTAGACCGATCACAGGCAACGGAAATTCGGTCTGCAAAGCCGAAGCTAAACCTTCTTGCATGACTGATTGCAGTACGAATACGACTACAGAAGTGACCCGTTGTAGCGACGCTTAGCATCGGAACTCTTACCATCGACTCAACCACTCTTTCATGGAATGCTGATAACAAGCAACATCACCGATCACAATGCTCCATTCAGGTCTATAGGTATAATGAAAGGAGGAACGTCATTAGTTACAAGGGTAATTCCCGGTCCGGCCCCGTCCCCACAATGTCTGGTACATTCCACGTCGGGGCCGCGACTATTCACCGGGTATGCAAAACGCCACAGAGATATCAAATGGGGTGAAAAACAACACAATCAAAAAATTAGAGAAGAAAAACGGTACATCTCGACCATCGTTGGTATGTCACAAGGATAGATGAATTAGAAATCGTCATATGCCACTCCCATCTGTACAACTCCGGAGCCAACACCAGTCAAGGAAATAGAAGTGCAAAGAAAGAGCCTGATCTGCGCTGGATCCAGGGAAACCAATGACAAAACCAGTCCCATAAACAAGAATCCGGGACGGTGAGAGACGAGACTGAGAATGATGGATATGCTGTCATACCAAGACGCCGTCAGATGTCGGCTTCGGCCTGCCACGCGGTTTCTCACGGTCAAGGCCGGGGCCAGCAAGCAATAACGAATGAACAATTCACCCTGGCATGGTTGGATTGTGCCTGATTAATATGGGTCTTTCCCCAAAGCAAGCTTTTGATCGGGGCTGCGTGTTGTCCGAGTCAAACCTCGGTGGCCCAGTCGTGTGCGATTCTCATGTCAACGCCCTGAAGGAAAGGCGGCCAGATAGGCGACATGCTAACTCGTGTAAAAAAGCGCGAGCCTTCTCAACGGGCAAAGAATAAAAAATCTCTATCGAACTGTCCAACAGTGGTCAAGTCATAGCGATGCGTTCCTCCTCCGGGTATCGAATGTCAGCCCTTCAGCTGATAATCTGCCGGGCGCCTTCTTTACCCAGCACGCCGGGCTCCTGGGGCTTCGGGCTCCTATCGCGCCCCTTCTTCCTGCTGAGGAAAGCGAGCATGCCGCTATTGGAGCCCTTCCCCTTGACTGACCCGGTATCGTAGCCTTCGGCAGGCAGTGTAGAGCTATGATCCGCAAGCTCGCTCCAGCTACCTGCTTCTTCCAACACCATCTGTACCCCTCCACCCTTACTTTGTTTCCGGGTCGCGCCCCGCGGCCGCACGGCAGTAGGTGGCAAAGGACGGTGGAAAGGCGGGGCCGGCGGCGGGGGTGGAGGAGGTAGCGACGCTTGCGAGGTGGGGGTTTCGCTGAGAGGGGACGGGGTGTCAGGCTGAGTCAAGTGACTGACAGAGCCATCGTTTCGGAGGGGAGGCGAATTTCTGGAGAGGTCTGGCTGTGAGACTTGTCGGGAATGCGACGACTGCGTTTGGTGGATCGGCAGGCATTCTTCCGGATTTCTAGCCAGGGTCAGCAAAGGCCGCAAGACAAGGTAGGCATGGAGAACTTACGTTGATGCGGCAATCGCATCCGCAGCGTTGCTGATGTTGGTTAGCACGGCATCCCCATCTCCGTTTGCTTGGAGATCAACGTACCCAACGTAGTTCACCTTGGTATAATCGAAGGGCTCAAACATCGTCTCAATCAGACGGTGCAGTTCGTCCTCGCGGATCTCCTTGGCCGTCGCATCCTCCCGCAACTCGGCTCTCGGTTTTTGCCGGCGAGCTCTGGCCTCGAGCGGCGCCTCCTCCAAGAGTAGTTCCTCCAAGTCATATGTGGCGTCAAAGTTGGTCTTGTCGCTGGACGGACGGAACACGGGCGGGATTTCCTTCGACTCCAGAGCGACAAAGTCGATGTCGGCAAAGAACATATGCGATGTGAAGCTCTCAAAGCTGATCGCGCCAATTCGCTTCGACCGATCTCTTTCCATAAACGCCGACATTGCTCGGAGGCAGGGAACGGAGACCGCGGGGTTGGTGACGTAGTACTTCGGTTGCGCCTTTTTGATGTTTTCGCTGAGGACGTCCTGGCTCCGACCTTCGAATGGGCGCTACAAGAGTCAGCAAAAGTCTTGACTGGACTAACAGATCGAAGCGACATACCTTGTTGTAGATACATTCGTAAAATGTAACTCCAAGTGACCACCAATCAACTTCGCAGTAGTATCCGCCGCCTTCGTATACTTCCGGAGCAAGGTACGCCAGTGTTCCGGATTTACTAGTGAGAGGTTTTCCGGGTCGAAAGTCGGAGGCGACGTTCTGTCACACGGAGGTCAGCTTCACGAACCGGAACGCATGCGACCGGCGGACTTACAAAATCGGCCAAATGAACATGCCCCTCCGAGTCAAGCAGGATATTGTCTGGCTTGACGTCACGATGGATGATTCCCTGCGAGTGAATGTACCTCAGAGCGCAACCCAGCTCAGCAATCCAGAATCTCACAGCCTCCTCCGTGAAACATTTCCGCGAGATATGGAACCGGAGGTCACCGCCATTCATCAAATCCACCACAATGTAACTTCTCAAATTATCAGTGACTGCGGATGGACGATAGGGGTGTCGTGTTGGGAAAGCTATTGCAGGACGCACATATATTCAATGTCTTGGAAGCTGTATCTCAAGTTGCAAAGAAAGGCATGGTTGAGGTGCTCGAGCATCCGCCGTTCTCGGATGATATTTCGTACGCTTTCCGACCGGACGACTACCAGGGAAACGAGCAACTCATGTCAGCGTGTATTGAGGTATTCCTTCGGCAGCAACATACCTTCTTCTTTCCGAATGTATTTCAGCGCGAACGTCAATCCGGTGTCTTTCTTCTCCACGATACGAACCTTGCCGAAAGCACCTTTTCCAACCACCCGCAGCAGACGAAACTGATTCAAGTTCACTGCGCCAAAGTCAGCCCCTCCGCAGCCAATTGTTCTCAGACACACTCAATACGTACATTCATCGGTGGAGGCCACCTGTTTCCCTTGCGAATTTCCCATTTAGACAGTTGTGTAACCACAGACGCTGGAAATCTTTGTTTCGGTCACCAACAGCAACATCCCACTGAAACCACGATAATCTCTCGACGTTGGAAGAAGAATGCGAGGAGTGGAGTCGACAGGAATACCGCAGAGGCTTTTCGAGAGAGGAGTGGTGGTGGGATCGGGGGGGTGATGAGTAGGGGATGGGGGCGAATTGATTGAGGGAGGTCGTAGAAGAGAAGAATAGGAACTTTATAGGCGATGAAGATGAGGTATGGACACGCAGACCTAGACAGGATGAGACAGGTGTTAGTTAGGAGGAAATAATTGCGGAAAAGTGCAGAGGTCTATTGGGACGGGGGAACGTGGGCGGAGGGGCTCATTTTCCCGATTCGCAAAGGAGATAGATAGCAAGCAGGCTTTGGAGGAGTGAAACCTACCCCAATGAAGAGCGAAGATGGCAGGAAGTTAAAAAGGTAGAGAAAGTTTTGGGATAGAAGACGAGTAGGAAAAGTCCCGACGAGGACAACCAAACGGAGGCCTGGTCGGGGGGGAGCGAGAGAGAGAGAGAGAGCGCGAGAGCGTGAGAGGGAGAAGGGGGGCGGAAAAGAGCAAGGCGAATATGGGATGGAATTCCGAGTAGCAAACAGCAGCGGCAGCAAGAGCAGCAGCAGCAGCCAGCCAAAAGTAAGAGAGGAACGGGGGCAGCCCCTAAGACGGAGAAGATGATGAGTTAAGTTAGTTACTTTTCTGACCAGCAAGGCGGGCCGAAAGTAGTCGGTCGCCTGTACACTAAAAACTACCACGCAGAAGTTCCCTTACTGGCCCAGTTGGCGGTGCTGACGAAACGGACCAGATTGGGGCCCAGGGACTTTGCAAATTGATAGAGATGAGGTGTAATAATTTCTTTTTTTTTTCTCTTGTTCTCTTCTTTCCTTATTTCATGTAGCTTTTCTTCTTACCTTTGCTTTCTTTTTTTGGTTTGTCTTGTTTTGCTTCTTCACAAAATTAAGTTTCGTTCTGGAATCCAGCCAGAAGGAATACGACGATGCAGAGATCTCCAATGCAAACAGATACAGGGAGGGAAAAGGGGGAGGAAAATGGGTTGAAGAGAAGAGAAGAGGAAGACCAAGCGATAGATGGAGTCTAGGATGTTCCCAATACGAGGCAAGATGGCCCAGGTGACTGGATTAAACTATGGGGTTCACAGGAGGGGTTCTTGGGTCGGCACTGGGTAAGCGAAGACGAAAGTCTGGAGAAATCCAAGATGAAGCGATGGATGGAAAACCTTCGTGGCTAAAACCGGCTGCACGGTAAGACGCGGCGTATATTTACGAGCTCTGACCAGTTGAAATCGCTACAAAATAGATTTATCAAGTACTAATAGACGATATGTGGAAGAAAATATGAAACCAAAAAAAAAAAGAGAGAAAATGGTGGCGGTGAGAAATGGACTAAGGTGTACGGGATTTACCAAAGAAAAAAAAGTAAAATAAAATAAAATACCCTAGAAAAAAGAAAAGAAAGAAAAAAAAAATATTAAATGTTAAATATGGAGGAGAGAAAATCTGTCCCAGTGAAGATATTCCTGCACTTAGTTAATGGTTATGGAGTTGTCCTGATGGAGACGACGAAAAAGGGGATGGTGTAAACCCAGGAGAAGTGCCGCTTGGGCCCACGAGGGACAGGCGCGCCGGCAAGTGGGAGAGATAGCAAAAGGCGAATTGCGACTGGGAGACGGGTTGGATGGAGCAAGTCAAGAAGAAAAGACTGGGCCTGCGGTGGAGAGCAGCAGCATCACTAAGTAACTGGTCGTCGGTGACATCGCCAGAAGGGATGAGCTGCCGCCGAAGAGGTCTGGAAAACCTGCACCTGCAGGCAGGCAGATGGAGCGCAGTAAGGCAAGAGAAGGAAAATCATCAAAGAAATTCTCCCCTGATGCCGCAGCAATAGTTTTGCCAGCCTTGTTGGTCGTACTTTTTTTTTTTTTTCTATTTCTATTTTATTTTACCACATACCATACATACATACTACATATCCTAACTAAACCTGCACCAGGCAAGGAACATCCATCGAAGCACCTTGTTTTCTTCCCCACTGCTTGCCGACCGAGAGTTTGCTTTTACCTTAAATCCCCTGTGCGCCTCTTTGCTTCTTCCTTTGCGGTTCTTTGTCTCTTCTCCGCCTCTTCCAGAGTTTCTTCCCGTCAATACCATCTTTTGTCTTTCTGTCGTGTATTTGGTATTTCTTCCTCTCCCACCGCCATCCTCTCCGCCTCGTGCAACACCCCCCATCCAATCTGAATGGCCCCTACATTCCAACCGAGTGGCCCCCAGAACTACTTACTTACCTCCTCTGGCTTCTTCTGGCCTGGCCCATGTCAGACCTCCTTGGAACCCTTCGCTGAGGTTGGGCGTGGCTATAACTCGTGGCCGCCACGTTTTTGATTGACCTACCGCGCGACTCCGTTACCAATCATACCAGTGGGAATGCGCTGCCCAGCCTTGGTGCTGATGAAGTGGCGGTTGGGGCCAGAATCACCACCACACACTTCCTGCGCCATACAAATTGCCCATACGGGTTTCGCCGGGAGGGGTTCTATCTGGTCTGGACAGGCCTTAAGCCTCTCTGTCTTATCCTCTCAACACCCAGAATCAAATGTCCCCTATTATCACACGAACTACGAATAGCCCGCAGATCATCTGAGCTGGTTTTGACTCTCGCGCTAGTTGCATATTCATTCCGGTTCATCCTGGTCTGGCGTTTCAGGTCTCCGTGGCCTGGGCGCCTGCATCGACATGATCCCGGTCAGCGTAAAAGCAACCAGGGTGCTGCACTCTATCTGCTTGTGCCACGCAGCGCGCGCTGGCCAATCCTTCCCCCCATGTCTGCACTAAGGTTCTGCAGCAACTCTAACAACAGCCGCCGTCACCTCGTATCCATCCAGACGGCAACTTGATGCATCAAAAAGCTTTGCTTCCTCCCTCTCCAGGAGCAGAAGTCCAATATAATGGTCTTCAATTTGCTAATGCTTATTGATTAATCCCACCGCACGATCATCCACTTAGCGGGGCGGGTCCGACCCCCAAATTCTTTTTAGCCCAGAGATTTGGTGGATCCGGCCGCCCATCCCATCCAGCTTCGTCTCGCCAACGGTGCTGATCTTCTGGATCTAGACAATTTTGAGCTTAGACTTAGCTGCGTAGGCTCCCGACACCAAACTTAGCTTCCCCCTACTCCGTCTCGGCATGGTGCATCCTCGCCCGTAGTCCGCGTTAACGATGCCATGGTCAATTTCGGTCTGTTCAAAGCTACGACAGCTGCCGGATGTCTTCCCCGGTGCTATAGTTAGATTCGCTCTGGCCTAGCCGACAGGCTATTTTCACGTGAGCCGTCGTCGATACGGGGTGCATGGATGCAAAAATAGGAGCAAAAAGATATGACAAGAGTGGGACTCGAACCCACGCCTCTTTCGAGACTGCAATACATCCAGTTGAACTGGACAAGATATTTCACTTGAGTGCAGCGCCTTAGACCACTCGGCCATCTTGCCTTGATGACTAACTCAGGACTTTTGTGGTATATACTACAGGCAATTTACCCAAGGCAAATGGACCTGTCATATCTCGGAAGTCAGGATAATGTTGTTATCTCGACCTATCAGTTCAGTGAGATCTCTCAGTGTGATAGGTTTTTCTCCGCGATCAGCCTTACTGGGAAACGGCATCGTCTCTTCAGGGGAGAAGCACGAGGCGATTATTGTATCCGGGGCTGGAATGTCTGCCCGGGAACATGATGAGCAGTTCGCCCACTCGACATTGCATCTGCAACTGCACCAAACAGAACACCACTTAATACTTTGCCTATAATTAATTCTTCCGGAGAAGAGGAATAACTGATGGTTTCTTCTTCCTATATGCTTCATTCGTATGTACACGCACTGTGGCATGGGAGACATACTATGTTCTTCTATGGTAACCCACATATATTTAGGGTACCAGGTACATAGTATTAGTTGTTCAAAATGTACATAGTCATCCAACAACACATCAGAGGTTCGAGCGAGCTATGATAGAAAGATTCAACGAGGCAAACTAATAGGATTCATTCTATATTTCGTAATGCACTAAATTTCCCACAGAAATATATTACAACCCACCGTGACATAGGTACAAACATACATGTGCATCCACCCAACTCGACCTTATCTGCCCCTTCCTCAATATAATACAAATAATGCAAAACATAACACATCAACAGGCAAGATGGCCGAGTGGTCTAAGGCGCTGCACTCAAGTGAAACACCTTGTCTAGCAACAGCTGGATAGCATTGCAGTCTCGAAAGAGGCGTGGGTTCGAGTCCCACTCTTGTCATATCTTTTTTGATTTTCATCACCCTATCCCAATCTTCCTCCCCCGACCATCCCCGCAACCGGCCCCACCACATGCCTCTCTTGATCCCAAGTTTCGGAAAAACAAGGTACTGAAAAGGCAAGATGGCCGAGTGGTTTAAGGCGTCGCACTTAAGTCGTTGGACAACTGGTTTAGTTTACTAGCTGGGCTGGTCCTGTTTGGCGGAAATGCGATCTCGTAAGAGGCGCGGGTTCGAACCCCGTTCTTGCCATTTTCCTTTTTCTTTTTGTCTCTTGGATTTTTTTCTCTTTGAGGATCCGTTCATTTTCTATTCTGGGTAGAGAATACTACATATATAATTGCTGCTCACTTTCTGTTTCCTTTTATTATATCAAGCTAGGTTCATCACCATCAGGACCAACAATGAGATGTCAACAAGATAGGTACGTTATTGAACCCAGAAAACTATTGCCCGTACAACTGAGCTAGTAAATAAAAGATGGATATTCAGAAAGGAATGGATACGTTCGAAACAGTAGATAAGACTCATAAGGCTATATCTATCTCTCATCGTTACCGCTTGTTTCTGTCCCCTCCCCGGCTGGAGGTGGACCGTTCGGCTTTAGTTGGGGGTCGTGGGGGTGTCATGCAGGGATCGATCGGGGTTTAATGGATAGGGGTTATAGTGTCAAGTATTAATGATCTATCATATGCTATCTTGTTATATGTGGCCTTCGCTTCTTAATACTACTACTAAGTATTTATAGTTAGGTCTGTGAGGTGTGCTTGGTACTAGTAAATTTATAATATGGATTGTATTGGTGGGGTAGGGTGTCAATATATATAAGTTCGCTCCGCGGTTGTGAATGGCTTCGAGGACTGAGGATAGGAGGTTATATACCATTCACCAATGTAAATCGTATGAATTAGCATATACTACTCACGGTTTGTATGAGAAGACTGACATATAATAATTGAACCTTGTTTGATAACTTGGGTCAAGTTCAAAGTAAATGATCACCTGTAAGAACTTATGACTATACTATAGTCATTACTAACTTCCTACAACTGTAGATAACTTTACAAACCTATTAGCCATCTTGATAATACCCTCCTCATATACCGCCTCGAGGCCCTTTTTTGAAGTTGAATTACTTGAACCAGTACAACCAAGTAGTAGTAATGACCGTCCATTGCATTGCCAACAAAACAATTATTCACATGAAACCGAAGACTCAAACAACCAACTCCCCACTCATAACCTTCACCGCACTCCCCCTCAACTCCACCGTCTCGATCTTCTTCTCACCACCAGCACCACTCTTCGTACTAACAGCAACACTGATATCCGACCTCCTCCCCATCTCCACCCCCTGCACAATATCATAATCGACCTTCCCCTCACCAGCAGCAGTCAGCGTCAAATAACTAGCCAATCCACTCGCCGCACTCCCCGTCGCCGGATCCTCAATGTTTCTCAATAGCATCCTTGACCGGATGACCTTCTTTCCGGTCTGCTCATCATGCACACCCGGAACATAGAAGTACACCACAATAAGACCGCTCCCTTCCCACCCCTCATCAAGATACCCGCCCTGAGAGACAGATTTGCAAGGAATGTCTTCGCCGCTCACGGGAGCCTCCGTCGCAGCTAATGCCTCTAAACTGGGCAATTCAACCAGCACCTGGCTCATGCCTTTGACAATGGAGAAGACGGGGAAGCTAGCACTCTTCCCGTTGGAAAGGAACGGGGTCAGAGAGGGATGCAATCTCAGCAGCTCCGACAACGGGAACCGTGAAGAGTGGATGTGCACGTTGTGTGCGATTTTAGCGGCTACTACACCACCAGCTGATGGAGGCGACACACTGGAGATGGCGAAAGGACCAGCTTTAGTGAGCAGAGTCGTTACATCTTTTCTGTCGGACTCATTGGGTGAATGTTGCAAGAACCATGAGACTGCGCCGATAGTGGGGTGGCCCGCGAAAGGGAGTTCTTCATCTGTGGTGAAGATGTCGATTTTGCGGACAGAGGGGGTGGCGGGGTCAGTGGGGTGGATGAAGATGGTTTCGGAGAGGTTGAATTCCCGGGCGATGGTCTGTTTTTGGGATTGTGTGATGGTGTTGTCGGAGGGGAGGAAGACCACGCCCAGCGGGTTGCCGGAGTAGGGGGTGGTGGTGAAGACGTCGAGGGTGAGGAAGCGGAGGGATTGGGGCATTTTGATTGTTGTTTACAACTTATTAAGTAGTGGTTTTGATTGTATTGTGAAAGCTGGAAAAGAGATGGGATGCTGGATGGTCCGAAGTATAGATATAGCTGGTAGAGGGAAGGGTATGAGTCATGACGTGAAGGGATTGGATGCGATGGTGGGGAATCTCCACGCCCTTCGAATAGCACGCGGATATCCCAGGAACCACCCTCTCCAGCTCGGTTAGAAGTGATGGGCTCCACTATGCGCTGAGAAATGCTGGTTCCTGTGAGTGGACTTTTAATTGACAGATTCGATGCCAGAAACTTCTATCGGTGTGCGGCATGCTCTCCGCGGGTGGTTGCATGTGGAATACCAACCACGTCGGTTGATGGAGACCTTCAATCTACTGGTGTGATGCATGATTATGCTTGGAATGCAGCAGCAGCAGATTGCATCTCGCTGTATCTTCTATCGCGATCCCGATAGATCCGGTGTGGAGTAGCAACTTCAAACTGTCACTGTTGCTTCCATTAGGAATGCTGCAATGTGCCCCACGATATTGTAGATAGGCATCTCTCGATGCCCACCAAGCATTTAGACTCACGATTTACTTTTCAGCTCAAGGTAGAACTTCTGCAGTTTAGAGACCCTTGCTTTCCGCATGTTCAGGAATTCCGTCCGCAACCACGTGTCTCTTAGCCGATTGCCTCGTTCCAAGCAAGGGGAATGTCTGCATCGAAGGCACAGCGCTCAATCCCGGCATCATCGACTGACCCACTAGACGAGCTTATTTCAGTAGTTTGACAATACCGACTCTGCTGAAGGGGAATTAAAGCTGTACGAGTAGCCGATTCTCGAGATTGGATGCCTTCCTACCCCGACTCTTGCCTTCATCAGCACTGTGGGCATAGTGTTTAATCAGCAGAGTACCGTGGTATCACTTAGCGAAATCTGTAAGGGGTGAATCATTGCTTCTTTTGCGTCCGCAATTACTATAATCTAAGTGTACAACGTTAAGTCTAGCGCTTATATGGCCCAGAGAAAAAATATGTTGGTGGAAAAGTGATGCCGGAGTGACTCGCGACCTGCCATGCTTTTAAATTGATAAGTCAAAACATTTATGCGAAAAATATGAAAGCTTCGTATACTAGGTATCGCAGATATTTTATAAAGATCCAAGGGATGTCAAGTAAGACTTAGATGTAAATCTAGTTGCTTTCCCGTTCAGGTAGGCTAGAAACAGCTTGACTGTGTAAAAGCTTTCACAACATGTAGCCATGTTGGGTTGTCTAGGCAGCCTTTTATGTAACACGATGCCCAGATAGTTGGTTTCAGAATCACCAATTCTATAACGTTAGTCGCTCGATTGCCTGTTGTGAATGAGTCAGCAGCACAGCCCCATGCTACGATAGCGTAGATGACGAAGTATCGTTAGAGAGGCATAAAGACAGGATGTGCGAGGACACACCTCTTAGTAAGTATACGCGCATTAAAGGAGTAGGTTACTCTTGTTTCAAGACTAGGTTGGCCACGAATACACGTAAGGAGGCATGGGAGGAGATTGCATAAGTCCGCACGAGCCGAGCCACGACTGTTGTTGAACCTGAGTGGGACCGACACGTTGTTCTCTCACATCTCTGATGTCAATCGCGATATGATCGATAGAAGATTCTGGCCATTCACTGCGAATTCTGTTATCTCGGGCAACTCCACGTCAGATCCCGATCAAGTAGGCACTGGGAGCACAACCAAGAATGATGCAAGGGATGATATAACTAACTAGGTGCGGCTCGTATTCGTCGAAGGCTCAAGAAGACCCTCACCAAAGCAAAGCTAAGTTGACCAACAAGGCTTGGGAGTCTTGTCTAGTGCTTCGTTGCGACCCAAGCAAGCCATGGGGATCTACGCGGCTCCTGGTCCATCATCTTATTTACATATACGAGAAGGACTCTGTGGTCTGACGGCATGCAGTGGCTCAGTTGTATCAGGATGTGGTAGAGGATGACTCTACTTGCGGGCCAGAGAGGAATGTGTTTCGTCTGGGAGATAGCGAGATCTGGTTTGTGGCGAGAAAAGCCTGATCGGCATGGTGATACTTGAAGCAACCGCCAGTGTGTAAAATGGCTTGTCATGTTCTGCAGGCTACGCTGTTTGCTTAGCTCAGAATACGGCTCAGGGCGTTGATCCCGTCCAGGTTACGTCTGGCAAAGTTAGTTAGAGGATGGTTTTAGCCCCCAGATGGAAGGCGGGTGGGTCGCCGGGGAGAATCCTCCTGTAGCTCTGAACTGCTGGACACGGTGGAGGTATATCGAGGTATTGAGTGCTAAACAGAAGTAGAAGGTGGCAAGGTGCTGATCGTTCGATCTGACACGCTTCCCCCACTCAACATACTTGGATTCTGTCCCATCGCTGTTGCGGGTAGGGATCATCATGGCTCCACTTGGTTAGCAGGTGGAAAATAGCCACGGATTCTGGCATTCCTTCGTCGGAGATTGATATCCTCCGATGGCCTTGAATAGCTCCTGCTTAATCTATTATCGGCATTTGATTCCGGACGATGTCATCGTAGGCGCTAAGAATTGTCTGGAGTATTTTGAAGATGGCACTTAGATCAAGTGAATAGAAAGATGGCATCCGCCATCTCCATAAGAGATACTTGCTTAGGAGGGCAACCGACTACAGTACCCATCATTGTGGTAGTAGGAGTACCGATCGAGATCGCCCAACCACATGTGGTCACAACGCCACGACCAGCCGATTAGATCATGGCTTGGTAGAGGAACTAACAGTTTCACCTTCCTCTAACCGGGCTGGTAGGGCGACCATTCAGGCCGATCTTGTCTGTGCTTGGCCTTCCCACGCGAGGAACGTTGTTCTTAGAAGGATGAATGCTAAACGAAGGTGGGACTGGACCACGCCAGAAAGTGTTGGTTGAAGGGGGGAAAAAGAGGGGAAGAAGGAAGGGGGTGGGGATTGCCAGCCGAGCATAACCGAATCATATTTGTTGCGAGGAGAAGAACAAGTATATTGAGTTCGAATCTTACCACAACAGCAGGCAAAAAGGTTCAGAGTGTTTCAGCGGATGTGGGAGCAAGAAGCACCACGACCAGCAAAAGGCCGATTGACGCAGGATTGCGATGGGGGCCAGAATGAGTGCATATGCCCGGGTCGGCTTAGCATCCACCAGCCATGACCAGCGGGCTTGCTGACGTTCCAGTGCGGAGATCCCCAATCGTCAGTTCGTATTCTCTGGCTACTAGCAGAAAAGGAATCGGAAGGATCTAGCCTGCCTGGAGGGAATGCGTCGAATGCTGCAGGATACTACTGTCCACAACCCCTGTCGTATCCTTGCGTCTAGCGGGTGACCGGATCCAGCCTATTATTAACAGAGAGATACTTCTTCCACCGTCATCGCATCATTCCGACATCGAAGATTCAAGATTCAACATCACCGTCTATCTACAAGGAGTTACAATCAAAACAGTGAAGGAACCATAAATACAGACAGACAAAGAGAGAAAGAGAGAGAGAGAGAAAGAAATACAGCGACAGCTCGATTTTCGTGATGGAACAACGCAGTTCCCCCGCCAGATCGCTGCCCCCGCGAAAAACCACCACGACTCCCCAGCTCAGTTGCGAACTCTGCCGCAAGCGCAAGGTCAAGTGCGACAAGCTCACCCCCTGTACCAACTGTGCTGCATCGGGAACGGTCTGTGTCCCCATCTATCGCACACGACTACCCCGAGGCCGACATGCCACTCGTCCGCGTCGAGTGTCATCGCCTCCGCCTACATCAGCTCCCGGGGAGACCGATCGGATAATCCAGCCATCTGTCCCAGTCAATGAGGATCTCCAGGAACGAATATACCGACTGGAAGCTCTCATCCAGGGGATGAACTCCCACTCCCATACCCGAACACCATCCGCCACCTCGCGCGAACAGGTGAGGCTGCACTCTGACCTTTTCAGCCTCGCGGAATGCTGACCCCGACAATGATCATTAGTCCGTCCAATTATCCGACACTTCCACATTCCAAACTGCTCCCAATCCTAATACTTCCCCCATCCTCAATAGTTCTATTGTTTCCAAGCGTCTCATGTTGCAACGACCCGATCAGTTCTGGGCCGACTTGGTGGATGAAGTAGGTCTGCCAACATGGACCAAGGAAGGAAAGAATGCTGACGCGGACACATGCAGATTCACGGACTCCGCGAAGTGGTCGAATCATCTCTGGCTGGAGGACAAGAGGGCCCGATCCCTTCCTCCGACTCAGCCAAGTCCGAGCCGCCCAATGATGACGGAATCCAGGTTCTTGGCCTGGGAGCTAGCAATCCTTCTGCAGCCCTACGGTCCATGAGTCCGTTGCATAATCCGGTGGTCGGCCGTCAGCTCTGTGAAGTGTATCTCCAACAAGTCGATCCAGTGATTAAGATCCTCCATCGTCCGTCGCTGAACCGATGGATGGTTCAGGGGGAACCGTATCTATCGTATGCTGATGGTCACCCCTCGGTAGAGGCACTGGGTTCCGCCGTCTGCTACTCGGCTATTAGCAGCATGACGGACAACCAGTGCTCCGTAATGTTTCATGCCAACAAGGCAGATTTATTGGCCGAGGCTCGTGTAGCCTGTGAAACGGCAATTGGACGTGCGGGTCTGCTCACCACCCGTGATATTACCGTTTTGCAAGCGTTTGTTTTGTATCTGGTATGACTCGACACTGGTCCCAAGAAGAAAGACGATAAACTGACTCCTTGTAGGTAGCTAGGAGATCTGAAGACCGCACTCCGGCCGTGTGGACTCTGATCGCACTGGCTGTGCGAATCGGCAAAGGCCTCGGTCTTTATCTGGATCCCGAGACGGAGACCTTTTTCGATCAGCAGATACGGAGGCGCCTCTGGTTTACCATTTGCCTGATGGATTTGCAGGCCTCCTTCGGCCAGGCATCTGAGCCGCTGATTAGTGTCGACGAGTCTGCATCCACAGCTCTTCCCCAGCACATCAATGATTCGGACTTTGATCCGACCACGGCCGCCCACAGCGATCCAAACCGGGAGGGTCTGACAGACACGACCTTTGCCTTGGTCACCTACCATGCTCAGCGGACGGGCCGTCTTCTCAACTTTGTTCAACACGATCGCAAGGTCGACGGGGGGATTCCAACTCCCACATCCTCTACTTCCGGTACTTCTACATCCCGCTCTCGTACATGCGACCCCTGTTGGCCGCAGCAGCAGGCCCGGCACTTCGAACAAGAAGCACTGCGGCTCCTCCATTTCTGTGACCCTGGCACCTCTGCGTACGCCTGGTTCACCTGGCACGGCACGCAGAGCCTAATCGCGACAGTCCGACTGGCAGCCGCGCGACCGCTCCAATGGCACGGTCAGGCGCCGCCGCCTCGCCGCGAGGGCAACACCGAGCTGCTGCGTCTGTGTCTTCCCGTGCTGGAGAAAGCGCAACTCATGCACACCGACCCCCGTGCCGAGGGCTTCCGTTGGTATGTAACAATTCCCTGGTACGCGCTGGCGATGGCCCTCGCAGAGTGCTATGTGAGCAGCGACACTGCCCTGGTGCGGTACGCCTGGCCGCTGGTCGAGTCGTCGTACCTGCAGTACGAGGCAACGCTGGGGCAATCTCTCGGCGGCCCATTCGGACAACTCATGCGGCGCATGAAAGAGAAGCTGGCGGCGCCGGCCGCACTCCCACCAAGCAGTCTGCCGAGCACCAACTGGAGTCCAGCCACTCCCCCAACATTCCCGGGCGTGCCTCGGCCACAGAGTAGTCATGATGATCGACATGCGCCCGGTTGCTCTTGGCCGGTGCCCACCGGATCCACCCCGCCTGCGGATCTGGGGGTGCCATCCCTCCTGCCAGTATCCACCTGGGAGGCGCTCTCGCCACCGTCGTTAGACAACCCTTCGCTCTTCGGGGTGCCTCCGACGACGACGGCGGCGGTGGCGGACGGGATGGATCCGGGGGCGGATATAATGTGGGAGGAGTTGTTTTCGGGGATTCCGTTCAATGAGATAGCGGGGCCGGATACGTTCTTTTTCGATATGAACTGGGGGAGTTGATAGGATGATTTTCCTTTTCTTCTAATGACGATGGTATGATTGTAATAGAAGCGCGAGAATCTGAATCTAGGCACACTTGGCGATTCCTTTCGGACTGAATTGTTTCTGTTTAGTAGTCTTGAGCAGCGGGGTTAAAACCCGCAAAAGACGATTAAAAGCCGATGCCAGTGCTTAACTACGTATCATTCTCCTAGTAATAGACTGCTGATGATGCAGTAAGCAGACAACTGAATTCTGAAACAATACCAAAAGCTCTTCTAAGCCCACCCATACCAATCACCCCCCACCCCTCTCATACCCATGTAGTCTATCTACCCATCCACCAAGCCCTCATCCTTCCCACCAACCTCCACACTCTCCATCACTAACCAACCCCCAAGCAACCAACTAGTAAACACACTAAACCCCCCTAAGCATCAAGAATCGGCCTCTTGGCCCTAAAAACAAAAACACTCCCGACCACCCACGTCTCCACCTCCCAAAAGTTCTCCCTGAGGGCCCTCTCAAACTCATACGCATTATCCTCCTCATTATGAAACACCCCATGATTCAAACACCCTCTTCGGATAATCCTCGCAAACCAATTATCCTTCCTCACCCCCTTGCCCAGCACATTCGCTCCATGAACCACCCCGTCCTCCGTCATGTATTTCTTGAGATGCGTGAAGATCTTGCATTTGCTGGCCACGGGCACGGGCAGGCAGTGCAGGAGGTAGTACATTGATACGGAGTCGAATTTTTTGTCATTGTTGGTGAGGTAGGTTTCTGGGAAGGGCGAGGGTTGCAGGATGTCGGTGACGATGCCGTGTGTTTGGGTGGATGGGTGTTTGCAGCGTGCCAGGGAGACGTTGAGCGCGTGGGTCTCGTTGTCGACGATTGTGAGCTGGGTTGTTGAGGGGATCCGGGCTTGGTTGAGGTAGTAGCCGGTGCCGGCGCCAATGTCGAGGTGCTTTTTGCCCACGTTGGAGCGGAATAAGGGGATTAGGTAGGTGCTGATCCGGCAGCCCCAGGCGAGGGTGCTCACGATGCCGAGGACCCAGATGTCGTAGATGAAGAGGCGCCAGGGGGTGTAGATTTGTTCTTGGGGTTCGTCTTTGGGGGTGGGTTTGGGTGGGGTGGAGGTGGAGGTTGTGGTTGTGGTTAAGGTGACGGAGGACATTTTGATTGATTGATTGATTTGACTTATTGAAGTGATGAGTTACTATGCTTGTTGATTTGAGTGATTGTGTTGCGATGCTGGTTGAGTTGTTCGTGGCGGAGGGTCATTTTATAGACCCTTCTCGGAGAATATAGTGTCTTCAGTGTCAGATCGGATAGGACTTCGGAGAATGTCAGTCACTACTAGCATGCCACATGGACATGAAACAGATGCAGAAAAATGAATAAGGTTAGAATCCGACGCAAAACTAAACGGACATCTAAATTTACCTTCCGACCGGCTTTTGACTGATATCATCATCGGATTTCTACCGTGGGGGCCAAACACATCTAGTCAGACCATACACCAAGCGCAAACCAGTCCGTCCGGCAGAGATTAAGAACAATTGATAAAACAGAGAAAGCCATGAAGAATAGAACCGTCATAGAACAATACACTACCCATCTACTCTAAACATTGAGCCCATAATGACCCCTCCCATCCTCATCATCGGCGCCGGCCTCTCCGGCCTCACCGTCTCCCGCATCCTCACCAACGCCTCCATCCCCAACATCGTCTTTGAAGCCTCCACCCCTGACCGCAGCCAAGGCTACGCCATCAGCCTCCGTGAATGGGGCTACACCTCCCTCCTCACAGCCCTGGGTGACCTGCCCCTCCGCAGCCTCACCCGGGGCGTGGCTCCAGACCGCATCCTCGGCGGGACCGGCTGGATCGACCAAGCCCTCCGGGACAACCACACCGGCAACCTCCTAGTGGCTCCAGACCCCGAAGCCAAGCAATGCATTGTGCGGGCGAACCGCAATGCCCTCCGCACCTGGATCGCCGATAGCGGCGACGAGGAAGTGGACATCCGCTACGGCCACCGTCTGAGCAGCGTGCAGGGCTCAATGGGAAACGTGACGGCCACTTTCGAGAACGGCGCCAAGTACCAGGGCTCATTGGTCATCGCAGCAGATGGCGTGCATTCTAGCGTGCGGTCTCAGATCCTGCCCCATGTGAGTCCGGATATCGTTCCTGTGGTGGTGTATCATGGGGAATTGGAACTCCCTCGCAAGGAATTCGATAATCTTATCCGTCCGCACTCCGGACCGTCGAATATCCTAGCTGGTGTGGGCGATGGGTTCAATACCCCTATTACTGTTTGTAATATCACTCCTACACATGTGCATCTCGATTGGTCGTATTCGAGACCGAGTACGGAAAATAAGGAGAATAAGGATCCTCTCTATCGGCCGCATGTCTCTGCTGCTGAGGCCAAGCAGATTCCTCCGGCTTTGTTGGAGGAAATTGCCTCCCGGGATCTGGCGAGGCCGTGGTCCCAGCTGCTTAATGCCGAGGCGTTGCCGACTCATCGTGTCTTTAACTGGGTGAGTCGCTGTGTGTCGGTAACGAGGGAGGATGTGAATGCTGCGCAGAAGCAGGGGGTGGTGTTTATTGGGGACTCGTGGCATGCGATGCCAATTTTTGGGGGCGAAGGGGGTAATCATGCCCTGGTTGATGCGGTGGAGTTGGCGGAGGCATTGGCGGGTAAGGAAGGAGACTTGGATGCTGCCGTAACGGGATATTACGATCGCGCATGGAGACGCTGTCAGGAGGCTGTGAGACGGTCTAGGCAGAGGTTCTTCCAGTTGCATCGGCCTATGAGGGAGTGGATGGAGATTGCGGAGAAGAAAAAGATGATGGCTGCTATGAAGGGGGTGGAGGCTCATTGATTGTGTAGCTGTACTGGGGTAGGAGTTATGTGATTACTTCAATTGGTATTAGTTGATTAGTGATTCAATATGGAGAACTTTTTTGCAGCGAAAAGTCAAACCTGCCGCGTTTTGATCTCGACTTCAGATCTAGGTGCATGCCACATATTTATTCTCAGTTGAGTTCGCCATCCGGATTGAATCTGGAGGCCTTATTGCACTATACTACCGCTTGAGTGCAGCGACGGAAGAGTTATCTATACAGAGACCCTCAAAAAGCAACAATCATCAACCAAAGTAGAGCATTGACTTATGTATGCACTGAAGGACTGCTTTCAACACAACCGGTATAAAGAATGACAGCAAATAAACACAGAAAGTTTTACAAAGTATCTACAGCCTCACTGCAGTTGCAGCTGGCGGCCCAACCGCAAACCAGCGTCTCTGACTCGGCTCGCCCTCAAACCCAACCTTCCGATCCTCCGCTAATTTCCACAAAACCTGACTCAAGAACGGCGTCAAAGCCTGCTCAATATCATCCGGAATCCCTCCATACATAGAGTTGATAAGCTCCGGGAATGTCAGCGCACCCGCACGACGCCCACCCCCAGTTGCCGTCATCCTCGCCCGACTCCTCTCCAAGGCGGCCAGCACCTGCCGCATCCTTGACTCCTTATGCTGGATATATTCCTTCATCTTGGCAGGAAGATCCTCGATACGCGTCCCATGAGCTGGATACCCAAGTGCGCAGTTGAGGTCCGCCATGCGTGTTAGACTGGTCATATATGTGCCCAGATCTTCCACAACGGAATATCCGTGTCCCAGCACGTTGTCCCCGGTGAAGAGGGCATTTTCTTCCTCCAGCAGGAAGCACATGTGATCAAAGGCGTGGCCGGGGGTGAAGACAGCACGGATAGTTGCGCCCTCTACGTGGAACTTCTGTCCATCGTGGATGGCTTGTTGGCCGAGATCGGGGGTGTTTTTGTATACCCGCGAGGATAGTTCGGGGTTGTAGGTGATGAGGTCGGGGACTCCCCCGGTGTGGTCTCCGTGCCAGTGAGTGAGCAAGACATGGGAAATTTCTAGACCATTGGCTTCAAGTTGTTTCGTGAGGGCTTCGATCCAGCTTGCTTCACCCTGTTGGTTGTCAGTCTTTAGATGTTCATAGTAGGAAGGTAAAGGTGGACTACCTGGCCGGTGTCAATGAGAATTCGGAATTTGCCCGTCCCCACGAGGTAGGTGTTGGTCCCTTGCAGCTGCATGCGCCCGGGATTACCTCCGAGAATGCGCATCACCGTCTCGGTGACTTGCTCGACTTCGGGAAGACGAGGCAGGTTGGCTTCCTGGCCGGACAGGTATTCTTGCCAGAAAGATTGAGCGAAGGGGATACGGAAGGCCATGTTGAGATACCAGCTCGTAGCGACCATTCACTCATTAACTTAATTCTGGCTGCGGTTGAACTGGGCCCAGTTTATTGTTCTATACTATCTTCCATGCTTCTATTATGCTTCTGCAACCGGAGTTTAATCGGACACACGTGGAGGCCATGCAATCCGAGCAAATCTGACATCAGCCCCATTTTGTCCGTCCGATCCTGCCACTTTCCCTCATCATCCAATCCCACGAAGCCTACCGCTTATTTTAGAGTACCTGAAACAAAGTTTAAAATCCGACTTGAGTCTGCCGAGGTAATCTGCAATATTCGGATTCAAAACCCGAGCGAAGTCACTACGCCGTCCGAATATGGCCCCATCTGACATCGCGATGATGATGATGATGCTGATGCTGAATCAACTCAACTTCATCGTCCGAGACGGACATGGAGAATATTTACAAAATTCGGACGCAATTTAGAGTCACTTTGCTGAGACGACAAAGAGTATATAGAGGGCATCGAATCTCGCCGTTGCTGGGAATTCTCATCTCCATCCAATACAGCACAACACAGCACAGCAAAGCAATTACCTCTCTCTACATATAAACAAGCCCTTTTACTGAAAGCAAAACAACCAATAAATTACTAATTTAATCACTATGTCTGCCCCTACGAAGCTGGTCTTTTTCGGAAACGAATTCCCCAACGATGATCTCAAAGCCCTCTTCCGCGGTCTGCATCGACACGGCAAGGACCGGCGCTTCCGCCAGCTGGCAACCTTCTTGGAGGAGTCCACTCGTGTGCTTCAGAATGAAGTCGCCCAACTTCCCGAGCCGCTGAAAAAGCTGGTGCCTCACTTTGAAAACCTGATGCCCCTAACCGAGGTCGATTTCCGCCAGGGCCCTCTGGGAGCTGCTATGGAAAGCGCCCTCCTGACAATTCTGAAACTGGGAATGTTCATCGGCCACTACGAAGCCGAGGAGCGTGTCTGGGACCTCTCCGCGGACCGGACCACCTTGGCTGGTCTCAGTATTGGCCTGCTCGCTGCTGCTGGTGTCGCTCTGTCTACTCACTTGGCTGAGGTGGTCCAGAACGGCGCTGAGTGTGTGCGGGTCTCCTTCCGCTTGGGAGTCTACGTCCACGACATCTCCCGCAAGCTCGAAGCTCCCCAGGCAGACGGCAGCTTGCTCAGCTGGGCTCATGTTGTCACCGGTGAGACAGCATCCGACCTGCAGGAGGAACTGTCGCGATACAATACGGAGACGGGCACTCCCGAGCTGCTCAAGGTCTTCATCAGTGCCGCCGATAAGACCTCTGTGAGTGTCAGTGGCCCTCCCTCGCGCATCCGTGCGGCCTTCCGGGCCTCTCAGCGCCTGCGCTACTCCAAGTCTCTCGCCCTGCCCGTGTATGACGGCCTCTGCCATGCCGCCCATCTCTACGACGAGGAGACCATCCACCGTGTTCTTCATCCGGATGGATCTGTCATCCCTACTTCTCGACCGGTGCAACTGGCACTCCTCTCATCGCGCTCTGGCCAGCCCTTCGAGGCCACCACGGCCGCTGAGCTGTTCCGCGCCATCAGCACAGAACTGCTGACTGGCACCATCTTCTTGGACAATATTACGGCCGGTATCCTCGACCGCACTGAACGCTGTGCCGACGCCACACAGTGCCAGATCGAGACCTACCGCACTTCGCTGGTGTTCAAGGGTCTGCTGAAAGCCCTGGAGGCTTGCTTCCCCGATCGGACCATCAGCACTACCGATCTCATCCCCTGGGTGTTCCAGGACTACGGTGCGCGCCAGCCCAAGTCATACGCAGACTCGAAGCTGGCCATCGTCGGCATGGCCTGCCGCATGCCCGGAGGTGCCAATGATCTCGACCTCTTCTGGGAGCTGCTCGCACAGGGTCGCGACACACATACGACGGTGCCTGCGGATCGCTTCGACCTCGAAACACACTATGATCCGACCGGTGAGACAGAGAACGCCACACGCACGCCCTTTGGCAACTTCATTGACCAGCCGGGACTTTTCGATGCCGGATTCTTCAACATGTCTCCTCGCGAGGCCGAGCAGACCGATCCCATGCACCGCCTCGCCCTTGTCACAGCATACGAAGCCCTAGAAATGGCGGGTATCGTCTCTGGCCGCACGCCATCATCCAACCCTAAGCGCATTGCCACCTTCTACGGACAGGCCAGTGACGACTGGCGCGAGCTCAATGCCTCCCAGAATATCGGCACCTACGCCGTCCCTGGTGGCGAACGTGCCTTTGCCAACGGTCGCATTAACTACTTCTTCAAGTTTGGTGGCCCATCTTTCAACCTGGACACGGCTTGCTCCAGCGGTTTGGCTGCCGTCCAGGCGGCTTGCTCTGCTCTGTGGGCTGGCGAAGCCGACACTGTCCTGGCCGGTGGACTGAACATTATCACCGACCCCGACAACTACGCCGGTCTGGGCAACGGCCACTTCCTGTCGCGCACCGGCCAGTGCAAGGTTTGGGACCAGTCTGCTGACGGTTACTGCCGTGCAGATGGTGTGGGATCTGTGGTTATCAAGCGCCTTGAGGACGCGGAGGCTGACAATGACAACATCCTGGCTGTCGTGCTCTCTGCTGCCACCAACCACTCGGCGGAGGCCATCTCTATCACTCACCCCCATGCCGGCGCTCAGAAGGAGAACTACACCCAGGTGCTGCATCAAGCTGCCGTCAACCCACTGGACATAAGCTATGTCGAGCTGCACGGCACCGGCACCCAGGCCGGAGATGCCCAGGAGGCGGAGTCGGTCTTGGACATCTTTGCCCCACGAACCCATCGTCGTCGCGCCGATCAGCCCCTGCACTTGGGCGCGGTGAAAAGTAACATTGGTCATGGTGAGGCAGCTGCTGGTATTGCCTCCCTGCTCAAGGTGCTGCTCATGTACCAGAAGAACGAGATTCCTGCGCACATCGGCATTCCCACTGTTATCAACCCGGCTATCCCCACCGATCTTGAGCAGCGCCAGGTTTATTTGCCACGCACAAAGACTGCCTGGCCTCGGGCTGCAGGCCAGATCCGTCGCGCCATCGTGAACTCGTTTGGCGCGCACGGTGGTAATACTACCCTGGTGCTGGAAGACGCCCCTGAGAAGCAGGTGACGGTGGCCCGTGAGGAGCGCTCGACGCACCCTGTCGTCATCTCCGCCAAATCGAAGAAGTCCCTGGCCGCCAACGTGGAGACTCTCCTTGCCTACCTCGACGAGAACCCAGAGACTGACCTCGGCGACCTGTCCTACACGACTTGTGCCCGCCGCATGCACCACAGCTGGCGTCTGGCCACTGCCGTCAGCGACATTCCCGCCCTGCAGAAGTTCCTGCGCAACGCTGTGAGCAACGATGCCGTCTCCCAGACCCGGCCCATTCCCACCGAGGCTCCCCCTGTCGTGTTCACTTTCACCGGCCAGGGCGCCTACTACGCCGGGCTGGCACAGGGTCTCTTCCAGGCTCTGCCTTTCTTCCGCGCCGAGGTGCGCCAGCTGGACCACCTGTCCCAGCGCCTGGGATTCCCCTCAATCGTGCCGGTCATCCTTGGCGAGGTGGAAGAGGGCACTGCTACGGCCCTGGTCACGCAGCTTAGCATTGTGATCGTGGAGATTGCCCTGGCCAGGCTCTGGCTACTCCTCCTAGGCATTCCGGCTCCTCACGCCGTGATCGGCCACAGTCTCGGCGAATACGCCGCATTGGCTGTCGCTGGAGTGCTGTCCACGGCAGACGCCCTCTACCTGGTCGGCCACCGGGCTCAGCTCATCGAGGAACACTGCACCCCCGGCAGTCACGCCATGCTCTCGGTGCGCGCAACCATCGCTGACATCGAGCGTCTGGTGGGCACCGGCGCTGATGCACCAACTTACGAGCTGTCCTGCCAAAACACGCACCAGGACACCGTCATCGGCGGCTCAATCCAGGACCTCAATGCCATCCGGGAGAAGCTCGAGCCTGAAGGAATCAAGTGTGTCAACGTCGATGTCCCCTTTGCCTTCCACACCGCGCAGATGGACGCCGTCCGGGAACGCCTCGCCAGGGCCGTCGCCGCCGTGCCCTTCAAGACCCCCAGCGTCCCTGTTCTCTCGCCTCTGCTGGGCAGCGTCGTCTTCGACGGCAAGTCTATTAACCCAGAGTACATCGTGCGGGCAACTCGCGAGCCCGTCCAGTTTGCGACTGCCATCGACGCCGCCCAGGAACTCGGCATCGTCAGCAGCCAGACCCTCTGGGTTGACATCGGCCCCCACCCCATCTGCGCCAGTTTTGTGCGCAGTCTGGTGCCTGGCGCACGCATCGTCTCGTCCTGCCGCCGTAACGAGGACAACTTTGCAACCATGGCCAAGAGCCTCTGTACACTGCACCTGGCCGGCCGCACCCCCGCCTGGGCCGAGTACTTCCGTCCCGACGAGCAGGCTTACTCTCTCCTCCGGCTGCCCAAGTACCGCTGGAACGAGGTCAACTACTGGATCCAGTACCTGGGCACCTGGACCCTGGACAAGGCGCACCTCAAGAACGGCGGCAGCCAGAAGCGCACCATCACCGATGTACCATCTGTCTCATCCCTGCGCACCTCCCTCATCCACCAGGTCACGGAGGAGACCGTCGACAAGACCACCGCCACCCTCAAGGCCATCTCCGACATCCAGCACCCCGACTTCCTCGAAGCTGTGCACGGCCACACCATGAACAACTGCGGCGTCGCCACCTCCTCCATCTGGACCGACATGGCCATGACCGTCGGAGAGCACCTCTACCGTCGCCTGGTCCCTGGCACTGACCACGTCCTCATGGACCTCTGCGACTTTGAAGTCCAACACGCTCAAGTCGCCAACACCAACTCAAACACCCCGCAACCCCTCGCCCTCGAAGCCCACCTCGACCTCCCCACCCGCCACATGTCCCTCGCCTGGTACGACGTCAATGCCACGACCAACCAGCGCGCCGATGCCCCCTTCGCCACCGGCAGCATCAAGTACCCTGCCGATCCAACCGGCGCAGCCTGGTCTATCGAATGGTCCCGCATCACGCACCTCATTCAGGGCCGCATCGAAGCCCTACAGCACCTGGCCGCGGAGAACAAAGCCAGCACACTGTCCAAACCCCTCGCCTACGCTCTCTTCAAGAACGTCGTCGACTACGCCCCCCGCTACCGCGGCATGGACCGCGTTGTCATTCACGACCACGAGGCCTTCTCCGATATCACCCTTACCACCGACCGCCACGGAACCTGGCACACCCCGCCCCACTGGATCGACAGCGTCTCGCACCTGGCCGGCCTGGTCATGAACGGCAGCGATGCTTCCAACACCAGGGACTTCTTCTACGTCACCCCTGGCTGCGGCAGCTGCCGCATGACTGAGCCTTTGATTGCTGGAGGCAAGTACCGGAACTATGTCCGCATGTTCCCCATGCCGGACGAGGCGCACATGTATGCGGGCGACTTGTACATCCTCCGCGAGGACAAGATCATTGGTGTCGTCGAACAGCTTAAGTTCCGCAGAGTGCCCCGCTTGTTGATGGATCGCTTCTTCTCGCCGAATAAGAATGCCGCTGCGCATGCTGCTCCTGCTCCTGCTTCTGCTGCGGTTCCAGCCGTGAAGAAGCAACCCCCCACTGAAACCATCCAGCCCCAGGCCCCCAAGACAGAGCAGAAGCAAGACCAGCTACAACCTCCCAATGTCGCCTCCGCTGCACCCTCCACCGCCAGCAGCTCATCCTCTCCCTCCTCCAGCGGCGTCGCTACCCCCACTACTGAGCAAGAAGCCCCCGTCGCTGACGCCTCAGCGGTAACCGGCGTGGCCGGCAAATGTCTGGAACTGATTGCCAACGAGACAGGCCTGGGTGTGGCGGAATTGACTGCGGACGCGACATTCGTGCAGCTTGGTGTGGATTCGCTGATGTCTCTGGTGCTCTCGGAGAAGTTGAGGAGTGAGATGGGATTGGAGATTAAGAGTTCGTTGTTCTTGGAGTGTCCTACTGTGGGAGATTTGACAGGGTGGTTGGAGCAGTATTGCTGAAGGTTTGCTTTTGTTGATTTTGGCTTTTTACTTCTTGTATTTTTGGACCTTGTACCTAGAGGAGTAGAGAGGTAATTGCATTGCTGTGATCTATTATTACCTATTATTGTTGAGCAAAGAACGTAAAAACCTGGGTAGGATGGATGGTAGAATTGAGGAAGATTGGATAGGTTCGGGGTTAGGCATTCATAGTACTCCAAAGGAATCAATAGAGCACGAGATGGAGAAAGGAGACCTGGCATTAATTCATAAGGAGAGGGAACTGTCAAGCAGAAGCTTTTTGGCGTAAGTGGACAGTCCTGAGGTTCCTGATATATTTGGATGTGAGGTTGGTATATTGTCCGTAGTGTAGGACTGGAGGACTCGGTATTATATCTATTTTTAAAATTAATAGGGGCTCTTCTAGCGTATCTAGAGAGTAATATGTAATATTCCTCTCCCTTACTCAAATTTCACATTATAATTACACTCGTTGGTCATATTTGTACAGGTCCAAGCGACAGTAATCTCACAGCAACTACATCATCTAATGTGATCGACACATCACAGACTTTTCATCCAAACATGACATACGAGAGTCAAAAAGAGAGAGGAGAGATCTAATACAGAAACAAAACCCAACACAGTCTAACCAGGCACCAAACAGCAAGAAAAGGAACCATAACCCCATCCCCATCCACAAAAACAATAGAGAAATAACTCAGCCAGAAGCATACCTCGACATCCCCCTCAACTTCGCCCCCCAAAACCAAAACACCCAAGGCGCCGGCACTCCAATCCCAATACTCAAAAATCCAAGCAAACTATTCCCCCAGCCATACTGCAGCTTATCATACATATACGGCGCAAACAACGGGAAACTAAAGCCCGCCAGACTCCTCAACACGACCGCAGCAGCCAACCCACTCGCCGCAAACCGCGTATAACTATCGATCACGTACGTCTGCATACACTGCAGACAAACAATGCTCCCAATACTGAACAACACAATACCGATATTGGGCATAATCCAGTGGATATGAGCCTGCACACTCCATCCATACCAGAACAACCCGACAGGGATAAACAATGAGCCGACAAACATAGCCGGGATACGGAACTCGGGTAGTCCGGTGTTATTCCGCTTGGCCTTGAGCTGTTTGTAGATGCGGTCGCTGGCACGCGCGTTCACCTGCGCTCCCAACACAAATCCAATGCCCAGGGAAATGTAGTTCAGCCCGCCAATGCCGACGCTCTCACCGTAGACCTCCTCCCAGACTTGAGGGAAGGTCGAGAGCAACAGGTAAAACAATCCGAAGAGATACGCCATGTACAGCGCGATGACTTGCACAATGGGCTGCGTGGTGAGGAGAATGAATGGACGGACGAGAGCGCGCTGCAATGTGGACACCAGGCTTGCGTTCTGCGTGTCTGCTTCCGTGTGGTATCCCTCGTCGCCAGTCTTCTGGCGCAGGGTCCGCGCGCGTCGTTTGAGCAATGTCGGTGCATATGTCTCGGGCAGGAAGGCCAGCCCGATTAGTTGGATCACGGCGCCGGCGATGCTTGTCGCCCAGAAGACCCACCGCCAGGTCGTCGTTTCGGCGATGAAGCCGCCCGCGATGGGGCCCACGACGGGACCGAGAAGGGGGGCCAGGCTGTAGATACCGACGGCTTTGCCGCGTTGGTCGGCGTTCCAGCAGTCACTTTCACAATATTAGTTGTGCTGTTCGGGGAGGTGATTGGGAAGAGAAGAAAGGGGAAGGCGTACCTGAGAACACCACCACCAATAGCTAACGGCGCACTACCTGCTATCCCACTCATGAATCGAAACGCGATCAACTGCCCCGATGTCTGCGCGAAACCGCATCCCAGGTTCCACGCCACGTAGCATAGATTACTGCATTGCAGGACGTAGGCACGACCAAAGAGTTCGGATAGCGGGCCGAAGCAGAGTGGGCCGACGGCATAGGCGAGCACGAAGACAGAGAGACTTAGTTCGGACTCCACTTGCGATGTGATGTTGAGTTCTTTGGCGATCTTGGTCAAGGCGGGTGAGATCATGGACGATGAGACGGGGGAAATGAATGTGAAGAGCGACACGGTGATCGTCACAGCCCATTTCTTGCTGATGCTCCAGTTTTTGGGGTTTTCGCGGTCGTCCATGGCCCATGTTACCTATAGTAGTATATTAATGTTAGCGAGTTTGTGATAGAGGTATTGGGAAGGCGACTGACTAGGTGGGCATCTTGGACGAGATTTCTTGTGTCGTTGAGGGAGACTTGGGATGGAGCGGCCTCCGATGGGACTGATTCTGTGGACGATGGAGGAAATGGTTAGTAGAAGGTCTTGGCTGGTGTTGATGTTCCATAGGGCTGGCGTGGAGATGGATGGGTCCGCATCACGGAAGGGAGACATACCTCCTTCTTTGGCTGCCATCTTGCAGCGTTTGATTCACAGAGACAACAGAAAAGATGGACGAGTATCTGATTCTTGTAGAATGGACTGAATATTAATCTAAATGAAAAGAATGAAGGAATATCCTGCTCAAGTACAGAGTCTTTTATAACTGATTCCTGTCGGCTTTTAAGACGGCTTAAAACCCGAGTAGCCATATTCCTCAGGCAGCAAATTGCCGTTAGCGGCCACAAGCATAGGCTTTGCCCCATTCGGGCTAGTGACCAGCACGTGTTGGTGCAACAGTAGATTCTTGTGTTCATCTGCACTAAATGAAGCACTAACGACTAGCATCTCCTAATGGCATACATTCCGCTCGAAGTTAATGCCTTAGGCAGGAAGCCTTGAAACCCCGCGCATGTTATCTTCGTCTTACATTCCTTTACGAGCGTTTATCAAATTCAACTCAGTTCACTTTTCCATCCCTGCCAACCAAGTCATATTACCCAGGACTCCAAATCTTCTCGCCCTACGATATCAAAAAATGTAAGTAAAGAAGGCCTGGCAACCACCAAGTGTTGTCTGTGCAACTACTTACAGATCTGGCAATGATTAACCGGAATAGAGACAACAATAATGGGCAATAACCTACCAGAAGACGTGGAAGCCTATCTTAAGGAACTAGTCAAGCGTCTTACTGAGTACCTCAAAGACCAGCTCGTCGGCGTGTACTTATTCGGTTCAGCAAGTTATGGTGCTTATGAGTCTGGCCTCAGCGACCTTGACGTGCAGGCTATAGTAAAGAATCCGCTTGATACCGTTGATAAGCAGGCAGTTATAAACTGCGTCAACCAGGATGCTTTACCGTGCCCGGCTACCAAACTTGAGTTTGTGGTCTATGCTCAAGATGCTGTAAATCCAGCCAGTCGTCATCCTTGCTTCGAACTCAATCTGAACACAGGACCTTATCAATCTGATTATATTTGTCTTGACCCCGCTAGCGAGGCAAGCCACTGGTTTCTACTTGATATTGCTATGGGACGTGAACTTGGCCGTAAACTATACGGCCTAGATGTAACCGACGCTTTCAGCGCCTTGCCCCGACGCTGGATCTTAGAAGCAATCATGAATTCGCTCTACTGGCACCAAGCGAATGAATTAAACTCAGCCAACAGTGTTCTAAACGCTTGCCGAGGCTGGCGATACATCATTACAGGAGAATTTTCTTCGAAGTTAGATGGGGCCAAATGGGCTATACAACAACAGGGTTGTCCGGACGTTGTTAACCGTGCCATTGCAGCGCGCAAAACAGGAGAAAGTCTCCCTACAGCCCAGGTAGTGATGCTCTACGATATTATTATCACGGCCAACTTGAAGGCTTGCCCTATATACGGCAGCACTTGAGACATCTAGATCATGGAGCAGGTGTGGCAATGAAGTTATTCACTTCTTACACTCTCCAGGAGATCCGAGCAACTCCCTGAGCGCACGAACAGGTCAGTTATAAAAAGACCATGGAGCTTTATTCTCGCGGACGCTATATCCTGTAACAGGATGGTCTTGATTTGTACTTAGAGTATCCAAGCTTTCGTATGAAGAAGAACCATAGTACCAAAGATGTAGGACGATCTTAACTCTCCTTTGTCACGTTCGTGCGTACAACATAGGCACCCAGCTATCTGATTGCCTGCTTTGACGGAAAGCATCCATCCGTGGTGAGGACTCAGCGCTAAATCCAGAGAAGGCCATTTAGGAGCACTCATTGTCGAGCATCTTGTGGAGTCAGAAGCTATGAGGGTAAGAGACGTAGCTACATCCGATAATATTACCCCATACCACACCAGAAACGCGCACTTGAAACATAGCCGGGGTAGGATGAGCCTAAATGATGGCATATAATACTCGATCGCTTCTGTAAAAGTCATTGGAGGTGGGCTTTTTGCAAAACACTTGAAAACATTTAGGATTGTCAGAATGAGTGCTAAACGGAGACTGCCTATTTCCCATTGTCGTACTAATCTTGCTTCCTTCAGGCCTCTGAATAGTATCCATGTGTCTTTGGAGACAGGGCTTGGCTAACAATCAATATACTTCCTTCTACTCTCGACTGTGCCCCTATCTCAGAGCTCTCACGGCTAGCAGAGCGTCAGGTGGCAGAACAGTAAAGAAAGAACCAACCTCAAAATAACGGAGATATCCTGACTAATTGTCATCTCGCTTCTGACCTACTACCCCTGCCTGGGCTACTGAGTCTATCAACTAAGCCTTCTCAATATGACTCGTGCTCATCTTCACATCCTCTCTATCCACCTGCCCCATATCCATTCCTTCCATCCCTCTCGCATATGCAGTAACCTCCCACCAACGCCCCGGATCCTCAAATAGCCGATCCATCTCCTCCAACGAGCGACCCTTGGTCTCGGGGAACCAGAAATAAACCATCAAAGCAACGCCAAACCCAACCACCGCATAGACAATATAATATCTCCACCTGATGGTGGCAAACGCAACGGGTGTAATTTCCGCGATAACAAAATTAAACAGCCAATGCGTTGCCGTTCCAATCGCAGCCAAATGGATCCTCAGCTCCTGGGGTGCAATTTCCGCCGCATACAAGAAATTCGCAGCCAAGAACCCAAGCGGGAAGAAAGACATGTAGAAAAAGAGAAAGAACGTTGCAGAGATACTCGCGCCATACGTGTAACGATTATCAATAGCCCAGACTGTCCCCGTTAGTCCGGCCATGGATGTCCCCATTCCTAACGCGGAGATGATGAAGAGTGGCTTGCGGCCGCAACGGTCTACGGATAGGTAGGCTGAGAAAGCGGCGAAGATCTTCCATGTTAGGACACCGGCGCTGAGGATGGCTGCTTTCTCTGCTTCGAGGCCGAGGGATTCTTGGAAGATAATTTTTCCGTAGTAGGTTATTACGTTGGCTCCCGTCATTTGGGCGCTGAAGTTGACGGCGATGGCAAGGCATAGACGGTAGAAAAGGCGTTGAGGTCCCCGTTTGAAGAAGTTGGCGAAGCCGTATTCTGATGTAGAGGATTCGCGGAGAGCGAGGTAAATGGTCTCAATTTCTGCGTCGATCGCTTCGTAGCTGACTGTGTGATTGTCGGATAGTGCGTGCATAGCAACGCGGGCTTCTGTCTTGAGACCTTTGCTGATGAGCCAGCGGGGGGATTCGGGAAAAGACATGGTAAATGCCATGAGTAGCAGAGTGAACACGATTGGCAGAGCCAGAGGGAGGCGCCAGGATACCTCATTCCCTTCTATAAAAGAGAGACCGACGTTCACCCAGCTGGCGATCGCGACTCCTGAGGCGATGAACACGCCGATGACCACGACATTCTTCCCTCGGCTCTTGGGTTTCGTGCACTCGCTTTGCCAGACTGGCACTACGGCGTTCACTCCACCAGTGCCGATTCCGGAGATGATGCGGCCAACGAAAAGCTGGGCTATGTGGCAGGACGTAGCTTGAATGACCAGACCGATAGTGGCTACTGCAGCAACGGTAATGAGGGATTTCCGTCGTCCGATCCGGTTCCCGAGCTGGGTGATTGAGAGGGCACCGATGAGGCATCCGATGGTGTAGATGGCGACCACTGTTCCTATACATCCACCGAAAATTAGAATATACCAGATATAATATGGATATGGGAACATGCCCTGAATGGTTGCATTGTGGTTCTTGACAGAACCTGTGGTGTAACTCGTATCTATCGGTGGGAAATGCTTGATGAATGATGGATAATCTAGCACTCCACCGATGTTGGACTGATTGTAGCCGTATAAGAGGAAAGCAGGGGCAACTATGAGACAAATGCGGGCTCTAGCTAGTGATGAGCCATTGAGGCCTGCAAAAGTCATGCTGATGAGGCTGCGGTAGTGGGCAATATGGGAATAATATAGTTTATGTAGATGGATTTGTAGAAAAGATAGACTGTTCAAAAGATGAGATCAACTGCTTCACATGGAAGAAGAGAATAACAATATATATAAACTCAATCTTTAAATACCATGGCCTGTACTATCACCTATACGCCCATGACAGTCAACAGAAACACGTACTGTCGAGCATTATGCGGAGTCAGACGTTACTGATCTAAGATGCTTGGCTACACCCCGCGATATTACCCCAGATTGCACCATAAACGTGGAGTTAAGAACGTGGACAGTGATACATACCACATACAACAAGTATCGGATGTTGTGTGGATGAGCCTAAATGTTTTGCCATGACACTAAATCTGAACCATGGGTGGAGGAGGTTTAGCCGTAACCTACTCCGGCTGCAAATACCCTGCTCGGAACAGACAACCGTCATGGTTAATCTTTTTTTCAAAGACCCAAATACAATAAATAAATGTAATAAGTTCATTGTCAACAGAACCATAAAAGATGAGGCTCGGACAGAAAGCAGCGTGGACTCTATTCCCTCGCAACAGTATCAGAACCATGTCGTCGGCTAAGCCCCGCATTCTCTTCTTCAACCCCGTGAGGCACGCAGTGCCGTTTTATAAGAAGCTCCAAGAACATGCCCACACAGAGGTAGTGACAAGTAAAGGCAGGGAGGAGTTCTTCAAAGATGTCACAGACAAATATAAAGATATTTTTGCCATCTATCGGACATCCGCTAGCGGTGCAGTGAGTATTGATTACCCTTACCTATCCGTGATAAGATCGGACATCCACCCGCATCAGTAATCTAATAAAAAACTCTGTGAAGGTAGCCGGCAAGTTCGACGCAGAACTAATCAATCATCTTCCCGAAAGCTGCAAATATATTTTTCACAATGGAGCAGGTAAGGTTCCCACCTAGTACCCAAAACAGCCTCACTAAAACCAATCGCAAGGCTATGACCCAATCGACACGGAAGCCTGCGCCAAGCGAGGCATCATCGTCACCAATGCCCCAGACCCAGTCACAGATGCAACCGCTGACCTAGCGGTCCTCCTCCTCCTGGGTGCTCTCCGAAACCTCAACCCTGCGATTCGCTCCCTCCGCGCAGGAACCTTCAAACAAGGCGTAGGTTTCGGCCACGACCCCCAAGGCAAGACGCTAGGTATCCTCGGCATGGGCCGAATCGGTCGCGCTATCAAACAGCGCTGCGAGCCTTTTGGTATCAAGACCGTCTATCATAATCGACGTCCTTTATCTGCTGAGTTATCCGCGGGGGCCGAGTATGTCTCTTTTGAGAAGCTGCTCACTGAGAGCGATATCATTAGTATTAACGTGCCGTTGAATGCGAATACAAAGCACTTGATTGGCGCAGCCGAGATCGCAAAAATGAAGCCCGGTGTTGTTATTATCAACACCGCTCGTGGTGCTATTATCGATGAGGCTGCTATGGCTGATGCCCTGGAGACTGGGCATATTGGCGCTGTGGGGTTGGATGTGTATGAACGGGAGCCGGAGATTAATGAGAAGCTTGTGAAGAATGAACGTGCGCTTTTGGTGCCGCATATTGGGACGCATACGTGTGAGACGCTGGCGAAGATGGAGGAGTGGGCGATGGAGAATGCGAGACGGGCCATTGTGGGTGAGGTGTTGTTGTCGCCAGTTCCGGAGCATTCAGGGTTGGTGAATAGGAATGCTTGAACCCGTGGATACTTTATTTTGTTTGCCAAATGATACTTTGTCGTTGTGTTTGCATTATATAGAGTACAATTGTGGATTGCGTAGTTTGCTTTATTGGTTGTGGTAGGTCGTGAAGACGTTCTGAATACATAGAGGAATTCTTCTGAAAGTGCTTTCATTCTGCATTCACTTCAAATTCTAATACAGATAATTCATTCAATCATTGCATCACAGCACGTTCTACTGGTACTGACCGAATCGCACATTGCCAATCCTGCCAACGTTATTCCCAACCTGGAATCCGTAGTTCTCCCCCGTGAACACAACACTATTGTTGTAGGTGGTTGTAGACTGGATGGCCTTCACAACAGTATCACGCAAAAGATCATCCTGGCCAGCAGCCACATTTTTCAGCAGGGGCAGGCCATTCTGGACCTTCTTCAACCGCGAGACCTCATCCTCACAAATCTTGCGCTGCTCATCCTGCACAGCTGGGAACAATTCGATTAAGTCGTCGACCAAACCATTGGTGTCTTCGATTAATCGTGAGAAATCCTTCATCTGATAAATAACCAAAGCATCATCCGGGCTGACCGCCGAGTCACCCTGTCGTCCCTTGGCGAGCAAATCCATCTGCTGATGAAGTGAGGCAGCGGTATTGTCCAGCTCCATAAGAGGATCCATGGTAAGAGCCGCGGGATTCTTCTTCTTGAAGCGGCCCGAAAGCTTATCCGCGTCCGCAATTAGCTCCAGGATCTCATTGAGGAGATCTTGCACCTTCGGAATGTCCTCAGGAGCAAGCTTGATCTCGCGAGAAGATCCCAGGTCGTCCAAGTTGGCTAATCCGACGGATTTTCCCCACCGAGTGAGACGCAGCTTGATCACGTCGACTTTCAGCAGGCTTGTTTCGAATTCCTTGCCGAAGCTTTCGCCAATCTGAAGCGAATCGAAGAATCCCACCGCTTGGTTGAGTAACTTGGACTGCTCGGATAACTGCCTCATCATCTCCCGCTGCATGTCTGTCATATCGTCCTGCTTGGATGCGATATCTCGGTTCTGCTCGCGAATGGCATCCGTGTTTGATTGGATCGCTGCGGTTCTTTCGTCAATGAGGTTGGCATTGGAGACTAGGAACTCGACGTTCCCGTTCATGCTGTCGACGACTCTGTTCATGACATCGACCGTCTTCAAAGTTGATAGCCCGACGGCTTGGCTCATATCGTTGATGGCCGTTTCTAACTCCTCGCTGGCGGCGGCAAGTTCGCCATCGTTTCCCTTGAGGAGACTATCGAACCATTTCTCTGTTTCTTGCATAAGCTTGTGTAAGAAATAGCATAGATAGTGGAAACTTACTGAACCGCTTCTCTTTGGTATACTTCTGCGCGATGGCGCAAATCCTAAGTATGCTAGAGAAGACGCGGCTGATGCATCTTTGAAACGGAGGCAATTCCGGCATTTTCTGGTCGATAATCGAAAGTCGGTCGAAGAACCGATGGGTGAATTCAAAGAACCCCATGACAGTGTCATAGTCGGCAGAGACCGTGGAAAACGACTGCATGACCTGCCCGAACGCCGAGAAGATCAAAGTAGCTGGCATTGCGGGGGGAAATATCTAAAGAGAGTAAGTATCGTGATGATTTACTTGTTGTTGGATGTTGGATTATATCATACCGATGCAGCATTGCCAACAGATTGTATGGTGTTGACAATATCCTGAATCAACCACATGTTGTTTTTGAACGCCGTCCTCATCTTGCTTACTTTGGACTTGTCGGAACGGAAATTGCTAAAGTTGTTCGATAAGCCCTCTGTTCCTGCCATCACCTCGTCCATGCTCTTGAATTGGCCCAGGCGAAGGTTTTTGCCGGTCGCATTTTCGTATTCCGCGATCGCATCTTGCCAGAGCTGAGCGACGGACGACCCGCCGTTTGAGGCCATGTTGGTGTGCCAGTGATTAATTAAACAGATGCGAAATAAAACGATGAAAAGGCCTGGAGCCAGTCGTACGTCTTCAAGACAGCATTAGATAAGGAACAGAAGCCCACGCTCAGGTCTCGCAATTTCATGCATGGAAACCCTACTAATAATCCAACCCATGGTCCGTCGTACTCCTACGCTCCCCCTCCTCTCTCCTCACCGGCCCTATTGGACTTCGCAGACTCAGCCAGTCAGCCAGCAAGCAGTCCTTGAGATGATCCCAATGCTTTTTCCCCCACCGACCCTTCAGCTAAAGGTGCGGCCGGAAGGCTGCACAAACGAAAGGCTAATTATTCAAGAAGCTGAATAGTCTCGCGACGCGCCGGCTTTGCCGAACCTTTCTCAGCTCCTCAACAGAGTGGGCCCCCGAAAGAGACCGTCGATCATTGTAGAGATCGAGCAACATTCCAGTCATTGTCTGATGGCGGCCTTTACCATTTTGGGGCTTTCGTCTGACATGCCAGTTCATAGCCCAAACGACACGTCATGATTTTCTTTTTTTTATTCCCAGCGGAGAATGATTGATACCCTACCCCGCTCTTAGTGGGGAAAATAGCCTACTGGTTGTAGTGGTTGCTTGGCTTCGAGCTGTACGATGATGTCTGAAGGGTGACTCGTCCGACCCTAACGACGGCCTACATGTGACAGATGAGCTACGGCTGCAGGCTGCAAATACGCTCAGGCAGAAAGCGTTACTAACTAGCCAATTCATCCCTCGCAGTAGCAGCGGAAGCAGCTTTAGCCTACCTATCTAGTTACAACGAATCATACTCAGGATGATATCCAGCCCCGAATATTGTTTCCCCTCCCCGATACAGACTTCGTCACTCGTCGGGGTAACCGATTCAAAACATAGGCCTGCATAGTTAGTGCAGAGCTAATGTTTGGTGCTGCGGAGGTTTGTGATGGCTGGGGGTCAACACCGCAGAGGCGTAGGGACGAGGCAGGAGATATAAGCGGTGTTACTTCGGTAGATATCCGATATGTTTACGATCAATTCGCCGATTTCGTGAAGTGTGTGATTAAATGACATTGACATGTACCTGCACTATGGTGTCATACTCAGTGACTTAGCAGAAGTGACGGCCTGCGTAAGCCTCCTGCCTGGTTGTGTATTGATGCAGGTTGCCTACTTGCGCGCTAAGATAGCCTGATGCGGTCGGACAACTCGCCTTTGCACACCGCTACTGACTGAATTAAACGCTGCTCCCCCTCGACACGACCCGGCGAGATGTCCTGTCAAATGCTTTTGCTTCAACTAAAGCGTGGACATGCGTGAGTGGCGCTACTAGGCGCCGTAAGAAGATTCCGGGACTTTCTACTGGACGGTCAGTCCTCCTCTACATGCATTATGGTCCTCAAGCCATTTCAAGGGCTTTTTACACGGGAAGCTAGAACCCCAGGTGGTATTATACTACTCCACCTGCTGTAAATGATAAAGAGTTAGCGGCAATCTGCTGAATTATAGCCCTGCCTGTCTTGTTTTTCCTGCTTTCAGTATAAAGATTGAGGCTACTGAAAGGCATGAAATTACTATACATATAACCCTCGGTAGTGCCATGTACCGACTTATAGAGAAATGTAAATCCTTGAATTACAAGATCATACAGATGTATCTCACAAGTAAATACTATGCAGGGAAAAAAGGTAGAAATGGAACATCTTTACCCAAACAGGAAGGGGTAGCTGAACTAATTGCCTGATCGTAAAAGGGCGTATCAAAACCTATCTAGCGACCAAAGGAAAACCCATTGAGCGCCCCGGCATTCTGCCCAAGCTGCAAGCCAGAGTTATTAGACCCCGCGAACGAGGCATTCGAGTTATTGTTAACAGTGCCCTTCTCTTCCGGACTCGGAAGACTACCCAACCAGGACTTCAGCGGATTGAAGATCTTCTTGAATTCCTTGTCATTCTCATTCTTGAAGCAACTCATGCTGTGATGGCTATACCCGATGCGAACAAGCTGCTTCTGGGTATCGGGCAATGCAACCACGGCCGACTCAACTACCTTGAATTCTTCGCCGTCGACCCTCGTAGGCGCTCCCTCGAAGAATATCTTCAATTTTAACGGAGCCGTCTGTCGGAATTGGTCAAATTCTCGCCCATATTCCAGCATGTACTGCGACATGGCCTGCAGATCCTCGGGGCTAGGAATATCCTGCTGTGCCAGGCGGAAATATTTGGTTGCTTCGCTAATGTTCGCCGGAGAATAGTATGGGGTTCCGAGAAGCATGAGTCCCAAGGTGCACTCCGCAACTTGCTTTTTGTCATCATCGTTGGCTGCTCGAACGAGAGCCTACATGGGAGTGTTAGTAGCGGCCTTCGGACATATCGGGGACATATCAGAAGTGAAGGAAGCGGAGAAGTGCACGTACGTGTTCGCAAATCAGGCCACCAAGACAATGGGCAATAAATATGATGGGTCGCTTAGCCTGGAATAAAGTTAGCACCACAGGAGTAAATGAAGCCTGACGTGTAGGAAATGGATGACGGACTACATCGCCGCTGCGCACTCCCACAAGCTCATCACACAGTTCATCGGAGACGTCAGTCATCAAATCCTCCGTGTTCCAGATGGTATCGACGTTTATATCGTCAGACTCGAATGCCAGGATGCGGGCGTTATTGACCAGCTTGGGAAGAACCGTTCCTGGCCAGAAGACATCATCTTCGGTCCTCCAGGATTTCCGGTCTGTCTCCAAACCATGGACAAAGACAATGCTAGAAGGCATCATCTTGGTTAGTCACACATTTGGAGTATGCTAACGACTTGGACTGGAAGGTTGTCATACTCCACTCTAGCTTCGGAGACGTCCTTTATGGTCTTGATAGACATGTTCGAAGATATAATTGGTTTGCAACCAAGAGATGTTTGTTTATATTGACACTTTGAGACACTATCAGCGCCGTAACTAGTAGACTAAAAGCGACAAATCGCTTCTTCCTGGAGAGCAGACGAAGAGGGTGGTTTAAATATTCTCGTCTCCCGAGGCCTATCAAGGACCAGGGACGGTCAGGGGAGGAGAAGGCAGTGAATGGTTGCTAGAAAAGGCTAGAATACCTAGTGATGCGTCTAAACAGTTACGCCCATCTCCGATGTAGCAGGGGAGGTGCAATGTGATATGTAATGTCTTGTCACACGACCTGGGAGTCACCGCTAGAGCTGATCAGTATGTCTGCCTCAAGAAAGACCTATGTCTTGCATTCCAAACCCCTTAAGTATGGCCACTACTACCTACATCATGGCAGACCCACAAATTATGATTGAGCGATGATCCACTCTACGTACCAGACACGGCTGGGTATCCGAGGGTTCCTGCTAGTCCCGGGCTGAGCTGGACGATGGAGTCCGAGCTGCAGGGAGACCCACCTGCTCTGTATGAACATTGAGATCGGAGAGATGAACCTTCTCTGTCATGTCGATCCCTCGGCAGTGAGAGGAGATAATAACCGGCTCAGACAAATACAGACCTGGAAGTCTACTGAAAGAGTCAGTCCCCCCTCAAGTTCATATACCCCAATTAACATTACGTATCTTCGAGAGTTCCATCAACCACCGGTACAATGAGAATCCCGGGCTCAAAGACAGAGGTGAGCCAAGGAAAACCAACACTCTGCAAAATGCAGTGCATGTTAGGTTGACACTAGATAAAAGCCGGAACCGGTGCCCGCGCTGACAGCCGACTTTGCCAACTCGGAGAACAAGGGGCTCCAGATGGGCCAGAATTACGGACACATGGAGGCCTCATTCTACAGTGATGCAATTCAAGGCATCAACATTGCCGCTGGCGCATCTGTGTATATGGGTAGGGAAAGCAAACGCATCCTTCTGAGCTTGATCAGAGAGCCTAACGATACGTCTTTAAATTTAGGCGAGCGAAAAACCGCGGAAGACAAACTCCTTGACGCCCTCATTGGTCGTGACCCAGAAGACAGAAAAGACCTCCGTGATGCTGAGCCCGGAACATGCGAATGGCTCTTGGACAGTGCGCCGTTTCAGCAATGGATCGAGAAGAACCCCGCTGAAACAGGCCCGCTATATGTTGCAGGCATCCCCGGTAGTGGCAAAAGTGTGCTGCTAAAGTTCCTCGCCAAAGAAGTGGCAAGGCAGAAGCGTGTTGGTTCTCCGGGTTCATCCCCGGTGGAAAAGCCGCTTCTCTCACTGGGCCCTACCGGGAAAACAATGGCGGCTACCTGCTTTTGTGATGACAGAAATGACCATCGGCAAACCCCTATCTGGATCTTGAGGACGTTGATGTACCGCCTGTTCAACCAGAATCGGAGTTTGGTGAAACACTTGCAGAAACATATCCAAAAGGTCGAAGACTTGGATGCCACAGGATCCGACCCGGTCGAATTCCAGTCCAAGGATGTTTTACAAAAAATTCTGGAAGAACTGATTCCAGATCCAGAAGTGGAAGTTGTCTACTTTATTGTTGATGGTTTGGATCAATGTGGACAATACCAGAACGATGTTGTGTTCTTGATCAAGGAGCTCACTAAAAGCATCAACGATGAAGCCGTAAAGCAAGGCGAGCAGTTCAGTTTGCGCTTCATTATCTCTGATCGAGGAAGTAGCATTGTCCGCAATGTATTGCGTCCCGAATATATCATCGACATGCCCACAGACAACCAACCGGATATTGAACAAGTCACCGACAAGTCCCTCAAGTGCATTCAGGAGTACCGGGGCTTCTCCGATTCTATACTGCATTTCACCACCAGCTTGCTAAAGAAAAACTCCAAAGGCATGTTCATGTGGCTATCGCTAATTCTGGGTGATCTGCGCAGTTGGGATGGAACTTGGTCAGAGAGAAAGATTGAACACAAGCTCCATAGCATCCCCCTCGATGTGGCAGCCTTTTACAAGGCAATGTTGGAGACACAATCGCTGGACTGCAGACTAAAGTTACAATCATTGTTGATGTGGGTCTATCTAGCCGGTCGGCCCTTGGCCTTGGAGGAGCTGAACGTCGTGCTTCAGCTCCAGGAAAAAGGAAAATCTGCTGGAGCTAGAAGCTCAGAAGATGACGTTGATCAACTACGGCGCGATATCGAAAGCAAGTGGGGTGCCTTATTAGAGGTCCACGACGGTTTCGTACACCTGAGTCACCAGTCAGTCAAGGACTTTCTGTCGGGTGTCTTCAGTGTAGAAGGTGAAAAGGAATATCCAAAGTACGGGTTGACTCCGGAGGAGGCACACCGAAGAATAGCCTCCGCTTGCATCGCCTATCTGCAGATTCAGGAAGTTCACCGACGTGAAGTACCCAAGCCTCCAGTCGATAACTGCGGAATGATCGATGAGACTCGGCTTCAAGAAGTCAGAGATAAATACCTGGAAGGATTGCCCCTTCTGCAGTATGCTGTTGTGTTCGTAGGTCATCATCTGCAGAAAGGCAAAATCCAAGAGGAGACAGATGTGGAGGGCATGAAAAGCTTCTTTGCTATCGATTCAGCCGCGTTAGCCAGCTGGTCTCCAGCATACGATCTCCTGAAGAGATATACCTCCGGTAAATGTAAGTGGTTCTCCGTCAGTAGTAGTCTCGAGATCCCTGCTTACATGCTCCTCACAGATTCTGGACACAGCAGTAGCACGAGCCATCTATTCGTTGCAGCACGACTGAATCTCCCCTGGTTAGCTGAGCGGTCACCAACATGGGCCACTTACACCTCTCTGCCATCACACGTCTGGGCCCCTGATTTGTCTGGATGGAGCGCTATCCATATTGCGGCCGACTCCGAGTCTGTGGAAATGGTAGATTGGCTTTTGAGTAAGGGTGCCTTTGTGGGTGCCACGACTGTCGGGCTTCCGCATCCTGGCCGAACAGCATTGCATCTTGCAGCCTCCAAAAGCTCCGAGAATGGTCCCAAAATGGTCCGTTTGCTGCTTGACGCAAGAGCAGATCCTGGTACTGCGACACGGAGGGGGAAAAACACTCCGCTGCATTATGCCATTGACGGTCGCTCAGTCGAAACCGTGAAGGCTCTGCTAGCAAAGGGTGCAGACCCGAGCGTTGCAAACAGCTCTGGAGTGACTCCCCTTCATAAGTGTGCGGCCATTCCCGGCTTGGAAGACATTATGCAAGTTCTTCTTGAACATGGCGCTGATCCCAACAAAAAAGCAAGTATTGGTGCCGTTTCAGCGGTCCGTGGATTGTCAAGCCTTAAGAATACCAGAGATCTGTGGCAATCCTATTATACCATCAATACTGGCCATACTGCACTGCACATTGCCACCGAAGCGAAGAATACGGAGCAGACAGTGAAAATCCTCTTGGAGCACGGCGCGGACCCCAATTCCCGAGATAGTGCGGGACGAAGTCCGCTGCATATTGCTGTGGTCAAAATGCAACCCGAAGCCATGACCAAGATGTTGATCGAGCATGGCTCCAAACCAAACGCACAAGACTCCTATGGAAAAACACCCCTTTCCATGCTTTTGACAACATTTGCACTGCAGGCGGAGCAGCAGCCGGAGATGTTCAAGACTATACAGGCTTCCAGAGAGCGAATGATTGAGATCCTGCTGTCTGCGGGGGCAGACCCACGTGCCGAAGGGAAAGACAAGCAGACCCCAATCACACTAGCTGAACAGGCGAACCTACAATGGGCTGTTGATTTGATGAATGGGAAGCAGCAAAACCGAGACGATCATGGACATGCAGATGAAACTAGTGGGTGGGGGGAGCATGCCGAGCACGCGGCTGAGGCTGCAAAGGGAATGCTTGAGCGCGAGGCATCACGGTGGCTTCCGAAGAGGCTTTTCTGATGACTGACACCAGGGTTCTCATTAGGCGAAGGTGATTATTATATGCGTAGATGTCAGGAAGTTAGGCTGTCCAGAATAATCGGGTACCAACTACTAGTAATAGATAGCTATCAAGTTAGTCAATTGTACCGACTAATGGAATTAGGATTTCGCATATAACATATGCCGAGTATATTACCTCCAGAATAAGTACTAAGTACCAAATGAAGGCTATTACTGAGTATCTTTGTGAAGGGCCTTAGAGAACTATGATGGCCCCTGGATCTTGTGATTTCTACGAGTCTTACATTGTCTCTAAAAACCGGGAGAACAACTCAATTATCGCGCATTCTAACCCATTTCGAGAAATCATGAAGTTACATTCCTGGGATTGCGATTGAAGAACAATTAGCCAGACATGCCGTGTCGACATTGCCAGGCCTGCCGGCTATACTTGGGCCGTGCGGGTGAACGTTCACCCACCAAGCTCGCCGCAGGGTTGAGGATGTGTACCATAGAAAACATCACCAGAGATAAGAACAGGATATCGCCTTCGCCATTGCTAATCCACTAACGCATAACTTTGATTCATTTAAACTTATCTGCTGTGCCTGATATACATATTTATACAATCCCTATTCAATACCCAACATGGTGAAAATTGCACTTCTTGGCGCCGCGGGCCAGATAGGCACGCCCCTCAGCCTTTTATGCAAGACAGTGAGTATGACCAAATAATGGATAATAGAAGTAAGACTCAATGTGGGGAAATTGGCTGAACTTGCCTAGAGTGATTTATTTGATGAGATTGCTCTGTACGATATTGTTCATGTACCGGGCATCGCCACGGATTTGATGCATATCGACACCAAAGCCAAGGTTACCGGCTACCTTCCACAAGACGATGGACTAAAGAAAGCACTTACCGGTGCTGATACCATCGTTGTCACTGCTGGTATTGCCCGGAAGCCGGGTATGACTAGAGATGGTAAGTGACAAACCCTACTACTACTGCTACTACCTATATATATTTCCAGCTGCTGACGGGTGTTCACATATAGATCTCTTCAAGGTGAGACAACAACAACCACATAACCAGACCCAAGATCCAAATGCTGTGCCCTCACTAGAACAACCCTCTCTAACTAACACTCAGACAAACGCCCACATCATCCGCGCCATCTTCACCGAAGTCGCAGCAACATGCCCCAAGGCAATCTGCTGCATCGTCACCAACCCCGTCAACTCCACCGTCCCCGTCGCAGCGGAGACTCTCAAAAGAGCAGGCGTGTTTGACCCTACGCGTCTCTTTGGCGTCACTACCTTGGACGTCGTGCGGGCATCTACCTTCGCGGCGCACGCCACGAACACCGACCCCAAGGCTTACAAGGTCCCCGTCATCGGTGGCCACAGCGGAGCTACCATACTTCCGCTTTATAGTCAGGCTCAGCCACCGGTCGATCTTGATGATGAGACTTTGGCGGCTGTTATCAAAAGTATGTTACTACCTGGCGTTCTAGCTTCCGTGGGAGAGTGCGTGTATGCTGATTTTCATGGGAATGAATAATAGGGGTGCAATTCGGTGGCGACGAGATCGTGAAAAGCAAGCAGGGCGCTGGAAGCGCTACGACGTGCATGGCGTATGCCGGATTCCGCTTTGTTAAGGCCATTCTGGCCGCTATGGCTGGGGAGACTGTTACTGAGGAGGCCTATGTCTATCTTCCGGGTGTCCCGGGTGGGGATGAGATTGCGGCTAAGCTTGAGGTGGACTACTTTGCTGTTAAGGTTGAGATTGGTAAGATGGGGGCTTCGAAGGCGTTGCCGTTTGGTGAGATATCGGAGAGCGAGAGGAAGCTTCTTGGGATTGCTATTGAGGGGGTGAAGAAGGATATTGCTACGGGTTTGGCTTTAGAGTAGGGGTGGTTTTCTGTCTCAGGCATTTATTTGACAATCACGCATGGGGTCCACGAATTGCCCCATTATTCTCTAGAACTGGCTTGCTCTCAACCCATTTGAGTGGGTGGGATACTGACCTGTCGATATAGTCCCCGTATTCATGAATGGTGTTCGGTCGCATTGACTAATTCTCGGCTCAAGGAAACGGCACTGATGTTAGAAAAAAAAGTTGTTTTCTGTATAGTGTATTCGGCGTGGGATTTCATTCCCTTTCTATGTTCACACAACAGAGTGTAAACAGATGAGGTAAAGATTTTTATGATAATGAGGGTCAATTCTTGGGGTCCGAGCCGAACTGAGATGGATCACAATGTAATCAATTTTCTGCTCATCACTGAATTTATTTTCCCTTTCTGAATTCTCTCTTTGTCTCACCTGCCGTAGTCCAACTGCTCTTGACCGGGAGCATATTATGAATATTCTTGCCGCGGATAATGAATGTGATTTTCCCATGTACAATTAATCGGAAGCGGAACAAAACCCATTCAATTTGACTATATAGTCTCGCGTTTCAATCGATGGCACGATGCCAGGAGCTTGAAAGTAGGAGTTGCATGAAGGCCTCATGATTAACACAATTCTTCTGTCCATCGTGCGCACAGCATCAAAGCCCAGGCAAGAGTGAGGCATCCACCCTAATTTCAAAATGACCCTTCTCCATTAAGGAAACCTTCAGGGAGGTGGCCACATCCCATCGACATGCTCTGGTTTTCGGGGAATCGGGTATACCTCGACGACCTTACCGTCTTCCCACCTAGCACTAACATCGAGCTTCTGGTTCAACGCAAGAAACGTGTCCCAGTTCTTGCAGGTATGGTATGTGTTGAAATTTGGGTACGGCACGTCCAGGCCTTTGACCCAGTTATATGTCACTAAGGAGAGGTCATCGTGGCACATCAGGGTTTGACGAAGAATATCAACACAATGGTCTGGGAGAGAAATTAGCTGTGTGATCTGGGAGCGCGAATAACGGAAGAATTCGACGGTGAGACTTACCCAAGTGAAAAAATATACGCTCTTCTGTTTGATTCACGAAATGCTCATCTCTGTCTTTGTAGTAGTCCATGTGTATTCCTTTTCGCAGGAGATCCTGAGAACAGGAAGTAACACAGTCAGCTGAACCGTTCAACCTGCACATAGTCGCGGTACTCACAACACAGTGTAATTGGTGAAGAACGTCAAAGGTCGCCATATACTCTTGCTCAGGGCCAGCATTTTCAATTCGTACTGCAACATCAGGATGATTATTCAATGCTGTCAGCTGCTGGCGACTGATGCCCATTGCACCTCCTATCAAAGGGTGTTAGCTGGTAGGTCTGACAGGACATGGAGGGATCGTCTGGTATCTAACTTGTCAAGTTGTACCATTTGGCATCTACCTCCGGTCCCACACCCGCATAATCGGAATGGGCGCTATAGAATTGTCGGTTCTCGTAGACGATTCCACTTTCAAAACCCGGCACTTTACATGATCTGTCAGAATCCACGCGGTGGATTAGAAACCGAAGGTGCACCTACACCAGTAGTCTATAGGTTTTTCAATGAAGCCTTCTCGGCGGGAATGGGGCACGGCTGTCCAGATGTTGAAAACAAGCATCACAGTATTCAACAAGAGCAGGACGACACAAACAAATCCGAATATTAGGTATTTTCGGCTCATGCGTAGACTCGAATGGGTGACATGGTCCTCAAATGGCTTGCTAAGAAGTACTTGTCTGGCTTCGTCTTTGTCGAGACTGCTGCTCCCATGGCAGTCACTGCCGTCGTCAACTGCGCTGTATGCGGCATCTTTCATCTTCGTTTCTATCGTTAACAGAACGGCCTTGGTTTGCCCTTGAGATAAGTGATTAGAGTGGCTGTGAATACTCCTTGACTCGGTTTATGTTGTCTGTCACATAAATCCCATCACTAGATCACCATCGGGAGGGGTTATGTCATGATAGGATTGAGTGGTATTTAGCAGCTCTCACTCGGTCATCAGAAAATGGATGGCGTCACAAGGGCAATCCTTGCCTATCCTCTGAAGTGTAAGCACTATTGACACATATATCAAATCAGTCGCAGATCACAAGGTAGATCGCCGATGGAGCGGTCATGAGCGCCATGTTGCACATCATCGCTGCTGTGATACTCGCATTGTACGCACTCTACTCCCAACCCTTAGTTCGCGTGATCACCTCTTTCACAATTTCCAGAGATCTATCTGCAGCCACCTTTCTGATTATCTACACTCCATTACAGTTGCAATTTTACTACTGCATCTGATCAGTGTGTCATTCCACTTGTTCATGCTGATAGTTGAGCTGTACATACTGTACGTGGAGCCAAGAGAAACCAATATAGGAGATTATAATAACTGCCTCCTTCAACGGCGGGACTTGACATTCCAGGAAAAAGCAATATAGGAGTTTATAACGACTGTTTCCTTCACCGGCGGGTCGTAGAAACTCCAGGACAAAGCAATATGGGAAATTGTAACGACTGGTTCCGTCACCGGCGGGTCTTAGAAATTTGTAATAAGGTTGGCTAGACCCAGTACAGCAGAGTATGAGGCCAAGATTTAATACGGTAATGGCTACTCAATCTTCACTGTTAGTTCAATATTTCTCTTCAATATACGGAGAATTGTAGTATCTCACCTCAGAAAAAGCATAACAGGCAACCAAAATCAGTCACATATGGTACACTGCATGATGGTTGACTAGCGCAATCCCCGATCATCCAACCTCAGCTCAATTTCCTTCCTGAGCTCAATATTGCATGGACCTCCACCCGCTGCCTCACAATGTACATGATGTCGGGACATATCTGACCACCCTCTGGTCTGATGGTTGCAATATATTACTTTTAGTCTGACGGTCAGTGCGTTGACACATGACAGGAAATCCAATGAAAACATGGACATGTGGAAGACAAGCATTGTTCACTGACGTTTCAACAAGTAACTTCCAAGTAGCGAGGAGCGTAAATGCCTCATAGAAGCGGGCTATATTGGGAGACCTGACTACAGTATATAATGTAGGCCCAAACCTGGAATTCGGGCTGCAAGTCTAGTATCTCAACAACAGCAACAACAACAACAATCATCAAGCATACTACTACCACCAGCTAAAAAGAGAACAAAATGCGTTCGATTATCTGGCTAGGTGCTCTTATCGGGCTGGCCATGGCGGCACCAAGTGCGTCTATTCCGACAGAGAACGGCAAGCGGGAATGGCTCGACGGCTACGGTGGTGGTAGTGGAGACAGATATGGTGGTGGCGGTGGTGGTAGTGATCGCTACGGTCAAGTGAGTTACTTCCAGCTCATAATGGGGGGAGGATACTAATATTTTACCAGGTAAAGCGGGAATGGCTTGACGGTTACGGTGGTGGCAGCGGAGACAGATATGGCGGTGGTGGTGGTGGTAGTGATCGCTACGGTCAAGTGAGTTACTTCCAGCTCATAATGGGGGGAGGATACTAATATTGTACCAGGTTAAGCGGGAATGGCTTGACGGTTACGGTCGTGGCGGCGGAGACAGATATGGTGGTGGTGGTGGCGGCGGTGGTGATGGCTATGGAAGGGTAATGCCCCTACCTTCTCGAGCAGTGAAGATGCTAATGATAATGTATAGGCGTAGCCACAGCCCGTTGGTAGGCGACAAACTCTGCAGTAAGCAGCGCTCGATGTATGCTTTATTGTGCAGTTCGCTCATCAAAACCAGGCCCTTTTATCAGTTACGCTTCCGATGGATGTTTCCTTGTTCTTGATGCAGCATTCAACATGCAAGGTACTGTATGGCTGTGATGTTTGACAGGCTTTGCCTCTTCTTGTCACCTAGTCTTGAACCTTAGTCATTAAATGAACACAAGCCATGAAATTTTGACTCCATGTCGAGGAAATAGTTCGAGAAAAGCTCCTAATTGTCCCCTGGTAGCTTGCATCCTTGTTAGGACACCTTTGTAAGTCTTCAATAGGCCATTCACCTCATCTTTAATTAGGGCAAGCTCAGGTTGGTGATATAGAGTATAGTATCGTCGACCGAATATTAGAATAAAGGTGTCGGGTACGCTCGATAAATGGAAGATAAAAAATAAATTTACGACTATTTTATTAAAAAATGATACTTTTTTTCTAAGGGAGAAGATTATATCTTTAATAAATGATACTTCCTTGCTCCATGATACAAAATGGGAACAAGCCATCACACACATCACCAACTATTCATCTCGGCAAAGATGTCCCCCCCTCCATACAAGTGTCTTCTAGGTCCTGCTAGAGCCATTCGGGAGGCGTCTACTCGCTCATTCACCATAATAGCCGGCAACAAGGTATGACTGTTTCCATCAGTCGTAAAGCATACCTTGGAAAGCCGGAACCTCTCCTGCTCACGCAGTATGGCCACAAAGTCGTCAAGGATGTGAATGGTACTGCTGTTCTCTGCCAGATGAAGTCCATCAATGACCCAGATAATTGATGGCGGTGCATGCACCAAGAGCTCTCTGATTATGTTCAATGCAGTGGAGGCAGTCCCTATCGCCCCGTCAAGAAGTTCAAACTGCCCCAGGAGTATCGGAGCACCGTGGAAGTCTGCGGGAAGTAGACGCGTAAGTTGTGCGATGATGGTGTGCAACAACGCGATGACAGAGGCTTCCTGATTCGAAAAATTCGTGGCAAAATCATACCTTGGCTTACAGAAGAACGAGATATAGGGAATATGTGCCCTGGTGCTAATTGCGCACAGCTGCATGGCTGCCAAGGAGAGATTGGAACCATAAGAGGACAAAGGATCCCCCTCTATCCAGATCATCTTGGATTGGGGGCTCCGCACCCAGTTCTGAATCTCACCCAACACTTCCTGTGGAAGCAATGAAGATGGGTTTCCCCGGAGCGCATTGGAAAGCTCTTCTCTGCCATCCTCTGTGTATTCTGCGAATGACAACGTGGCTTTCTGAATGTCGTAGCGCGTGCAAGTCATGTCCGCGTCTGGAATGATTTATCAGAAAGGCACAATAAAACGCAATGACTCTCACAAATGTACCAGAGTCTGACTCATCTTTCAATGTCTCGACTTCTGCAATCTGAACATCTATCGGCTGAACATCTCTCGGGCTCACCGGCTTCTCACCTATCGTCACCGACTGTCGAACTAGATCACAGATTAGATTGCCAGTCCAGGGTGGCTGAATCGGCCAACCTACCGTATTCTGCATTTTTCTCAATGTCCTGCAGAGTTTCCAGCGAACATGATCCTACAAGCTGACCGAAGTGATGGAGCTTCGCCTGCGTCGCATCCCGGCTATCGCCACGACTTCCACTCCCCACAACGTGAAGATAGAGAAATTTGCCAGAGACATCAATACCAGAGGCGTCAATTGACCAGAACTTGGCCCAGCTTGCTGTTGATTCCCAAGACCTGCTTCTCTGCGAGATGTGCCGCTTCATCGCGGATCCGTGCTACCGCCGATTTCATCCGATCGACCAAGTCCCTGACTTCGTGATCATAGGAACTCCTATCCAGGATCGTCCGATATCGATGACGTGGTCGACTGAACCATGACATTGCGTTGCAGAGAAATTCGAAGACCATCACGTAGTAGTCAACCACGAGCGTCCTCATGTCCGGGCTGTCCCAGATATCTGTCTTCTTTTGGACCAGCCTCACATCACTGCTGAGGTCAACCAAGGCGGAAAAGAACCCTTCAGCAATTCGCTTATAATTGGCACATATCTAAGTACTCGAAGAAGTTTTGAGCTCATGGCTAGTTCGTATTCTTCGGATCTGCATGCATACCTTAACAACCGACGATACGACACCCGTGATGAGGCTGATGTATTTATCTCCGGTCGGAATGAATTTGAACAGGTAAGAATGATCGTCCATCATCTCCAAAAAGTCTGCAACGTAACTTTTGATCTTTCCCAATCCTTTACTTCTTTTAGCTTGCCATTCCACTTGGGCGTCTTGGACGATGTTTCTCAACGTTGTAATATTCGGTACCTCTGGGACGAGCTGGCCGGCGCCCACTGCTGGAAGTTCATGATGATGCTCCCTAAATCGCTGCCAAATCTCCACAATGCTCCTGCGACCGTCATCTAACCGCTTCAAACCCGCGTCGCTGGTAAATGATCAAGACTTAGCATGACACCGCTTTACAAATGCTTGCCAGAGTAGATGATCTGCCTCACTCTGTAGCTTCCCCGAACTTGAGCCATTTGGTCCATTCTTCGGCCTGGCGCTGGGACTGCCTTTCTAATTCATCTTGGTGTTTGATCGTAGAGCTTAGAGCCTGAGTGAGCGGATTGTGAGGCGTCTCGTGCTCTGCTTTCATACTATATCGTCGGATCAGAGAGGATATCGGTGGTTGTGTCATTGCTTTCCCGTGGACCTAAAGGCACGAAAGGTCAAGGGTTGTCGGAGTCTATTTGTAAGTGGCGTGTTTCATATAAGAGACGAGTTGGTGATGGATTCGTTAGTGGGGCGGAGAGGGCTTGGGCATTGGGCACTGAGAGATATCCCATGTCTTTTACGCCCCCAACCAGCCTCGTCCGTGGCCGTCTGAGAGCCAGCCGCCAAGGCCAAGGAAAACAGGGAACACTCGTATTGGCATGAGTGGTATGGCAACCGGACACGGGCTCTATAATCGCTGAGCCCTGAGGATGAAGCGCTAAGGGGGATGCTAACCCTCCCAGCCTCCACAATACGGTGAAATCTGCAGATAAGCAGCGCAATAAGCTTAAGCGAGGTTTTATAGGCTGAGTGTATATATGAAGCCTCAAGCCTGTCTATGATGACCGCCAAAGTATGTTTCTTCGGAATCAACAAGTTGATACTCGTTCTCACGCCCGGCTTCACGAGCAAGCATACAAAACCATGAACGACAGCGCCGCAGGAGAGGTGAGTGTCATATCCTTGGGCACTTCTTCGGTCTCAACCCCACCTACCGACATAAGCATAAATGTCGGCGCAGATCCAAACTCCACCGTGTCGGATGTCAAGACACCCCAAAGTAGCGGGGCAGATCACTCGCCAAATTCCGATTTCGAGGAAGGTGCCTCAGGGGAACCAGTGACACAAACCGGCGGGGAGGGAGGTGTTTCCAGTGAACAAGACAGGGATCAGTGTGAAGATAATCAGGTATCTTGGGCAACTTTATACTGCCCAGAGAATGGACGATCCCATGCGACCCTCCTAGATTTTGGGCTTGGTGAATGCCCCAAGTGCAGTCAGAATTTGATGGCTATGTGGACGCAGCCCGCGTGGCCTCAGCAAGAATTCGAGAATCCGCAAGAATACAGCAGTCAGCGGTTCAATAACGAGGCAGGACCACCTTTGCCTATGAATGGGGAAGCTGAGCAATCGGCTCCCGCGCCTGAGGTACACGGGGACCCCAAGACCAAGCCTTCCTCCATTGTCACCTATTGCCTGGAGTATCGAGATAGCGGGAATAACATTATCACCACAGTGCCATGGGCAGGGCCCTTCGACAGCTCTGTAATTCGGAAAAATGCCGAAGTGAAGCAGGTCGTCATCTTCAATGTCACCACCGTTCTGGAAACGTCTGTACCATCGGATCCCCACAGGTACGCACATGAAACCGAGGGCCTACTACAAAATGGTATCATAACGAACCCGATAATCGACGTTGGGGTCCATTCCACCCGCATAACTATCTTTTCCAAGTCGCTCCTCAATGCCCTCGCTCACGTGGTAACTTACTACCCAGCTGAAAGACTGGGAGGGGAATATATCCAGCTCAATGCGCCATTCACATTAATTGGCCATCATCTTAGCGAGCTTGAAGCTTACCGAGCGACATATCGCGAAGATGATGTTGGTTCTTCACAGCCAGATGCCGCAGATCATGAGTCTGTCCTCCCAATATGCGACAAGGAAACATTTGATCAGCTAGGCCTTCTGCTTCATTTTGTGAAAGACTCATTTTATAAGGATCGTCTCAGCGATGAACTTGCGCGGCATTCTCGGAACCGTTGCACATTCCCAATGTTATGGTTACTCTTCAAACCCGGAGAAACTGTCTATATGGAGTCAGGGGGTCAACTGTCAGCCTACGTGGTCCAATATATGCAGGTTGACAGAACCCTGCTCTCATCCACTAGTCGAAAGTTTACTCATCCCTATATCATCCAGTTGTGGAATCTTGATTTCAATGGGACATTTGTCGGGAGGCGCTCTAGAACCGTGACTATCGCACACTTTGATGGCGAACGACAAGTCACCTCGCTCAAGATCTTCCCAGGCCACTTTATCGACAGGCAGGACAACGGAAGGACTCGAAAGCACTTAGAGGATCTTGGACAAAAATGGTATGAGCTTCTTCAGGGAAAGCAGGTGTTCTACTCGGGCGAGTTCCTGGGTCCATCTAAGCGACAGGTAAGCATGCGCTGATCACTCGCATGAGCTACACTGACATATCGTGGTAGTACCAAGGTCGCGTCTATGTCGACTCAGCTTCATATTTCGCACAGCACGAGTACACAGCTCCAGATATCTGCGAAGTCGAGGACATGGGCGATGGACTAGCCAAGTGCCTCTGCGAAGAATGTCGTGGCTGGAAACCTCACCCGTTGCCTGACTTCCGGTGGGCCGCTTATGATCTTCTGGACCCGAGAGCGGATAAAGATCTTGAGCTTCCTCAGTCCCCGGAAGGTGCTCGTCATCGCTATTTACTCTGCAGTCGGGTGCTTTATGGGCTTGTCCTGAAGTCCAGGACATGGGGTCAGTGCTACCATGTCGAACCTACCTCTCTCAACGAATAGCTAACAGGCGCAGAGGAACTCAATGTGGCATATTGCCAGGAGCCGAAAGTGAACAGAAGGGCCATTGATAGTCTGGTTATGCCCGAAGCGAGAAAGGAAATGATTCGAGCTCTTGTGCAGAAATACACAGATCCCACGCCGGACAAGCGCAGTAAATCGTGGGGAGCCGACTTCATTGAGAACAAAGGCGAAGGGCAGATATTCCTCCTTCATGGTAGTCCGGGTGTTGGGAAAACCTTTGTAAGTTGTATTCACCTCCTGTATGGCTGGAGTTCCATTAACTGTTGCAGACTGCCGGTAAGTCGGAAACACGTTGAATACAAGACGCCGCTCCACCACTGACCCAACCCAGAATGTATAGCCGAATACACCGGACGGGCATTGTTATCGCTGACCGTTGGAGACATCGGTACGGACGAAGTCGTAATGGAGAAACAGCTGTCTAAATGGTTCAGACTAGCCGAACAATGGGGCGCGGTTATGCTCATCGACGAGGCGGATGTTTATCTAGAGAGGCGACAGATTACAGATCTTAAGCGCAATAGCCTGGTATCCGGTAGGTCCAATCACTAAGTTCTCAAAAAGCCACTCTAACTCCTTTCTTCTATCAGTGTTCCTTCGATGTATCGAATACTACCGAGGGATCTTATTCCTGACGACTAACCGGGTCGGCCATTTCGACGACGCCTTCATCTCCCGAATTCACGTTGTCATTCGGTACGACAATCTGAGCGAAGAAAACCGGAGAACAATCTGGGAACAATTTTTCGACAAGTTGACCGACGAGCGCCATGATTTCGTTGTGACTCGGCGTGCAAAATCTTATGTCTTAGAGGATGAAGTGATTAGCAAAATGCAATGGAATGGACGAGAAATCCGTAATGGTATGTCACCCGCCAGATCTTTTACCACGGACAAGAAATGCCTAACATAATCGCTTCACCTTATTTTGTATAGCCTTTCAAACGGCCGTTGCTCTCGCCGAATACCGCTTCTCCCAGAAACCGGACAAGTCCAAAGACGACGGACCGACCTTAGACCAGCGAGACTTTGAGCAAGTGTGCAACATGACGAGAGACTTTAAGCAGTATCTTACCATCGTGCACGGTATCGATGAGGAGGATCGCGCGTTCCATGCTAAAGGGTTGGAAATCTCCGGAGGCCTTGATAAAACTGAAACTATGTTGACCGGCTTGGGGCCACAGTCTGTGTAGATATGGAAGGTGTACTCAGTCAAAATAGCACAAAGATGTCACGTAGACACTATGTGATGTCAGCCATACCAACTAGGTCATTCACGCATCACCCCCTTCCTCATGACTCACATCTTACCGTACCATTCACTAGTAACTTTATCAACATTCTGCCACCTACCCTACCCATTTGGGGTACCCAATCAGCTCCCCCAATCCTCCGAGAAGTCGAAAGAATCGCGAAAATCCACTTTACTTGACAGACCAATTATTCGACGCGCGGTGACGCGCAGAGGTAATTATAGAAACAGATCATATCTGATTAGATTGTCTTCTTATCTTGTAGCCTGAGGCCATGGAAGGAGACGGCATGCGCGGCAACGCTTGCATACCATGAGGGAGCGATATTGTGCTAGCATCTGGTGAAGTAGATCAAATCTACGTCACGAAATGGTACTGCGGCAAAGACAGAGTCTGCCTTTCAGCTATTCGAAGAATTTGCGAGTCGTTGACTTTGTTTTGGAGAAATGTGCAAATACAATCACTCCTGGGCTTGAGATCACTAATATTGAAGGTTATCACCAATGTAATTTAGAGTAGGTGGGATTGATCGACTTTGATGATTATGTGGGGCAATACGGGCTGGAATTGTTTGTATCCCATGTAACACTCCAGTCCTTGAGGGCTTCCAAAGTTGTTAATGATTTGGAAGGATGGAAGCCATGGTGTTCTAATTTATCCCTTTACAGAACGTCAACTAGTAAAGCATCTAGACGATCAATAATGCCTGACCACTGCCAGCCTTTTGCTCAAGCATTTCTCCCCTTGCTATAGTCCGTCTACGCAAAAAGAGGAAGCGGGGGATATAGAGCCACTCAACTGAAGGGACTTTTGTAGCAAGCCCGATAGCACCCTTCACCATAATCCACTCCATCGCCTTGCTACGATAGCACAGACACCAATGATAGCCACTGCGAGAAGGATGGTATAGATTGACCCTTAACAAGGATCAATGACTGCAGAGACGAATACATCATCCATAATCTCTGGGTCCTGTTCCTTCTCATTTACTTCTATTGTGCGATGTTAGAGTGTTCTTATTGAACACAGCCGTGAAATATTCAACGATAGTCAGGCCTTTTACGAAATCCATCCACTCTACAATAGTAGGTAGGTAAGGACTCGTTTTCATTTCCTACAGTCCGATGCATACCGGTAGTCCAGATCTGGAGGTATAAAAATTTATCCGTACAATTCCTACGGGCCACGGGTGGATCCATGGTACTATATCGATTGAATGTCGATCAACCCTACTAGAGAAAATCTCACGAGTACGAGACAAAATTTGCATTTGACTTTGCGCTCTAAAGGGAAGTTTTCCAACAATGAAGCGAAAATGTCCCCACGTGGACCCAATAGAGTTACGTTATTTAAGCCCTTCAACTTATCACCAACATTTATTACAGACTTCCATGTGAGTAATTATGAATTCCTCAGAAAAGATTTCGTAATAAAACAGAGTCGTGACTGTCAAATTCCTTGTACCGTACTCCAGGCTTCAAGTTCAGATGTGCACTGGTAAATACCAGATGATGTGCAAACCTTCGAATCAAGACTCAGATAATTAAGATGATGTTGAATGAACATGATACCACTAGTAAAGTTGATCTCCACTTCCGATGTTTGTATGTTAAGAATATTTGGTATTTCATGGAGGATGCTACGCATTTCTATTCCCCTGATACAGATGCATTACATTCGGTTTTACTCGGAAAATGTCATATTTTCACTACACATCCATGTGAGGACTAAGGTGGATTTCACTTTCCAACTCGGATCTTCTTCTGTAATTTGAGATTTCTGACCAGGTGCCCTAAAATTAGGGAACCTTGGAAGCTGAGGCTATTCGGGGGGGGGAGGAAATCCAGTTCATCAGACCATGACACATCGCGATATACTACTTACAGTGGGCAGCTTCTCGACAGGCATCTATGGAAACAGGCTAATCTTTAAAAGTGGATACCCTTCAAGTGTTCGCTCTGACTCGATCTCGATGAACTTGGGCGAGCTTTAGTGTACGTACTTTGTCTGACAGGTAAATAGCTTGCAGGGCAAAGTTGGTACATGAGGCAGGAAATGGTACATTGTCCAGGTGAAATAATATGTTCCTTCGCATATTGGTCAATTGATACACTCAAAGATATTTTACACTCAATCTGAAAGATGTAGTTTGAAAAATCCCGTCATATGCGTCGAAAGAAAAATAAGTGATAGGGATGACACGTGTCCCTCGGACTACGCACAAGGTGTTGTGAATCTCCGTCAAGACTGGAGAGGTCCAAGTCCTGCGGTTTGAAAAAGCACTCCAACTCCGGCTAGTCAAGCATGATGTCGGACGTGTTCACCAAACTGCGCCTAGACCGGGCGTGTCATGCCAATAGGAATGAGTTATGCCGAGCATTGCACCGGTTCCTGCCCCTCGTAGTCTATCTTGCCGATGAGTCAATAGATGCATCGTTATTCGCGGCGCTGCAGATGAAGAAGTTGTTTATATCACAACGAGTTACAAAGGGGGGCGCTGATCGTATCTCCATTGTTTTACTGCGGATCTTCCAACTGTGATGGCACTCTCAACTACGCCACCAGCAATTTCAAAGCGGATGCTCCTACCCAACCGGTAGTATACCACATGTGCATTATAATAAAAGCCTGCTTAGAGTACATTTACGCTATTCCCCCAATTATCTAGGTCAAAGTGTCCGCTAAATCCTCCGGCAGGGTGCTTTTCGAAGGGTTGAAGAATGCGCTGACTAATACTACTTTTCGAAAACTGTCTTTGCCAAACACGGGAAGCTCAGAGAATTGGAAGACAGACACATGTGCAACAGAGAGTGGGTGAACGGAGAACGGTGGACGTACTCTCGACCCAGAAGGGCATTGTAGCATATATAACTTAATTGGTGGAGGATGGGAATGGCCTCTGAACTGGCTGGTAGCGGTATTTTCCAGCACGATGATTCCAGTGACAGGTAAGCTAGCGACAACGCACTCAAATCATCATGACACATAATACCGAACAGCCATTGAACAGGCCGGAAAGCGTTTTCAAAGGCAACAACCATGTCCACTTCGGGCCCAACTACGATAACTGGATTAGCCTTCCCGTTATATCGAACAGTAATTCAACGACGGTATCTGTATCACATTCATAGTTTCGCTATTACTGCGCCATTCCAAGAAGATGTTATAGTTCGTTATTTGATATCCTGAATTCAATTCCTTTATATTACACTACTAAAATTATCTTCCTATTCATCTAATTACTTTTAGACTAGATCACAAACACTGTCCCCAATCCTAGTAGTTAGTATATATTAATCTTCAAGCAGAGCACTCCTGGTTTTCAGGGTCCAAAGGCCAGCCTCTTGATCGGATAGAATTTATCCAAGTCCTTGGCTATTCCCAAGGCGGACCGAGTCCTTGTTCTGGCGCTGGGAAGGGTCATTATGGCTCCGAGGACGCCCCAATAACAGCATCTAAGACCCTAACGCAACCTATATTCCATTCTCAAAGCTTGTGTTTCCAGCACCCGGCAAATGATCATACATATTCTTTGTGTCCTATCATTTCAACCCCACTTATCGAAGCCGGTAGGATTTCATCTCCCCTCCATGTCAAAGTTCACCTCGCCGACCAAATCTCGAGCATGCTTTATGATCCTCATTAACGCCACGTTGGATATGTCGGTGACCATCTGCATCATGGCCCAAGCGCGCTGCACCGCCTCTTTATCTCCGGTCAGGGCGGACGGTGGCAGGGAATCAGCACGTAGCTCTTGCCATAGAGGAGAGAAGTCGACTGTGGTCGGCGCTTGGAAGTACGGCGGTAATGGAGTACCATGTTTGATGCAGGCGGAGAGGAGTAATAGGGCGGATGTCATTTGGTGGGAATGAGTGGACACGGATTCGAGGACCATTGATGATGTGAAGGTGGAAGAGTGAGAGAGCAAAGGCCACGACTGTGAGGAGTGAATAAGGAGGTTGATATAGTTCATTATACTTTTGGGAAAAGAAATGGGCTGCAGTTAGCATTACCAACAGCGATCAGGGGACTTAAAAGGCGAACAGACAGGGAGGAAAGGAACGCGAACAAGGAAAAAATGTTTTCGACTCACCTCAGTGCTTCTTGCATGATAGACATATAATTTCGTACGGGGTACCGCCCTCCAATCGGTATATTAAATTTCTGGAAAAGCGCATGCATTCTTAACGGGGTGACCAATGTCATGATACGCTGGAATAGTTGCTCCTGCGTGCCGGCGAGTCTTCCCGCACCTCCTCCACCGGGGCTAGGAGAGAAATCCAGTGCCATCATGTCATCGTCTTTCACTGGCCCCCTCAGCTTGAGGCTTGCAATAGAATGCCCACAATCCTGGAATTGTGCAAGCAGGGAAAGCATATCTCCGAGCTTGTCACCCAGGAGCCCGCGGTCCGTGATGGGGTAGGGAAACACTGTCCACACGTACGCGATGAAAGAGCCGCAAGAACGCTGAGAAGCCGGTACGGGGCGCTCAGGTAAAGCGGGTAGTCTTCTTGGCCCATCCCGACTACAGTTGTATGCCCCAGCTTCTGCGACTGCAGGGCAATGCCGATGATGGCGACGATCGGGACCAGGGTGCAGAGCCAGACGGCGAAGAATTTGGGAACCTTGAGGAATCCGTACGATAGACCGAAGAACGCAAGCCAGGTAAGAGTTAGAACTCCTCTGTCATGGGAGGTTAGCTCTCAAATTGTGTGTTGAACGAAGGGGGAAAAGGGTGACTTACGCGGGTTTGCCGTCAACGATATACCAGCAGAGATAGCATATCACCATTGCTGCGGTCGCGCCCATGACTTGGGCTGCAAGCTTGAAGGTACTTTCTCCGGAGGCGACACTCATGGCGACCAGGATTACTATCAAGGGCCAAATGAGCCTCTGCTGGTAGTAGAAGGTCCAGGTCTTCTCCAGGTATGCCAGGATTCCCACGGTAAACGCCGCGAGGGCCATTCGAAGCCCAAAGGCAGATTCTTCAGAACTGAGCAGCCGGGATACCGCTCGTAGATGGTCAGTATAGCGCTCCCATGCGTTGCGAGGGGGGGAATGATGGTGGTGATGTGTCTTGATCTGGGCGGTTTTCCTCCCCTGAAGCCCACTCTCGATGAGGTCTGCAACCTGACTGGAGTGAATATCTGATTGTTTGTTTGTAAGGTGTTGTAAGTGCGTTGTGAAATGATGGCGGCGGGGAAACACCCATCGCCTTCTCTGCATTGTACCGTCTTTCGTCTTCGAATCCGCGAAAAGAACAAGCTCGTGGACCGCCACGGCAATACCGTACATGAGGTTCCCGGCTTGAAGGAAGATGTATATATGCTTGGGGTCCCATGCGCTGGATGCCCCCTCGTTCCCTTCAGTCCATGTACTGAGAAGCTCACTTTGACGACCTCGGAACGCCCGAATCTTCCGACTCATGTAGTCTGCGAAATTAGGAGAACCGGGCTTCTGGCACTCAACGTCGGGGGTTCTGTTCTGGTTCGGCATGTATTCGAGGACGGTTACCGCGTGCTGCAGTCCTTCATCGATGACCTGGGCAATCTCTGTGAATGGTTCATGCATTTTCGACATGACATGGTTCCAGAACTGTCGCAATTCACGCTGCTGGTCTACCGTCGGGTCGCTTCTTCCTCTTTCTCCCTGGACGATTGGCCTTTCGAAATCAACCCCATCAAATAACTGAATGATAGTTTTTATACCAGCCATTGGGGTGCGAATCGCTCGAAAGGCTCGAAAAAGTTGGTGTAGGTCGTCGGCATTTAACTTGCCATAGGCCACCTCTCGCTTAGCGCTGATCGTGTCGGTATATAATTCCATATGAAGAGCGATCAGTTGGTTGAGGCTCTCGTACAGAGCTTCTCGCTCGGGGAACGGTCTTTCTTTGCCGGCATCGTTCTTCCCCCTCAGCTGCCCATTGACTGGCTGCTCAATTATTCCTAAGGCTCGATAGTACGTGGATTGCCTCGCTATGAAATCCTGTAGGGCTGCAAAGTAGGCAATCTGCTTCCTGAACAAGACCATTCAGGTCGTCATTGGAAAGATGAGCAAGGAGACTGCAGTCGCGATTCCAAATGCAATGAAGAATATCTCGAGTAACTCCACGACCAAAGAGATAGCTTGGTCCATGGTATGGAAGCGAGGGGCGTAGGTCATGGTGATCATCGTCATGACGCTGAACATGTAAACACAATTCTGAAGGAGTGGAACTTTGGCCCGTAGGGTTCCTGCAGCCCATTGCGTGCAAAAGAACCAAAGCGCACAAACTGCCGCTTGTGTGGAGTTGTAGGAGGCTGTTGAATCCGACGTGGTTGTGTGCTGGCGAGCTTTAATTCCGCAATACATGGTAAGGAGAGACAGGGCGGATCCAAGGCAAGTGGCTAAGATGTTCAAGACAAGCCCTTCGAGATACTTGGCGCGCGGGAGCATAGCCATGCTGAAGAAAGCAATCATGGCCATAATATATCCGACTGTGGTAAAGCGCTTGGCGATGTGGTCGGATTGGTAGATAGCGAGCGAGATAGTCATCGGCAGCGAGCCTCTTTGCAGCCAAGAATTGTCTGTTAGCCTGCTCAATCTCCACGCATCCGAGTTGGAACTTACTTGACCATCATTATGACCAAGGGGATGTTGGGCAGAATTCTTTCCCATAATCTGGGCTTTGCAGCCTTGCGCGGCTTCAAATTTCCAGCTGTACTGTTATCGGTGGCTTCACCCCCCTTTTCAACAGGTATTGAGTAGCTCATTGCGGAGTGGCCAGAGAATCCTCAATATGTCTGAGGAAGGGGTGGGATGAAGACTGCACGTATATCTCGGTGTCATAGAGCAAATGCAAGTAGAGGAGCAGGTTTATGAAGACAGGGCTTGCGGATGAACGGTCAAGCATATGTACACGAGAAAGTGCCCAAGGCTCAGATGGAGGACACCAAACGGGCGATTCAAATCACCCAGACTCATTCCTTTATTATTTTCCGAATAGCTGCTGAGTCTCGGATTTTGCAACGGGCTTTGGATTAAATTGTTTTGCAAGTCCTATGTCTTGGCTCAGCCCTACTGTATATAGATAGATCCACTCTTCTTAAGATGCTCGTGTTGTCATGGACTCACGCAAGGGGTTGGTTTGGAGGAGGTTCTTCTCATGGAAAAGGTCTGCTGACTACGCAGTGGATGGATGTACACCACCATGTCCCTGAGTAATTATGTCTCGAGCACCCACTGTCCTAATACTGGACCACTGTATCTAGTATTTCCAGCTAATTTCACATAAATTGCGATTTGCCACATCTGCTCGAGAGTGAAAGCTCGTCCTGCGGATCAACGTACGGCGGTGCTCCGAACCACCGAACGCCCGATGACCCATTGACCACCAAGTGAAGATTTGCCTGCAGACCAAAATCCAGGCCCTGACACTGTGGATACAATTGAATGTATAAGCTAGGGAGTGTACCAAGCAAATATTTCCAAGGTTGCTTATCAAAAGCTTACGGCGACCCATAAATCACTTCTATAGGTCCTATAAGCAGAGCAAATGTCCACCGTTTCACTTGTAAGTACTTCGTGTGTTCATTGTAGACAGTCCTTGGTACTCAGAATGGGTCTCTTAGATTAATCACAAGCCAATCTCAATCGAATCTTTGTTTATAACACCTGCAGGAAGGGAACGTCCCAACGAAGCAGGACACCTATGGTGGCTGGTTTCGTCCTGTGTCCATGCATCCAACAGATATATTAGGATATACCTCTGGGCGTAAAAGGCCGACTACAGGTGGGTTTTGAAATAAACAATCTTATTGTTGCAATTATGGTATTCAAAATTAGTTGATAGAAGTCGAATAAGCTATGAGTACTCGTCCACCCTTCGTGCCTCGCTACACCTCCTCAGGTCTCAAATATATGTAGAAGGCACAACCAAGAATTGAACCCCAGGCCACGATAAGAGTCCTCTTATGGCCTCATTCCTAAAAGAAAGCCGCTGTGATGGCCACCACCCCACCAACCAGGGGCAGGAGACTCCGGATGCCATTCAACACCACCCATCGGCCGAGAAGATCGTTGCTCTGAGCCACTTCAGTGGCTGTCAGCTCGCCTCGGGATTTGGCCAGCTTGATAAGGGCATTGTTGGTTGGTCGCATCGTGAGGATAGTGTACGGCACAATGCTCACAGTCAAAACAGCAGCCGTGGTATAAAGCCCAGCCAGATTGTACGTCGTGGGGACGCCGGGGTGGACGGACCAGGCGAGGTAGAGGAATGCGGCCGCCGTGATAGCCGCAACCGGCGGATTCTGGGACTTGCCGGCATCATAGATTTTATTCCACAACTTGACGACTGTACCTGGCGGTACTGACTTCTCCTCTCGAGCATTGGCCAATGCTGGGACGGCGATTAGACTGAGAGCAGCAATGTTGCCTGTGTAGGGTTGTGAGTGTCAGTTAGAACAGTAGAGAAGGGGGAGGATGGGCGCTACCAGACAGCCATGCTGCGCCACTCAGGCCGACAGCCAGCGCAATACGGTATCCAGGTGGATATGTGCTCATTGTATTAAGTAGACTAGTTATTCCGATGGATATAGGATTAGTGGGTGTAATAAGGTATGACCATCAATCACGGGGGTTTGAAACTACGACTAAATTTATATTAAAATGAGTAATGATTGACGAATGGGTGAATGAGGTCACATCCCCATCCCAGTGAGTGAACTTGCCAACCAATGACGACGGCAACGACTTTCCAAAGGCCGCCAAAAGCCGAGCCAGCTGAAGTCGTTCCACCGGTTGTGGTCTTGGCGTACCGGAACTTGACTTGGCGAGGACTATAGGAGCTTAAGCATACCTGACTATTGCGGAGCGTCTCGCTAAATTGTAGGGATGATGGCAATCAAGGGGTGATTGCATGATGGAGAAATTGGTTCTCAGGTACTCCTTTCAACATAGCTTGGGATCGCAAGTCCTTACGGCTGATAGGGTCGCCATTAATTTATTTTTTTTTCTTTTTTCTTTTTTTTTTTTTTTTTTCCTCTCCAGAGAATGCTGTGCAGAGTCCCATTTGCAGTAGAGATTGCAGGTAGGACTCGGGCAAACAAGCTCTGGAATATTTACTGCACCAATATACAGCCCTCGAAAGCTCAACACAGTCTTAAAGATACATTCTCACAGCCAATAATCCTCCTATCAATGGGAAAACCGTTCGAACCATGTTCCACACACCCCAACTGGTTATGGCGCTCACAACGCGATCGGTTTCATGATCGGACCCAACTGCAGCCGCATATAAGATTTTCTCCGATCTTTTCAACACCATAATGGTGTAGGGAACAATGCTCAGGCATGCAGTCGCCGCGGCGAGAAAGGTGTTTCTCCGGGTTTCCAGTCTCAACCACCCAAAACAAGCCGCCGAGAACAACACCATTGGCGTACAAAGCCTGTGGCATCGCCGATGCACGTGGACCCACGCTGCGCGGCCAGGACAGGGGTTTCCCGAGCGTCAATCAGGGCAGTGCTGACACCGGCAAATGAAGAGGTAAAGATAGCGCCTATCAGAAGAGGGGTTATGAGTGAGTCTCGAATGAGCTGGAATTCACGGCTGAGGCTAGGGGTTAGCTCAACTTACCGGCCACAAACGACGAGGAGATTACTCCGGTTGCATGGATTAGGGGCAGATTACTCGTCATCTTGGTGGGCGAATGAATACACAGGCAATATATGGGCGAGAAATCTAGGGGGTGGAAAGACTGGTCCGGCTTTATATTCTGATAATTAGAAATGTGGATGGAAGACCCGCGTACAGGCCTCTGTAGGAGACGGGTCAATTGTGAAACCCGAACGCGGATTTAGGGCTCACCGAATCCCCGATGACAAACCATTGGCAAGAATTAAGATCGTCATCCAAATGGCGTGGTTATCTCTTGAGTGAATAGATAAAGAGCCTGTAGGTTAACCTGAGATGACCGTCATCGGGATCCCATCTCTATTACTTTATCTGCTACTTTACCATGCTCAAGTATAACAAAGTCATTGTCTTTGGTGCTACAGGGGATGTAGGCTCTGCTGCCGCTCTGCAAGCCCACCATGAGGGAGCCACAGTCTCCCTAGCGACGCGCAATTTGTCCAAACCCATTCCCCAACTCGCTCACATCCCGTTCAAGAAATATCAGGCCGACTTGACCCAGCCCAGTACCATAACGGCGGCTGTTCGTGATGCTGGCGCCAAGGCGGCTTTCATATATGGGGTGTTCGACGACCAGGACTTTATGAGAGGGGCTCTCCACACTCTCAAAGCGACCGGGGTGGAATTTCTGGTCTTTCTCAGCAGTTTTCTCATCCTCAGCGATATTCACAACGTGGACCCCTCTGACATCGTTCCCTGGGAGCACGCCCAGGTGGAAATCGCGCTGGAAGAAGTGTACGGGCGTGCTTCGTACGTGACCGTACGGCCGGCCTTTTACGCTAGCAATTTGTTCTACCAAAGGCAGGCCATCCAGCAAGGTGAGGTGAAGCTACCCAACCCGGAGGCGAAATTTGACTTCATCGCCTCGGAGGACATTGGCCAGGTCGCGGGGAAAATTCTGGTCCATGGTACCCATGAGCATATCGTGCGACTGCTGGGACCCGAGCGGATGACTTTAAGGGAGGCCATGGGGATTGTCGGGAAGGTCTTGGGTCATATAGTCCAAGTGACTGCTGTCACGCGCGAGGAGGCTGCTGCGCAATTGGAAGCCGCTGGCGTCCCACCCCAAATGGTTCAGTGGCATCTTCATAATGTTATCGACCGTGCTGGCTCGTATCTTGAAAGCCCTGAGGCTCTCACGACCGGTGATAATATTTCAAAATATGCCCGTCACCCTCCACAACGCTTTGGAGACTGGGTGGAGAAACACAATAGCCGATTCCTGGACTGATTTAGACTTCTACTGGGGACAGGCAATCCACACTGGTTCTATTAATTCAGTTACTTATTGAGTCTGATAATAGCGACTGCCTTTCTTATTACCAGCGATGATGAACCTTCCATAAATAAGACGCGGAAAAGAGTACACATCATGTAAAATATGTGTACTACTTGTAAGTCAGTTATCCCTTGTTCCAACACCGCCAGTGGCTGACATCGGAATCATGTGACTTGCCATTTCCGGCTTCACCAACATCTCGCTCCCATTTCTTCCCTCCTTGAAGACCCTTTATCTGTCTCTATTCACAGTAATCATTGGCTTTTAATCTTTAGTCTCGTCACACTCTGTCCACATCACCACTTCCCCCTCACCCCTTCAGGCCCCGCTTCCGGCCCTATTCAACATGCAAGTAATACTTCCCCACTCGTACATCTCACTGTTCTCGCCGCCACTCATCACCAATTGGTTTCATTGTAGGGCGAGGCGCCAGCGCAAACCGTCAGCTCATTAGGTCAAGCACTGCGAGCCGTCGGCGGCCTGACCAAGCCAAGTGGCAGAGGGCTGTTCATGTTCCAATGTCTACTGGCGGGGAGCTCGTCCGCCGCGATCATCGGTATGCTTGGGGCCACAGTCATGGGCTATGCCTTCACGGCAGGCGCGGTGGGCTTTCTTGGTGGCTCCTGTGTTGGCTTTGTTCTGGGAAGCATCGGTTACTACCGTACTTGTGCCCGGCAAAGCTTGATTGCCTTCCTCAAGTACCCGGATTTGCTCCGGCACCATATTGCCATTGACTTTGGTATGCACGGGGTGGACAAAGCCTCGCGGTTTTGGGGCACAGATATGCAGAAGACCATGTGTGATATTCAGAGCGATGTGGCTCTCCAAGGAATGCTCGTTGCTGCTTGGCATTCAGCAGTGCCGGCGATCGAGGTTTGTCTCGTCTTTGATTTTAATGGAATGGCGACAGTAGTGAGCTGAGAAGAGCTAACCAGAATTTACGAACCAGGAGATTCAAAGTCAGGAGGAGGCCCGTCTGGTGGCTAACAAAGAGTAGCAGTTGATGTGCCAGGGGAGGAGCGCGATGCAGAGCATTTCACGCTGTCGATGCGAATGGAGGATAAGATTCAGACTGTTCTTACATGGCTGCTATTTAGTTATAGCAACGATGTTGCACTACCGCGGTTCTTATAGCATATGGACAGTATATGAATTATGAACCATGTAATCACTGGTGCGACATGCATAGCCTAGATATAATTACCTTATTTTAAGGGGCTCAAATAATAGCTATAATACGTCCATTATTCTTCAATTCTCACGACCAGTTACTGCTGTTCCCTGCTTTTCTCGGCCCCCGGGCGAAATCCCGGAGATTTGCAAGTCTGCGGGGTTCCCAGTCAAACGAACGGCTATGATGACATGATTGTCCCGGGGAGGGCCAGTTAATGTTGATTGATATCTCATTATCTCGGCAAGAGGCGGCACGGTGTCTGGAATCATATCAAGTCTGTGTATATAGGGTACTTATTATCTCTGTAATCCAAGCGCCCAACATTCGAGATAGATCGTATAATTCTTGGAAAACACCATCTCAGACAGGCATCCCAGCGGTCGATCATCCGGTGAATACCCCACCCACCAAGCAAGGGCGGGCTAAATACCGGAGATGGAGCCGAGCCTCTATTCTTTATCTTCCACCAAAAACTCCAAGGCATGGGGAGGACAGAATCTTGGCAGTAGCTAATAAATATGAAGTGGTTACAACTGTTGTCTTTGGCTCTGCATCTGGGCTCCACAGCGGCAGTGAGCAGTTCCACGGAAAGTAAGTCAAGCTGGGCCACCCTAAAAGAGCATTGCATATACAACCCCTACTAACCACCGAACAACTATAATAAGGTATGAAAAAAGTACTCGCGCCTTTCAAGTATAACCCATTTCCCTTGGGTACGATCACCGCAACGGGCTGGGTGCATGATCAGCTGGAGCTCGAAGCAAATGGTTTGGCCGGTCATCTCTACGACTTCTACCGCTTTGTGGCCGGGTCAACGTGGGTCGGTGGCAGTTGGGAATACAGCACGCTAGACGAGGCAGCGCCCTACTGGTTTAACTACGTTGTTCCCCTTGCCTGGACGATCAACGACTCGCGTCTGAAAGCTCAGGCGAAGGAATTTCTCGATTACGTGCTAGACCATCAAGCTGAAGATGGATGGCTGGGGCCCGAGACCACTCGCCAGACCCGAGGAATCTGGGCACGTAGTCTGCTATGCTTTGGATTAGTAGTGAGTGCATGCACCCGATATATTTACATGTGGTTGCCTGTCCTAATCCAGCGATCCAGCAATATGCACAGGCAGATCCATCCGAGACAGAGCGGATTGTGACAGCGATGCATAAGTTCACCATTCTGGCACATTCCATGCTCAAGGACAACTTCACTGGCTTAATTGAGAACAAAACCCTTGGAGATAGCTTTGACCCCTACGGCTTTGGACTAGCGCGAACGCATGAATTGCCCATGTCGTTGCAGTGGTTGTATGAGAACTATCCACGCAACAACTCTGAAATCATTTGGGAGACCATGGAACTTATGTTTGCCGGCGGTGTCGCGGGTGGCAAGGACTGGACGACGTTCTTCGTTGAGGGTGTATTCCCTACCCTTGGAACGCCATATATCACGACCAGTTCATTCACCCATGGGGTCAATCTAGCGGAAGGTATGAAAATGAAGTCTAGTGCAGTGAAAAACTGTTGACCTGATCAGGACTACGGTATCCCACGGTGCTCTACCGCATGAATGGAAATTCTTCTCTGCTGGACCAGACCGCCTTAGCAGTAAACTTGCTCACCACTTATCAGTCGACACTTGCTGGGAGTATCACAGCCGATGAGCATCTGGGCGGACTCAGTCCCGAGAGAGGGTATGCGTCTCTTCACTTCTCTCTTGATTTACCATTTCTGGCACTGACTTGAAACAGCTCGGAGACTTGCATATCGGTTGAGATGATGTTTTCCGTGGCCTATCTGTATCGGTTCTATGGCACCAACGCATACGCAGACCGAGCTGAGCGCGTGGCATTCAACTCCCTCCCTGCGGCGCTATCGCCGAATTGTAGGTCTATGAGCATCTAGTACGAATTACCCCGGCTAAACTAAACTCTCTCAGGGTGGTCACATCAATATGTTCAGCAGGTCAATCAGCCTTGGTCCCGCAACCTGAGTGCCATTCCTTTCGGAAACGTGAACTCCTATGCCAACAGCTATGGCCTTGAGCCCAACTTTCCCTGCTGCACCGTCAACCACGGCCAGGGTTATCCCAAGTATGTGGCCGCTTCTTATGTGCTCGAGGGAGACAGCCATGTGATCCACGCGCTGCTGGGCCCCGAGACATTGAGCGCGAAGCTGGCTACAGGCAACGTGACCATCGCATGCACGACCAACTACCCCTTCTCCGGCCGACTGGAGTATGCAATCACGACCACCACTGACATCTCATTCTCTGTCCGTATTCCCGACTGGGTAAACAAAACGAACTCTCAGTACTCACTCACGGGCGCAAACTTCAAACCCTTATCCTCAGATTTCAGTAACCTGCAAACCTTCAACCTCACCAAAGGAACTACTCAGATAGTCATCGATCTAGAAATGGGCATCCAAGTCACCAAATCACCAGCCAACGGCACTGCAGCCGTCTATTACGGCCCTTTGCTGTACGCTCTTGACATCGATTATAACTCTACCCACCACAGCCCCTTAAACTACTCTTCCTTGGAGCCGCTGCCCGCCGACCAGATCGTTGCCCAGACACACGACTATGTGCTCAACCCGACCTCTGCTTGGCGGTACGCTATTGATCCCACCTCAGTCACTGTTCAGCAAGTCTATGACCGCGACGGACAACTCCAGAATCCCATCTGGGCAAAGAACGCTACTCCCGTTGCCCTGTTCGCGGATGCATGGTTGGTTCCATGGGAGGAAAACTTGGGAACCGCTGCGGTGCCCCCTAAGTATCCTAATGTCACCGGGTCTCCGAGTAAAATCCGCTTGGTCCCTTACGGCTCGGCAAAATTGCATATTGCCGATTTTCCCATTGCGGTGCAGGCGTCATAGGGGGTTATGAAAATAATTTTGTGGGATTATAAGTGAAGTTAGAATAGTCAAAGGAATACCATACGCAAAGGAGCGTCTCCAAAAATTCATTCATCAAGTGGCTTGGGACTTGGGATGTAGTCTCCATGAGCTTGATGGATTGATTGAATAGGGCGAGGTGCAAATTTATATAATTCAAGACCGGGGGGACTGGCAAATTGCAAGAGATATTACTAGTACAGTTTATAGTCGCCGATCATCCATAAGTTTTTCACCTCTAATCTCTGAATTTTCTGACTGCATAGCGTCGTTCACTCCGATCGAGATCTGCAGGATCCCGCCGCCAGACATTCCACCGCTCTAACCAATCGTCAACAAAGGTGCGTGCGCCAGGAGTTGGTTGTCTTGGGTCAAACTATCCATCTCAAAAGCTACTCCGCTAAGACTTAGTATAATTCTACCTCATGGCTATGGGGCGACTATCCCCGGCATCAACTCCATTTATGCGACCGCTGGTTCTGCGCTCCCATGTCGTGTCTCCGATTCCCAAAGCGCGTACGCCACCTCGTTGCGCCTTCGCTAGCACCGCGTTCAAACTGATACCCACTGGTGACAAGTGCAGCCCCACTGTCCTATATGAACCCCTTGAAGGTGTGGAGAGAATCGAGCACTATCTTCCAGGAGGCTATCACCCCATACAAATCGGAGGTCACCTTCATGGCCGATACCAAGTAATACATAAGCTGGGACACGGCTCCTACTCCAAAATCTATACCGCCGACTCAGATTCCAAGGAAGCTAGTATCTTAATCACTCTCACACATCCGCATTATCCTGCGACCAGTCATCCGGGCAAGACAATGCTCCCTTCAATTCGAGACACCTTCTCCATCCATGGTCCAAACGGAGAACATACTTGCTACGTTACCTCTCCTGCCAGGGCTAGTCTCTCCGATTTAAAAGATGGCTCATGGCTCCGCTTATTCCAACTTGACGTAGCCCGGGCTCTTGCTGCTCAGCTCGTTCTAGCAGTGGACTATATACATACTCGAGAGTTTATCCACGGAGACATTCATATGGGCAATATCCTGCTCACAACCTCTCGCGACATTGACCAGCTCTCACCAGAACAATTATATAAAAAGTATGAAGCACCTGAGCTAGATCCAGTGGTTCATTTAGACGGAAAACCGCTTCCTCCTGGGGTCCCATCCCACGGCATAGCGCCCATCTGGCTTGGAGAACCAAGCGAGAAAGTCACGCTTCCGGAGGCAAGTATTCTACTTGCAGACTTTGATGAGGCCTTTTCTTCCAAAGAAACAAGATATATATCTCACACTCCACTGGTCAATCGTCCTCCTGAAGCTCGCTTTGAACCAAATAAACCACTGTCATTTTCATCGGATATATGGACTCTCGCCTGCACAATTTTGGACCATTATTGCCCAGAGGCCACTTTTTGAAGGGTTCCTCGCTACGGAAGATTACATGACCCGTGAGCATGTAGATACTCTGGGTATCTTGCCTCCTGAGTGGTGGAAGAGATGGGAAGCGCGACCAGAGAGCTTTACCGAGGATGGGAGGCCAATTAAGCGGAATCCATATCGCTCTTGGGGTGATCGCTTCGAGGATAGTGTGCAACAGCCCAGACAAGAAGTGGGAATGCCTTTGTTTGATGCAGAAGAGAGGGATGCTATCCTTGAGATGTTACGACCGATGCTTGCATTTAGATCCCGAACAGCGAAGCACGACGAAGCAGATTCTCGAGTCGGAGTGGATGGTGAAATGGGCTTTACCGGAGTATGAGAAGGTTCGACGAGGGGGTTAGGTGTCAGCATAAGAGTCTGCGTGGTCTAGTTTGTATTTGAAAGATGAAAGGATATTTTAATCTGACCAAATGGCTCTAATCCACTCAGCCTCGTGCTCAATAGTATGTATGTCCAACATACTCGGTTTTAATTGATGTGGTCGAAAGGTTGTATGATGCCATTCTGTGGACACAATACGGTCGAGACACCTACTACTAGCCAATAACTCTGAAAGCCATGCTAAGACAATGACTGGGAGGTAACCTTTTGTATGATCTGCTCGAGCTAAGAACTTATCAAGAGCAAGCCTCCATTGTACGGGTGTGCCAAGTCCTTGTGCACATGAATGCATGGGTCCCCTGCAATGCATGTCATCATTGGTCCGAGCGGAGACAATTCTATACTAACTTGGGAGAAGAATTATGCAGTACTAGGCGAACTATTAACCTCAATTTTTCTACTTATCCATAAGCACTAGTGTATGACGGCGTATAGTTGCTGATATAAAGCAGCGAGTAACCTTCGCTGAGCCCCTCCTCGCCTTTGCATTCCTTCAAGCTCTTCTTTCTTCAACCGCAGAAACCCACCAACCTTAACCCACGACTTACTGTTTCCCTCACTATGCCTGCCTCTGTAAAGCCCGAAGACCAGACATATGTCCTCTCCCACCGTTCCAAGCAAACGGAAGAACACAAACGGCTGAACCGACAGCACAACCTCATCCAGCAGACGTTTCTCAACAATCAGCTCATCCACCCGTCCATCCCGCTGTCTTCTCTAACGGGTGGAATTGCTGACATTGGCTGCGGAACAGGCATTTGGCTGCAGGAAGTAGCTCAGTCCTTACAATCCCCAGGCGGGGCCTCTGCATCCCCAACCACAACAACCCTCCCATCTCTTGTTGGCTTTGACCTGAACGCAGCCGCATTCCCCGAGGACCCCACTCCTGGAATCCAACTTGTGCAGCATGACTGCACCAAACCTTTCGATGCCCGCTATCATGGGCAATTTGACCTGGTCAATATCCGCGGCCTTGCGTATGCTATTACGGAGGAGAAGCTCTCTCGAGCGCTTGACAATGCATTACTACTCTTGAGTAAGTTGTTCCTCCCTTTCTAGTGACCGCCCTGGTGTACTATTTCCGCTTGGTTTCTAATCTTTGGTCGTTTGTACAGGACCAGGAGGCTATCTCCAGTGGACGGAAAGCGAAGCCCGACTTTTCAAAGTATTTCCGGAAACACCAAGTATGCTGAAAGCAATGGAAATCATTGATGTGGAGAGACGGGCTCGCGATCTAGTACCTTAGTGAGTATTTACGCACTTTCTCCCTCGCTTTCCTTCACTTGTTGTCGCTTAATCAGATTAACTGACTTCCTTCCTTTTCGGGTACTTTCAGTCTGCCACATTTCATGCTGCGACGAACTCTCTCACTCAAAGGTGACAATGATGAAGATGCTCTCAGTATCCTTCATTTCAATCTACGTCCCGGAGGGTTCTGTGAGGATGATGCTGATCCAGACGTCTGCCTGCAATTTTCGGATCTTCTCACGGAGTCGGTCAGTCTTTTTCTGCACTCTGCACTTATGAGAATGGAACAACAGCAGTCCCAGAACGGAACTGCAGCTGAGAATGGCAATTTCGGAAAATCAGAATTGGATGAACTGCGTAAATTAAAGTCGTTAGTGAGACTATAGAGGCTAAACAAGTCAGAATGGGTGGAATCTTTCCTCATCTTGTGGCGCAAAAGAGATGACTTGGCATTGCGGGAGGTATATCTGAGTTTGTCAATAATAATGTTGCACCGAAGTTCGATTTACATACTCGTCTGTTGAAACGATTTTTTTCTTTTCTTTCTTAAAACTCAGTATGTGACAAAGGCTCCATTTGATCATATACGCTCCGCTAGTCTGCCCCTTACTGCTTGGTGGGCGGGCACTTGTTGGAACTCCCAAATCGAATTAACATTTGTAGTGTATGGTATTCTGTGTAGTATTCATGTATCTACGGTGGACTAGGCATCTCCTTCGCTCCAGGTAGGCGCTCAATGCCATGTTCGGGTGTTGTGTAGAGTTGATGCTGCCCGACCCATTGCTTCACCGCACGGAAATCGCGGCATTTATGGTGCCTGCGAATGCCACGTGAGGTCAGCCTTGTACCTGCAAGTTTTGGACCCTTGAAGGACGCTACATGTGTTGTTGAGAAGGGAAGGGAGGGGTTTGTTTCATACACATTGAAGTCTGGAAATGGGTCTTTGTGACCCTTCACCCAGACATATGTCAGAATACCAACGTCCGCATCACACATCAACTATTTGGCAATCAACAGCCGTTAGCCAGTGAAAAATTCATACATCATGAGAAATAAGTGACACAGAACACCCTTCTGGCTCACCTTCTGTCGTAGGATATCAATGCAATGATCTATGTTTATGAAATTGTCAACATTATACTCATCGATCCATCAAGTCCTGTCATGCCCCAGTATTAACTCACCAAGATGATGCCTTAAGATCTGTGGGCTATCCTCCCACGGACCCGGCTTGTCCTTGTAATAATCCTCGTAGCTAGCTTGGCGGAGCATATTCAGACAATGTAGCTGATGCAAAACTTCCACCGAGCCCATGTAACCGCCGCCAAGCTCGTCAGCCAATCCAACTGAGTATTCGGACGCATTGATATGCAGAAGTGTTCGCTCATCAACATTGATAACACCACCTATTTTGAACAGATCGTAAGCCTTGTGTGAGGTAGAAATGATCTATTTGAAGATGACTTACCAGAAGCATAAGTGATATCGTCCCAGGCAGCATCAATAGCAGGACTTGGAGGTCCCTTGAAAGCATTGGGCTTTGCAAAGCTGCCGTCAAACTTCTCGATATGACCCGTATTCTTGACCGCCTCTAAGGCTGGCGAGTCAATGGGTAGGAAGTCATCGCTTTGACAAGCGGCAACGGTCTTTCGATGACGAGCTATTGTTGACCAAAGGTAGGCAGAAGCTATGAACAGAAACAATGTCCACACAGATAGAATTAGAGTCCCGTTGGGTTGATACTGGCACCATCGTGACCTTCTCGCCCCGGGACTCCTATTGTCTTTGAGGAAGTTTTCCTCATCAAAGCTTGATATAAGACGCTCCTCGCTCTGTCTATCTTCTAGTCTGGATCCGTTCATTGTGAAGCTAGGGTTTAGTATATGCTGGCTGTGAGGGGGTAGGAGAGAGTAGTCAAGACGCAGAGTGCAGAGGAGGGAGAAGGCAGGGAGAAGGCAGAGCACCAGAGGGGAGAAGCACAAAGTACTTGAAAAATCACAGATGAAGTGATTTGAGGGGAGGCCATGGGTAGGAGGCAGTGCTGAGGGAACAGAGGAGGACGGACGGTGTCGACCAAAGGCAAGCCAGTACTGTGATTATCTTCTCGGAGTGGTTTAGCCCTGCTCCCGCTCTACCCATCCATGCAGAGACCAATGCATCTCTTCATCGACCGGAGTGTGAACATTGGGGGCCAATTGGTGCCGGATTTCCGCGCATTGCAAACACAAAAATGCCGGACGTACTTGGCGAGAATTATTTATGCATGACTGAAATGTCTACCTGTCGTTTAGTGTGGTCATTGGTCTCTAACCCACCGCTCTTGCCGCATCAGGAACGGAGAAGAAAGTCCTATAAAAATTCATTTGCGAGGTGTCTTGACAGTGAGATTTTAAGCAAATGCTACCTTGACCCCACTTCTCTGTGATGCACAGTACACGTCTGCGATGGGCTGATGTGAGGATGGACGGACTAGATGCAGCCGCTCGCAACTATTCCCTTGGCCTGGAGCCAACACAACGGACTCCGGATCCGACGAAGTTGGCGTGTAACTGTCTTGGCAAGCAGTTTTACACCAAAAGACCGAGGATATTGGTAGAGAGTATGGGATATATAAGCTTCGTTGCCGGCTTTGTGGTGTCCTGATGAGCTGGCGGAGGCAATCTCACCAACTTTTTCTACTGATCTCTTCCTGTTTTCCTCAAACATTTTTGAACTTCAATTCGGCACCGGCCTTAAAATTTGACTTCTCAAAATATTTCAATATGCGTACTGCCTTGAGCGCACTCGCGGTATTCCTCACCCTGGCCAGCTCTGCCACGGCGGCCCCTGTCGCAGCTCCATCCGAAGTTGAGGAGCGTGATACATCTGCCGTGCTGAACACACGGTTCATCACATACGAAGACTCCATCAGCAAGAGAGATGAAGTCGAGGAACGCGATGCCTCCGCTGTCCTAAACACGCGATTCATCACCTACGAGGATGCCATTAACAAGAGAGATGAAGTCGAGGAGCGTGACGCCTCCGCTGTGCTGAACACGCGATTCATCACCTACGAAGACTCCATCAACAAGAGAGATGAGGTTGAGGAACGTGATCCCTCTGCTGTGCTGAACAGTCGGTTTATCACGTACGAGGATACGTAAGTTCCTGCACTTACTTCTCGGCGCGGTCAATATGTGTACTGACATTGGGAACAGTGCTTAAGCGAAATGGTAAGCGGGATTCAACATTTGGCCTGCAGGCATGCAAGCTAAAGCCATTGGTATGCGCTATAAAGAGGGGTTGTTGTGGAGCCTGGCTAGTGTGTGGGGGAAAGCAAATCGGTCGATAGTCCTTTTAGTCCAGGGTGCATAAGCAGATCGATTTGAAGAACTTCGGTTACTCAATCTGACAGAGTGTACTAGTGCGTAGTCAGACTATTAGAGAAGTAGAAGTCACCACTGCGCTTGACCCACTCTTTCCCCGGAAGTAATCGAGGGACTAAGATGAGTGGACTTCCTCGGGCCGCCTGACAACTGATTGTTTGAAGTATTCTTTAATTAGTAGCTTTCTTGGCAGGTTGTTCCGGAAACTTAGAGACACCATCATCCTTCGTGTCAGGTCTTCGAGTCCCTGAGCCAGATGGGCAGTGCAATCCATTAGCTTCGCTTCCTCGAAGGAGTTGTAACCCTGCAAGGCAGCCCTCCCTCCCCTCCTCTTCCCCCTCCTGCCCATTCTGACAAGGCCATTGTGGTTCTGCAGCATTTGTCACAGACCCTTGTCGAGTATTTGCAGGCGAATCCTTCGGCCCCCACACTCAGTCTGCTTCAGCCGACGGAGTCGACAGCCCTGTTGCAGTCGTGGTGTGCCTCTGATCCTGCCGTATGGGGGCTATACGGTCGCTACAGTCAGACGGACTGTGGCAGACAAATGATGGGCTAACTTAGCATTAATTCAGCCTGGCAGTCTTATGCTCCTTTCACGCATCAGCCAAGGCAAGATGTGCATGATGCTCTTCCCAAGTCATTATAAGGGGATGTTTTTTTGACTGTCGCGCCTCTGCCATCATCGTTGCTCGTTTTTCTCTTTCTCCTTACCACTTGTCTGCAAGCTAATTCAGCAAGATGTTGTATTATGAGGGCCATGGTATTACTAGTACGGCCAAGGCGATCATCATTGTGACCACAAATCTAGGCGTCCTGGCTATCTTTGCCGTTGCACTTCGCGTCTACGCCCGGATATATTCCAAGCTCTACTTGGGTGCCGATGACTGGACGATTATCCTCGCCCTGGTACAGTCCCCAGATCCATCACCATTCACCCTATCATTCATGCTGCTAATATCCAGTGTTTTTACCTAGATTCTTTCTTGCGGTATTAGCATTATCATCGACTATACAGATGCTGTTACCGGCATTGGAGACCCGGAGTATCAGCCAACCATGGAGGCTATCATATTCGCATTGAAGATAAACTTCGCTTGCGAAAATGCTCAAATCGCCACTATGGGGGTCATCAAAGTCTCTTTGCTCTTCTTCTACCGGCGCATCTTCGGCATTTCCCGTCCGTTTGTCATAGCGAGCAATGTGCTCATTGCGCTGATCTCCAGCTTCACCTTGGCGATTGTACTGGCTGTTATCTTCTCAAAATGGCCGGTCTACCTGCAATGGGATCCCACCGCCCCCTACGATATCAACGCCTCGGCGATTCTTATCTGCTACGTTGCCGGGAATAGCTTGTTTGATCTTCTGACACTGGCTCTTCCAATTGCCGCCGTACAGAAATTGCAGATGGATCAGTCAAAGAAGCTGTTTATGTCTGTGATCTTTGTCTTGGGAAGCACGTAAGTTAACACCTCTTTCCAATGTTCTGTCAGATAATTAATTATTGTGGTGAAATAGCTGCATGGCGGCATCATTGGTTCGACTGTACTACGCCGTTCAGTGGACTAAGGAGCCCGCGACTATCAGTAGCATGTTTGAGGGTATGTTTTCCTGATTCATATCGCCTTCAACTTTCATCGTACACGTTTGCTGACGAGATATCTGATTCTTTCTAGTACCCTTCATTTACAATATCCTCTGGGCGCTTCTCGAGCCACCCATTTTCATTGTCGTGGGCTCTATGCTTACCCTGGGACCTCTGCTCCGTAACTGGCGAGGACCCAAGCAATGGATTCGGCTGCTCAGCAGCAAGAAGGAGGGATCGACGAAGTTCCACGATTCGCACAGCCTTCCCCAGTCACATATGCAGTCGGGTAACTCTCATCAGCGTGGGCCTGAGAAGAAATTGACTCCAAGTACCTCAAGCGAGGTGGAACTCTTGGAGGTATGAAAGTATTTGCTTGGTCAGGGAGTCTTTGAAAATTTTGAGATTATTATCATCATCGTCGTTGAAGTTTGTAGTGTTAGTGTATGTTACAAAAACTATCTTGTGGGTTTACTTGTAGTCATATAGGCTCAGTCTATTGTGCCCAATTATCAATGGGAGTAGCAACAATACCTTCAGTCCAAAGGCATAATTAGTAGGGGCACCTGACGCAAGGCTGACACCTCCACCCTCGAGCCAGAAGAGGAGTGACTGTGCCGGTCATCCCCTCTTCATAGCCATCTAAGGGAACAAGCTAAACATACAGGGGTGGTTGCGGATGGTGGGTCATTCGCTTCGGACTACTCGACTGCCCCCGAGCTACCCATTCCTTTTCTGGCGCAAGACAGAATCACCCTGACTGGCTCCATTCAACAAACGTGTTTTTATTTATCTCACTATGCCGTTGAACAAAGAACATCTTACAACGCTAAAGTAGATAGTAAGCGCCGGCCTTCGGAAGTTGAAATTGTAGACTGTCACGTACGGCTCCCCCTCCGCAGACATAAATACTTGTCCCAATCCCCCTCTTTCCAAGAACTGAACTAACTTCCCCTACTACATACTACATTAATCCCCTTTTCATTTTCTTATCTTAGTACCACTACCTACCATCCTAAACAATCATGACCATCTCCACCGACAAGAAGAAGCCCGCCCTGGTCGTCGTGCCCGGTGCCTCCCAGAACCCAGCACACTATGCCCACCTCCTGCACCTCCTCCAATCCGCCGGCTACGGAGCCTTCACTGGTCTCCTTCCCAGCATTGGCGCCCAGGGAGAGGTCACGGCCGCCGACGATGCCGACTACGTGCGAAACCGACTGATCCTCCCCCTCCTGGACGTCGGCAATCAAGATGTGATCCTGATCAGTCACTCGTACAGTGGAATGCCTGCTAGCGCGGCGGCACGCGGACTGGGACCCGCCGACCGTGCCGCTCAGGGCAAGTCCACTTCCGTGCTCGGTCAGATCTTCATCGCGACGATCCTGCCTCGTGGTGGTGATGGTCTGAGTGTGATTGACTCTTTTGGTGGAAATTTGCCGCCGCATATGTATATGGATGTATGTGCCCCTCCCACTTCCTCCAATTGACCCGATGACCCATTCATATCTGATGTTGACGAAATGGGATTTTAGAAAGAGCAAAACCTCCTCAAATGCGACGAGCCCAAGCCCCCTCTCTTCTACGATGTTGAACCCACCCTTGCCGATGCCGCTACCCAGACTTCCCTGAGTCAGGGCTTGACTTCCTTCTCAAGTCCCTGTCCTGAGGCCAGCTGGAACACTGAAGCCTTTAAAGATAGAATTGCCTACATCCACACCACTGAGGATCGGGCGGTGCCCTACCCGGCCCAGACGGCTATGGTTCAGGCTACCGGTGCTAAGTGGATTACCCGGGAGCTTGCTACGGGTCATAGTGCGCAGTTGTCTGCTCCGGAGGAGTTGAAGAAGACTATTTTGGAGTTGGTGAAACAGTGGGAATAGATAGATTGAAAAGAAATTGGGTGTGTATTTAGCTACTTATTTACAATGTTGGTTTGGAATGTAACACAATTCGGAAGGTTACTTGTGCTCCCGCGTAATTTTCTTAGGGGGATACACGGTAATGAGAGACACGTGAGTGTGCTTGGTAGTAGTAGTAGTAGTAGTAGTAGTAGTAGTAGTAGATAACGTCCATTGGCAAATGTGAAAGGTCCCTTTTTTCTGTTTCTTTGTGGGTTCATTTTGCTTATCCATCCTCCCGCTTCCTACTCAGAAAGGCACGTACCCCTAGTGAGGGGAGGGGGCCACTGAGAGGAGACGGAGGAGGGTAGTGAAAGACTACTATAGACACAAGAGACAAAGAAAGGAGGGGCGTGTGGATACCCCTGCCTGGAGTGCTGACCAGTCGAGAAAGGGGGAAGTGTGGGAAGGAGACAAGGCTGCGGAGGCTCGTTAGGGCCAACGGGAACGGAAAACTCCCAAGCAATTATCTACGCGGGTAAACTCTTTAGGATGCCAGCTTAGCTACGTACTTCTGCCTTCTATTCGGTTATCTGTCCGTCGCCAAGGATGAACTAAGTATGTCCCCGAGCGCCCAATCCATGTGGACCGGAACAGATCAAGTGGAGGCGGGGGAGACTCTGGGCGGAAAGGGCCGACGGGGCAACATCATATCCAGTCAGCTTATTCTACCAAGATGTACAGACATGTCAGTGTTTCTATGTAGTAACCAAGTCAATGCAGTCATCAATTAGTATGTAATGAGCATATACGGAGCACGCCGCAGACTACCTTGTAGAAGTTTCACAATGGACGGAGGAGTGCCCGTCAAGCGCTAAATTAGATCAATATATTTTGCTGCTGCACACGCCCTAATTGGCTAATGAACCACTGGCTAGTGATACTAGCCAGTCATCTACTCGACTATCTAAAGCTGGTCGTCTGGGTATAGTCTCTTACTCTTCCGATCTACCCGGTGTGAGCAACATGCATTAGCTTCAAGTAGTGTCGCTAAAGTAGAAATCGCAAACGGTTCTTTCTCTCCGCTGTGGATGGGCTATGACAGGCCAATGAAGTGCATGTTGGCCGCCAACACAACCTCTCATCTGTGTTTGGCAAGCAGATCGAGCAGAACGTGTTAGGCACTAGATAGACTCTGCCCATCTCCCTCCTTGATTGTAGGTCTGCAAGGTATCTATCTATCCCCTCTCAGTCTCCGCATGCCCTGCGAGGTGTCAGAATTTAGTGCAATTAGTTTACTCCTCTTCCCGCCGGAGGAGAACACTAATGTCCGACATAAGCACTAAATTGTATCGTTGCATTCCTAACAGTTTCTATTACTATCACGAAGTCTAGGTGATCGCTTCGCTAAAGCACATTAGCGAGTGGTTTGATGTAAGCCGGCAAGAAGCGGTAGTAGCGACAAAATTCATTCTCACTGACTGCAAGGTCAAATCTATTCATCTTCTGCAGCTGACCCTGCATATATCGCATTACTACGTGTCCCGTCTTCCGATTATCCAGTTAAATTAATTTGTATGGCTTGGAATTAGGCCAACTTTGGCCCCATTCCTCGAACAAAGTGTTAACGCCAACCCCTCCACCCAGGGTCCGGGGTCCCGACTCTCCAGGCTACGAAACTCCTGCACCATCCGCACAAGAACATAGCTGACCTCTGTCAAGGCGTAGCGCTGACCAATACAGATCCGCGGTCCGCCATTGAACGGCAAATATCCCCAGCGCGGCTGAAGCTTCCCATCTTCCCAGCGCTCAGGGCGGAATACCTCTGCATCTGGACCGTAGATGTCGGGTCGACGATGCATAGCGTAGACGTTGTATCCGACGATAGCTCCTTTTGGGACGAAGACGGGAGAGAGGCCATCTTTGCCTCCGCCCACAGGGAGCACCGTGTCTTTGGCTGCTTCGCGTTCGTTGCGCGGGACGACGGGGTGAAGGCGCAGGGCTATGATTTCATGTCAGTGAGATTAATCAATCACAAAGAAGAAGGTGAGATGGATTTCATACATTCATTCACACAGCACTGAACATACTTCAGGCCGCGCAGCTCCTCATACGTCGGTGGCCGGTTCTGCAGAGTTTCAACTTCGGCGCGCAGTTTTGCCCAAATACCTGGGTTCTTTGCCAGCACGAAGAACATATTCCCAAGAAGACTGGCTGTCGTGTCCCGGCCAGCTAGGAGCACATTCATCAACTCATCCAAGATTCGCTGCTTGTCAGATGTCCGGGATGCCAACTCATGAGAGAAAATGTACTTCCGCTTTGTCTCCGTCGCTTCATCTTCCTTCCTCGTCGCAGCCGCATAGAGAGCCTCATCAACAAACCTCTGCACAAAGTCCCGACAGATGCGATTACACTCCTCGGCCTTCCTATCACGAAAGAAGACACCAAGCGGACCCAACATTCCCCGCATTGGGATCGCCATCTGCGCATAATGAAACGCCTCCGCGAACCCGACCTCCGAGTGACTCTCCTTCAGCGCGCCCACCGACTGTCCGAAGAGGAACTCCGTCGCGGAGTCAATCGTATACCGGAAGAATAGCTCCTGCAAGTCTACTGTGCTCCCATCACGCGGGAGTAACGCGAATAGATCCTGGATCAACTCCTCCAACAAGCGCAGATCAGTCATCTGCTCGCGGGCAAAACTCGGTCTGATAAGCGCGCGCGATGTGGCCCAGTGGTGACCGTCCGTGTTGAAGATGCCTTCTCCGAGAAGAGGCTTCATTGCCTCGTAGCGGTGTTTGAGACTGTAGTCGTTGAAGTTGAGGGATAAGACTGTCTTGATGTTTTCGGGCTCGATGGTCAAAATTGCGCTACGGCCTAGCTCTTTGACGGTGAATGTGTTGCCGAGTGTGCGAAATAGATTGCAGCTTCGCTCGAGGATACGATGCTCTCTTCTTGTGCGCATTGTTCCGAGGATGGTGTCCAGGCCTAGGAAAGGGTCTTTACTGAAGGATCGTGCCACCGGTTCGCAGCCATGGCGGCGAGCGAATTGGCGGCGCTTCAGGTAGCGTCGGAAGGACTCGCCGGCGATTACTAGGGCTGTGAGTAGGAGGATGATGAGTTTGGGGTGGAATTCCATGGTGTCGACTTTGGAATAATGGACTGGAGGTTAGGATAAGAGATGTCCTTGCTTTCTGGGTTGTTTTATGTATGCAGTTCAGGCAGCAGTCGTGAGGTTGAATCACGTGGAGTGCGTATACAGAAGGATTGGAGGTGAGAATTTAGCGTCAAGATGAGGAAGAAGAATCAGGCAGCCGGTAATATTTGAAGACACTATTGAATGTGCCTTTTCTGAGGGTGTGAATATGAAAGATCGAGATCAATATTATGGTGCAAGTGATAATCCTAGTTGATGAAGCAAAGGTGAATGGCATTTTCCGATGGTTTGGGGCTAAGTTGTTTATGTAGCGTTGGTTCCTCTAGCGGCCCCCTCTATTTGAGCTTATTCATCTCTTGTCATTCTTTCATGCGCCATAGTATTCAACTAGCCTTAAGCCTATTAGAGATAACGAGCTATGACGATAAACCTTCTCTTTAATCAAATTGCTTTTGCCATCCAGGCCAATAAATACCATTATATTCGCAAAGTCATATCGGACTCCGGCGGAGTAAACCTTAGACCCCTGGCGTTTTGATATGCGACAGACTCGCGCAAAGATAAGCAAATAATGCTAATGAACACCACCACACCCCCTTTGACCATGGAGCTTTCCTATATTGTTACAATAGACATATCAATTGCCGTCCTACTATTCCCACCAGCACATGACAAACCCCATACCAACATTCCCCAAATAACCAACACCCACAATGTCAGACATCAACCACAGAAACTACCACAATCGCCTAGAGCAAATCCAGCGCATCACCAAGCAATACAACCTCCAATTCTCTACTATCAGCCCCGTAGCATACCAAGAATTCGGTCCCTGTCCTTACAACAACTTCATCTACAAACTTGAATTATCCGAACCTGCCAGCAGTTTCTCATTCTACACCTCAAATGGAACCCCCAGCCCCTGCACTACCTCCCCTCCTGCCGGAACATCGACATACATCCTCCGAATGAGCAATCCACTTGCCATGGGCATCAACCCACATGCCTTGCGCATCGAGAACGAAGTCGCCGCCATGTCTCTCGCTCGTCAGGGACTTGAGTCATATCGCCCCGGACTGGGTAGTCTCATCCCCAAGATATATACACTTTGCTCTAAACCTAGCCATCCGGATGACTTACCCTGGGTACTGATGGAGTACAAGTCCGGTGTACCACTAGACGAGTTCTTCCCTTCTCAGTCCGACACGATCAAGGAGTCTATCATCGAGCAGGTAGCAGATATACCGTCTGGGCTTCGGAACTGTCCACTCCCACCGGGGATCACCTACGGTGGACTTGGTCTATCTACCGATGGCAGCATCATCAGTGCGGAAATGACCACCACAAATGGAGGACCATGGCCTACCTACGAGATGCTCCTCAAGGCACGACTGCAGCATGAATTGCACGATGCTGATACGAGCCCTGTCATTAATGGATGGCGAGATAATGGGGTACGAGAACGACTCGAATCTCTAATCAATCGATTCACAGTACCCAACCTTTCAGACTCTGATACCAGAGTGCTCATCCACGGTGATCTCAGTAAGCCACACCCCAGACACCCCACCTACCCATTAAAATACTAACAATACCCCAGCAATGAACAACATTCTCATCGACCCCAGCACTTGCAAGCTGACAGCCCTCATCGACTTCGACTTCGCCTGCATAGCGCACCCAGCCCACGAGTTCCTTGTCTCGCTGCAGGATCTAGGCGGTAACGTGATGGGTCCTTATGGGGAGGATCCAACGGAAGGGAAGCTCTCACAAGCTCTTCTCTCTGGTGATTTCAGTGATGATGATGTTCCTGGTCATTTGTGGTGGGTTGGGAAGACGTTAAATGCTTGTTTGGTCAAACGGGGGGTTCTAAGGCCTAGTGATGTCGACGGGATGAAGGTGCTTCGTGAGTGGCGGGCTCTTGAGCTGCTTGTATGTCCGTTTCATCTCGCTGCAGAGTTTATCGTAAAGAGGATGAGTGAGGAGGCACGGGAGGGGGCGAAGAGAGGGGGTGAGGGGTGGGTTGTGGGGGGGGTGGGGGATCTGGAGGAGGTGATGGGGGGTAGTTGTTAGTGGGTTCTTCTGGTAGCAGGAAGGAGGGGCGTGATGTTGTGGTTTCTTTCAAAACAGATGTCTCGTTGAAGTGACGGAAAATATCGTCCAAGGCACTAAACCATAGGAGGTCTACAGTGTAGGTCAAGCTATTGCATGTTGATTTCATGTTTCGGTTCGGCCAACAAGCCAAGCCAATGATCAGATGAACAAATCGTATGAATTCTAAACTCCCGAAAGCCCTGTTCATAAGGTAGAATGGTGAATCCGAAATTACATCAATGCAGTAACCAGTAGCTTGTCCTCTCCAGCCTAACGCCCACACTAATCCCAAATCATCATGCTACCAGTAAATCATGCTTACCACCGCCTACCATACACCGAGTCTTCGCCACGGGAAGTCCGCTTCGCCTGCTGACGGCTTCGATCCCGAGAGCTAGATGTCTGCGTCTCACTGGCGTATGTTGAGCCCGAGTTGCTGTCAGCGCCGGAATTCAGAAGTTTTGTTGTTTGATTCAGGTCGAGATCGCGGTCGCCGTTGTAGCGTGCTTCGGCATCCTTGCCAAACAATGCCATCATATCCTTCATCGTCAGCTTGGCTGCGGCAGTCTTGCCTTCGATGGTCACGTTGGCCAGCTCTCGCTTGCGATCTTGCAGATCGATGATACGTTCCTCCACGGTTCCCTTGATGATCATCTTGTAGATTTTGACGTCCACTGTCTGGTTCAGACGGTGGACTCGGTCGATAGCCTGCTCTTCAACGAACTAGAAAGGATTAGCATATTATACTTCCAGGAATTGTGGTAACCTTACAGGATTCCAGAAAGGCTCTAAGATGACCACACGACTTGCTGCAGTCAGATTCAGTCCCAATGCACCAGCGCGTAAACTGCAGAGAAGGACCCTTGTGCCACTGTTGTTCCGTAGCTTGTTGAGACTGGCCTCTCTATGATCGTTCCGCATGCCTCCGTCATATCGTGCGTATCCAATTCCTGTGCGCTTCAGGAATGGCTCGATCTTGTCAAGCATGGAGGTGAAGACTGAGAAGACGATGAATTTGTGGTCTGATGACTCGCGCCTGAGAATCTTCATTAGGCGCCGGATCTTCGTCGAAGGCAGGATCTTATTATCATCGTCTCCGGCATTCAAGTAAATATCGTCATCGTCAGACTCTATCTCAGGGCTCCGACGACTTATGCCCGTTGGCTTGCGAGAAGGAGACTCAGGCCCATCATCGTTACTGTCAGAATCATCCGAGTTCAGCCATTCACCACCGCCCTCTGCGTCTTCATCATCGGTGCCTCCAGCTGTTCCAAGGCTCGACTTTCCGCGCTGATCTTCCGGGACAAGCCACTCGCCTTCGTCCTCATCTTCGTCGTCACTGTCTAACACTACTCGTCGGTTTCTCCGAGACCGGATGACCTGTGCCTCTCCGCGGCGTGTCGAAGGTGACTCTGTCAAATCAATAATCGACCTCCGATCGCTCTTCTTCTTCTTCTTGCCGGTGTCAGTGAGGTCGGCATTCAACGCGACTTCACATTCTTTGCACCTGCTATTACCGCCAGACGCCTCCTCTTTCTTCAGATCCATTTGGCAGATGTCGCACTTCTTGCTCACAACACTCAGTGCCCCGAAAAGGTCTGCCATGCTGTCCAGCTCATCATTCTTGGCGGGTTTCTGGCTGCCGGAGTGCCCGTTCTGCAGGAGAACGTCCTTATCCTGAGCGAGGTCGCTCTTAACAAGGTCGGGATGATTGCAAGATTGCCGAAGACGCAGCAGCAGGACCAAAGCACCAGCATAGTCGACCTTCTCACCACCCATCATCTTCTCGAGACTGTTTTCTGTTCTCTGCTCTAGGCGCTGGTAGAAGTTCATTTCGCCCGGCATAAAGTCCGCTTCGACCTTGATAACCTCTCGCTTGACGATGTGGAAGCCAGATGACTTCTTTTGCCCATTCTCGCTGGGCTTAAGATTGGCATTCTGCTTCAGAACATCCTTCGTCCGCCGCTTCATGAAGATTTTGAGGTAGATCTGCAAGCGCTCAATAGCGAGACCTCCACGGCCGTTCGCTATAGGCTTCATAATCTGCTCTTTCCATGCCGCCAGATCATTGAAGGGCTTGATACGGAGGAACTTGATCAAGCTCTGCAGTTCCTCGAGATTATTCTGCATTGGCGTTCCCGAAAGGCACCAGCGGTACTCTGCATCCAGAGAGTAGGCAGCTTGTGTTGCTTTTGCGTTTCGGTTCTTGATTGTGTGAGCCTCGTCCAGAATGATCCGATACCAGTAGACGGAGAAGATTGGGGATTTCTTGTTGTTCTTGTCCTTAGCACCATGCTCCGAGGTCAAGGTACCATACGTGGTGATAACCACATCGTAGTCCTCAAGCTTGTCTGTCCCCTTAGCCCGTGCATTTCCATGGTACACCAGGACCCGCATTCTGTGCGAGTTTTCAACCTTGTCGCTGATCTCAGACTCCCACTGCTTGATTAGGGCCAGAGGAGCGACAACCAGAGTCGTCTTGCTCAATCCAGCCGGTAGTTTGCGGTTTTCTTTCTCCTCTTCATCGTCACTGTTCGCATCCTCGTCCTCGTCATTGGACAACGGCCGCCTGAGACCATCTGCGGGCTTTCTGTTGGATAGCATCAGAGCAATAGCTTGAACAGTCTTACCAAGACCCATATCGTCCGCCAATATTCCGCCCTTGGGAAGCACACCCTTGGTCTTCTTCCGGCCGGTCTCTTTGTCGCACATCCAATTGACACCTTCTCGCTGATGAGGGAGCAACTTGACCTTCAAGCCTTCTACTGTACCATCATCTTCCTCTTCCTCCTCCTCTTCTTCTTCATCATCGTCTTCCTCGTTCTCTGATTCAGTTTCACTGGCGTCGTTATCTGGCGCCACCTCCTTAACTTCCACGACTTCTTTGACTTTCTCCTTCACAGGGGATTCGTTGGACTCGGTTTCCGATTCATCAGTGCTCTCATCCGCCTTATCGGATTCCTGTACAGTCACGGTTCCCAACTGGGCAGCAAGATCATCAATATCGGCGTCCTGCTTCTTATCCTCGGACTTCCTCTCAGACTTCTCTTGTTTCTTTTCCTTGTTCTTGTTCTTCTTCTTCTTATTTTTCTTGTCCTTCTTCTTTTTGCTCTTCGACTTGGGTTGCTTCTCGTCTTCATCCTCGAAAGCACCCTCCAACAGAGCCTTGATATTTTCATTTGCCTTGGCTGTGTCCACATAACCGTTGACATCCATAGAGCCAAATCCCGGGCCCCGAGAGCGCGCACTTGGTGTGAACCCACCCTCACCAGTCAAGTCGACAAAGTTCCTCAAGTTCTTCGACGCATTCGACATCTTAACGGCAGAGGGCTTCGAGGCGAAGAATGTTTTAGGGGCACGGGGTGTATTGAACGTGAAGTTCTCTGGGCGTCGAATCTCAACGGCTCCACTGTTGACCGGGCGGGAGAAGCGGTTTTCGTTGTACGCGGACGGCCTAACGGGCTTGAATGGGTCAAAGGCCTCCCTTCTGGGAGTTGAGAAGGCATTCGGCCCCGGAGTAGTGGGGGGACGATATTGCGGGGCACCATTGTGAGCAGGGTTTTGCGGCCGAGGCTGTTGTCTGTGATGCTCCGGACGTTGCTGGTTCGGTTTGGGGATATTGAAGGGGTTGCTAGAGTGGTGACTCTGATGATGCACTGGGCGAATAGGAGATGGCTTTCCGAACTCAGGATGATGTGACATAGGACGGCGGGGTTGCTCTTGCGGCCTTCTAGGCGTGAAGGGGTCCGCGGGAGCGTCGCTTTCTTTGGCCATGGTGTATTATTCTAATAAAACTTCCTTCTAAAGCTTGGTGGCGGCTAGGCGTCATATGCTGAGGGGTACAGCAGGAGGTGTCAAAGGAGTATCCTTTATGATCGAGCTCTAGGTGGCATAGATATAGCGAGTCTATCGTGATTATGGCGAGTGAGATCTTTTCTGTTCTTGTAGGCGAGGCAGACTGTCAGCACATCACGTCACGCGGGGTTTGCAACGACACGTTCATTATCGATGTTTATCTCCGTTTGGAAGAAGTCATAGTAAGGAGATGCTTACCTACTTCAGTCAGGTCATGACATTGCAAAAGAGGCTAGGAAGGGCGAAATCCGGAGTAGTGGGAGGGGCTTTGGACGTGTTGACGGAGATCGGCTCTGTTTAGCGCTGGCATGCCACATTTTATCGATAGCGCTATCGCTCGGTTTGACCGCATTGCCCCAGCAACCACCGCCCACCAGCGGGGTGACAGGTCACACAACAGCACCAGGTACACACAGGATTTGTGAATCCACCCCCACAAATCACATTTGAATCTAGAACTTATGTGCGGGAATTATCAATCTAGATTGTTCAGTCACATTTGGTTATGTACATTATGTCAATGTCAGTGGAGGTCAACTGAAGTAGTCCGTTTGTATTCCTTCCCGCTGCCATGAATGAGCTATGGGCCGACGATCTTCGTAAACCATACACTAGGAATATTAATCTATCTGTGACTTTCTTACAGAGTACTATTAATCCTAAATGTGCGCAGTGAGAGATATCCGACGTTATTAGAAGAGATCTCGGATTTTCGCGGTACTCTGTTCAGCTGTAGAAGAAATAGTAGCAAAGCTGTGAATTATATATCGCCAATCACTCCCTTCAAAATTTCAGGAACAATAGTACCCGCATCGCCCTCAAAAAACCAATCTCCAGGTTTCAATCCGGAAGAGCCAACATCATTGCGGTCCATATTTACCACCGCCACTCTAGCCCCTTTACTGCGAGCCTTATCCACATATCCTGCTGCGGGGTACACCCTCGAACTTGTACCTACTACCAGTATCAAGTCAACCTTTCCTTTGTTCAACCACTCGTCCACGTAATCAATCGTATGTGATGGTAGACTCTCTCCGAACCACACCACCCCAGGACGTAGAAGCCCATCTTTGCATTCCGGGCAGTGGGGAAGCTCTTCATAAGGCACTGCGGAAAGAGGAACACGCTCGTCCGATACATCAGCCTCATCCTCATTGTTCCCTAATGCACTGGCAATAGATCGAGAAGCCTCTTCGCCCGTTCTATCTGTTGCAGATGGTTCAAGTTTCTTTGGCAGAGCGAGAGCGGGAACAATTGGGTCGGTAAAGTCCTCGCGGGAATAGCTGCAATAGAAGGACGTGCACTTTACGGTGAAAAGTGAGCCATGAAGGAGATGAAGCTGATGTGGCGGGTGTCTGGCCCGTTGTGAAAGGCCTGAGTAAATTCAAGCAACCAGTTAGTAGAGTGCCACTTCGGAGCAAGGACCCAAGTACTACCCACCGTCGACATTCTGGCTTAGTGTTATGAAGTCCTTGTTCTTTCGTGCAAGCTCAGCCAGAGCATAATGTGCACGATTCGGTTGTGCTTTCAAGGCCATGTGTCTTCGATAGCTGTAGAACTGCCATACTAGGTCTGGGTTGGCATCGAACGCCTCGGGCGTTGCGAGGTCCGTCGCGTCGTACGATCGCCATAGACCACCGGCTCCTCGAAAGGTGGGAAGACCTGATGATGCAGAGATCCCAGCTCCTAATAAGGCAATTACTCGCCTGCACCCTTTTAGGTAAGTGGTGAATGAGCTGAGGTCTGCTGCGGGAATAGCAGGAGGAGCCATGGCGGAGGGCCTGGAGATCGGAGAAGGACTCTAGACTGGACACAACAGTTGGAATAAGATGGTCATTTATTGTCACGGTGCTAATTTGGTGCACATGTGCGCAGCGGTATGTCTGTTTCCCTCAGAAGGGAGAAAATGCGCGTCGAGTCAGTCATTTGGAGAAGTTGTAGCTAAGAAGAAGTTCTGCGGAGTCGGCCTTACGCTAATGATACCGATGACGTGGGGTCGCCTCTTAACTATGCAATCGTGCCTTATACGTATAATTATTTCGTCAAGTGAACCGAACAATAAGATTCGCTAAGTATCCAATATATATTCCAGTGATTTCTAGAAGCTAAAGACTAACAGCTTATGTATCTGACAATCCCTGCGTTGTGCAGATCAGAAGTTGCAATGACACGGCAGCAAGGCTACAATACCCCGCAGGGTCTAAGCTGGGCATTTTATACTTTCTCCCCACAATAGGACAACTAAGAACCGTCCTTTATAATAGCATAAGCTAACTTTATAAAGCAGAAATGCTAGATACAATCCATGAGTACATCGCTTAAGCATTATCGCTCCTCAGCTATCAGTGTTGTTCCTCTGGGGGGAGCTCAATACCCACAGCCTTCTCCGCATAAGCGCGATTCTCGTCGTTCTTCGCAGCAACAAATGACTTCACATAGCCTGGTACTTCAGGTACCTTGTTCCCGGTACTAGGAACAGGCTCACCAAATGTCTCCCAGACGGGAACAACACCAGTCCAAACACGATTCGTGACCTCTTCACTGCCTGTATCTTTCTTTTCATCCGAGACACTGCCATCTCGAATCTTACCACTGCCGCTCATGATTTTGACCTTAAGGATGACGGTCGAAGACATTTCAGCACGGTCTGGTGGGACGCGCGTATGCGCCCAGCGGTCCGAAAGCACCGAATTAGTGATCAGCTCCATGGCGTAGAGCTTCTCGGCTTCGTCAGTCACTAGCTTAGCATAGCCCTGAAGAATTGCAGATCGATAGTTGTAGCTGTGGGAGTTCGGTGTCAGAGACAAAACCAGCCCGTCTACCTTGCTAGCAGCCACGCAGATGGGTAGTCCTTCTCCTTCAGCATCTCGAGCCAGGTTCATGATGCGGGAGCTGACATAGCCATGAAGATAACAATCAAGGGGCTCGTCGATGCTAGCTGAAGGATAGTCGAATGATCCCATCTGTCCGATCATAGGCAAGATGGCCGGGAATGGCTCCGATGGTCCGGGGCTGAAGGAAACATGGAGAACTTGGGTGGAGTTGATAATTTCATGAATGGCACCCAGGTCATAAGTTGCTGCGTGTTCTTAGTGAGTTCCCTCAACGCGAAGCAGTAAAATGAGCTGAAGTATACCTCGATGTTTGTAACGGTTGACCGTGTTCGACGGCCGCTTTGGGTATGTTAGGGTCCTTCCCATTGTTTCTGATGCTGGGACTTCGACGGGTCAAACAATATATTTAGTTAAAACTGGCTACTAAATACTGTCTAGGATAGAAGTAATGGGGCACTTGAGTGAGTAATGAATTGTCCTTCAAGTTCTTTAGACCTTTGGAGTTCACTTCTACTATATATATACTGTGGTCACCCTTGGCATCTCATTGACGTGACTCAAGGGCCAACTTGAGTCACCGAGTACTAGTCGCATTGAAAAATTAAATCTGACCCTCGGGATCATACTCCGATGGCCCAAACACCTCCGACATTTCGTGGTTGTGGTACGCTGTGCAAGACCGAGATAAGAAGCAGGTGGGAAAGAAACGCAACTTCCAGCCTATCCAGGCGAGCGGAGTATGCGAGTCTATCGCAAACTCCTCCGCGTTGATTGGTCACTGCCGCCGACCCAAGCTCCCAGCCTCAGGCATCAAATAATAAACGGCCTAAACCAAGGGACGCTTGGAGGTCTCGCAATCACCGCCGACTTTCCGAACCAAACGCGGGCCAGATCGCCGGTCTTGATTTCGACAAAGCTTGCCAACACCTTCAATGGTGCTGCTCTAACTATGTCGACATGCAAAGCAGCCATTCGCCAATGGCCTCGTTGCCTTCGTCGCCAGGCGCCTCGAATCTCCCTTTCGCATCTTAGCCGGCCGGTGCTCCAACAGCCTGCTCTTCGCCGTTCTTACGCTTCGATCTCCGCCGCGGAGCTCAAATTCGGCCAGCCGCTACACGAGACACACCCACATATACTGGAGCCGGGAGAGCGTGCGTAACATCACTTCGGTCCCCGCGGAATACAAGAAGGCATATTGTATACGGTATTAACAGAATTCAAGTGACACCGGGAATAACGGCTCTCGAGTATGCTCAGCGCCGATCACGTCTGGCGAACAAACTACCCAAGTATGCCGTCGCTGTGCTGGCTGCTGCAGAGGTTACATACCGGGCTTCGGGCATCTTCAACGAGTACCGACAGGACTCGAACTTCTTTTACTTGACAGGTGGGTGGTACTTGGTGTATTTTGTTTAATTTGGAAAGACGTCGCTCACATCTTTTTGATGAATAGGGTTTAACGAACCGAATGCGTTGGCTGTCATCGGTGAGCTCCTACCACGAGACTCGATTTGGGGATTGGCTCTTATTATAAGTAGTGAACGATGGATCCGGCAACAACCACCTATTCCACCTTTATTGCAGGGAGAAGGATGCAAAGGCCGAACTTTGGGATGGTGCCCGTTCAGGTACCCGCGCGGCGATTGATGTCTTCAATGCGGACGAAGTAAGAAACTACTTTGTTAATCTTCATTGAGATTAAACGCGACTGACACTGCCCTGGTAGTCCGGTGATATCGAACGCATTGGGGATCTCCTTCCCAAGATCCTTGCCGATGCGACAGAGATCTACACCGATATTCCAGCCTTCAACCCGGGAAGGTCATCCTTGCATCGATACCTCTACGGCCCTACGGGAGCTTCCGAAAAGCTCAAAAAGATTGTCGACCACCGCAAGGTCAAGCCTTTGCGCTCCATTCTTAACGAAATGAGAGTCTTTAAGAGCGAGGATGAAGTCGTGCAATTGCGTCGTGTTGGACAAGCATCTGGAAGAGCGTTCACGGAGTCCATGAGGCAGACGTTCACCAAGGAAAAGGACCTGACTGCTTTCTTGGAGTATAACTTCAAGCGGAATGGCTGCGATAACAGCGCTTTCATTCCAGTCGTCGCAGGTGGTTCTGTGAGTAACTGATTCGAGAGGTATTAGAATCTTGCGGCTAATGTGTATAGAACGCTCTGAGCATCCACTACACGAGAAACGATGACGTTTTGAGGTATGCACTGCAAGCGCCATTATTATGGCAGGACTCTTACACATTATCATAGGGATGGGGATATGGTTCTAGTTGATGGAGGTGGTGTACGTATATCTTGCCCATCCGCCGACTACTGAGACTAATTTATTTATAGGAGGCGGGCACTTACATCTCCGATATCACCAGAACTTGGCCGGTGAACGGCAAATTCTCCGACCCTCAGCGTGACTTGTACAATGCAGTGCTGAATGTGCATCGCAGCTGTGTCTCGCTGTGTCGGGAAGATGCTGGACTCAGCCTGGACCGGCTGCATAACGTTGCAGAGACCGGCTTGCGAGACCAGTTGATACAGTTAGGATTTGACGTTTCTGGAGGTGTAGGTTTATCAGTCTTTTTCTCTGGTTTTTCGAGTACTGACCATGATCAGGCAATGGGTATCCTCTTCCCTCACCACCTGGGCCATTATATTGGCCTAGACGTGCATGACTGCTCGGGTTATTCTCGTGGATACAATCTCAAGGCAGGCCAATGTATCACAATTGAGCCGTATGTATTGATGACCATCTGTGACGTCGACCATGCTAACGATCGGGGCAGTGGCATCTACGTTCCGGATGATGAGCGGTGGCCGGCACAGTTCCGGGGCATTGGCATCCGGATTGAAGACAGTGTTTGTGTAGGAGATGATAGTCCCATTGTATTGACCACGGAGGCAGTGAAAGAGGTAAGCGATCTCTCCCGGGTTGTAGGACAGAGAAAAGACGTGTTACCCACGCGGTTGTGGTGATGAACTATTGGGCTGACTGACAAACCTGCTTTCTAGGTCGATGATATTGAGGCCCTCCGTGATTGATCTGGATGAGGGCCGAAACTGTGTAAAGCTAGATACCCTTGCATAAGATTGTAACATATAACATAGTGAACCGAATATTGAGGTATAGCAAACAATGACCGAGTTGAGCAAGAAGTAAACAAGAGACAAGCCGGTTTTGGTGGTTCGTGTGGCTCGTGTAGACGTCACCAGTCAGCAGTAAGCACTTAAGAAACTAAACACCGCACCTGGACGCGTGGGGCGTTGAATTTGGGTACTACTTAGTATAGAAGAAAGAGCAGGAGGTTGGACTAGAGGGTACGAATAAATTGCAAAAGGCACCAACAGCCAAGTCAATCATCCACAGGATCCCTCACTTAAAGAAAAAGGGATATGTGCAGATTGTTTCTGAAAGTAATCTCAAAAGCCAGCAAGCCCCAGAGAGGAATGAACTGAAAGAATGGTTCATGCTGCGCGCCGGGCGGTGGTTGTCCGGCGCACATCCCGGAGCCAAAACAAACCCGCCGGGCTCCACCGACCTTCCCTGACACGCTTAGTCGTTTCTCTACTAGTCTAGCCTGGCTTGGTCTCTCTTCTTTCCATCATCACCACCAACCCATTCAGTCTGTGTCTCCCCTTGGACCCTTCTCTGTTGTCTTCCCCCACAGACTCTCGCGAGTTTTGCTGCATTGCTTCCCCTTCTCCCAGGGCATGGCTTTCTGCTTCTCTCGCTAACTCTCACTGCCGCTCCTTATTTGCTCATCTATCGCGTCGACAATGGCCTTTTTCTAACCGAGTAATCCACCCCCCCGTCGAGACGTGTAACGCATCGCGTGCTCGCCTCCAGTGCCCCTCTTTTGCTTTGCTGGTGTCCAACTCACAGCAACTCACGCTCATATAGTGCCTTGTATTCTGTTACCACATGGCAGCTGTATTCGTACCACCTTCGCCTCGGTCTTCGCTTAAAATGTCGACTCGCCGACCACTTGCCAACGTGCCGAATGCTACCAATTCCCCTCACAGGTCAGGCCTCGTGCCTGCCAAACGTCTACGTCCAACGAGTAACCAGATTGACATCCCTTACGGCCAGCCTCCTCCGAAGAAGCAGGTAGTGGACGGTCAGGAGGCGGACGCTCGATCCCCAACCCGGACCAGGGCGTCCGCATACCAAAACACGGACTCCAAACTGTTCTTACGGCGCACGAATAATGCTCAGCCGAGTGCATTCGAAAGGAAACTGGTCGCTGTGAGAGATAAAGAACGACAGGCACAAATGAAAGGCACGAGGCACGAGAGGCCTTCTGCGGAGACCCTCGATTCCATCCGGCAGTGGCAGAGGCATTACCGCAAGGCGTTTCCTCAGTTTGTTTTCTACTTTGATAGCATCCCGGAAGATGTTCGCAGCAAGAGCTCTAGGCAGGTACTTGCATTGGGAGCGGTAAGTTTCCGTCTGGCTCGACATCTCCAACACTTGATCCTTGAAAGGAGCTGCGTGCTGAGGGTCAATGATGCCCCACCGTTCCATTGCGGAGGTTATATCTACGTGACTGCGTGACTTTACTGACTTCATTCGTCACAGCGTGAAGAAAAATTCTTCTCGCGTCTAGTGACCCACGTCGTCACGTCTCGTCCTATACCTCCAGAAAACGGTCCCACGAATGCACCTGAATACAATGCGGAGTCGGCGGAGCAAGCGGCGGCGGATGGTTCGCTGCAGACAGTAAACCCGTCCCTGCTCGAGAAGTGCGCCGATACACACCTTCATATGACCTTGAAAAACGATGCACGGCGGGAGCAGAAGGGCATGGATGTTTTACACAGAGCCCGCCAGATGGGAATGAAGATCTGGGCGATCGAAAAACTGCAGCGCATGATCACGGCGATCAATGATGGCGATGTCGGAGGGCATGATGGCCATGCGACGCGAAACAGCAATGCTGCTGGTGGCCATGCCAGGGCTCGGGGTGAAAATGATCTTTCGCAAGTGCTTCAGAATGAGCTGAATGGCCCGTCAGATCGCAATCCTCTCTCGGTGTTGAAGGAGCTGGTTATGTTCAAGGGTCCTTTCATATATGTCCATGACATGGACGAGAAGACGCGCCCTGTGATGGTGCGAGAATACCCAAAGGTTGCAAGGCGGCAGGATGGTATATGGCCGCAATTCCGAAGTGCACGGCTGGGAAAGTGTCCGTTCATCGAGGACCCGCCTACACAGAAGGACATTGACCGTCAACGTGCCCGTATAAAAGAGAGGACGGAGAGACAGGAAAGGGACGAAAGAGCTGTTGCTAATGCTGCTCCTGTACAAGACGTTCCGGACGCGAAACTAAATGCACCAGAAACTCATAGGAAGGTTACAAAGCACGAGGATAAGACTCCCGAATTGGGCCAAACAGAAGAGGCACCCCTTGAGCCCCAGCCTGAACTCCAGGACATTCAGTCGACGAAACAACTATCGCCCAGGAAAAGCTCCGAGAGCTTTGTGCCCCCGCCTCCTCAACGGAAAGGGCCATTCTTCCATGGCCGTGAACCTGCCGCATCAGGCGTACAACCCTCGAATATTACGTCCGCCATTCGTTCGCAAATGGTTTCATCGACGGCTGCTGCACCTGGTGCCAAGGCTGGCCTGAGCAAGGAAGTTCATGAACTCAAGAGAAAGGTGCTCGAAAAAGGAAATGGAGGGCTTACAGCGGGGACTATGCCTCCATCACACCACGCCGTAGATGGAGCCGCACCGTTGAAGGCGAAACCATTGGAAAACAGCCTCGGAAATATGCAACCGCCTAAAAAGCTCGTAAATGTCCCTGAGGAGGAATCAACGCAGTTGGAAAACAACGGCGCTCCCAAGCGGCGGGCCGGTGATCGGAAAACCGTAATAATACCGAAAAGGAAGGAGAGACGGAGAGACCCTAAGCCAGGTTACTGTGAGAACTGCAGGGACAAATTCGATGACTTCGAAGAGGTTAGTCCGGAGGCTCAAGATTCAGAAAAGAAGAATGCTAACCTTTGGCAGCACATTGTAACTCGGAAGCACCGCCGCTTTGCGACAAACCGAGCGAACTGGGCCGAGCTCGACGCCTTACTTTATCAGCTGGAGAGGCCTGTGAAATCTGGTGCGGAAGGTGTCCCAGGTTTATAATCAGGCCGTGCGTTCGTGAATGAAAGGAAAGGATGTGAAGTCTGTGACGGCTTGTCTATTTCCCGGACTGAACTGGCTGTTGCGTTGCCTGCGGAGATGATTTGCTGGCCGCTCAGCAGTGTTAATATGTGAAGATATTCAGCTCGCCTTCCATAACACTGGCATATACACCCGTCTTTCAATTACTCCTCACGTACAACTATCGACAGACGATGCGATTAATACTGCATTTCTATTCCTTCATCCTTCCCCTTCTTATTTCCTACCACCATTTCCTATCACAATTCGTTCTCTTCTGTAATTGGTGCACAGCCGGCGTCCCTGGATTCTGCATGCCATATCCCTACATACTCTTGACCTGATGAATGAAAAGCATCTAACGGCCTCGCCAACGACGAAATTTTGAAAGGGAGTTTGGAAACCCCACATCGATAAACCGAAAATGAAAAAAATCAGCATGAGAATGAGAAACAGGAAGGGAAATACGCAAAGAAGGGTGATCAACGCGCAATGAATAAAGGCAGGTGACACATGGGACTCATCAAAATCCAGGACATACATACATTCATGCATGCATCCATGCACACACCGCGCGCATTGGGAAGACAAGCTTATACTTCAATGGTGTCCATGATTGCATACATTTTTCTTTCTTTCTTTCTTTCTTTTTATTTCTTACTTTCTTTTCTCTTTTTTTCCTATATAGTATCCTTTGCATATTGCTTTCCTTGTTCTTACCATACCTTCATAGGCGGATGGATGGATGGGTGGATGGATGTATTCAAACAAACCGAGGGGTGGTTGCATACGAAAGACATGGCGGTACATGTCTGGACTGGTGTTGAGTTTAGTTTTGCTGCTTACGAGCTTGGTGGTTATCTTCTTCTTTTTCTTAACCTTTTTTTTTGTTTCCTTTCTCATATTTGTGTCTCACTAGTTGAGTGATCTGGGTTCAGTTTTTGTCGGCTGAACATAAGTGTGTCACTATACTACTACTACTACTACTACTAGCCTTATAGCTATAATTGTAGCTATAACATAGGCTGTAGCCATAGAAATGGAACCTACTACTACATTAGAATGCACGTGGCCTACAGTGTACACTCCTACCATCGAAGTTAATTCTTGCAGCAAAAGGAAACCACATGAATCTTATAAGACTAACAACATTCAATGATACAAAGTACAGCGTAGGTAGAAGAACTGACTCGCGCAAACCTCGGCCCACGATGCAAGTCCTCGGTCCGGAAAAACAGAAAAGAAAGCAGTGGAATCTCCTCTCCGCGCCACAATCCTGCATGTACAAAAGTAAGTATCCGATGGACCAATGACAGCGCAGCTACTACGCCCTAAGGCGGGCATAATTCATCCGAATCGGGAAAAGTGTGAATAATGCCGAAATGTTGGGGGATTGACACTAAATTATTAACTAAGGTTGAACTCTCATGTTTCTGGTGGATGATCCGGACTACGCGGCATCATCTATACCAGGGTGTGGTTATATAAGGCAGACGGGTCGTGGGGTGGCGCGTGGTTATGTGAGAAAAGTCTTGATTTACTTTGCAGCTGAACTCTTTTTGGTGAACTCTTGTGTGTTCTTCTTGTGTCAACCATTGTGCCAGGGTTTATGTGGGGTATTGAATAAGTTCCCTTTGATAACGATCCAGAATCTGAAGGAACTCTTTTTTATCTGCCCTTAAATTTTTTTTTGATTTGCTTCCGGGTAGTGACGACATTAGCCCTTTTTTTTTGCCCGCCGCTCCGTTCTCCGACTTGGTTCTTTCCACGCCCGTCGGTGCTTTGCGTACCTGCGTGTTTGCTGCTCTCGGCTTTTTGCTGTTTGCCTCCAGCTTTCCCTAGATTCGCCTCTTCAGGGGCGACTAGTGTCGTCGCTTTTCTCTCTCCTTTTTGGAAGACCCAATCTTGCTTCGTCTTTCAATTATACTCGGCTTACTGCTATCATCATGGCTTCAAGATTCTCGGCGCAATTGCTAGTGCCTTTGGCGCGGTCGTCCGTTCGCTGTCGGGCTGCATCCACTCCCGTCTTCTCGGTTCTCGCCGGCCGACATGCCATTGCCACTCCTTCTCCAACAGAGCTTCAGAAGCGGTATAGCTCTCATTCTCCGCTGGGGGCCGCCTCGGCCAATCCCCGAAAGAAGGTGACCATGCAGACGTTACGGAATCTTTACAAGAAAGGGGAGCCAATTACGATGCTTACGGCGCATGACTTCCCCAGTGGCCATGTCGCGGAAATGGCGGGGATGGACGTGGTCCTGGTCGGTGACAGCTTGGCCATGGTTGCCCTCGGCATGGAGGACACAAGTGAGATCCTCATGGATGAGATGTTGTTGCATTGTCGGAGTGTCGCGCGTGCTGTCAAGAGTGCATTCACGGTTCGTATTCTTACCGTCCTTCTTGAGTCTGTCGAGATTAACGTGTGATTTCGGCGCAGGTCGCAGATCTCCCCATGGGGTCATATGAAGTTTCCCCCGAGCAGGCTGTTCAGTCTGCCATCCGCATCGTGAAGGAGGGTCGCGTTCAGGCTATCAAGCTCGAGGGTGGTGCGGAGATGGCTCCGTCCATCAAACGTATCACGCAGGCCGGTATCCCTGTTTGCGGTCACATCGGGCTTACGCCTCAACGTCAACACGCTCTTGGAGGATTCAGGGTTCAAGGCAAAACGACCGCCAGCGCAGTGAGGCTGTTGAAAGATGCCTTGGCCGTCCAGGAAGCTGGCGCATTCATGATGGTTCTGGAAGCCGTGCCTGCTGAGATTGCCGCCCTCATTACTAAGAAGTTGCGTATCCCCACGATTGGCATCGGTGCTGGAAACGGATGCTCCGGACAAGTCCTGGTTCAAATTGATATGATCGGAAACTACCCCCCGGGCCGGTTCCTTCCCAAATTCGTCAAGAAGTATGGCGACGTCTGGGGAGAGGCTATCAAAGGAATTCAACAATACCGTGAAGAGGTTAAGAGCCGGGCGTATCCTTCCGAAGAATACACCTACCCTATTGCGAAGGAAGAATTGGCCGAGTTTGAAAAGGCCATTGAGCACTTCGGCAAGGACTAATTGCTCGCGACCCCGACTCAGAGCCATATTGTCTCATCCTGTGAGCGTTCACTGATAAATCTTTTTTTTTTCTCAAGCATAATATCATGCATATCATGTCCAGCAAGTCGTTTCAGTGATACCTTGGTATTTCGTGTTCATGTCCAAAATTCTTATATATTGTCAAATAAACTTTGACAATTTTTGTGCACAGTTGCCTTTCTAATCTCATTCCATGTTAGCTTGGTGAGGCGGATTTGGTTTAGGAAGATTACCTGTAAATAGTCAAGACAGCTGTTGCACTAATACACATCGACCTTTGCTCCCCATCAGCCAAAAGCGGGCGTCATAGAGTAAGCAACGATAAGTTGCTCGTCAGTCTTGAAACACTGAATGCTGTCAGTAAATGGGTGGCTCAAATCCACGTATCAAGGCGGCTTACCCTCCACAACCCACCAACACCTTCGTCTAACCCAGGGGCAAATACACTGTTGACATAACAGAAAACCGAGTCGGATTCTTTACAGTCCAGCTTCTTCCTGAGAAATTTCACGACTGTTTCGAACTTTTGCGAGGCACTAATCTTGAACACGCGGTTCTTCAGGATGGGAGCTGAAGGCAGTGGCTGAAAGCGCACGGTAACTGCTGCACTGTTAGTTTTCGGACAAGTATATGGCTTGTCCCGATAAGCCACATGACGTTACTAGGAAAGTGAGGGGCCAGTTTGGAGCTCGGAAAAAGCTGACTTTCGAGCGAGAAAGAATTCAAAACAATTCGAGGCAGTGGATACGTGATAGCACTCGTAGTAGATGATGACCAGAGGGTTTTACTTGCCTTTGCCCCTATCGACAGCCTCAGCATCCGCCAATGCTTGGTGGGCATCGCGGGGTAAGCTGGTTAGCACCACCGAGGCGGACATGGTCATTGGTAAGTCCGCACCGTGCTTGTCGTCTGGTATAGGTGCATTTTGGGTATTCGAAGAAGAATCAGAAGATTGTTTACGATTGGCTGGTCTGTGAGCGAGTTTGGCCTGGTCGGGTTTGGGTGAGTTTTGGGCCGAGGGGCCCTGGGGCGAAGGGGAATCCATGTCTAGCGATAGGGGGTTAACGCTGTGTAGCGCGACTTGTGCTCGAGGCTGAATGAGCAAAAAGAACAACAGACGATGTAGTATGAGTAAAATCAGCGATGGGTGATAAGGAATGGAAAGGAATGGTTTGCAGAAGACTGTTGGTGTTGATGCTGAGGTTGATGCGAGTTGTTGATGTTCCATTCCCTGGCTAGGCGCCGATGGACACCTGAGGCAGGGAGGTGGTCCAATCAAGTGGCAGGCACCATCATCCATCCATCAACGGTTTCTCTACCATGGTAAAGTCGGACGTGAAGAACAAAGCGAATCTTCAGGGCTGCCAAGGTACATGATAAGCAGGGGCGATTGCCAGCCAATCCGGATACTTCATCGCCTCAGAGGTACGCTCCTATTCAACCAAGCAACATCTTGACTATCTGATCAGTATAGTAAGTACTACTATAGGAGCACGATTTCACCTGCTCCGACAAACGGATTAGATACTTTTTCGGGCAGAGTTACATCTGTCAAGTGCCAACCGAGAAAGACCCACTGCGATTTCGACTCTAGTGCCATGAGGTAGCGATGATGCATGCATAACATCGGGCCCTTGTCTACATTGTTCGGAACACTCGCGTTGTCTTGACTCTTGGTCAATCTACACTGAACCAGGCTTTCTGACTTTCAGACAAATAAAATATACGCATGGAATGGGTTGGATGTGAAAATTGGAGAAACGAAGCAATACTGTTCCTGGATCAGATAACTAGCATAGTTACTGTTGAGATCAGTATTGTTCCTCGGCGTTCCGCTAGGGGACCCATTAGCGACGATCATCCATTCCCGGCCGGCTAGATTGAATTTTGGGCATCGGGTAGCCCTGTCAATGCGTAGACAAGAGAACTATTGGCAGTGGGAGAGGGCCATGACTATTCATTACGAGCAGACAGAGAAATTTCGGGGTCTCCAGTAACATGACAACAGAATCTTTACGTACAGAAACTATAAATACATTGAGAACGTGACTCCGGGGCCAGCTGACTGGAACATTGATTGATACGCGCCGAATGACTGGGTGGAAGCGCTGCCAGTGACCACTCTTACCGGTCATTACCAGAGCCCGTCACCTCATCCCCCCCGTGTCCCCGCTATCAGTCATACTACGTACCACCACCCATTCTATTCTTTAAGTTCCCTCTCTTCCCTTTCCTCCCCCCAATCCTCCCGCATCAACTCGCCCACTGCCTTCCAGTCCAGCAACACCTTCTCTCTCCCCAGCCTTGCTCACTTCTTCTCTCTTTCCTCAGTCCTCTTATTCCCTCCTTACTGCGATCCCTCTCGCCCGCACTTTTACACCGCTTCCTTCGATCTGCCCTATTTCTACTCAGAGTCGCCCCGCTCATTCCTTCCCCGCTTCGACCTTGGGGATAGTGTCAGTTCAACCACTTGCGCAATTCGCCTTTGATCCTAGATATCTCGGTGTCGACAGACTCGAGGACTTCGTATACCGTTATAGTTGCCTTATCTGCAAGTCATTCAAAATGAGTAGCCCGAAGCGGAGAATTGAGACAGATGTGAGTACCCCTCCCCTCGGTACCCCTCATGCCCTTGCGGCGAAAGTGGTGGCGGAAGGACTAACGCTTGGGATTTGTCCACATATAGGTCATGAAGTACGCCCTCGTACTGCTGCTGCGCTCATACCTGATAGCTGACTGACTGATATTTTGGCAGGATGTACGCACCCTTCCCCGTATCCGGCACCTATCATACTCCACCTCAACTTGGGTTGGAATGAGCACGCAATTTCGGATATGGGACAGGTCAACAGATTTCAGCGGGACTTGTGCTGATGTTTCGCATAGGTTGATGAGTGATTATGAGGTGACTCTGGTCAATGATAACAGTAAGTGCACTCAGTCTTTTGCCACCGACCATCGGACACTGACTTTGATTTGCAGTGTATGCAGACTCTGCTTGCCCTACAATCGTCATATGCACGATTGATATTGACTACTCGCTTTGTTAGGCAAGAGTTCTACGTACGTTTTAAGGGACCTGAAGAGAGTAAGATCCATACAATTTCCGACTATGGCAAATCAAACCTGCTGACATAGCCAGCACCCTTCGCCGGTGGCCACTGGAAGATCCACGTCGAACTACCCGACCAGTACCCATACAAGAGCCCGAGTATCGGATTTGTGAACCGGATATTCCACCCGAACATCGATGAGCTGTAAGACAACTTCGACAAATCTTGTGTCCAACGGCTAATCCCAGCTGCCCAGGTCGGGTTCCGTTTGTTTGGATGTCATAAATCAAACATGGTCGCCCATGTACGATATGATCAACATCTTCGAGGTCTTCCTTCCTCAGCTCCTGCGCTACCCCAACCCTTCGGACCCTCTCAACGGCGAAGCAGCTGCTATGCTCATGCGGGAGCCAAAGAGCTACGAGGCAAAGGTCAAGGGTACGTTGCCACATCATATGCGACATACTTCGTCATTCTTAGCTGACATGTCACCAGAGTACGTGGCCAAGTACGCCAGCAAAGAGGCTGTCGATGAAGCCGGGGAAGACACAGAGTCGGAAGACGAACTGAGCTCGGCAGGCAGTTACGAGTCCGGCGGCGAAGAGCCAGCCGGTACGATGGACGACGTCTAAATCTGCCGCGCTCCAGTCTGTCTTAGACCATTCGCGTCTTGGCTTGGACATTGCACACCAGTATATTGCATAGGCATTGTTGTCTATTATCTGTTTTCGGTGTTTACTATTCCTGCTTTCTCTCGGGTGTCAGGCGGAAAGGCGTTTCTGGCGGAGTTCTGTCATTCAAGGTGCAGCAATCGACTACGATGGTCACGAGAAGGTGGGCTAATGGGCGATCGGATCATGTAGCGTTGGAGGGGTGAAATAGCAGGAAGTCGACCGTCTGTCGATCCGTATCTCTTTGATACCAGCGACTTCCGCGGTCTGTTCAACTCTCCACCTCTCGCAGATGTTCCAACATAAAGACTGTATATCGCTAATGGGAGCATTATTGTTATACTCTATTTAGATCCACTACTATTAGTAGCATAGCCTAGCATACATAGCCCGTTGTTAAAGATGTTGCGTACGTTTCATATCATACAGCAAACGTTTTATTTTCAGCTGTTTACTAGCAGTGCTGCTGTACTGAAGTTAAGAGCGATCTGCGATCCAACCCAACCAGACTAGACAAGACAGGTTCGAACAAAGGAAATGCACAATGAAAGCTCGGTGGAGGAAGTAGTAAAAGCCGCAGGCATCAGCCTAGGCACAGAACAAGGGTATAGAAATAGAAGAAGTAGAAGTCAAGAAGAGGAATGTAAAGAAAAGCGCCGATGGCTAAAGGGAGAAGAACAGAAGAGTTGACCCCGTCGTCGCCGGCGACCCATCGCGATGCGCGAAGAAAAGGAAAAGGGGTATTAAGGGGATGATGTAGAAAAAAGCTGCACAAGAAAGCAGTAGAAAAAAAAAAAAAAAAAAAAAAAAAAAAAAAAAAAAAAAAAAAAAAAAAAAAAAAAAAAAAGAATCAAAAAGAAGGGGGTAAAAAGGTGAAAAACAATCAAACACGTCAAATGCGATAAGTGTTGTCACGCCTGTCCATCACGTTCGTCCAGAAGTCCGTCCATCCACTGCCTTGCCGTGTTTCATCTAGTAGTAGCGCCCCCGATAACACACCACCACACGACACCTATCACATTTGACCTGCCATCATCTGCGCAACCCTCCCCCATTTTAAATAGTTATATCGGTCATGTAACCTTCAACACTCCAAACACATCTCTCTTAGCAGCACCGTCTTCGTCCGTACTCGATCCCGGCCGCGACCGATTCTTGCGCGTATTTATCACCACCTCGCCCCAATGTTTCGGGACCGTGCCGCCCGCCTTCGCAGCCGGAGAGGAATGTTTCTTTGAACGGGCCGGTGTCGAGTCGGTCGTTATTACTTTCACGGGCGGCGCCTCGCCATCGGAGGATGAAGGAGGGGGGACAGTGCTGGGGAGGGTGGCGCGAGGTTGGAGATGCGGTTGGGGTTGGAGGGACCAGATGTCGATAACGGAACTGTTGCACGTTATCAATATTGGACTATACTCTATCTCAGTCATACTGGTGGTGAAGGGTGGCTCACTCTGATGTCCGCTGGCAGATTGCTTCGAGGGCTTCTCGTTCGCGCTTCAGGTAGCTGGGGTCTGGGTGATTGCCTTGAGTGCTTTGGTGGAGGGCGCCGTAACCGTAGCCCGGTTGGTAGATGTCTTCATCGAGGAGGCGGGAAGATTCGGGGTGGTTGGGCTGTGGTGATAGAGATAAGTTAGTTTTGGCATCTAGATGATGGATCGAAGAGGGTTGATGATGTCAAGCGCAAAGGGAGGGAGGAGTGTTGGTTGCGTGCGCTTGTTTTTCGGCAAAGAAATATAGGAATGAACTTACATCGTGGGGTTCCTGACGATTACGTCCTAGACATGAGGCGCAGATACCCATTTGTGCTGATCAGATCGGCGGAATAGAGGTGGAGGCGCAGGGGAGATGTTCAGTGACGGTAGGTGGTAGTGGTTGGAACGGCTTGATTATGAACGGTAGTAGTGTCGGGCTCTGGTGAAAAAAGTGCGAGGCGAATGAATGACTGGAATGAGCGTCTGGATGTTGAATTGGATGTAAAAACGCGCCGGGCGGTGATGCTCAAGCGGAGATGATTTGCGAAGGTGGAATGCGAGGTTGGTTGGGTGGGTGATTGAGATCTTGGGTCACTGACTTGAAGGAGTGACGGTTTGGATAATTCGGTGGGTTGGGAGTGGCCCGTGCGAGCCGATGTCATCGGAATCGGGTACAAGTATTAAGTATGAGTGCCTTGGAATGTCCTGAATGATAGTCACTGAAATCTATCTCTGATCAACCATCTTCAAAGTGTAAGCAGCAATGGCCTCAGATACTAAGTTTATGTTGCGTTGCATGGTATGCCAGAAGATTCGCAGGTCACCAGAGGGTTATACTATCACATGCCTGGTGGAACAATCATGTCGTCGTATGATCTTGAACCCTCAGAGTCGACTAAATCAGGGGGCATCTTAGCTCGGTAATCGTTACCTTTGTAGCTCGAACAAAGCCTATACAACTAGCTACTGGTCGCATGGATTTATTTGCGCCTATCACTGGAAGTGATATAGCATAGATACATAGATCCCAAATGCATTATTCGCAAGCAGTCCTAAAGAGCACAACAGATGTATACATTCTACACGTATGCTGGAGCAAACCCCCACTGTAGCATATCACATACACTTTAACATTGAAAAGAAAAAGTAGTAAACGTATGAAGTCCAATATCAATCCACTCTTCCCCGTAGAGATAAAGAGAAACCCATCAATCCTCCGAACCCGTGGCCGCACTACACCCGCCCGTGGAAATAAGCACTCACCACATCCGCCGACAATTTTCACTCCACCACCGCAACACCATCAACCCCAGCTGTCATCCACCACTCTCCTCTGCCAAACACTCAATCCCACGCAAAAGCAGACAGACAGACATGTTCGACCTCCCCAGCGCAAAGCGGTACGTCAAATACACCAACCTACTAGCCTCAATTCCAACTTCAAACCCACTAACCAACGCCCCAACCACAGCGTCCGTCGCGAAGAACTCCTATCCCGAACATCCACCTCCCCCTCCCCCTCTCCACCCCCAGAATCCTCCCTCACAGACGTCCACCAACGTCTCGGCGCCCTCCTAGACATCGACGCCCTCCTCGCGCCACAACCCGACCCATCTCCGCAACCAACGACCGAAGCCAACCCCGACGAAGACGAAGAACAAGAGTTCGAGTTCCGACTGTTCAGCGCCCCCACAAAATCCGACTCTAAAAAGGAAGAGCAAGCAGCTGTCGAGTCCAGCACAACTCAAGCCCAGAAATTACGCATCCGGGTACGCTCACCCACGCCCGGCGCCGTGGGAGTGGAAGATGGACGCTTTGTGAATCCGTTTCGCGGATGGGGGTACTATTTCTCTGCGCCGGGGGCGATGGCTGGGGTTAAGGAGGATGAGTTACGGCTGGAAGAGGAGAGGTTGAGGGAGAAGAGGAGACAGTTTGAGGACGTGGCTGTTTCGGGGTTGCAGGTGGTGGGGTTTGCTGGTGTGGAGTGGGTAAGTCTACTTTTTTTTTTTTACTATCTTGAGCTCTATTGGGGTGGTTGAGTGGTTGAGTGGATGTTTTTGCTGACACTTTCTGCGCTCTAGCCTGGGTGTCATCTCCCGTGGAGGGTTGTTACGCTGAAGAGTGAGAAGAAGGGTAAGGGTGCGGCGGTGACGTGCGAGAAGGACCCTGCGGAGAGGGCGCCGACGTCTTTGAAGAAGCCGGGCAAGAAGCGGCGGATTCAGTTGCGGAAGCGGGTCTCCGCTGCGGACGAGAGAAAGAAGAAAGAGGAGGAGAAGAAGTTGTTGGAGGCGGAGAAGCGGAACCGGAAGAATCGCGAGAAGAAGATCAAGCGGAGGCAGAAGGCGAGAGAGGAGAAGGCTGCTAAGGCCGCCGCTGCTGCTGCGGCTGGTGGTGGTGAGGCTCCGGCTGGTCAGATGGATGTGGATGTGTCTTCGGATGAGGGCAGCGATTGACGGGATTGGTTATTTTATTGAGTGTATGTTCTTCTAGCTCAGTTTCCGCTTATGATACCCAGGTTGATATCGAATCATGGATTTGATTGATCAGATCTTCTTGATTTTACTACAGAATACACTGCGAGAGATTGAAATACTTGCTTCACGCGGACAGACTGAATTATTAGACTATGCGGATACGCATGGCTATTGAAAGCAGTACAGGGTATATGAAAGGTGGATATCAAGAGAAGAACAAAATGAAATCAGAGCAGTCTATGCTGGGGTATGAGAAGATGCAAAGGGAAGGAAATTATGCACGGCGAAGGAGTGGATGATGCATGCAGGGAGCTGCATCAGCTGGAGCCGAGAGGCAGATTATTTGGTTTCTTTGTCTGCGCATGGTCTGTCAGTCATCCATCTCAACTGATCATTGCGGGAACTGCTCGACTTACCAGCTGCGTCTCCAGCAGTCTCAGCGGGCTTAGCAGCGGCCTCAGATGCACCAGCAGCGGCTTCCGCATGGGTTTCCGTCTCAGGCTTTGCCTCGCCAGCCGGGGTCTCCGTCACCTCGAGGGTCGGGGGAGCGGCAGAAACACCTTCGGACTGAGGCTCAGCGGGCTTGTCGGCGGCTGCATCATGGCATGGTCAGTAAGCGGTCGTGAAGAACTGCGTGACAGTCGCAAAACGTACCAGGAGTGTTATCAGCAGGAGCAGCAGCGCCTTCAGGGTTCTCCTCGGCAGTCTTCTTCTTCTTGAAGATAGCCTTGAGCTTGTTCTTGATGTTCTTGAGGAAGGCTGGGATGCAGGGTCAGTTGAGCAGTCCATACGCGCGCACGCAAGATGATCTGCGGGGTTTCACTCACCAGGCATGGTGACAGTTGGAGGGGTAGTAGATAAAGGAGGGGAAGTTCGGTATACACGAGTAGTTTGGGATGGTGAATGGAAGGATCAACAACCACAGCGGGGAGATGCAGCAGGAAAGTGTAGTACAGAGAACAAAGAAAGTCAAAACACAGAAGACAAGGACAAGAAAGAGGGAAAAAAAGAAGGCTTCATATGGCCGTAGTTATGTGTCCTCCACGTGACGGGGGGCACGGTCCTGATGTTGATCGCCAGCGCCCTTAATCTGCTCTTCGATGCCTCCTTTCTTTTCGCTTCAGGACCCTTTTCCTAGTAACTACGACGTCCTGCCTCATCTCCCCCCCTCTCCATGCCCCCGCCGACCACTGCTGCTGATCCACTGGTGCCGTCATCTAAAGGCTTACCTATTAGTCATGACAACTAACTAAACTAACTAATCCTCTAGCTACCCCTGGGTCTATCCAAGCAACTACTCTATCTAGGGAGTTAATATACGAGGGATGGGCAAGTGCATCGGCACCCCGCCGCGTTAGTAACCCTCGGTTCGCGCATCTATTGCCAACGGAGCAGTTGATCCCGGCTCGACTATCCTGTTCTTGCAGTGGTGGCTGCTTCTCAAGAATAGCAATTTAGCTACTCGAATTATGGAGACCATCGCACTTACTTCCTGTCCAAGCGCCAGGGGGTTCAAAGTTGCGAGTCAGGAGAAAGTACTGCATCTCTTTTTTTTTTTTTTACTCCTCTTCCTCCTGGATCGACTTTTCCGATGGCCCTCCTTTCAGGGGCAACCCTTATCGTGAGAATGACCAAGCGCTGTCAATAAAACCCCGACAGAGAAAATGTACGAGGATCTAGTCGACCATCACGGCCCCACTTTTACTTTCGCGAACAATCCTTATTCTGCGCTTATTTGGGACTATTAGATGAATTGGGTTGCCGTGGGTGGGGACCTTGTATATAGGGCACGGAAATTGCCCTACTTCAGGTCAATGGACTCACATAGCCGTGGTGGTGGTGTTCTGAGAGTTGGAAATTGCTGGAGCACTCTATCTTAGAAGGTCCGGTTGACTCCTTCAAATCTTCGTATATTGTTAGTTTGTTTCATCTCTGCATGCACGATGCGCCCGTTAGCAAGCGAGAATCTTGGCGGTGCGCCGTTTGCGAGTCCATAGGCCTTTGTTCAACAGTCGGCCGACATGGTGTGTGCAGCACTCGTTAAGACTGTATGTATGGTTCTCGCTTTCAGCCGTGTCTAATATTCCATGTCACGTACATTGAATGCTCCGTTCATGCTTGCAGTCGGTGTCCAGTGACGAACGAGTTGTTGTCTACACTATACTAGGTGAAATGACTGACCAGGCCAGAAATAGAATGATAGGTCGAGTGCAAAAATAGGACTTGCCTGTTTGCCTGAAGAGATTGTGAGAGTAAGACCTGTTCGCCGGATCAGGGGGTGAGGGGGAAGAGAAGGGAACTAGACCAAGAGTCTGTTCAAGTCTGATCCATCGTAAATACGACCGGGTCTAGAGAGCCATGGTCAGAAACCCGCCAAAGTCGAGGATAGCTCACATCAAGGTTCAAGCAATAACCGTGGAAGGGCAAGTGTCCGACCGCCCCATTCTGAGAGCTCTGGGATTCGCCGAGAGCTTCACTCTGCCGAAAGCTACGAAGCAGAGACGGCCGTCATGGTGGACGTCGATAAGCTTGGAAGCGGCAAATGATCGGTCGCGTTATCGCCCGCTCTTTATCGGACCGCCGCCCGAATAACCGCCGCTCGGCCAAGTTGCTCACCAACCAACCTAAACCCAACCCACCGGTCCACCGTTGTTGTATACACGACAGGAATATTGGTGGTACAGGTATGCGCGTTGATCAATCCAGAACAGGGGCTCCTGATGAACCTCGAGGAGAGCCGGTGTCTGAACAGACGCCCCTCCTTGGGGATCACACGCCGAATGAACCAGTGCCTTCGGGAGACTCCGAAGTTCCCTTGGCCGAGGAACCCAGCTCGAAAGAGCTCATCCTAGTCTTGGGAAGTATCTGGGTCGGAGTCTTCCTGGCTGCTTTGGGTATGACCTGTCCTACTACAGGTTCCCCGTTCGCTGAAGCTGACGGTTTTAGACACTACAATTGTCGCTACTCTCACTGCCCCCATCTCGTCCTCCTTCCAGTCCTTCACTCTGCTGTCCTGGCTCGCTACCTCCTACCTGATTTCCAATGCCGCCTTTCAACCACTGAGTGGGCGTCTGACTGATATCTTCTCTCGACGGACTGGGCTGGTCTTTTCGAATATCTTCTTCGCAGCTGGGAATCTAATATGTGGTCTGGCAAAAACCGAGGGGACTATTGTACTGGGGCGCGTCATCGCCGGTATCGGTGGTGGCGGTCTAACTGCGATTTCGACCTTTGTCACCTCCGACTTGGTGCCTCTACGAAAGCGTGGAGTGTGGCAGGGCATTGGTAACATCTGCTACGGAGCCGGAAGTGGACTGGGCGGTGTGTTTGGAGGATGGATCAATGACACTCTGGGATGGCGATGGGCCTTCTTAATCCAGGTCCCTTTCGTCGTGGTGTCCGGCATCCTCGTAGCGGCCACGGTACGAGTGCCGGTGAAGACCACTGACAGCGCCAAATTGAGACGGGTTGACTTCCTCGGAGCGCTCACTCTGGTTGCAAGTCTCGTTCTGCTCCTGCTGGGGCTGAACACTGGTGGAAACCAGGTCCCGTGGACGCACCCTCTCATTCTTGTCTCGTTGCCGCTCTCCGCGGTATTCTTTGGCCTCTTCATCTACGTCGAGGCCAACATTGCGTCCGAACCGGTTATTCCTGTCCGGTTGCTTCTAGACCGGACGGTATTTTCAGCCTGCCTGACCAACTGGTTCAGCACGATGGCCGTTTTTGGGCTTTTGTTCTACCTGCCGTTGTTCTTTCAAGTCCAAGGCTTGTCTGCGACGAGTGCGGGCGTCAGGCTGATTCCCCAAGCCATTGGAACCTCACTCGGCTCACTGGGATCGGGAATCCTGATGCGGTCGACCGGACGATACAAGATCTTCAGCCATGTGTCCATGGCGCTGATGACTCTCTCCGGTGTGCTGATATGCACGCTGTCACTCACGACTTCGTCGTGGCTACCCTTCATCTACTTCTTCCTGATGGGTACGGCCTATGGGAGCATGCTGACCATTACGCTGGTGGCACTTATCTCTGCTGTAGACCACCAGCATCATGCGGTCATCACATCCGCATCCTACGCATTCCGCAGCACCGGAAGCACCATTGGCATCACCGTTGCCTCTGCCGTGTTCCAGAATGTTCTCAAATCCGGACTTTGGTCTCGGTTTGGAGATCGCGAGCATGCTGGCGAGCTGATTGGACGGATCCGCGATAGCCTCGAGGAAATCCGGAAGCTCCCTGCAGACTGGATCCCGGGGGTGTTGGATTCGTATATGGACTCTTTGCGCGCCGTATTTCTGACGTTACTGGGACTCAGCGTGCTGGGGGCGATAGTCAGTATGGGAATGCGCGAACATAAGCTGCACTCGAACTTGGCGCGGAGGGAAGAGTAGCGGAGAGTATAGAACAAAGAGAGAATGATGATTGCGGGCGCGATGTGTAAAAATTGCAGACAGCGTAAGAGATAGAGAACATAGTACTTCTTACTTCTGCCGTCCATTCCTACCGAATAGAACAGTAATAGCGACATCATTATCGGGTCGAGGCTGCAGGTTCCACCGCCCGCCCGCCAATAAGCGCCCGTCTCTTCCGCAGACGAACCAGGAGTTCCTCCCCAGCGCAGCCTCTGGATCTTCCATTAGTTGAAGACGAAACATTCCTCCTCCACTGAGGTAGAAGTGGCACGACTCTCCTCCTCCTCCTCTTCGCTTCTTTTTTTCCCTCTCCTCTCACTTTCCCCCCGTCTCTCCTTAATCTCCTCCTTTCCGATCAATCAATCCCCGAGTCACCTTAAACCGATACCTGCACGAGAACTTGGGTGGCGTTGAAAGTTGCGCTGCAGACGTGGCGACGGCACACCTTGGACTCTTGACGCCCAAGCTCCGGTTGCTAACTGGGTTTCATTAACAACTAATTAGTCCGCCCTGCAAGTCCCGCTGCTGCTTCACCCGACACACCGCTTCCTCCCTAGCTTGTCCGATCAGCCCACCCGTCAGTCAACACGTACTGCCTCCAGATCCGCAGTGCGGTCCGGTTCCTGCCCTCGTCTTGCGGTGCATGACTTGGGCCTACTAGTTATTGGTCTCGCCTGGAGGGAAAAGGAGACAGAGAGCTTACATTGGGTTGCAATTGATCGACAACTAGCCCCGGCTGGCCGACTTATATACAATCGTCACCTAGGTGGATTTACCTTTTTCTGCTGCAGGGCATTTCCTTCGCCGTTCTTGCGCACTGGCTGCGATATCATCCTTTCGACGGTACACCAAAAGACTAATCCGGGGTTTGCTGGCTGCATAATCCCTGCAGGCGACAGGTTCTGGACGGTTTTACTTTTCTCTCCAACGAATCGTGACGTGACTGGACTATATTACCGCGGGATCTGCGTTTAGATCATTCTCTGCGACATATTTCTTTTTCCTTTCCCTCCCCACTGTGATGGCTGTCGGTTTTGGCGCAACTTTCACCTCAACATCGACTGGTGTCGCAACGGTGGTTTCAAAGGGTGTCTGGTCGACGGAAATGGAGGTCACTACAGAGCAGGGAGGAAAGTTAACTGAACATAACACTACGATCCCCATGCAAATAGATAATCAAATACAAGAAGCCCCGAGCTCTTCTCCTCGTCGTCGGCGGCGCTTACTCCTCTCCACCGAGAGTGCCTTCGTCGACAACATACTTCCATCGCTGGTTCAGAATCCCGATATCGAAATACGATTGATCACCGACGAGCCCTCCGCCCTTCTGTCGGGCGCAAGCAAGGTTCCTCATTATATGGACACAGTGGATAGTCAAACATTCGAAAAGAAGACTGGGGCTCGGAAATGGCTAAAGGCCAAGGCGGCGGAATTGTGCGAGTGGGCTGATATGCTGTTGGTTGCGCCGATAGACGCCGGAGCGTTGGGGTCGATGCTGTATGGTTTGACCAACACCTTGACGTTGGCGCTCCTGCGGGGTTGGATGTCATCCAAGCCGGTAGTTCTGATCCCTGGCATGACGGTCTCGGAATGGCACCATCCGCTAAGTAAAAGGCAACTGCGAGAGGTGGCAGATTTCTGGCCATGGATAAGTGTGGTGTCGCCGGTGCTGTGGGAATCGGTCAGTCCGGAGGAGCTGGTTCAGTTACCATGGGAAGGTCTGAAAGAACTGCATGAGGTTCTCGAACGAACTTTGGGCCTTTCATTCACTCAAGTCTTCACTAAGCCTGGCCAGCTTTCAGATCCGACATACCCGACCGGCATGTCAGAGCAGACGCCTGGCGACGCGGCGTCCACGGTATCGCGACACCTTCTGCATCGAAGCAGTAAACCGGAAAATGGCCCGCGCTCGCTACCCATGGAGCTATGGCTCAACATCTTCGAAGACCAATTACACGACTGGGAGATCGCAAAGGCAGTTGGCATCCCAACCAATCTGCCCGTGCCGAAGGAATGGCAAAATCACCTGTTAAAGATGTCGACCCCCGCCTCCTTGGAATATACCATCCTCAGAGGATCCTTTGCCGCAATTAAGAAGCGCATTGACAGCCTGCCACGATGGAAGCCCCTCTCCGACCTTGTATGCCACCTCATCTTCAAATTCTCTCGCACCGACATCCTCTCTTACCTCACTGAAAACCACCTCGATCTACTCTGGACCACCTCTCGACTCACCAACCTCCCATACCGCGCATCCGCCATCTACGGAAACCCCAACATTCTCACTTGGTGGCGCGATGCGCCCGCCCTTCCTAACAAAGAATACATCGCCGACGCAATGGATGGGGCCTCCCGCGCCGGCTTCGTCAACGTCTTAGAATGGTGGCGAACCTCCGGCCTCGAACTTCGGTATACCGAGCGCGCACTCGAAGCCGCCAGTGCCGAAGGCCGAGTAGCCGTCCTCGCCTGGTGGAAAGCCGCCTCGGCCAACGCACCCCCTTCCAACCCTATCCCCCTCAAAGTCGGCAAGTCCGTCCTTCTTGCTGCCCAATCCGGCCGCACCGCTTCCCTAGCCTGGTGGGACGCCTCCGGCATTCCCTACAGCCATGGTGAATCCGTTGCCCGCATCGCCAGCACCCACGGCCACGTCCACGTCCTCGAATTCTGGCACCGCCTGAAAGGCGCCAAAATGATATTCGACAGCCAAGTCCTCGTCGGGCCCACCAAGAACGGCCACGACAATGTCCTGGAATGGTGGCGTCGAAGCGGTCTCCGCGTCGAGTTCAAAACCTGCGATATCGAAGAAGCTCTCGAAGACGCCGACCCGGTTTCCGGTGCTGAAGAACGTGTTCGTAGATGGTGGGCCCGGAATGGTCTTAACCTGGGTGTTGGGACGAGTGAGTGGATGAAGACGAAAGTGTTGTGATTGATTAAGGTTGTGTTCTCCTACTCCTTGTTAAGATACCTCTTTTCCTTCCTTTTTCTTTCTTGTCCATTCATGCAAACGTGACCGATAGTTATTCTATAATACCCCGTTATCTTCTTCGTTTCTTCTCCGCTGGCGTCTTTTCTACCATTCCACACCCTCTGTTTATATTTCTCGTTGCATGAAGGGCCTGGGCTGGTAAATGTTATCGCATTGCATGTAATTGTGCGTGGGGAAGAATAGGAACTCGGTATTTAGCGTTGGTCTCATTGTTGTGCCTATCATGTAGGATAGGTAAAACACAATTCTTGTCTACAATCACCCTCTCATTCGAGTAGTACTACGAGTTTGGGTCTATTTGATCTAAGCCCAAACAGATACGGCGGGATGATGTCTGTTGCTGAGTTCTGAAGCATACTAGTACCTGAGGCGAATGCTCTGATTTGGAAGTCTTGGTTGCATAAAAATACCAAATGGAAATTGCAAAAGTATAATTGATAATCATATTATAGTGTGATACTGCTAGTGTTAGATACTATCTTCATCAATTTGTAATGGTATTCATGCAATCCTGTTTGTCGATTGCAGCATCTGAGGGCAGTACCAGTATCATATATATCCCCAGAATAATATTTAGGAAGTACTCAGTTGTAATATAAGACGGTTTCTAATATATATATATGCTTAGTTACTAACATACTGGCATACAATAGGACTGAAATATTAGTGGTTAAGTAACTTATGATAGACTAATGCTAACCAAGCAATACCTGTGACAGTCATATAACTATATTTTCACAGTTAGTAACTATTTTATAACTGTAGATAACTCTTGTAGACTATTAGCTTTATATTACGCTCTTCATGCACCCCATCATCCCACCATGTAGTAGTTGTACTGGAGTCAAGGTACTAGTATTATAATATGGCGTTCATTCGATTCTTAGTACGTGGCTTGCTTGACATCATAAAGATATATAAGCGTAGGGACGAGTAGGTGCGTGCCTCGTGAATGTATGCCTGGTTGCAACCGGGTAGACATGCTTTAATATCTTACTGGAGGTTCTCGGGCCCCCTTCCTAACTGATTTCTTTCCATGACATCGGTATAACAGAATCAATCATAGGGTGCTACTTCATACAAAGAAAATTCATTCTAACAACTACCCCGTGCGCCTCATGCCATGCGGACACCAGCCGGACAAAGGTCGAGGAAAAGGAAATAGAGTGACGTCAAAACATTTAGACCGTCCTTGCGGAATTCATACTTCTTTCTCTTGTCATAAACAGAATGTGCAGCCGTTTCAGAATAAGTTGTGTCGTCGGTTTAGGTTGTTGTGATGGGACGTGATATGATGCGAGTTGGAAAGTGTTCCTCTAAACTTCTCTCCTGCTAGGGAGTTAGTTGAGTTCAAAGATTTGGGAAGAAAAAGAATCCTACCAGGTAGGCTCGTGCTTCTCAATGCCAGGGGTGCGGATGGCGTTGCGGTCGCCAAATGGATTATCTTCATCGTCATCGTCTTCCGTTTCTGACTCGCTGTCACTGTAGACTTTCCTTGATGAGGATGGTACGGATATGCTCAAGGGACGAGGGGGACGTGGTGGCTTCGGGGGGTTGACAACCAACCCTGCGAATGAGTCGGGGAGGTCGTCGCGGTCAGGGGTCCACCCCGTCTCCAAGACATCCTGGTCGCTATCACTGTCGTAGTCTACACTCTTGTCTAGGACTTCAAATGCCATAAGTGCCGTGACTAGCTCTTCGTTTGCATGAATCAAACTACCCAGAAACTCCTCACTCTCCACGTGCTGGATGTATCGCAGAATTTGGCGTCGTAATGTCTTGCAAGTCTCAAACCGGTTGAGGACTTCGGCATCTTCGCTGACCCGTTGCGTTTCGCGGTTAACCAGCTTGAGAGCGTTGAGGAGGTTTGTACTGGCGACGGAGGCTGACGCGAGGGTCTGTAGCATCTCTGGCTTCTCTTTATCGAGGCTGAAAGACCTGCTTAATGTCTTCTTCTCCTTCTTCTCCTTCCTAAAAGACGAAAGAGATGATTTGCTGGAGGTGTGCTTGTGCTTGGGGCCACTGAGAACTGTAGCTGGCCCATTTCCGGCTGATACGGACACCGTATGGCCCATCGAAGGTTCTTCGGATTGCCCCGCATCCCGCAACACTTTGGCCTTTGCCTGAGTAGCCGGCTGCTTACGCTTCGGTAGTTGTCTGTAGAGACCTGTAACCCGCTCCATCCCAGGGGTGTTCTTGTAAGAGGCTGCCCATTGCCCAAAGAGCTGTTTGCATTTCTCTTTTACCAAAGGGTCAGAAACCGGGTCGGTCGCGGCGATTCGTAGTCGTTCCAGCAAGGGCTCATCTGCAAATTCCCGCAGAAAGCGGTCGCCGGTATTCTGGATCAGGAAATCGAGGATCGTAAGGGCTCGCAATTGGCGGTGAAGATTGCCATACTTGCTGAGAGGGCGTTAGAGCGCTCTCAATCAGAGGGAGTAGACACACGGACAGCTTCTTACGCAAAGCGCGACTCGCTTCTGTAGGACCACTGGCCTGGATACGAATGGCCTCGATAAGGTCCACGATTCCACTTGAATCTTCCACCTCATACTGTTCGCTGGTGAGGACCTCGATCTGGACCGTCACAGCCGAATACGGCTTCTATGGAGAGTACATCTTTTAGTTCATGAATCAATGGATGGCAGAGCCACATTTTCTCTTGTGAATTTGCAGATAGTTGTGTGTTGTGTAATTGACACTGCTCTCAATGCCAATGGGTTTAGGCCGCGGGAAGTTGCCAAATAGACTTACCGATGAGTGAAACATGGTGACAGCACCGGACGAGTGTATAGAGTCGATATTCAATCACGAAGAGGGGAATAGAGAGCCCCGCAAGTATTCAGATATGTGAAAGCGATGTTTGCAACTCTCACATGCGTATCGACTTGTCACCGATACATGCAGGAGGGTCGACCCCGTTAAGGAGAGGTGGGTCGCGAGAGGAGATGCAGCGGATTGAACCCCCTTTGTCCTCTTTGTGCTCTCAATTATATCCGCGGACGAGCAAGAGAGTGTGCCCACAATGGTCTTACCCAACAGGGACCCTTCCCGACGCCTAGGAAGATAGATATCAATCCAGCGCACAACGCGGAGAAGAGCAAAACGGTGACGTGTTAGGCCAACTGGATAGCCGCTGTGCTGCCTTGGCGGGGGGTACAGAAGGACCAGATGCACTAAAAACAGTAGCTTTGCATTGGCAGACGACTCCGCCGTGAATTGATCTCGCAGACCAGCAGCGTTCGAGCCGTTTGAGCTGCAGCAACTGCAAGAGACGAAGGATCGGACTGGCGCCTCCAACGTCATGCGGTGTTGATTCCATCCCGATCTCGTGACTGCCCCTCTTGCGTGTCCCAATTGGGATAAGTGCGGGGGAACTTTCCGAGTCAGTGCCTGATTTGCGCCTGGGGCCTCCCACGGCCCACGCCGATCCCGGGCTTCATTCCTGCGAGTTTGAAGAAGGATAATCCCACGAGCATTTCTGACCCAGTGGTCGGGCCTCGTTTGACGCAGGAACTGCTCGAATAGCGATTACTCACTGTCCGTATCCTATTGCTGACCTATTCGCCACCGTTAGTATCCCAATTCCATGGGTCTCTGGTCGACGAATTCGGCAGATCCTTGCTCCATTCGCAGGCCGCGTACTATCTCCATCTTCTCCCGTCTGGTCCTCTGCTCCACTCTGCTACTGGGTGTCAGCTTCATCTTAAAAACCCGCCCTCATCTGCTCCCATCTTTCCCCCACCTCACCCCCTCCCGCTCCTCCTATACCCAACCCACCACCATGGCCTACCAGCAGGAACGCTACATTGCCGAGCTCGCCGTCCAGCGTGCCACCCTCCTCACCCAGAAGGTCTTCAACGAGAAGGCCAAGGGCACTGTCTCCAAAGATGACAAGTCACCCGTTACCATTGGCGACTTCGGCGCCCAGGCTCTGATCATCCAAGCCATCCGCAAGAACTTCCCTAATGATGAGATCGTCGCCGAAGAGGAGGCCAGCAGCCTTCGGGAGGACAAGGCGCTGAGCGCCGAGATCTGGAGACTGGTTCAGGATATCAAGTTGGTGGACACTGAGAGCGACAACCTCCTGGGAGGCCCTCTGCCTAGCGAAGAAGCGATGCTGGACATCATCGACCAGGGCAAGAGTGCTGGCGGTGCCAAGGGTCGTATCTGGGCTTTGGACCCCATTGACGGCACCAAGGGTTTCCTGCGCGGTGGTCAGTACGCCGTCTGTCTCGGTCTGATTGAAGACGGTGATGTCAAGGTTGGTGCCATTGGCTGCCCTAACTTGCCTGTTAACGACGCCGAGACCATGTCTGCGGGCATCGGCGCTGAGCAGACCAGCGGCACTGGCAAGGGTGTCCTCTTCTCCGCCATCCAGGGCGTTGGTTCCATCAGCCGGCCCCTCACCAACGGTGCTCTTGCTGAGAGCAAGTCCATCTCCATGCGCCCCGTCCCCGATATCGCTCAGGCCGTGTTCTGCGAGGGTGTCGAGGCCGGTCACTCCGCACAGGACGACAACGCCGCCGTTGCTAAACTTCTCGGTATTACCTCCCCCAGTGTGCGTCTGGACTCGCAGGCCAAGTACTGCTCGATTGCCCGCGGTGCTGGTGACATCTACTTGCGTCTGCCGGTGAAGAAGGACTACCAGGAGAAGATCTGGGACCACGCCGCTGGTGACCTGATCGTGCGGGAAGCTGGTGGTCAAGTGACGGATATCTACGGCCAGAGACTGGATTTCAGCAAGGGCAGGACCCTGGCGGCCAACAAGGGAGTTGTCGCGGCCCCCAAGGCCCTCCAGGACCAGGTCATCGGTGCTGTGAAGACTGTTCTGAAGTTGTAAATGCTAGGAGACTATGGGGGGGAATTGTCTATCATGAATGTAATAGATTCTCGATCAGTCCTGTCAGACCGTGCACGCTAGATGCGTCTAAAAGTACATAAAAAGAAAGGATACCAATTGCGAACCAAAAGAACCGTGCTCGGATATACATGTACAGAAATAATAAACACAGTTTCGTTCCCCAAAGATATAGACGCCAATTTCACCGAATCTTCTTGTCCTTGAGCTTGATCGTCTCCCCGTTGACGAAGATACCCTTGCCCTTGTAAGGTTCCGGCTTGCGCCATTCGCGGATCTCCGCCGCGAACTTGGTCACAAGCTGCTTGTCCACACTCTCCAACAGGATACGAGTCGGCTGGGGTGTGCTGGCCTTGACGCCCTGGGGAATACCCAGCTCAATCGGGTGCGAGTATCCAACCTTCAGGGACACGAACTGTTGACCGGGGTATTGGGGCTCAACGGTGGTCGCCGTGGGTTCGATGCTAGCTCTGTAACCAACACCAACGAAACTCAGAATGCAAATGTGACCTTCCGACACTCCGAGGATGTGGTTCTGTAGGTGGGCGCGCATGGTTCCTAGAGACAATCTCCCGTCAACTATAATTCAACAATAAACTTTAATTCCAACGGAGTTACGCACCCCACATAGCACGCTGGTGAGTGATCTCTGAGTCTTGAACAGCCAGAGTGGCTTTCCGAAGGGCTTCATCGTAGTCGATTTTCACGTAGGAAGGGATGTTCAGCGACAATTCACCTAGCACTCAGATGTCAGTCTCGCTCCGCTTTCCGACGCCGCTGTTATGAATTGTTGCCATTGTTCCTTACCCAGGGGTCCTTTGACCTCAACGGCCATGTTCGGGAAGTCAACCGACTTGGCCTTGGTCTTAGGCTGAGGGAGGTCGATGAACTTCAGAGACACCTTCGGGGGCACGGTGATCGCGGCGCCGCCAACTCGCGATTGTACCGGGGACGTGGTCGAGAAAGGTTGTGTCCGAAGAGGGTGAGAGAAAGCAGGGACGAGGAAGTTGGGCAGAGGTCCTTGTCTCAAAGGACTCCGCGCAAGCTGCCTAAAGCAGCTCTGAGACAAGTAACATGACATGGCGATGGTAATTGTGGATTGAGGTTTGGACGAGTGCTTGGGAACTCCGATGCCGACTGATTTTGTCCGGAGATCTTGCACGCCCGATGTGGTTAGTGCACAATCACGTGATGAATTATATAGATGGCGCTCTCTCACTCTCCTTTTACTTCCTCCACATCGCAGAACATTATTTGTGAAGCTATGGAATTATTGTCCCTTTACCCTAGTTTGAGTTGATTCTAATGTTTCTCTCACTGTACTGATGTGATTATCGGGTGTCTCATTCTTTGTACTACAGCTTCAGCCGTACTGTTGCTTTGACTGTCGCTAATGTCGTGACTGCTGCTTCTTGTACTTTTAGCTTGCAACTTGTATACCATCTAACCGCTTGTCCACTATTTCATCTGCTTGATAATACCTGCTATACTGATTAGCATATTCTGCGCGCTTTGTTACTGCTAATATCCCCAAAATTGCGACACATCGCCATAACCAAAACTGCCGTCAAGCTCAGGCATAATAATGTCTTTCTCCACTTTGTTACGCTGCCTAGTACTAATTCTCGTTGCCTGCAATGTCACCACTGCTTCTAGTTCAATGGATGGTACGCCTGCTCAAACCATCTTGCTTGGTTCAGGCTAACCTACTAGCAAGTTTCTCGAGCCGAAGACCGAAACTCGGCTACGGATGTCGATCTAGCCTCTTTGTTGACATCAAGAAACCACCAGCGCGAAGTACTATTTTCAGATGCACTGGGGCTTCTCCGGTCAATGCAAGTCTCTCCCTCTTGCAATAGAATGGCAGTTTCCAAACTGGTTAGTTCCTGCCAATCGATTGGGGGCGAATCTGACCAGCCGGACCCACATATATTGACGACACTGGAGCACATTCGATCAATTTACGCGGCAAGGCTTGCCATATGCGAGCTCAATGAGGCGGGTGCTGCAGTTCCCACTACATGCCAGTCTATAACTATGCGGATACCGCAGAAGAAAGGCATCTTTAGGCTGCCCTCCGGTTATAAGACACACTTCAATGCTGCAGAAACCGTTACCAAAGGACAGCTGGAGTCCTGTCTCCGGTCTCTAGAGTCACGACCCCAGTGGTGGACTTCTTATAGTAATAGTAGACAGAACGCTGTGGTTATATGCCAAGCCGCCCGATTCGAGAACGAGAGGGAGGAAATCATCGCACTCCACCGATCTATTATTGAAGGTTCAATCAAACTTGACCGTGGCCTTCAGGAAGCATTGAAAGAGGCCGCAGCTGGATCTCTCCGATATAAAGAATTCATACATGCAGTTGAAGACATGAGGAGCAAGCTGGTAGATAGCATGGAGGAGACAGAGCTGCATTTCAAAACAACGTTCGAGAAATTGGTCCTCGACATGAGCGCCTACGTTAGCTCGATTATAGAGCCTATGGTTTCTGCTATAAGGGGTCTACATGGCAGTGCAGAGTCCCTCGACAGGGTTAGTCCTTCCACGCTCTCTAGGGCTATGTTGACACATGACAGAATATAGCAAACGCAGTTGAGGATGTCAGCAAGTTACAACACATATTGAAGCTCTTTCACGAGGAAGGAACAGCATGGAGTCAACAACAGGCGCTGACTCGACAGCAGGATGCTCTCTCAATGAGTGAATTGTTTTCTTCTTTGCATTTTAACCTGGATACACTCCTTCAAGGTGACATGGAAAAGCTGTCTAACAAAGTAGAAAACTTTAATTCTGCCCTAGTAAGCCATGCCTTTCCATAGAGCTGCCAGAGGTTGACCGTGTCAGGAATGGCTTGCTGGCAGGTTTGCTCAGATACTCGAACAAGAGCAAGATATATCCAAGGTTCGTGATATCTCGTGAGAATAAGAAGCTAGTTAACCGTTTCAGCGCCTGAGTGATGTTGAATCTGCCCTTACCGGGTCTCAGATGATAGCTGAGGACCTGCGCAGCGCTCAGCTGGGGCAGACTGAACTCCTAGAGCATCTTCTGACAAATATGCGGATTGCCCAAGCACTTGCCGATAAGCAAACGGCTGCAGCTGCGAATCTGCAGGCAATGGTCGACGACGTGGCAGAACGATATAGAGAAGTACCTGCATTTAGAGGTCTCTTCGGCTCATACCCTGCACAGACCGTGTATAGCCTTCTAGTTGGCTTTGTTGGTGCCCAAAGCCTCAAGGCAGCCACAGTGTTACTTGTTGTTGCTATTTGTATGTATCCAACTAGTCTATACATGACTCAGGCTCGTTACTGATATTGTTGGTTACAGATCATATCGCTACCACGAACATGCTTTGATTCATGATGTTATGGTCAAATATACCAGTGCTGCTTTATATTGAATTGCTGTCATATATCTATACCATGGACAATGGTTCCATTCTGACCTTTCAGCAAGCTTCATGTACCCTCGATCTATTGGGAGGCGGTACTCAGTTATCAGAATGATATACCATACGGTGGTCTGGCTTGCAGTCTAGTTTGCAAATTAGCGATAGCACCGTAGCATGACACTATATGAACCATATTCTCGCGACATCAACTTGTCTCACGAATTGAATATCCCTAAAGCGTATATGAGACGAAGTAGAGCAAGGCTTGGAAAGTATTCCAGATGGACTTGATGAGTCGACTGCCTGAGACTTTAGGGTTAAACTGGGCAGAAAGCAGCGGTATGATGCGGCAGAAAAGCGCCCGCCGATCAGCAGTTCAGTCTCCCTCCACCCTTCGCGGTCTCCTCCCAGCCTCGCCGATCTCGACCTCAATTGTCTGGAGAATATCTGTGATCAGGCGAATAAATCTCTATACTGTACGTGCTTTATCCCTACACTGTCATTTACATCTATCCTCCCCGGAGGCATCAATCGCAACCCCCGCAACAAACGTCTCCGATCCACACGCAGACCGCCTTCGCAGCTGGAGCCGACATCTGGGGTTGCGGTGTTCACCCCCAGAGCGCCACGTTTGAAGCAAGGTTAGCTGGCTTGTTCTTCCCGAGACATTGTTGGGATTGGCGCATGGGGTGGTTGCACACTCTGAAGGTGGTGTGAGCTCCTGCTCGTTGGAAGATCGAACAGGATGGGTTCTCTTTCTGCCTGGCGATAAGCTGACTTGCTCCCCGCGACTAGCGTTGAGCCTTGATCGCTGGTTCACCACTTGAGCTACCACGGATCGCTTTTATTGGTCGTATCGTCCGGCATCGTGAGCGCGTACAGTCGCATCGAACCCGCGATCGGAGCGCACCCAGCTTTTTCTCTACCACGTCACACACAATAATGACCGATCCAACCTCCGACGCACCTGCTATGGACGAGTTCGCGCAGACTCGAGGTGGTGATGACCTCTTTGACGATGAGATTGTCCCTGTCCCCGCCGCAGAACAGCAACCTCAGCCCGAAGTGCACGCGGAACCTTCCCCCGCTCCTGTTGTCGAAAGCGATGCGCAACCAGCTCGAACTGATACCCCGTCATCACGGTCGCGTGGAGGCGAAAGGCGAGGACGGGGTCGAGGCAGAGGACGTGGTGGGCGGGGGTCGCACAATGGAAGCCGTCGGGGGGAAGGGCCTGTGAAGAACAAGCCCGTTGAGAGTGCTCCTGAGCATGAGAATAAGAGTGGCGAAGGGTCGACTCCGGAGACGCTGGCTGAGGGAGATCAGAATGGAAAAGAGGAGACAACGGCAGCGGACCCCAAACAGGCTGCTGCCGCAGAGGGACCGCGCGTGCCTGCGGTTCGCGGAGACAGAAGTGCTACAGGTGGCTTAAAGAAGGTAGAGGCAACTGCGAATTCTAGATGTATGCTTGCTAACTCGCTACCAGCCGAAACTTACGGAAGAAGAACTCTCCCGTCGTATTGCTGCCGCCAAAGAAAACGCTGCCAAAGTTGCCGCTGCACATGCTCGGGCTGAGGCAGACCAAGCCTCGTTCCTTGAGCGCGAGAAGGTTGCTGAAGAGAAGCGACGCCAGGAACGCCAGCATCGCCGGGCCATGGACAATGAGCGGGAGCGTAACCGACTGCGCAAACTGGGTGCCCTGAACGGAAGGGAGTGGGACGCCGAGAAGAAGGAGGAACATTACAATCCCCGTGGTGGCAGAGGTGGCTTTCGACGAGGTATGCACGGCGGTGTGTCTGGATACGCCCGGCGAGATTCTGATTCCCAGCCCAGCGAAGAGCCCAGTGAAGACGCCCGTCCTCCTTACCATCGCGGCCGCGGACGTGGTGGTGGAGGTGGTAGAGGTGGCCGTGGCCGCGGTGGACATCGCGGGCCTCGAGGAGACATTGCAGCGTCCGATGGTGCTGCTGATCAAACTTCTGGCCACACTAAGTCTGAAGCATCTGCCCCAGTCATCAGTAATGAGGCTGAGTTCCCTGCTCTACCTGGGAGTGAGAAGAAGGAGAAGGAGAAGGCCGGTGAGGAAGCGCCCACTACTCCTGATTTGCTCAAGTCGGACTCCTTGTCACCAGTGACGGGGGCTTCCTGGGCCGATCAAGTCGAATCTCAGTAATTATACATTTACGAATCAGCCTGCTTTCCTATTCATTATGATATGATTCCAACTCTAATCTGCGCCAAAGACACATGAACCATGCACTCATATTCCCCTAAACAGTACTTGTTGCTTGCTTTGATACGATATCGTTCGAATGGCCTACTAGAGCCTTCCCCTCACTATGCGTCTTTTCCAATATCCTTATCCTTCAGAGATGAAGGCTTTGCTTACACCTGCTTGGTTAGCTATGACGTTATGTACATACCTACCGCACCGCAATAGAGGCAAGTCTCATCCGACTGCCTGGGGTATACGGATTAGCCGTACTAGATAGGACATCATCTGCATGAACTATGCGATCATCAATCAGCAGAATACCCATTCCTCCATTTTTGTACAGTCCAGAACGCACTCAGTCGTGGCAGTACTTTTCGTAGATTCCATGGATGTACACCATGACTAAGCCGAGTGGCAACAACTGGCCAATCAAGCAGACCCCTATGACGTTTGTTAATGATGAGATCACTGCCCTCGCGAGAGAATCTCGACTATAAATCGCCCAATTTCAAGATCAGAGACAAAGCTAGTTGATCATTGTTATCTATTCAACTCAAGTTGAATATCTAGGTAAGTCAATCGCCGTCTGTTCATACAACAATCAACACAATCATACACCAACCATCTACCCGGACGATATATACAACCTCACCAACATCATCGCCATCATTACTACTACTATCCACGCCACCAAAAACCAGGCATATTTGAACTAACAAATCATTTCTAGAAGAACACAATTTTGGTTTCTTTAAGCCTCATATACACATACATACGTACAAAATGTCCCAAAACCGTCTCCCAGGCTCCACCCGCGGCGGCGCCAGCGCCCAACCCACGCCCGCCAACAACTCCGGCGGAGGCAGCGGCTGGGGCGACGAGGGCTATCCCAAGGGAGGAGGCCTAGGAACTGCGAACCAGACATCATCGGACGAGGTTTCTGTACGTTTAGCCACCCCTTTCCATACCCACTCCCCCTTCCTTCAAACCAATGCTAACAATGGCGATTAGCCCGACATCCTCACGACGCCCGCACTCCAAGGCATCTCGCAGCAAAAGCAAGCCGCAGAGCAAAAGTTCATGAGTCGGTGGGATGAAGGACACGATGAGCGGGAGGGAACATGTGCTACGGAAGATCATAGTTTCATGGGGACGAAGCCCGGTGGGTCGGATGCTTTGCCGGGTTGGAATGTGTTGAAGGATAAGTTGGGATTGTAAGCATGCCCTGGTCTGTTCCTTTTTGGGATGGGGCTGATGGGTTGGGTAATAGTCTTTATCCGGAGTAATTTTGGGAAGTTCTGGGTTTGATTGGTTAGGTTTTATGAATAAATGAACGAATTGTTCTGGGAAATGAATATGTTGTTTGATTATATGGGGTTTGAGGTTGAGGGAACACACAGGTGTTGTTTGTATGAAATATGTTTGATGGGATATATGATGCGGGGTAGTTGATTGTATTGGTATAGCATGGATGTATGTCACATCTAAGATGCCTATTTGTCTTGTCTATTCTGTCTTGGCTGTCTTGCCCTTGATTCGGTCCCGTAGGGCAACTATCTTGCCCCCCAGGCGTCCCTTGAGGGTTTGCGCCGTCAGCGCGGAGGCTTCTTCGGCCGTGACAAATCGGCGGACGAGGAGGTTGAAGATACTGCCAAAGGCGAGCGCTACTACGGTGCTGGTCAGGATGATCACGTTGTAAGGCATGCTGAAATCGGGGGTGGGAAGCGGTAGAAGAAGGCTGGTGGTGCGGATATAGATCGGGTGGTTTTGGCCGTTTGCTGCGTCGAGCTTGATTACGGCGGGAGCGACGTTGAAGCCGCGGTTTGCGTCTGGAGGATACTCAGTGTATCGCAGAATCGCTTTCTCAAAGTCGTATGTGAGAGTCACCGTCGATGCGGGCGGTATCGTCAATGCCAGCTCTAGCTGTGTTCCTCGTTCGCGGTCGATTGCTGGTCGGTAGAATGATTCCCGGATGAAGTGTGAGGCGGGTACTTGCTGGCGAAGTCCATCGCGGCCTGTGACTGAAGCTTGCAGTGTGTGGACATAAGGTCGTAGAAACCATGGTAGAGTTTCGAAGTAGATGAAGTCAACAGAGTTGGTGTTACTTGGGTTGTCGAAGATGATCCGCATGCCACCGCGCTCTTGGCCGTGACCAACAATCGTTCTCTCTGCGCTTAGGACAGGTTCATCAAGTGGCACATGAGTGGTAACTTCCTGTTCAGGGATGGTGAGGTCGAACGGAGTAGAAGGCTCCAGGGTGAAACAGCGGGTGAAGCCATCCGTCTTCTTGGTCTCCACTGCACCTGGAGTGACAAGCACCTCGCGCTCATGCGGCACCCGTAGGCAGACCGGCTCCTGAGAAGCATTATCGGTGAGGGGACAAGCGCCACTGAGGGTGCGCCCGAAGATTTCCGTCAAGCTCCAGCCCTTTTCCGATGTGCTTTCCAAAGGATAGCAGGTATCATCGGAATGGTAAGGCTTGGATGTGTCACATGCAAGCTGATCAGAAGGTACAGGTCGCGGAATGGGATTGCCTGAGTAGCCATTAGCATATCAATCAAGGCGTCAGGCACCATCCAACTAACCGCGTGGTCGCTTTGACCGGTCGATATCCAGAACAATGTCCACAGACTGATCGACATGCACGGAGCACTCTCCAGGGTGAGGACAGACAGGACTGACGTCCACAGACATGCTCTGCCAAGACGCGTCAAACAGTTTATGCCCGTCTAGAAGGCTAGAAACACCTGCCTTGCCCTTGCATGGTAGGAGCTTCAGGAATGGTGTCAGATTTTCAGTGCAGACCACCTCGCCGGGAAGTGTCCCGTGCAGCAGATGCAGATTACTGGAAGCCGGATGGTCGCCCATGAGTTCAAACGACGTGACTGGGCGAGTGGTTCGGGTTGAGTCGATGAAGTTCAGCGAGGCGCAAAACAATCCCGACAGAGACTGAGTCAGGGTGATCCATTTCGCGAAGGCCCTAATGCCCATCAGTATCGTTGCACATACATACTCGCGTCCTCCTTTCCGTTCACACGTACGCTTCGTCATCAGGTGCATCGATCCAGGCCCATAGCTCAACACCAGTACCGCCCTCTTTGGTCCCATTCCAAGGACGAGGACCCCAGCTCTCAGCATCCCATCGTCCAGTAGTGAACCGCAGATGGAGCTCCTTCGTATTGGCGTGCTGTAAGATCTGGCCTAACGCCCTCGGGAAATAGCGGAAATGCCGTTCATCGAAGGACTCTTGGGACTCATTGCCTCGAAAGTTGAAGGATGCTAACAGGGATGACTGCGGGAGTGGCTGGAGGTAGAGGCTCTCGTGGTAGTCCGAAGTCGCCGATGTGAACGAAGAGAGCGCGACAACGAAAAGTAAGGTAAGGAGAGAGAGGACCGTCATCACGTCATGCTTGCCGATGCGGAAAGTTCTAGATACTGTGTAGTTATTCTATCGCGTACCTCACTACCGCTAGCAAGCCATACACGGAGTGTAAGTTCAGATCTCCGAGCGGCGGAGAAGAACGGTCGATTGCGTTTTGGGTCAAGCAAAGCTAATTAACAGGCTGACCGGGCCTCGCGACTGTATCAAGCCTGCATAAGATGTATCAAGCGTCAGAGTGTCCAGATCATGGCACCAATGTCGCCAACTAAGGTGGAAAGGCCGAGCTGTACTCCGCAAATCAGCGGGAATCGACAGGGGGCTCCGGCTCACTTATATAAGCGCCAGCCGCGGTTAGCGCCACGCCCGCAGAATCTCGACTCTCCATCGCAATCTCCATTCAATCCCTCAGTTACGCTCTGACCATTCGTGCTCTCCCCACCCTCCATTCTCCCTCTAACATCATCTCATCATGGCGGCGGAACAAAGAAAGCTGCTTGAGCAGCTCATGGGAGGTAAATTGTCCAACCCCAGCTTCTACCAAGCTCTAAACAGCTAACCCAATTCTTTTTCTCCAGCGGACCAGCTCATAGGTACCGGCGCTCCCTCTCGCAATGCGCAGCTCCAAATCACCGATCCAAAAGTCTGTCGCTCGTATCTCGTCGGCACTTGTCCGCATGACCTCTTCACCAATACCAAGCAAGACCTGGGCCCTTGTCAGAAAGTTCACAGCGAAGGATTGAAGACGGAGTATGAGACCGCCTCGGCAGCTGAGAAGGCCAAATGGGGATTCGATTACGACTATATGCGCGACATGCAGAAATACATCGATGATTGTGACCGACGTATTGATACCGCTCAGCGACGCTTGGAAAAGACTCCGGACGAGATCAGGCAGACCAACAACTTGGTAAGGCATATACTCCAGCCCAACCACAGGACACCCCAAGTGGCCAAAAGAAGACTGGACTGATCATATTCTCAATAATATAGCTGAAGCAAATCTCCGACCTGACCAAAACCATCAACACGGGTCTCCTCGAGATCTCGGTGCTGGGCGAAACCGGCTCCGTCGCACAGGCCCTGAACGAACTTCACAAGATCCGCACAGCCAAGCACCAAAAGGAAACGTGTGAGCGAGAACTGAAGAACCTTCAAGATACCTCCGGACCTTCGGGTCATCAGAAGCTGCAAGTGTGCGATGTCTGCGGCGCGTACCTGAGTCGTCTCGATAACGATCGTCGGTTGGCGGACCATTTCTTCGGAAAGATGCACATGGGATACTCGGACATGCGCAAGGGGTATAAGAAGCTCAGCGAGGAGCTTAAGGGACGGCCTCCGCCGGTTCGTCACCACGATGACGATGATGGTGGTTGGGGTGGACGCTCCGGTGGTGGACGTGGTCCTCGGTATGGCGGTGGTGGTTACAAGAAGCGCGGTCCTCGCTGGTAAAACATTGATGAGCGTCTTGTCTTTTCTTGGAGTTTATTCTGCAATGCTGTTGTAATTTGTCTGGATTTGCATAGCGCAGGCGTTTTCGTTACCACTACGTCTGGGATGTTACGGATTAAATAAAAATATAATAAACATGTACAGGCCGAGTCTGCTGTTGCTTTCATCCCTTGTCCCCGCATCCCACTGTGGATCTGTGACAGTAGTACTCAGTAGTAATACTATGATAATATACCAGCAGTACCAGTCAAGTTGCTTACTAGGTATATGTAGTTTTCATAAAGAAAAGTGGAATGAAATAGTAGGATAGTGTTCATTTTGACATACAAATTCGACGCATGTAAATCAGCATGCGATAAGAACAAAATGAGATGAGGGGAAATTCGATCGTAGGAAAAAAGAGAAGTGATAAAATAACAAACCCAGTGTTGAAGCAAACGTCTCTGGGTACATAAAATCCATGTTCATGGCAAGCACATGAAAAGCAAGTGAAAGAAGAGAACAGATCAAATAGATAAGCATCCCGTAAAGTCGCCCAAATACCCGTTTTGAAAAGAAACCCTACCCCAGCACATGGGAATAGCAGTGCGAAAAAAAAGAATTACACCAAGCCCCGGAGATACCCTTGCGAAAAAAAATTTGAAAGCGAAGATATGGGAGAAGAAAGACGTTACTGTACAGTAGGCAGTGTTGAAACACCCTTCCCCATTTCTCTCTCTTTTTTAATTGTCTCACTACCGTGCATTCTGCTGTGGACCGTGGCCGTTGGTCCTGGTCGCCGTTGCTAACTCTTCTATCAACATTGTGTAATTTGAGCTAACTTCTGGTCGACGTAGGAGTATATCCCGGACCACGCTTAGCTGTGAGGCGTCTGCATTCGGGGCATGGGATAGAAGTTGTTGAATAGCGGGTGTATTGGCTTGCGCACCGAGCACTTGTATTGCGGCGGCGAGACCGGTGAGGGGTGGTTGGTTGGGCTGGGAAGGCTGGTAGGGAGTGAATTGGGGAGCTGCTGGTGGTGGCTGTTGTTGGTGTTGTGGCTGAGCTTGATGCCCATAAGGTATTTGCGTTTGAGGCGTCCCGTCGTAAGATGATACAGGAGTGGGCGTGAACTGGGACGCAAGCGGCGGTCCAGGAGTCAGGAAATGCGCCTGCTGGGGCGTCCCCGCGGCCACGGTCAATGGACTGGCAGAAGCACCAGGCTCATGGCTTGGGAAGTGTGAAGGAGGCTGCACTGATGGTGGGTTCGAATCGCCGGTCTTGACGGCAAAGACAACGAGCATGACGCGCTCCGGTGTGGGATCTTCAAGAGCGTTGTTCTCTAGAAGCTCGATGAACTCTGGCTTCTTGGTGGAGCCTGCTTCGATAGGGATAAGGTAGGTATCCTTGACAGCAGGCAATGGATGTTTGCCAACAACACCATACCTCGAACGGTCTTGGAAGTAGCTGAACAGCTTGTCGAATCCTGCACGGTCCTTGGGGGAATCGGGACGGCTGATCGAGATGACAGTCACGTCGGTCGAAGAGCTGAAACGCAGACCGCAAAGGTACTCGCTGGCGAGAGCAATCTCAATCCTTCCGTCAATGGACAATGTCGGTGGAGCAAGCTGACTCCATGGTATGCGTCCGCTCAAATCAGCTCCTCCGACATGCTTCGCGGAGGAAGTAAACTCTGTGATCGGGTTCATGACGACCTTGCCATGCCAGATGGACCCTTCGTCATGAAAGTCCTTTGGGGAGTAGGGTGGCGAGTCGGGCTCATCATCTCCTAATAATTGATCGATCTCAGCATCAGCCTGAGCCCTAGCGGTTGGCAACTGCTCACGGATATGAGCAGACACTTCGGGGAAGACCTGCTCGTGGCTGGTGCCACCCGGAGAATGAGCCCGCGCGGGGAAGTGATCCTGGTGAGTGGTGACACCGTCGGTCATCTTGGTGTCAACATCCTGTGATTTCGATGCCTTCCGGGAGTCATCAGCCTGGGACTGGGGGCCAGGGGTCGTTGGGCTCTGGCCAGCGGGGCTGCCATCGGTATCAGCCAGACTGCGTCGAGCGGCCGCAGTTGAGAAGACGGGCTCGCTGGCGACATTTTGGTTATCATCTTCAATGAATTCTTCACCCTTATGGGTCCGTCTAATGCGAGGCCCTTGTTCTTGCACGATGATGTGCTGGCGTTCAGCTTCCCGCTTGATCTCGGCATCCTTCTGCTGCAGTTCCTCACTTGCCATGTCTTGGGTGCTCATCTTAGAGAGGGCATCGGGAGATAAACTACCTACGAGCAGACGGTCCCGTAGAGAAGGGTTCTTCTTTACGTTGAACATGATCGTCCGCAATTGTGACCTATACGGCTCTGTGGGCTCCCCAGTTCCTCCGCATATATTCTCATACATAGCGCTCTCGAGTGAGAGAGAAAGCTGCCGGGCAAATTCCTCCACTGATTTCACTCCGGACCCTTCGGGAAGTTGGAACGATCCTCGCTCCTGGGCCTGAGTAATCTGCTCTACAAATAACTTGACCAGAGCTTTGGCAACACTCTTGCGAGATGGATGCGTAAGCTGGTCCGCGGATTTCGAGCTATCCGTCACTGCTGTTCCTGCAGCAGAACTTTTCCGAGAAGACGGCGCACTGGGCTCCTCCTTCACTTGAGCCGGTTTGGCGGCAGCGGCTGGCACAGGCGTCGCAGGTGCTGGCGGTGACATCTTTTGCTGCTTCGTTTTCGGTCCCTTATATGGCAGTGTTAGCGGAACCCTCCCCTACCCATGATACTAGAATAACCAGAACTTACCGGTTCAGGGACTTGCACCTCTTGGTGCTCATCAAACTTGCGTTTTTGGGCGCTTGTCGACTGCGCTTCAGGAACATGTCCATTTTTCTCAGGAGCCGGCGTCTCGGCTTCAGGGACTGGTGCAGCAGGTGCAGGAGGCGCGGCAGGAGCAGCAGTAGAGGATGGGGCAGGAGTTGCAGAGGTTGCGGCGCGCGCAGGTGTGCTCGTCTCTGTCTTTGGCTCGCTAGCCTTGCGCTCGCTTGCCTGACGCTCACTTGCTTGAGACTCACTCGTCTTGCGCTCGGCGGTCGGAGGTTCGCTGGCTTTAGGTTCGACCGACTTAGATTCGCTTGTCTTAGGCTCAGCCGCCTTGGGCTCACTTGGTCTGCCTCTTCGGCCGCCCTTCTTGCCCTTTCTGCGTCGGGATGCTTTCTTCTCCTCGGCTTCCTTGCGCCTCTTTTCGGCAGCTTCCTCCCACGGTTTTTCACCACGCGCGATCTTTTCGAGAAGAACCTTATGATTCTCTGGCTTGCATTGCTCACAGAAGTACTCGTCCGGTTCCTCCCCCTTCGCGTATGTCAGGCCCATACAGTCATTGTGTTGCCAGGCAGAACATCGATCGCAGCAGATCATGTCGCGCTCAACATCTTCCTCCTCTTCATATTCGCCACAGATGCATCGAATAATCTCTTCTTCTTCGCTGGGAGCAGGCGTCGGTTCGACGGAGGGTTTGGGAGGTTTCTCTTTCGGCTGGACTTTCGCCTTGGACTTCTTCGCGGGCGTTTCGGTGATCATGTCGAGGTTCTTGTGCTGGCCCTTGGTCGAGCGACCGGAGCGTCGTGGTTCATCTGGCTTAGTAGTTAGCTTTCTGTCCCGACAGAAGTGGAGTGTGCTGCCAGTCGCCACCCAGCGGGAAGTCCGACAATGGTCGCACGACTTTTGGTATACAATAGCTTACCGGCCATGATGGAAGTATATAAGCTGATAGCAAGTATTCAAATTTCTACGGCGCGAAGCTTTGGGGGTTGTAAAGGTCTGAGATAGAGAGAAGAAAAAAAGGATTGCGCACGCCACCCAAATCTCGTTCTACGGCATCAGAAGGGCTAAAGTAATACACAGAGGAAGGCTCTGGAAAGTGGCACTTTTTGGTTTGCCCGGTCCACGCAGGTATTACTTTGTCCTTGCACTTCCAGCGATTTTAAGTCTAGAGACAACGCGTGGGCGCCGGTGGTGGTCACACCAAGCGGTGGGTGTTGAGTCTCGTTTGAATGCTGTCGCGCGCAGCGTGAATGCTTGGCGTGAGCGGGGTCGCGTGTAGACTGCGCAGCGCCTGAGGCGGCTTTTCCGCGAGTGAATCGAGAGCTGACGATGAAAATTCCGCAGAATAGCCTCGTAGGAATGTCTGGTGATGAAATGAACGTCCAGCGACGAGCCACGGGAGGTGCTGGGAGATGAAGAAGACAGATGGTGGGAAGAGAGGAGATGCTGTCGCGGTTGGATCGGGATGCTGAGTCATCAGCACGTGACTGCGGCTCCGCGGAGAATGGCTTGGCAGGCGCCAGTCCAGCTCCTTCTCGTCGCGTCTATTTTTCGGCGCCCTCGAAAGCTTCTCCAGATCCCCACATAGACTGTCTTTTACTTTTCACGATCTTCTTACCCGTGTCCCCAGTTGACGTGTTGTTTAGAGCTCACTTAAAATCAAATCAATATCTATAATCTTTTCCATCCTACCTTTACTCAGTACAGATCATGGCAGATGTTCGATCATTACTTCGGAATGAGCTCGCCGCCCGCAAGGGCTCATCCCAGACAGGGAGCGCAACGAACCGTGTGACCAAAAAGCGCAAGGTAGACCCAGCAGATGATTTGAGGCGCAAGAGGTTGAGGGCAAGCATGCCATCTGGTCAGCCGACCGCGCACACCGTACAACCTCCCAGTGCACGAGCTATCGAGGAGGAGGAAGAGATCATCGAGGAATCAGAGCAGGACATCGCCGGACCGCAGCCGCCATCTGACATCGCACATGAGCAGCAAACTGCTGAACCGGATGTACAGCCATCAGATCCGTCTCTTGTAGCTTCCGAACCGCCTGCCACGACCACTCAAACCATCGACGAGGATGAATGGGCCGCTTTCGAGCGCGAAGTTGTCGAGCCCACCCGCGTGCCACATAGGCCGGCTGCGCTCGCCGCGGAAGCGACTATATCAGCAGCGCCAGTATCCGCAGACGAGCTCGCCGCCCAGCAGCAGAAAGAAAACGAAGCCATCAAGAAAAGCCGTGAGGCTGAAGTCGAAGGCGAAAGGGAGGATGCGGCACGGTTCATGGAAGATGAATTTGATGAAATGGAGCAATTAGAAGAGCGCGTCAGGCGTCTGAAGCACAAGCGTGAAGAGCTGAGGAAATTAAGGACCATGGAAGATGCAGAAATGCAGAGAATGGACGAACCTCCTTCCGCTGCTAGCCCGTCAGGGGACCGACAAAATCCACCTGCAGGTGACGCGAATGCAGAAGAAGACGATGAAGATGACGATGATGATTATGACGATGACTGGGACAATTGGAGGTTTAAATGAGTTTAACGCGGCTAAGGGTCGGGCGTGGGAAATACAGGCGTCATTTCATACGAGGGAGGTCCCGGACTTTTCTTACTTACAGTGATACCCAATAAGCTATGTGAAATCACAGGCCATTGCTATTAATTCTTTAAATGGGCCACAGTACACTTTCTATCGGCGTGGGCGGTACCCCGTGTTTATGATGGGACAGCGACATTTTGTACTCTTAACATACTATCTACGATGAACTCCTACATGCGCGAGAATGTATACTGGATCAGCCAGAAAAGATGGAAATGTATTTTTACAGTCATTTGC